CTCTCTCTCTCTCTCTCTCTCTCTCTCTCTCTCTCTCTCTCTCAGTGCCTGTCAATTGCTGCTAAAACCAATCGTCCAAAGCCAGCAGTGTCAGAAGACCGTCGGTGGGGTCGACCACCCACCCAAGGAGCCCCGCACAGTCTGTTTGCATCGTTTCATCATCTATCAGAGACGATGGTCGAGATGCAGGTCGCCTTCACAAGAGATGGAAGGGATGCATGGTTGGAACTATGCTTGCATATCTTTCTGGAAACGAGATGGAATAACATCATGTTGCCAAGTCCACTTCCCTATACACGGTACTCCAGGCTTGGCTGTCAAATCTCCCTTCTTCCCTCGTCTTGTGCCGTCGCGTCCCAAAGGTTGGTTGCCGCAGCAAAGGGTATGCAACTCATGTAATTATCGAAACCAAGATTCTTTCCTTACGAAGCCATGTCTCGGAAGTCGCGGTCAGTGCTTTCATCTACCTCGGAAGCTCTTGATAGGCACCAAAAAAATAAAAAAAGCAAAACACATCATCATATTATACTGATAATTGCACACAATACACAATTCTCTGACGTGTGCAGATAGATATGTTCTCTGTATGGTGTGCTGGGTTGCGAGTTGGATTTGGGAGGACCAGGGGTGAAGCATCACTCTCGGCTTCCTCCGTTACAGGGGTCCTTCTCTCCATGTCCGTCTTCCCAGGGCTTCCTCGAGAGTTGTCGCAGGTCAGGCAGGATATCTCCCATCCGACAGGCAGATACGAGGGTCCTCCAAGAAGAGGCACCACCACATTCCCTACACAACCATCCATCTACACAGTACCTACCATCATTGATAGTGAACTCTGCTAAAATCTTGCGAGGAAATGGTTACGCAGCCTAAAAGGAAAGCAAGAAAGAGATGGGAAGGACAACAGCCTCTGATTGGATGCAACTAAAACTCTCCGGTAGATCGACTAAAAGAGCAAAAGAAAAATGAACGGCTCAGCTGCCACTTATGCAGGTCCAGAACACATCCACGTACTTTTTTTGTTCTGTCATCCGTTTGCCTTCTTTCTCGCTTGTAATTGCGGAAAAAAGTGAAAAAAAAGAAAAGAAAGAAAAATGACCACCTCGCCATTAGTTTGAACGCTAGGGGGTTTGATTCCGTAGCTGCCGTTCACAACACACAAGCTGAGCCACAACCCGCTGTCAGAGGAATGTGAAAAGTGGGAAAAAATTAAGAGTTGCCCAGATGACGCAAAAGCCACGCCAGCCTCAAAATTCTAGACCTTGACTTGGTGACGTTTTTTTTTTTTTTTTTTTGGGTGTGGTTAATTACTCCTTACCCGTCAAACCCGTTCATTAAGTCGACTGAATGAAATAAAAGGGCAAGTCCAACTCCACATGGCAAAACAATCGTAACAGCCCCGCGTGATCGTGATCCAGCCAGTCAATGAAGAGAAGTGCGAGGGAAAAATAAGCGGCATCCCCAAAAAAGACGATATAGCTCCAAAGTCAAAAATACTAGTCTCTCGAGTCAAGTTCCAAAAAAAAAAAAAAAAAAAGCCGGACAAAAAGGACTCGGCCGTTTGCTCGTTTATATGTCATGTCATAACTAGTCAGCAACGTTTCTCGTGTATGTATCATGTCCTGCTAGTGTAGACATCCAAAAAAGAGCGATACGGGCGAGCCAAGAAGCGTCCGTCCCTGACCGATAATAGGGCCTAGATCACATCGCACCTCATCATATACACTACAAAATCCCGGAATATATTGGTAGATCGTTTCGGAGCCAGCCAGTCCAAGTGCCGGGCTGCCGATCACTCAATGGTTGATGTGCGCGTCGATTAACCCTCTATCTAGACTTCTTCTTCTTCTTCTTCTTAAACAGGCGAATCTGTCGTACAAACACAACCCCCTAACGTTTGGATCTCCGATCTTTGTGTGCTTGTATCTGCCGGCGCTGACAGTCTTGGGTTCCGAGTCATGCTGCTTCAGATCCAGAAAGTCCAAGGCTGGCTGAAGAGACACACTATGGCTCTACTATAGTACCCTGTTAGCTCAAGTATAGCTTGCAAGCTGGGTCGAGCTCAAGCTCCCTTTCCATTTAGCTACAAGTACGTGATGAGGTCAGAGTTGCTCACATTAGTAGCTCATGACATTTTTGCATCCAATGAGAACACTTGCTGTCAAGGAAACAACGATATCCTACTGGCCAGCCTCCTCCGGGCGGTTTCGATCTGGCTGCTTCTCGCGGGAAAAAGAGAGGGGCCCGAGTCTCGTGGGTGTATTTTATAATGGATACCATCGTCTAGTACGTCCTCAGACAGACACGTCAAAACAGAGTTCAGCGGGCTGAGGGAAATACTCCATAAGAGACAGGAGCCGTCATACGAGCTGACCAGCGCCAGCCAATGTGGATTCAACAATCGTATACCCGCCATTGACTGGCTGTTGCTGTTATGCCGGGCGTCTTCCACGGCCAAGATTTGGTAATGGGCATATAGTGCCTACGAGACCTGACTGTGCCCCAGATCCAGACATGTTGATCAGAAGCTCTAATATAATTTATGGTCTCTTAGGGTTGGTAGCCGCTCCAGTCGAGAGATTGTGACGTCGGGGGCCCTGGATGCATCTACTATTCTATGTCTTCGATCAACTGCTCTCCAATATAGCCAACCCATGCACAGTGAATGGACTGCATTAAAGAAAGTATTTGCTTGTACCAGCGCTTGTTTCAACTTTCATTACTACTTCTCTACATGCACAGAGGTTCGTTCTAGCTCCACACTACCACGCACAAATATCTCTAAAGGTCAACAACTATTCTTGGTATCAAATCCCTCTCTTCCTCTCGCTTCTCTCATCCAAGGTACTGGTAATACCGTAACTTGTGAGGTATGGTGAAATCGCTTCGTAAAGAAATGCTTGCTGGTCCGCCGTTGAAATGACCAGATGCGCCTAATGATACCGTAAACGCCATTTTATGATCTTCTCGTGCCTCATTCATCCAAGATCATCTCAGTCTAAACCCCTTCTTCCGCCTACTGGCGCCTGTCCTGTGCAGGCGACCATCATTATGACATCAGAGAGGTTCACCTTCCGACGTATCAGGTGTAGATCTGCGGAAACCCCCCTTCCTCTACCTCCTACCACGTGATCTCATTATATTATGTGATGTGTGAATACATAGCAAAGTACACTGCTTCAGGGCTCATGTCGACGCAGGTTCCTTGATCAGTATTGGTTCCAGTCCGTCTTCCGTACCGATTTGCGAATTGTGGCGCTACGGCGAATACTTTCAACCCAGACGGAGTCGTCCAACAGCTCCCGAACCTGAGCCGGACTTACAGAACTGCCTCGGCGGCTGTTCGCCGCTGATGACGTTCCAGGCTCCTGGAGCTCAAAGCTAAAGGCCGACGTGTCGGCCCTATGACCTGGCATGGATGGCGGTGTCCTTGGTAGACTGAGTGGATGCTGGTATTGGGCATCGATGTTTGATATGTCTGTGCTCGACGCCCAGCTGCGGTGTGCAGGTCGAACGGCGTCCGCTGCAGCCAAGAACTCTGAAGATGTTGTTGCAGCTCGCGCGCGAGGAGTGACAGCCACCGTTGCACGTTGTGGGGTTCTGTGACGTCCATCGTCATCCTCAACAAAGATATCAGGTACGTCCAGTTGCGGTACCGCCGTCATACGTCCAGCCCGTTTCTTGTCAAGATGCTTCTTGAACCTTCGTACCCAGTATCTGATTCCGTGGTTAGCAAGTTTAATGGATTCGAGCATTGGTAAACCTTTATACTCACAAAGTATCAAAGAAGCCTAGGACCACACGACGTCGGACTTCTTCCTCAACGCGCTGTAGGCGAGCACGACGCCGCAAGAATTCCTCCAGACGCAAACTTTTGCTATCGCTGATGATATTGTAGTGTGCCAATATCATGAGAACAGTTGTAAAGGAAATACCCTTATCAGGATCTGCAGAGACCATGACTTCCTCGAAGAAGATATTGAACCGTCGACGACGCTCACGTACTGCTATAACGTCGATCTTGTTCAGTCTGGCATTGAGCTTTTTCACATCGATCCCAGATAGAGCACTCTGGGACGCGATTGATCCATGCCTGGCTCCTGGGTCTTCACTGCGGACGTCTTCGAGGATCTGACGAATCGAGTCTTCTGCGTTGTATATCCGCATCTCGAAAACACCGGAGAGCTCAGCCAGGAGCTTGGGAAACGCATCCTTGCTGATAAATCCTGTGCCAGCTGGATCCACGCTCCGCCATGCCTCTTTGAAGCGACGAATCTCGTGACGATCTATATTTCCTAGCCCACTTGAGCGCTGGTAGACGTATGCAAAACTTTCGTAAATAAGCGAGATGAACAAATTTACGAAAATATACATGCTGACAAGATTCCAGGCGATGAACAAGCCCCGAGCCCAGATAGCACTTCCACAGTCACTATCGGTAAACTCGTTGTTCTCGACACAGAATGGTGGTTCTATCATGGCAAAGTCTTCCATGAGTTCGTTCCATCCTTCACCACAACTCATCCTGAACAAGAGGATCAGGGCCTTGGGAACCGTTCGAAAGTTGACGTTTGCTTCTTCATTCCCGCCAAAACGAGTCAAACTGAAGGTCTGAGTAAATGCGATTGCGAAAACCAAGAAGAAAACAAGCCATGTGGCCAGGAGGTTGACAATCGTGGTCAGACTGGCAGCTGCTGTCTTGAAAAGCTGATCGAGAGCATCGTTCCTGGGAATGAGCAGCAATACAATTGCTACGAGGAAGAATTTGTGTAGCTGAACCCAAATTGTGTTTTGCTCTTTACTGACCAGCAACGCGGAGGTGGCAAAAGCTCCAGTTACGGCAACCAGGGAAAAGACATCCCAGGAGCTCTTTCGAAAACGGGTCCAACCCAAACCAATGACCCGAATGACGATATTGGCAATGTAGATGAGTGTAAAAATCAGAAAGATGATGTCTCTCGTTGTCGTCCACCAAGTGGGCTCTGGATAGTATTCCATCATGAGCAAAATCAAGTGAAGGACAAGCACGCACGTGACAGCAGTATACCACTTTCCACGCTTCTCGATAGCGCGCTTATGGCACCACTTCTTCCACTTCTTTTCGGAATCGTCATATGAGCTCTTAGAAGGCGAAATCTGGCGCAGCAACTTGCGCAACTCGAGCCACGATCTTTGCTCTGTCGTGAGGAATGCAACACCCGTCAACTCCGTATAGTTTCGCATGAAGACGGAGATGAACAATGTCAGAACGAAGACAGTAGCAAGGATGTTGAAGACTACAAAGAAGAATCCGTTCCCGGGTGCCGCATTATCGGACGGCTGCAGGCCAATTCCTGTGATTGACTGTGCTGAGAATGACACGTCCACCCATCCTTCCTGTGAAACAATGGTGAACAGGATGAATAGAGACGATCCAAAGTCGTCGAACGAGTAGAACGGGTTTTCCGCAACACGTGGCGCAAGCATTGGCCAGTCGTCGCTGAACGGTGCGGCTTCATATTCGCCAAAACAATTGGTCAAGTTGTAGATATCGCCGTCATTGCAGGCAACCATTTTTCCATTGAACAGATTCAAAGCATATATGGCGAATGGAATCAAGAGGGACATGGAAACGAAGGCAGCCTATGAATTGGTTAGCAAAATTCGCATAGTGAGATGCTCTGTAAACTTACGCCAAGGAGCTTCCAGCCAGCGACGATGATGAGTGAATGGAACGTCTGCCGAGCACTATCACTGACGTTAAGCAGGCGTAAAGCTCTAAGAGCCTTGAATGCGCCCACGGCCCTAGACACTGCTCCATCGTTGGCCAGAAGGGTGATAACATTGATCCATAAGGTGATGAGCACCACGGCATCGATGATACCCCAAGAGCTTCTGAAATACGCGTTGGGTGTGAACCACAGACCATCAGCTATGACCTTGATGGCAGCCTCAACCGAGAAGAGAATAGCAAAGCCCATGTCGACCCAGACGAACCAATTCGTGATGTGGAAGTCGTTATTCGCGAAATATTCTTTTTGATACAGTGGCGTGGTGACACATGCAAGAACCACCATAGCCACAATAGCGGCGTAAATAAACGCCGAGAAGATGTACCAAGCTATTTTATTGGGCTCGACGCCATCAAAGCGCTCTTGGCCCCTGCCTGGTCCTACCAGCTTTTGGCACAGACGGCGGAGGGGATTTTTGGGCGTGAAAATGTAGAGCGCATTGTTGTATGTAGGGTGTCGCGTCAGGTATTCTCGTTGGGCCTTGCGTCGAGCGGCGGTAAGCGACACAGCCTGACGAGCCATGGCTCGCGGGTCAAGGTTGTCATTAGTTGTGTCGAATTTGATAGTCTCATAAAAGGGGTTGGGCTCCTTGCTTGTGAAGGTGGAGCGGACACGACTCCATATGGATGACCATGCGCCAGGGCGAACAGTCCCGTTGGCATTTCCTTGCTGAGGTGACTGAGATCCGCCAGATGATTGCTGGAGAGGGTCCATGGAATCGTCAAGGAACTCTCTGACAACCGCGTCCTTCAGCAACATTTCCATGGTGGCTGGCCCATAGTCCAGAGGATCCTTCTTCTTGCGGTTCTTGCCAAACGTGAATATGGTGGATAGGGCTAAGCTGCTAGTGTTGTTCCCCAGTTCCTTTCTCTGGAGAAAAGACTTCACCTGTTCCAAGCGTTTCTCATCTTCAGATACATCAAAATTCTCCTGAATGACAGCAATGAACATGTTGACGATAATGAAGAATGCAAGAATGAACCAGCCCATTAGGAAGACTGCGCCATACCAGGATGTATGAAGATGGGTTGTGTAGGAGGTGACATTGTACAAGATGGTAGTCCAATTCTCGCTAGAGAGGATTTGATACATGCCGAGGAATGAGTTGTAGATGTTGTAGAAGGAGATCTCGTTGAGTTCGCCGTCCTCGTACATTGGGATCTCTCCTCTGAAAAGTTGGGCAGCAAGAATGGCCATGATGAACGTGATGAGGAACACGAAGAGCAACAAGTTGGCAATACCAGCTGCGTTGCCAAGCACAAGCAGAATCAACTGCCGCGTAATGGGTACTGCCAAGACAACCCGGTAGATTCTGAGAATTTGGAATACCGTCAGCCACGGGTAGACTTGTTCTGCGTTGCGAATCGGGGGCAGCAGGATCACGGTCGTTGCAATAGCCAAGAACAAGTCGAATAAGTTGCGATAACTTCGATGAAATCCGCGCCAGTTGGCCGCTATCCGTATTATGATTTCCACGTCGAGAAGCATTGTGACAATGACATCTGTCACAAGAATCAACGTTGCCCGAGGATTTTCTGCGCTGCGGAAGCTTTGCACAAGGAGGTCAACTATGATCAATATGATCCAGAGCAAGCGCGTCTTGTCGTATATCTTTTGCAGTGCCGATACCTGGCGTCTTTGATTTTGTTCGAGCTGTACAGGAGCTGCAGGTTCCTGGGTTTCTCCAGTGAAAGCACTGCTTTTGCTTTCTTCTCGAATGACCTGAAAAGAGGACGTGATGACAGCAATAAGCAAATTGGTCATCCACAACATCATAATCATGATTCCAGCACCGAAGAACAAGGCCGCTGGAAGATAATCCGAGTTCGTGGTGTAGTACATCAAGTCCGACCAGGTGTTGGCGCTCATGATGACAAAGACAAGCTCCAGTGAGTGGGCGATATTATCGAAGTTCACTGTGTTGTTGAAAGGGCCTGTCGATTGCAGACAGAGCGACCCTTTGGGACATAGATAGCCTTTTGCCGAGGCAGTGTTGAAATGTAAGTTCTCCAGAGTACCCGTCAACGTTTCACTGTACACCCAAGGCATCTCAGCACCAGTGCTTTCATTCAAGTAACCTCCGCAGAACTGTAGGTCGTTTGTGTAGGCTGCAGTGATATTGGTCGGGTCTGTAGGATCGAGCCATACACATTGTCGGCTGAGACTCGATTTGAAGCTTTGGATACCAATGATGGCGAACAGTATCCAGAAGAACAGAATGAGGAACGATACTCGGATGAGTAAAGGGGCTGCTTTCTTCAAACTTCGTAAAATGATCTGTGAAAGAAAAGAAGAAAAAAACATGAGCTAGAGCATATTGAGATTGCGGGATTCTCACTTACCGCTGTACCGTTGGTCAAGGCTAGAAGTCTGACGATTCTCAGACAGCTCATCATCCGGAAAATAAAAACATGGTACTGCATTTCGATTCCAGTAATACTGAGTACGAAGGTGATCCAGAACGAGATCACTGCAGTGAAGTCAAGCCTGTTGAAGCCATGCCGCAGGAAAGCCCGACGAGCCAATTGCATCCTCTGTGCTTCCTCGAATGTTTCTGGTAGCCTTTGGCCATGCATGACAGTGAAGGACCGGGCGAATGTCGATGGTCCATAGTTCTCCTCTTTGGCATGTCTGACCGACTTCTGGCGTTGTGGGCCAAAGACGGCCTTGTACTGGTCCGCTACTGCAGCCCGGATGCCTTTTTTCCGATCAATAGTACTATATTCCGTCGCGTTGAGTATGAATCCCGATACAATGATGCGTATGATAAGCTCCGCCGAAAATATGCTAAATAAGATCAACATGGTCCAGTCGGTCTTGGTTCCAGCCCAGCGCTCGGGACGTTCGTTGCCTGGTTCAAAAACATTTGGAGCAGATTCCACAGCCAAAAGAATTGCTTGAAGGACAATCAGCATCAGGATGAAAGGCTCCATCCATGGATTAACCAAGAAATCGCAGAGCTTGACTCGAATCGGGTTATCGGGACCAAAGATTCCTAATGAGCGACCTTTCAAGGGATTTGCCATGGGCACACGCGGGCCCTGGAGCTCGGGGGCTTCCTGCACGAAGGTAAACCGCGAGTCGCCATTCTTCTCTGGGGGATAGACCTGGGACGGGTATGAGGTATCAAGGATGGACAAATGGCTTGGCTCACGGGGAGCACGGCTGTCGACACTCGGCGATCTGGAGCGGGCTCGCCGCTGCTGGTGTTGTTCCATCGTATCTCCTTCACCGCTGATATTGACAACACGTTGGGACATGGCTCTAACAATCGTCCCAGCTCGGTGGAGAGCGGTTCCTGGTGAGCGTGAGGCCCGGCGATCCATGGGGCTGAGGCTCTGTCCATAGCTTCGGTGTCTATCGGGTCCCAAGTCGAAACCAAGCATTTTTGTGTCGCGAGGTCTAGACTCCCGTCCGTCGTCTATATCAGAAATGGTCTGAAAACTGGTCCGCGATGGTGCTTCTGTACCGGGGGTAGCCAAGGCAGCACCTGAGATTGGCTGAGCAGCAGAGGCCAATGGAGTGTCGTCCGACGCAAAGTATTCCTGGTTCGTAGGCTCATCATAGTATGGCGAGGGTGTGTACGGATTCGAAGTCGAGGAAGATGGTCGTGATAGAGGCGGCGGAGCATGAATCTGCGGAGGAAGAGCAAATTGCAGGGCGCTGGGATCTATTGGCGAAGTCGGACTCGAAGTTGACTCGGCAATATCGCGACGATGACTTGAAAAGCCTTGCGGCTGGTCCCAGTATGTCGATAGGCCTGGCAGATTGGCAGCCGCGGACGGCGAAAGTCGCTGCGTATTGCGCGAACTTGCCGACCCGGCTGCTCCTTCCCCCTCCCCATGCCGGGACATGTTATAATCACCAGGCGGCCTTGAAAGGTCTTGAAGAGGTATCGATTGGGTTATCGGAGACGAGGGATTTTGTTGTGTGTGCGGTGGTGAGTTTGGTGGTCTGCTCATGGTGCTTGCTATGTCATCCAGATGACACGAGAGGCTTGAGAGTACCTTGAGCGCGTGTGAAGGTAGCGAATGTTATGTGCGCAAAGCGCAGGCGCATCCAATAGGAGCCTCTACAGCAACAATTTCTGCATCACAACCAGATTTATCGGTGAGGGTATTCTCGATTCAATTCCAACTTGACAGATCCTGCAGATATCGTGGTCACCGTCCCCAGGGCGCGGTCCGAAACGTTGTTGGTGTGAGACCGAGGGGTTGAGTGGCGAGCGAGGATTCACCACAGTAGGTCGCTAAATCCGAAGGGGCAAGATAGCGTAGCCCCAAGATAGAGATATAGGGGTCCCAATTGCTTCGTCAGTCGTATTAAAGCAAGCGACACGCCTAGACGTGAATTATCCGCTTCCTTTGGGAGTGATGTCAGAAGGAAAACGTTCCGGCAATCTGGTCGCCCCAACAAGCAGCAGAATAATAATTTAGTCTGCCTACCTACGACTTGCACTACGAGCGATGCCAGGTACGAACGAAACAACCAATCCGCAGAGGTAATGTATGTATGGATCCTCTTCAGCTCGGCCTGGAGGGTCTTGTCTGGATCCTGGTCTCGTTTTCGATTTGACACGAGGACACAGCTCAGACAGTGGACACTACCTGTGTGTGCCGCAGCCGATAAGAAGGCAATGTCAGCACTCAAGGCATTTCAAATGGAGCTACATGCAACGCTTTCACCCAGCTGGTGCTAGACTCTGGACCCGTGCCTTGAAGGCCTCCCGCCCACACACGTTCACAGCCTCCGCAACGCCGCCGCTTGTTGCGCAATAAGGTCCACCACGCTGCGCTGCGCGAGATCCGCGGATGCGATGTAACGCCCGTTAGTTGATTAGTTTATTAGACCCTACCTTTTCCAGCGTAGTTGTTAGTGTCTTCGTAGAAGGCCCCAGGTTTTTGTGGCCGTGCCAATTCGCATCTTGTTTTCTTTTTTTTTTCGCATTAAATAGATGTACGTATGCATGGGGCCATCGGCATTCCCTTCTCAATGACAGCCCCTAGCGTACCGTAGATAGAAACGGCCAGTTACACACATTACGAAATGAGCGACGGCTGGCATGTACCTACCGACCAAGGACGAGGCGCCAATTCTGGGCTTGATACCTTCTGAGCGGCTCAATTACCAGTTGCATAACGCAGGATGCCGACCCTGTCACCACACACACAGGGCTAAGGCTTGGCCAAGACATTAATGGAGTGAGATGCCACTCAGGTAGGGCTCATGGCAAGCATCACTCCAACCTTGGGAGCTCGTGTTTCCTGAAGGCAGTGGCATTCTCCATCACAGTAGAAGTTTGACCCTGCACAATCATCCCCGGACGACTACACAAAACGCATCTTTTGACAGCGCTACTTGAGCCTAGATAATTTATCATACTCGTTGAGAAGGTAGGCAATATGGTGTCCTCAAGGCAATCGTGAACCTGAGGTGCCGGATTTTCCCCCGCGTTACCCAAACACCTGTTGTAGGAGTCTGAAACACACGACCACAACGCGAACCCTATATCTTGTGTCCACAATTCATGCCTATCTCTCCCTTTGACCAAGATTGCTCAACATCATCCCTCTACAGTTCCATGATTGCTTGGCACAAAACTGTAATTGCTCTGCTTATCGGCAGTTATTCTATGCCGTCCGCTATGTTAAGGTCGGAACAATAGGATATTCCATTGATTAGTCCTCCTGTGTACGATGGCGAAATGCCTACTTGAAAAGCATATCCACGTCTGGCCACAAGGCGAGAGCCTGGCTACGTCCACCAATGATAATGGTCGCTTGAATGCCCATCCAAATTCGTTGTTTTGATTGTTCAGATGTGACCATTGTCGACTAGTCGCTTGAGCAGTTTTTCTTGCTCAACCATCGCCAAACATCGAGTCAAAGTCATGCGAGTGAGTGCGAAGCAATCTTTAGAGAGCTCTCGGGGGTTATGCCTGACTGCCAAATTACGTGCAAACATTGGAGATGACGAAGCTAACTATATCTTCGGGTCAATTGTAACCACCAACTTATTACATTTTGGGCACATCTTGCAGACATCAACAATGATACAAATATGGCCGTGATCTGTATTTACACAGGCAAAAGCTGCCAATTATTTTGAATGAAGAAAAATCACGTGCCGTTGAGAAAGCACATGTGTGGCTCTCATTCAGACTGATTGTTTATTGTCTGTCATATGAGCATACATGCCTACATTACTGTAGGTGGTAAATATCCAATAGGCTTTAGTGGAACTGCACGGCGGACAGGGGGGTGGGGATGGCTCAAGATATCCAGTCTAGTACGTACCTTAGCTTATGGTAGCTCACTGGCAACGCTTTACGCGACTTGAATCGCGCGCCGGCTCAGAAAATTGACCCAAACCAAACTCCCGGCGCGGCTGCTGCATCTACTATTGACCTCATTCTTGAGCTCTGCCGCGATCTGTCTTCCGGTGCAAGCAACTATCGTGAACAATAAGCATCTGCTACCTGCACATGCTTGCAAACATCCTCATGGAGCAGATCTGAATAGTAACATCTCTTCTCACCCCCCCTGTCTGCTGCCTTTTCAACGCCGCTTAGCAGCTGGCTCGTTGCAGACAAAACGCCCTTGTCGCCCAGCGCCTGTGTGTGCCTTTCTTCGACTATCGCATCTCCAGCAGCGACACAAGACGATGCCGTCCACGCGAAAGCGCACTTTGCGCGACGTCGAGTCTGACGTGGTCTCTTCCACTCCCGAGACCCCCAAAGAGCCACCCAAAGAAATTTCGCTGCTACAACGTATCAGAAATACATGGCAGTTTGCCAACCTTTTTCAATGGATCTACCTCTTTGGCAAGGTGGTCAAGATTGACGAGAGCATTGACATAGATGTACGTCGTCCACTCCCTCCCCCAAAGCCGGGCTTGCACACACATCGCTGGACAAATGCTGATATATGTTGCACCTTTAGACATTGGAAGCAGAATGCTTGAAGCATAACTCACCTGTACTCGCTGGCATCGGCCTGGCACTACTCAAATCCGTCTCGTCGCACCGAGGGCTTACCCCGGACCTCTTCGATGAATACACGCGCCGGCAATACGTTGCGAGAAGGCCCGCGCAGAATCCTTTTGGTACTGATGAAACCCCGGCTAGCTTTCACGACTTTGATGTATTCACCAAGGTAAAAAATATATTCAAAAAACATTTCTGTGGCTTGCTAGGCTGACGTTTCCACAGCTTGCAGTACTGCAACAACTGACGCAGTGGGTGATGCTGCATCCGGAACGTATCCGAGACAAAATGGACGAGCAAAAGCTTTCCGATCAGACTGATTGGAGAATTGAGCCCTATGGCTGGGATAGCGAAGACCGAGAGTATTATCTGCTAGACGACGATCGTCTATATCGGCGCACGGATGCACCTCCGCCTACTCCTGCCTGGAAACCTAAGAAGAACAGCAAGAAGGCGAAGGCTGCTGCACGAGCCGCCAAACGGCGCCGTGTCTCGAGATCTGCTGCCGCCGATGCGGAAGACATTGATGACGGACCTGCTTCTGACACGGAGGAGCCACAATCCCTTCAAGATGATGGATTCGGTGGCGCCGCGTGGGAATGCATTGCTGTTTCTCTGGATGACGTTAGAGCTTTTCTTGCCACGATACGGAAGACTCGGGATGAGAACGAAAAGATCTTGAGGGACCGGCTGGAAGAAGGTCTTGTCCCTATTCTTGAGAAACAAGAAGAATCACGCAAGAGAAAGGCATTGGCGCGAGAAAAGGAGCTGCTCAGCCTCGAGAAGATGGCACATGCGAAGAGGTCCAGTCGCCTGGCAGGCAAGGTGGAACGCCAGAAACAGGAGGAAGAGGACCGCATCGAGCAAGAAAAGCGACGCAGAGAAGAAGCAGCTGCTCGTAAAGAGGAGCAGTTGCGCCTCAAGCGAGAGAAGGAGCGAGACAACAGACTCATGTCTCGTGAGAACCGCTTGAAAGAGAGAGAGGTGCGGCGCCTCAAACACGAAGAGGAGCTTGCTCAGCTCTCCGAGGACAGCAAGAATGTCGACTCTGATAGCGGAAGACTCTCAGGCCGTCGGCTAGAAGCTGAGATTGCTAGAAACAAACGAGCTCTAGAAGAACTTGATGACGAAGAGGAGGACTGGATCTTCGACTGTGTCTGCGGTGTCTATGGGCAGGTGGACGATGGCACTCACAGTATTGCCTGTGAGAGATGCAACGTGTGGCAGCATAGCAAGTGTGCCGGAATCAGTGAAGAAGAGGCAGAACGAGAAGATTTCCACTTCATTTGCAGTGTATGCAAGCGAAAAGAGCTAAACCCACCAAAGCACACCGTCATAAAGCTCAAACTTAAGGGCCCGGGCGACGCGCCATCATCACCACCTCAGGCCACAACGGCAACCGGATCTGAACAGCAGCGTCCTGTCTCGCGCTCTGCTGTTGTGGTTGAGATACCTTCGAAATCTTTGGTGAAGCCAGATCTCTCACCAAGCTCGAGCAGTACGAAGGCATCTACGCAGGCCCTGAGGGGACCTGCTTCTCAGCACAGTTCGCCTCCAGCAGCTCCTCGGTTCACTATTCCCGTCAAGCCAACAAGTCAGACTCCCATCCTGCCACCGCCCTCGCCATTCTACAATCTTGACGGTTCCAACCCTTTCTCATCGCCTCACCCTACATTATCACCACCGCAACAGTCGCCCAATAAGTCTCGCGCATATTCGACAATTAATCCATCGTCTCCGCCTGCGGCAGCAGCAAGTTCGCCAGGAACTCATAGGATCTTACCGCCAAAAGGCATATTCCATATTTCACCCAGTGCTAATGGAGCCGCATCAAAGAAGAACACGGCAGCCGCCGGTTCCTCCCATACTAAGGTGACATTACCTACCATGCCAGCTACTTCGGCTTCACCTAAAAAGCCAACTACTCAGGATGCAAACAACAAACAGGCAGGAATGTCGCCACCTCCAAGCTCCCTGTCAAACTCGCGTCGACTATCGAGCAGCAGCGCCACACCATCACTGCTCTCGACACCTCAGCTCAAGCATAGACAACCCGAGCTGGCATCTGATATAAAGACGCCTACTCTTCCACCAACTCAGAATGGCCTATCACCCTTGAAGCGTTCACCGCCACAGGCACAACAACAACAAAGCACGGGTGGAGCTCGTTCATCACCGGCACCGCCTATCTTACCGCCTGTAGCATTATCGCCTACCCCAACCAAGCAGATCATGACTCCACCAGTAAAACCGGCTGAACCAATGCGACCCAACTCGCAGGACTCAAACGGTGCTCCTGGACGGCTGTAAGACATGAGTGCATAATTAGGCCAACGGCTGGCTGAAGTGTAACTCCTTGGGCCATGTGGCAGTCATTGTCAGCAATGACTGCTCATATTCTGCCATGAGCCTCCGTAGGGGCCGAACAGCCGACCCTCGAACCGACCCAACGGTTGGAAAGTCGGTATACCGACACGTATCGGCATCATTTTTGCTTTCAAAGCGGAGTTGAACTTTACTGAAGGATACCAAGGGGTCTACAAAGTGACCCAAACTTAATCCAACGGGGACAATTATATGAGAGATGACGTGTCCATTACGCTTCTTGGTTTAAATTTGATAGAGAGTAGAAGACAATCAGCAGCCTGTCTGCTAGGGAGAATGTTTGTCTTTGAAAAGTCTTGTACCTTGCAAGCACGGCGGTAGTCAAGAATGAGGAAAGGAGGAAATAAAGATATCGTTCCAGAATCCCCAACTTTGCATGTCTTGAGACCACACCGTGAACTATGGAATCGTCATATGCATGCGCACACCCATGAGTTGCCATCCTGGGTAGGCATAGATACATGTAGTGAACTGCCAGATGAGCAGTCACATTGCGCCCGTTACATTGTCAAAGAGGGACCCTTCAGCATTTGCAAAGATATTGTAGATTTATATAGCTATTGCCAGTCGGCGGTACACCAAATAAACAGATGCTCTTCTGGCCAGACTGAGAAGGTTGTTCTACTAGGCCGCTGTCAACGAATCATACCAAAGATATCCACGTTTGGACTGCCGTGCCGCTTCTGTTATACCCCAGTCACTTTGACCACGGCCAAGTCTGACCTGGAAAGGCAAGAGCATCTTGTTCATGAAAATAACATTTCAATGTTTGTAGCATTCGTGTATGGAGGGTAGATATAAATGCCACCAGCGATGCTGTCCCTAAAGGCCATGGATCGTGAAGAGACACGGCCGGCCGGCTGCCACGAACTGTTGGTCCATGCGCCGAGACAAGAAAAAAGAAGACGGCCCAACTTTCGATACAGAGTTGGTAGCGATGTCCCGAGAGTCAATGTAGGTACGCGGCACGAGTAAAGGAACAAATTTGCCAACAAATCTGAATCGATATGCTTTCATCTCAAGGCGTACTGTTGCTTATTTGCATTACATGCTTGATTGGGAGCGCAATTGCCGGATACCCTGGAGAGGCACCATAAGAAATCATTCGAGTCTGTTACCTAAGTTATCCCGCCTAACCTTTCCCTTGTTGCTTGTGTCTCTGTTCTCCACCGGGCCAAGAGAAAAGAGAACGAGCCTTTCAGAAATGTCCATCTGAAAAATAAATAAAGAACGTTGTTGACTTGATACTCGGCAAGTGCTCGCGATACTTCAAAGAAGGCGCGACACAGAAGAAACGGAAAGAAGAGAAAGATCTTTTGATCGAGTCTTTGAGGTATTTGGCATTATTTATCCGACTTGTTTCCTGCTGTCTTTTGGTTTTCAATCGTTCTGGGTAATATTTGCCATTCGATCACCACTGACTGGCATATGGACTTCCCCTGCACATTTCAATCCTTATGACAACCCAGTCAGGCCATGACCAAGTTGCTGGAGCTGAGCACCAAATACAAATGGGTGAAGATTATCCTCGTGCTTCGACGGTTTGTTCCTTCGCCTTTTCGCCCAACCAAGCTGCTAATTTGTGACTTTTACAGCAGATAAACAGCATCCGCCACACTGCTCGTTCGATTGTCTAGCTACCGTTAGAATGGGTATTTTCCTGCTAGATGAGACTCGCGGTTGGTTGAAAATCAAGACTTGGCGGTCTGTGCCTCAGCCGGGCCTGAGTGACGTTCAAACAGACATCTGGACAGCCCCTGGTTCCAGACTAATGCAGCCATCCGTGATTCATACCAGGTTCATCATTGCAAACATATGCAAGATTTACAACTATACTCCGACCCAAATCGCCCCCCAAGCATTCAGGTTGCTCTTTTGAGCTCCATTCTGTTGGCAGTTATTCCTGCAGCCAACGATGGGATTCTCCACTGCCGCCTTGCGAACGAGTTCTGTTCTGACGCGTCTTCTGGGCGTTTTTGAAATAATTCTGGCTGCTTCCCCACTGCATGATCCATATAGTGATGGGTGGTCTGGTGCAGTTTCTTCACGCACACACATACTCTCTCTAACTCCCTCCCTCCCTCCCTCTAGACTTGCATTTCTCTGGGACAGTCCGCCATTTCAAGCTAGAAGGATGAAAATATCATGACCAAAAAAATGGTTGGCCTTTTATCCATGGATCATATAGCTGGGTCGGACTCCCCAGGAATGCGGGAGGGGCGTGCCTAAAACAAGCCACAGGAACACACTCGCACGTTTTCAGGAACGCAGACATTCCAATCATCCAACGACTGAACGACCCAATATGAGTTGGCGCCACACCATCAGTCGTCCACCTGGAATCTGAGTCAAGGTCGCCTGGCATCTTCGAGATTTTACCCAGCAGCCAGCGCTGCACGATCTAGCCTGGCACTGTGCTCACTATTCTGCCCACCCATCATCAGCTCTGAAACATAAAATCGAACCCCGGATCTCCCTTCCAGATGAATACGGGACAGTGGGGCATTTATGCGGCTTCACCGGGTCGCTGCGCGAACCATCAGGCATGAGTACCAAACATGTCAGCTCGTTGGGTTGCTGGGTTCAACTTTTCCCATTGCTGGATCCAGGATAGCCCCATGTTCGTGACAGACATGTTTGCCAGACTCTTGAATGTCTTGCTCAGATGCTCTCGCATATCCCAGAGAAGGCTAGATTCACCATGGTTCGAAGCTTTTCCACAGTGGACGTTGGTGACAAGCAATCACAATAAACCTCGTTCACATATACCAGAAGCACGTGAGCTCGCTGAGAAGGGCTCCAGATCCATCTCCCTGCCTGCGGCTCAGCAAATACCGTACATTGAACTCCTTCCCTACCAGCAAACAGCCTACATAAGTACTCTGCGTTGCGCTCGGAATGTACCGAGATCCCCAGATCGAAATTAGAAACATGCAACTGAACACGGCCAGAAAAATGCCCGCCTGCAGAAGAGTGCTTTCGACCTATTAGCGACCAGGAACACACTGCTGGATATCTGGGTGCCCGTTCTGGGCTCACCAGATAATCTAGTGGACACTGCGTTCGCTTGAGTCAAGCCGCAAGTCACGGCCACTTTCTTTCAATCCGTCTGCCGGATCCGTCTATAGAGCCTAGCCATTCTTCATTTGCGTGTACAAAGCAAGGTGCTCCGAAAGTGGCAAGTTGGTGCTCAAATCCAACACAATGAAATACAAATAACATACCTGGCTACCAAGAGACCCAGGCGTTTTCCCTCTTGTCCTATTTGCCAACTTTGTTGTTGGGAGTTGTTGGTACAACGACGACAACCCTTTGAGGACAAAGTCGTCCAAGTGAAGTTGGCAAGGCCGATCTGAGAAAGGAAGAAAGACAGAGAGAAGAAAGAAAAGAGGCTGTACGCATGCAAGAAATAGTGCAGAAGCTCGACAAAGCAGATGTGCCGTGTAGCCAAGCTACCTACACCTATTCACTATCCTAAGCTGCCTGCACCTACCTACTGCCTATTGCTTCCTGTTGTTGTTCGGAGCAACCGCGCGTCAACGCTTTACTCAAACGCCTTTCGTATACTATTGGACTTAGCTAATGTTCCATACCCATTTCCAAAAAAGAACCATCACGTCGGATCCGACCCAGCAACCACAACTCAACACCTTACCTCGAGCTCTTTCTTGATCAAACGACCCCAGATTTTGACTTGATCTGTTTACACAACTCAACAGCTCTCTCTCACTCTCTCTCGCCTGTATCTTGCATGTCATCATCATCATCAACAACAACGCTGATTAAACATCACGAAGCGGGAACTTCCTCCTTTGAAGAAGGATAATCGGTTTATCAAGAAACCAAAGGAAAACAAAGAAGACATTGGGAAAAGCCGGTGCAGCACTTGGCGGCAGAGCAGGCTGCATCTCATTCAAGCGGTGTCAGCCAGCAGCGCTGGTATTGAGGCGCGTGCTTTCTGCAACGGCAGCAACTCGTTGTCCAACCATTGAAGCACACCTAGTTTCTGCTGCAGAAGCTGTTCCCGCCTGCTGCAGAACGAACTTGTGCATAGCACACAAAGTTGTGGTTGATGCCAAGGAGACCAGTGACTTCTCAGTAGCATCGCCAGGAGCAAGGAAGATCGATCAACTCTTCAACCAAAAGAAAAAGGTTCGCTCAAAAAATGTTTCCTTATGTCTGTCTCTATTCCCCATTGATGTCTTGCCGCGCGAACCAATTCATCATCTCGTATCCTGGTCCCTGTACGTGGTCATCGCGGAGTGGAAGATCCCCAGACAAGACACCAATTCACTCCTGTATGTTTCTGACCTGTCTATTCCACCACCCACCGCCTCGCTCTGTATCCTGTGTCTGCTATTTGGTATTATTGGAACGCCATCTAGGTCGCAACAGCTAGGTCCAGTCGGAGGGGTGCCTCAACTCTCCAGGCACTTTTTCCTGCACATGCACCGTCACAAAAGTACGGCCAGCTAACTCTCTGTAGTCGCCCAGTTGCGCATCACGCCCGTATCCTTACCCCGGCGACTGTACTTTGGGCCGTAATTTCTGTCAGATAATCGATTCGTTCTGACGGTACAGGCTGTCACAGTCACCAGGATACGTTGCTGTTCCAGTGTCTGGTCCGATCCATCGCTAACCTGACATCGGCTACTCCAGTTCTCCTCGCTGGTGTTACCGACAACCATCAGTGCCGATTGATTGACCGACACCGGTATCAGGTAGACACAGAAGTCTTGCCAACTGACCGCTGAAGACGTGGTATGATCGTGTACTTCTCACGCCAACATCGCCTATAACGTCTGGATTGTGCCTCTCCTCACCTATTCTTGCCCTTTAAATTCTTGGATCAGTGACAAAAGGCCGGCGTGACCTTCTGAGAATTGCTCTGTTCATGGCTTGATGTCCATTGTTGTCTTTGTCGAGGATCGCATTCTCTTTCAGCCAGGCAATCATTGTTCGAGAACATCGTCTTGTTCCTCGTTGCTTTGCACTGACAGATAAAACACCCTGAATAGTTCTGTTGTCGGCGGATTGTCTCATTCTGGCTCGTCAAGCATCCATCTCAGTCGACAGTAGCTCGACATCGCCGAAAGACGAGAATCATAGAGCTGGCATAGACTCTGTGATTTCTATACACAAGAAGATGGCCGATCAAGACCCGGAATCTCTCGCAATGGACTTGCACGAGCTTGATAAGCTCGCCGAGTTCAACGCGCAGGACTCTTACCAGCAATACAACTCTCCACAATATGGCAGCCCGGCGCCAGCCATGTCTCCTTATTCCTATCCGGATCCCGCACAGATGGTGAGTACATATGGCTTTCTTCCCGTCCACTCCTGGTACCCCGAGTTTTGGGGAACTCATACCCAGTTCTCTCCTTTTGATTACCAGATCTCGGCGATCAGCAATTATTCGAAACCGTCTAACAACATTGTGAACCAGCACAACGTCTATACAAGCACACCAAACACAACCCCATCCAGCCCGCATCCTTCTTTGGGATCCAGAACGACGCGCTCAGGACGCCGCATCGACTCGGATCCCCTTGGACCGCATCCAGCAGGCGTTCAGAAGACCTCGGCTCCTAAGACCAAGCCGAGGCCGAGGCCTAAGCCCAAGAAGAAGAAGAAGAGGGATGAGAGGACAGCACCACCTACAGTCCTTGAGCCGCTGACTGTGTTACTCGCCCATTTGGACCCCAACAAGGATGCCGACATTGAGGCCTACGTCAATCGATCCGTAGAGCAACGACTTAGTGAGGTCGGCGATGCCAGAGGCGGCAAGGGCAACAAGATCAAGCGACCAATGAATGCATTCATGCTGTACCGCAAGGGATGGCAGAACCGTATCAAGGAGATGCAGTCCAATGAGAACCACCAGGGCGTATCCAAGGTCGCCGGCGACGGCTGGGCCTTGGAACCCGATGAGGTGCGCAATCAATATAATACCTGGTCTGAGATCGAGCGCGACATGCACGCACAGGCTTTCCCAGACTACAAGTTCCAGCCCAAGAAAACGGACAAGCCCGAGACGAAGCCGGATGTTGGCAGTGATGGAGAAGAGACTGACCTCGAGGACAACTGGTCAGGAATTCCGACGCCAGGAAAACGCGGCGTCTACCTCAACAGCGAGGATCCAGACGCCGAGTATCTGCCCCCAGGCCGTGTCTCGAGCCGCACATATGGCTATCAACAACAAATGCCACCCTCACGCGCCATGTCTCAATCTCCTTACCAGCAGTCACCCTATCAGCAGCACCATAGCCCACCACCAGGTGTGCTCAACCAGTCGCATTTCCTATATCATAACCCCAACAAGCCACTACCGAACGCCTATCCATCGGCAGGAAATGGACACTACCATGCTCAGCGCATAGAGATTCAGCAACACAAGCCATCCCATGTCCATCCAGGTTACACGATTCCGCCTCAGCCCTATCAGACGGAGAATGTCTACTACCACCGGACCGAGGCACCCTCGCATCACCACATGACACACTCACCGCAGCAGTACCAACAAATGAGCCCGCCAGGACCTCCGTACCAGCATAGGACCACATTCTCCAACCCCACTGATCTGTACGAGTTTCAGGCGCAGGCGCAGGCCCAAGCGCAGATGTCGCGCTCACGACATCAAACTCCAGCATCAGGCTATCACCAACCTACGTACGCATTGCCCTTTGAGGACGTCACCAATCATGGACTGCCACTTCCGTCAGTAACGCCTCCAGTCATGACTGGCAATGACGGACCGAACAACTTCAACACAGCTTTGGGAGAAATGGGCGAGATTGGTGAGCTGGGTGACTTTGGCGACCATTTCCAGATTGCGCCAGGTGAGGACCCAGCGTATGAGCTGAATTTCCCAACCATTGGCGACGGCCTCGATGTGCTTGATCCGCAGCTGCTCAACCACGGCGCATGGACGGCTGAATCTCTGCCGATCGGCGCGCTGGATAGACCTGATGACTTCCTAGACCCCGAGCCAGAGAAGAAGGAGACCGTGGCAACTGGGGAAGAGGCACCACCAGTAGCCACACCCCTTACACCGATTCATGACGCTGCACCGTCTTCTACACCAGTGAGCCTCACGACAACCCAAGAAACCCCTGTGCAGCCACAAACACCAGATCAGCATACCCCCAGTGCCTAGTGAGTGCGGGTTGCGCCAGGTCCAGTGTGGACGGCATTTGAGGAGTGAAGAAGATAGTGCATGCTTGTTGCTATCACCGGCATTCATGGGTTTTCTTTGTACGGTTGCACACGATTAGTGCTCACTGGGGGGTGCTGGGCGTTTCACCACGTCGTTGTATGTGGGAACAAAAAGCCTTCAAAACTGCTTCATTCTCGTGTTCAAAGGCGCGAGAAGGGGAGACGAAAATTATTCGCTATGGAGTAGGAAACAAAGCATGTCTCCTTCCCAACGCTATAGGACCAATGATGAATTGGAACCACACATAAAGAAAAATATGAATTAACGGCAATGGATTGTTTTTGGGAAGAGATGGACCCTTTGAATCAATGGGCTTCCTCAGCACAACACAGCTGGGGCTTTTTGTTTTTTTCCCCCTCCGCACAACGGAGGTCTTCATTGTCCATATTGAATGGGGCTGAATCCAAATTCCCATGTAATCGCCCTACAAGACGAAAGAATATGAGAAAAGGGTTGGAAGAGGTCATCGGGGAGAGAAAAAAGCCATGTGTCTGTCCAGGATAGACGACGATAGAGCAGAGGACCAAACGATACCCCGGCAGTCGCTGCACTGCTATAATCCATGTCCTCGCCCGTACATTTTTCTTTGCCTGTAGCATACTCGGCCGCGTCGGTAGACATTACCGCACGGCAGTTCCGATGCCGAGTTGATAGCATTATGCAATGCATGCCCAGCTCTTTGTACTTGATGACTTGAAATATGAAGACATGACTCGTTGATCTATCGTATGCTGTGAATGCGTATCTGACAAAGTCAGCTCAAGAGACTTGGCATGTTGGTGTGTGATCTTATCCCATTATTCAGTACAATACGCTTGGTCCTAAAGATTCATTGACATTACAGTTCTACTCTGACCCTCTCGGCCTCTTGTTGGACTGGCTCTGCTTCTTGGGCAAATTCTTGAGCGTCGACAGCTTCATGTACAAGTTCTTCATCCATGACGACTCCTGCTTTTCCTTCTCTTGCTTCATCAATCATGCGTCCAATCTCGTCGACCATGGACTCATCGTTGCCCGGGTCTGTAACCATTTCCACTTCGGGCGCCGCAGCCTGCGGTTGTCCCACTTGCACTGTGTGAATGCCCTCGTTATTCATGGACGCCTCGACGGGTTTCCCTTCCAAGGGCACGGCAGCGATAATGTCTTCCTGGCCACCGCCCCGGCCGGCAAGACTGGTCACGGCCACGGTGCCGCGGAACAGCAGCCGGAGCGGGAGCCAGACGAGCCACCACAGGGGACCGTACAGGAGGCGGCGAAAGACGAGCCAGCAATTGGTCGCGGCCAGCATGTAAAACGACGTCTGCAGGTACCACGTGTCGCTCTTTTGCGACGTGAGCAGCGTGCCCAGCAGGTCGCGGCTGCTGGCCAGCATGACGTCGAGCGACGAGTACGACTCGCCCAGCTGCGCGAGCGCCGCCGTGCTCTCCTGCAGGGTGCGCCGGGCAAAGTCGCTGCGCGCCAGCTCGCCGGCCATCATGTCGTGGGTCCGCCGCAGCGCCGCTGTCACGTCGCTGCTCGAGGCCACTGTCTGGTCGTCCTTGCTCATTTCCGACCGCGCCGTCTTGGCTCGTGCTCGTGGTCGGTGGTGGTGGTGGTGGTTACTAGTTGCTGCCGCCGCAAGGCCGTCAGCTGGCGATGACCTTCCCGATGTCTTGGACGACCGCGGTTGTGAGAATGAGGCCCAGAGCAGTTCCCTCTCGCGCTTCTGCGCCTGCTTTAGATTGTCTTGTGCTTGTAGTTGTGCTTTTCGGAGGAGAGGCCGACAGCTGTTTATCAAATGTGCCTTTGTTAGCAAGTGATGAACCCAGAAAGAAACGCAAAAGCCGTATTCGTTGGGCCGTACCTCTTCAGTTCCTCCCCGAGGCGCTCGGCAGCATCCTCGAGCCGTTCCTTGTCATGCTTGAGCGCCTTGAGGGGGCGCAGGCCCAGTATCTCTTCCTGCAGCAGACCGAGGTCGTCCTCTTGCTCCTGAATCAACTGAATGATCTCGGTGCTCAGCTCATTGGTCGCCGTGTCGTCCAGGTCGCCCGACTGCAAGTAGTCGAACTCGGCCAGCCGGGTGATGTGCTGCTTCAGTTGCCCCACGGCTTCTTGGAGTGTGGCGAGTTTGGCCTGCAGTTCGGCGAGTCGCTCGACGGCGCGCTCCATTGTGATACCAAGCTGCTGAAACTGGAATGTGGTGGCCAAATATTTGAGCTGTCCGTCTTGTTGGACTTTGTCAAGGAGTCCGGCTCGCAAGTCCAAGGGTTTCCCAAGCTTGGCTCTTCGTTTTGCTGGTAGACCAGATCCGGATATTCAGCTGTACTCAGCTGAAACCGTGAATCGCCTATCTCACGTGTAGTAGTTTCACAAGCAAAAATGGCCTGTGAAGCCAGGTTACTGCCCTTTCATCAAACAGAGCAGTGGTTAATTGCCAGAGTATACCTAGATCTCATTGGCGCATTGCTGGTGACGTTGGATGCCAATTCGTGTACGTACCTGGACCTACCCGACTAGGATGGCGTGGCATTAGTTCCGTTCTGGTGGGGACCCTTGATTTTCTGCACCGCCACAGAGATCCTATGCGCCACAGCACCCTCGGACCGGGATGCCAGAGAAATCGCAAGCTTCCGATCCAAGCGACAATCGCGAAATGTCGTGGAATAGGTGATTGACGGGTCCTATTTTGTGGTACATAACAGCCAAGGTAAGCATTCAATTCACCCCATTGATTGCTCGTATTCAATATAGAGCGCTTCTGACATACTACTCGTGTGTAGAAAATACCTGCCCAAGATGATTACCAGGTTCATCACCGAGGTGAACACAAAGTTCAACCCGTTCTCGGCAGCCTCGAGGTCGACCCGGCTGTTCCTGGCCAACCTGCCCCCAAACTGCCGTGCCAATGGTGGTATGAAGTTGACGACGAGCCTCCTGCCTCGTGCATCGACCGAGTCGCCACTCCTGCATATCAAGTTTAGTACGTTTGCGCCCCATTGAAATTCGACTGCTTTTCCCTTTGAGCTAGGAACACAGGAAACAAAAAGGCTGACATGTCACACTGCAGAGGATGGCAAGGAGATGAAGCTGGACGGCGAGAAGCTGGGCATCAAGGGGATTGTTGAGGAGGTCGACCGACACTCGAGAATGCTCCAGAAGCAGGCAGATCTGACTGAGGGTTAAGAAAAGACCGTGTACCAGAGCGGCGTGTATATTTCGGAACTACTACGAACAAGAAGCAAAGTATTTGGCAAGGCGTTTAGGAAACTCTCGGGCCAAGGAACATTTCGCGGAGATCATGTCAGCTGTTACATATCCAAACGACCAAAAGAAATTGTATGATATGGGAAGCGTCAACGAATGGCGAACGAAGAAAAGATGTATAAGCTGCGCAAAAGGCAAAGAATACACGATACCCCCAAATATACCAAGGTGTCTCCATTCCAGATATTGGAAGTATTCCTCAAAAGCCAGCGCTGCCAAGGCATAGTATGATTACCACAAGATGACATTATTTACATCTTTATTACTCCATTTCTTTCATACATCGACCATGCACAGAAGTACCCAGACTACCAAGTCTTGCATTAGAGTGATTGAATGTGGTATTTTTATTTCTTTCATATTTGAGCTTTTATGTCAAGTTCTCTACAGCAACTAGTACGTAGTCAATGTACGTGAATTGTGTCCATCAGATAAGACCCTTGAGCCGGCATCACGGTCGGGCAATCATATCTGCTGCAAGTCCTCGAATAGCCTCTTTATGCGGCAGCACCGCTGATGAAGAACCACTTGTCTATCGAGCTGTCGATCTTGGCAGGGGCGAGCTCCTCGTTGGCGGGGATAGGAGGCAGCTGGCTGGCATCAACGCGGCTGGGGGAGCTGCCGACGGTGACGTTGGAGGTGGAAACACCGCCGGGCTGGGTCTTGCCGGTGATGAGTCTGTCCCAGGCCTCAGCGCACTCGCGGATAACATCCATGGCGTAGCTATTGGTTTGTTAGCGAATTGTGCTCATTTGTCATGGCATCAAATGGGACTTACGCCTTGTTCTTGCACTCGCCGGTGAAGGCGAACTGGTTCTCGGGCTTTCCGTCAGGGATTTTGTAGATACGGAACCACTCGTTGGTGGCACGGAGAAGGCCAGGCAGGTGGCGCTCGACGTCCTCAACGTCGTGGAGCTTGTTGGCAAGGGGGTCGTTCACGTCAACGACAATGACCTTCCAGTCGGTCTCACCCTCGTCGAGCAGAGCCATAACACCAAGAACCTTGACCTGCTTGATCTGACCGGTGTAGCCAACGAGCTCACCAATCTCGCAAACGTCGAGAGGGTCATTGTCACCCTTGGCCTTGGTCTCAGGGTGGGTGGCGTTGGGGTCCTCCCAGGTCTACAAGGCAATGTGAGATTCTTGTGCTGTATAGTAGGGGGGCGAACAGAGTGTCAATGCGGTCTTACCTGGGGGAAGGCACCGTAGTTCCAGATGTATCCCTTGTGGGGGAAGCAGTTGCGGACGAATCGAAGCTTGCCCTTCTTGATATCCTGCTTGATGGGGTTCAGGAGCTCCTCCTTGGAGATCTGTGAATGACAAAATGTCAGCCTTTGGCTCGAATTGAGCAGTGTGAGATTGCACCATGGGGGGGCACAAAGATGGCGTAATGGGGTGCAGTGACGAAATACTAACCTCGAGCTTGGCGTTGCTCCAGCGGGGAATCTCAACAACCATGTTGAGGATGCCCTTCTCCTGGTCGGCGTACAGAGGGACATCGTGGAAGGCGGAGACGGGGACGCCGTCCTTCTCAATGTAGACACGGTGCTCCAAAGTGTTGGGAGCACCAACCTTGCGGACCGAGTACTCGGAGGCCATTGTGGACGGAGAGTCTTGGGTCTGGTGAATTGAACGGGAAGCAGAGCTCGAGAGATGTCGAGCTATTTGTGCAGATCGCTGGGACGCAATTTTGTCCGAGGATGAACTACGACTTAATAGTAGGGAAGAAGAAGAAGAAGAGGAAGAAAGCGGTCGCGAATTGTTGTGACGAAATTTGGATGGAGGGGCGGCGGCATCAGGAGGAGGGGGAGGGGTTCGGGCTGCTTCTAGTGGCAGACCCTGTCCCTGGGGCGCCGCCTGAACAGGAGAGTGGTGCCAGTTCTGGTGAGCAGACAGCGACTGAGACTGTGACTGAGAAAGAGCGTGCTGGGCCCGCCTCCACTGGGCGTGCTGCCCATTGCCTGATCGGTCCGCCAGCTTGGACGAGCGGAGGGTGTGATTGGCCCGAGATGGGCAATTTGTTAGCAGTAGTGTTTGAGGTGGATGAGTGAATAATATGCGGCTTGGGCCTTGTTTAGCTGCGAGAGGCAGGAGAGGTACATGTGGCGGAGTTTGCGATAGCGGCAATCTCTGCAAGCGGAAGGCTCTCTGCAGACTCTGCCTCGCTGCTTGCTGGGACAACATGAAGACAAGAAATCAAATGTCACGAAAGACAAGGGGGAAGGGGAGACTAAATGATTCGCACTCCAGATATAATCGTACACGCCGCGGCTGCAAACTCCGAATCGGGATAGCGAGCGAACGATGGAACCGTTACAAGGCGATAGACAGATTATTCGGTTACTTTTTGTTTTTAACCAAGGTTAAAGAGGTGATCGGACCTGTCAAAAATGGTACAGCGAAACCGCTGGCTTTCTTCAACAACGCTCGAATCGGCTGGTGGGTGGGCCTAATACACACAACATAGTGCTGGGCTGTCCCTATCTGTACTGTATCGCAGTGCTGGCACATGCATTAATCACTGGTGTGGCGCAAACTTCATCACCAGCCACACTTTTTTCATACAGTCTGCTTGCCTTCTTCGCATTGGTTATAGATCTGATTGATAAGATAATCCCTTCAACCCCAAAGGGGAAAAAAAAAAAGTGACTCAAATGCTGGCGAGTGGCGGAACCCACCGGGCGGAGCTTCCTGAGGGTAAAGGCTTACAAACATCAAGGGACGCCATCTCTGACTCCTGCACTCTCGTTTAGTTCAACGCCTCTTCCAGGTCATGTCCATTCTCAACCGACTGGTTAGAAGCGCCATGACGACCGAACTCAAGAAGGTTCCGATTCCCCGTCGCGGTGTCGACTACAGGGGCAAAATCGTGCTTGCGCCCATGGTGCGCTCGGGAGAGCTACCCTCTCGTCTCCTTGCGCTACACTATGGCGCAGACTTGGTATGGGGTATGTACAAGGTCGCACTCTTCCAGGAAGATTCTGCGCAGCTGCTAATATTGTTCCGCAGGCCCCGAAACGGTGGACAAGGCCATGATCGGCACCACGCGCAAAGTGCACCAAGAAACAAATACCATCATGTGGACTCGCAAGCCGTCGCAAGGCGCCAAACAGCCTCGAGAAGACCTCAAGGACAACATCATATATCAGGTGCATCCGGAAAAGGAAGGACGAAACCTGATTTTCCAAATGGGCACTGCCAACCCCGAACTCGCCGTCGAGGCAGCAAGAATGGTTGCGGCAGATGTTGCGGGTATCGATGTGAATGCAGGATGCCCAAAGCCATTTAGTGTACATTGTGGTATGGGAGCTGCGCTGCTCAAGACGCCTGATTTGTTGTGCTCCATTCTCGAAGCTTTGGTAAAGAACATTGCTTCCGAGTACGAAATCGGCATCAGCGTCAAGATCAGAATACTCGAAACTCCGGCTGAAACAGAAGCGCTTGTTCGAAGGCTGGTGGATACCGGTATCACCGGTCTGACGGTTCATTGTCGTACGACTCCTATGCGTCCCCGAGAAGCCGCCATCCGGGAACAGCTACGAATGGTTGCTGATATCTGCCATGAGGCTGGTGTTGCTTGCGTCATGAACGGAGATGTCGAATCTCGTGATCATGGTCTGAAATTAATGGAAGAGTACGGAACTGACGGTGCCATGATTGCGACCTGTGCGGAAAAGAACTCGAGTTGTTTCCGAAGCGGCGCAGATGGCGGCCCAGCTCCATGGAAGGAAGTCGTCGAACATTATGTCCGATACTGCATGGAAGTTCAGAACAAGTTTGGCAACACCAAATATTTGCTTTGCCAGATTATCCCTGGAAAGCAGCGAGAGTACAAAATGATTAGCGCCTGCAAGAGCTACACCAAAGTCTGCGAGATGCTCGGCTTTGAGAATCTTGTGGACCTGGCACGGGACGTTGACGAGAGGCTCGGCATTGATCCGGCAGGCGGCCCAAAGAACAAGTCGCAAGCACAAAAGCAGACAAATAAGAGCGCCATGGCTGCTGGAGGTCAAAAGGCCGATTTCAGGCCCAACGCCAAGAAGCCCCTGTCGGAACGAGGCGTGACGGCACAACAAACCGAGACAAATCCGGCGCCGGCGGTCCAATTGGCAGAGGGAGTGGCGATGCCAGCATGATACGACGATGAGCATTTTGCATTAGATGGCGAGGGAACACAAGCATTTGAAGGCGTTGAGGCAAAACAGGCATACCCACTGCGAAGCAAATGGCAAAATAATGATTATATTTGCCATGCGTTGACACATTCAAATAGACGCACATGAATATTCGGATAATTAAGCAAAGATGATTGCTCAATAGCACAAGTTTTCAACAATCAACATGCCTGCAATTGATGACAACAGGAAACGCCTACTCATGGTGGTATTTTCAGACAAGCAATGACACGGTCTGGAGTGTGAGCAAAGCAAATAGATCCTCCATTACCAGCTATAAGTATTTCTTTCAATCAAGATCAATAGTCGGAATCAATATGCCTCCTAACAAACGCTACCCCCTATTTCTCTGTTTCTCCATAATAAGTGTATTTATGCCAGTTGCATATGATACCCTGAAAAGTGTGATGATGATTATATTCTAGGGGTATGAAATTATAGCATTGGCTAAGTTTGGCGCTGCAGTAGCAATGATTGGTTATTTATCTGGTCAAAGAAAGAACAATTCCGGAGGAAAAATAAGATGTACTTTTTGGTTCCATTCAATGTATTTAGGAAGTATGAATAGCCAAGACATCTCTTGGTGGGATGATGTCAACCCCACCAAAATGGCCCCGGTACCCAAGGGAATCCATACGAGCGCCCCATTGTTGAGTCCGTACAATGAACGTCGATAGAATGGGATTTCCAAACCAGACTTGGACGATAGACTGGAAGCATCCCGTTTGAAATGCTCATTTAGTGGATTCGTCTTTCATGTCATGTTTTTATAGTCTTTGAGGAGTTTTGGTAAGTACGGTGGAGCTACTGTACCTTGATATCTGCAACACGACTGACAACATAACCCTGCAGCCGTTCCATCTACTACATTAAGGGTACATACATACATACTACAATACCCTCACTCCTCAACATCTGCGGCAAGCGACTTGTAGCAGCAGCAGCACCTACGGGGATGATTGCGAGCCAAATTTCTTGACTCTCCAACATACAGACATTCACAATGAGTGACCTCCAGAAGGCCCTGGGCAAGTCGAGGCTAAGCGCAGGCGTGAGCCCCGACGCCTTTGATGAGCGCGAGGAGCAGGATAGCTACATTGGGGACCTGCCCGAGATGCCCATCGAGGACGACTCTTCGTCGGCATCCTCAGCTTCCTCGACGGGCACCATTATACCGTCGCCGAGCCGCAATCTTTTTGCTCGACCTGAAGGGTAAGGAGAGAAAAAGAACAAAACACACATTTACTCTCTATCTTTCCCCCCTCATTCTTCCATATCAAAAAAAAGCATTTTCGCTAATCAGGCAAGACAATCAGAGTGCCGAGGGGACGCACATTAGCCCAGATACCATGGACCACATACTTTGAGAGGGAATTATTTCTTAAGCCATCCGACGCAGATGCCTCGTCTTCCAGCCCGACGATTCACGCTTATTTGACCTCACCCGTCGGCAAGGGACCGCTGTTCGTCATGCACCACGGCGCCGGCTCGTCGGGGCTATCTTTTGCCGTCATAAGCTCCGAAATCCGGAAGCGGTTGCCCGCCGCCGGGGTACTGTCGCACGATGCCCGCGGCCACGGCCAGACGGTGGTGCCCCCGGCCGCCGCTGCTGACGAGCTCGACCTGAGTCTCACCACCTTGTCCAATGACCTCTTGGCCGTCATCCTCGAGACCAAGGCTGCCATGCACTGGCAGGAGCTCCCGCCCATGATTCTGGTCGGGCATTCTCTCGGCGGCGCCGTGGTGACAGAATTGGCCAAATCAGGGGCCTTGGGCAATTCTCTACTTGGCTATGCCGTACTCGATGTAGTGGAAGGCTCTGCCATTGACGCATTGCAGAGCATGCAGACCTACTTGTCTACACGACCCACCGGTTTTGCGACTGTCGAGGCAGGAATCGAATGGCATATCAGATCGAGGACGGTGCGGAACGCCATATCAGCCCGCACAAGTGTACCGGCGCTTTTGAGCCACTCTGAAAAGGAGGGCGATCCCAGACCTTGGAAATGGAGAACAGATCTGGCAAAAACACAACCATTCTGGGAAAACTGGTTCGTGGGTTTGAGTAAGAAGTTCCTTAGCGCCAGAGGTGGAAAGCTGCTGCTTCTGGCCGGAACAGATAGGTTAGATACGGAATTGACCATTGGCCAAATGCAAGGTAAGCCCAGCGTTCACTCTCGCGGGTTTGCCATCATCGCTAATATAGTGCAGGAAAATACAACCTCCAGGTGTTTCCAGAAGCCGGCCACTTTATTCATGAAGATCTTCCTGAGAAGACAGCAATATCTCTGGTAGATTTCCATAAACGGAATGACAGAAGCGCCCTGGTTCTACCTCCCAAGGTGTCTGATCTCCTTAAACAGGGCAAGAGAGTATAGACTATAGATCCGGCCATCTACACATGAAAAGAGATATGCTTATTGATAGCGGGGGAAAATCTTATTGTCCGATCAACCCAGTCCTCGACCTTCCCGTGGAGATTGTGAATATCGAATCGGCCAATTTAGCCACTCAAGGAACTGACACGAAAGTGTTGATTCTCTCGGTATGATGCTTCCTCGCTACTGATATTTAGCATGGTCGCTTGGCTGCTGTCAAAATCGTACAACTTACAACGTGCCTCCCATGATGGAACTGACATCGCTTTCAAAGACTTGGCGCCTTCAAGGACGGTATATGGTAGATATGCTTGCCTCGAAGCCGCCCAATCAGACGGAATACTCTGTTGGGAATATTTGAGACTTCCCAACTCCAATGTTCTCCCGTCGTGGGCCAAAAGTATGATATTTTTAGAAATTTCTCCCAAACTTTGGTCATACTAGTTCGGCTTTGGCTTCGTCCACCAACGGCTTTGCATCCGACCATCGCAGGATCATGATGTCTCCCGCCTTGCCGTCCATCCTGCCGTCGGCATCGGTGCCCCTTCCCTCAACGATGGCGTCGCGGAGGAGGCGCAAGAAGACGGCGCCCTCGAGGTCAGGGGCATCAATCATGGTGATGTTGCCGCTCGTGTCGTTTAGATTCTGTAGATTGGGCGGGAAACTGCCGAGGAAACTGGACAGGTAGTGATTGTGCAGCAGGGCCTGGTGGCGGGTAGCGTAGGCGAGCTCGGTGGGCGAGAGGCGGGCGCGCAGGGACGCCGACGACAGGTAGTGCAGCGGGTGGCGGTCAATCTTTGCGACGCGGGCGCGCAAATACGAGCGCACGAGGAACTTGAACCGCTCCAGCTCCGTCTGGAGCACAATGAGGGCAAAGTTGGTCTTGGGGTCCATGTCGCCCGTCATTTCTTCGATGCGCTCGATTTGCGACTTGATGCGCTCGTTGACGCGCTCAAAGAGGCCATCGGTCGGCCAACTAGAGTAGAGGGAAAAGAGATGTTGTTTAGCTCACAAAACATTATACCCAAAAACAAGAAAAACCGGTCGAGGTTAAAGAGTGAAGAAATGGATTTCGGGGGCAAAAGCCCGTACCTGAGTAACTCTGGGGCTGATCTTTCGGCCACCCAGGCGCGCGTTAACATTTGGAGATCGCGCGTCTCGTCGGGAATGGCATTTTCGGTCGGGTCGACTTCGCGCAAGATGTCGTCGATATCCATGGCTTGTTTTTTTTTTATGAGAATCAATTACAGATATATATATGTGCGTACCGAGATTGAGAATTGCGCAATCGGACCGCGTCGGCAATCGACTACGTGGGAGGTAGTATAAAAACACTTTCAAGGCACGTTAAAATGGTAATTGAAATCGAGAGTCGCGTTCCAAGGACGCTGATGGGGATTCGTTCACACAAAGTTCAGAATAGCGGGGGAGGGGCATTTGGGCAATCGAATGCGGGGCGGCGGAGCGGAATTGATAGCGCGGCTTCGACCCGCTGTAGTATAGAGACAATGGCACTGGATAGATAGGTCAGTAATTATCCATGTCTATATTTATTGTAAATCATCTATCTTTATATCAAGTACGAACATCATGTTATGAGAGAAGCCTCATGATTATACCCTCTTTTGTTATTTTTTGTCTGAAATTAAAAATGAATAAAATTGTTTATTGAAAACATGGATAATCGGTCGAGTATAAAAACATTCTGCATAATGGATACAAGTCATGAGGACACGATGGACATGTTGCTTATTCTCTAGCCATAATCATAATCGCATATACGTAAATACGACTCACATTCCGCGACCCTGAATGTGCTGTCTTGTGAATAACATTACTCACACTCAGTTGTGAATATTGTCCAGCGTGCCAACATCACGGTTCCTTTGCGCTAATAGAGCAGCTCCTCGGCAAAGCTCCCCCGCAGGGTACAGGGGGTTGGGAAAGCTCGAGTACTTCGAGGAGGACCCCGAGACATGGTAATGATCCTTCGTTCAATAGCTATATATGAGCGTGTCGGCTGATCACCATGTCTTGACTGGACATCATCCACTTGCGTCATTGGTGTAGCCTTGCAATACTTTCCTGGTCGGTGTATTGTAGACTACGCGTGCGATACTATATATATTAGCTAGTTGGATTGGTCGTCCTACCTCGCAGCACCAAGATTATTCAGAAATCTTCCTCCATCATCAAGATAAAATCATGGGTCTCGAAGACGATGGGAGCAGCGTCGAGGACGCGCCGAGCTACGGGCAATACCAGCTGCAAATCTATGCGCAGGGCATCTTTGGCGGCGTCAAGCCAGCTATTACGACAGACCCCAACAAGCTGCGGGAGCAGGCCCAAAAGGCCATGTCGCCCGAGGCCTTCAACTACATTGCCGGCGGCGCAGGCGAGGGTGCAACTGTCGACGCCAATCGCCTCGCCTTTCGCCAGTGGAAGATTGTCCCGCGTATGCTGCGGCCAACGGTGCCGCGGGATTTAAAGGTTGAGCTGTTTGGGCGGACTTACCGTGAGATGTTCCCTGTGCCTGCTTACTGTTCTCAAACCATAAATGTCTTTTTTGAAGCAGGAAAGCTGACGGCTAGAGGTAGAAACGCCCATCCTTCAAGCCCCCGTGGGCGTCCAGTCCGTTTACCACGCGGACCGGGAGATTGGCACGGCGTCAGCATGCGCCGAGCTAGGTGTGCCATATATCATGTCAACGGCATTATCTTCGACGATCCAGGAAGTGGCCTCGGCGCTTGGGGGAGGGCCAGGCTTTGACGGTGGCCCACCGCCCTGGTTCCAGCTGTACTGGCCAGTCGACGATGAGATTACAGGTTCCATTCTGCAGACGGCACAGGCGGCCGGCTTCGAAGTCCTCGTCGTCACCCTCGACACGGCAACCATGTCGTGGCGACCCGCGGATCTCGACCGCACATTTCTTCCCTTCATCGAAGGCATCGGAAACGCCGTTGGGTTTGCGGACCCCGTCTTTCGGCGCAAGTTCGCCGAACAACAGGCCGCGGAAAACGAAAATGACGGTACCACCGCAACGCCCGAGGACAACGTCGCCGAAGCGTCGAGGTACTGGATTCGCGAAGCCTTTTCAGGAGACAGTCATCCGTGGCGCGACCTGGCATTGCTACGTCGGCACTGGGGAAACAAGCCAATTGTGCTCAAGGGCATCCAAGATCCGCGCGACGCCGTGCTGGCGCTGCAGGCGGGCATGGACGGCATCGTAGTCAGTAACCACGGCGGGCGACAGTGCGATGGAGCTGCGGCATCGCTCGACATGTTGCCTGAAATCGTCGACGCCGTTGGTGACCGGATGACGGTGCTCTTTGACTCGGGGATACGAACAGGGGCTGATGTCTTCAAAGCCCTGAGCTTGGGCGCCAAGGCCGTGTTGTTTGGCAGGCCAGTCATGTATGGTCTGGGTCTTGGCGGCAAGGACGGGGCGAGACACGTCTTGGCCTCGATCCTCGCAGACTTGGACCAGACACTCGGTCTTGCTGGCGTCAAGAGCGTTTCCGAGTTGAACAAGACGAATCTGCGACGAGTATCATATCCGGGAGATATCAAGTCGAGCCTGTAATCGTAATTTCATCACCGAGTATATCGCACAACCGAGTAATGCTTATAGAAACAATGATTCAACGCCTCCTCTCGTGTAAGTCGTATGCTTCTGATCGGCGGACTACTCATACCAGAGTGTCACCAGAGCTACTTCAATCCTTTATATCGCTAGCCGTGTCGCTTTCTCGCAGAATCCCGCGCCTCCCATGAATAATGATATTTGTTGAGCAAGATTTTCCTCAGCCTTGAGGTACCCTAAAGAGCTGCGCCATCTTGTATACGCCGAGCCAAGCCGTTTCCCGTCCCTGATCCTTGTAGAACTTTTTTCTTCTTCTTTTTACCCTTACCTTGGCCTATCTATCCGATAAACTCCGTGCTGAGCATGGTTTCCCAAGGTTGTCCGGTTTCCCATACTTTTTCCATAATCCGCCGAGCTTTGTGAACCTAAATCATGTGTCAGAACGGTCTCAGCTGAAAGTAGGACTGGTGATTCTTGATATTACCTTTAAAACAGCCGAGTTCACTTGGTTCTCGCCGGTGCCAAGCCGCTCAATGACAAAAGCCCTCTGTGCCTCATCTCTTGCATCGCACCCAGCCGTGAAGATGGGGAACAGGGAGCAAGCCTCAGCGCTCCCTCCTCTCCGAATCCTAGAAAAGCAAGATATGATCTTGCTGACGGCTTCTTGAACCTTGTCGTCATCAGAAGGCCTCCCCAGGATTCGCCGGTAAAGATGGATTAATCCGGCCCAATGGAAAGCTTCGTTCGTGGCAGCGAGTTCCGCTCGATCCCATTTATCAAGGTTCCCGCCTGCTAGGATATGTTTACAGGGTGTAATTGGTTGGTTCATGCTGCTCTTGATGTCGCTTTCGATCTTGAGCGCCGTTTCCAAAACATCCTTGCTTGGCTCCCAATCATCGCGAATAGTATTATCCGGACCAATGCGCTCGTTGTCGCAGTTGCGAGCGAGGTCTGCAATCTTTGCCAATAGGTATACGCATCTCGTCGTGAAACCCATTATACACTCAATCTCATCATATCCGTCGTGTTTGTCCTCGAGTTCGTAGTCAAACATCCAGGCGGTTGATGAATCCTTCGGTCCGCCGGTCAAGCTTCCCATGACGTCAAGGTAAGCAGCCCAACTCCAAAGAAACGAACAGACGTGATCTTTTCGAAAGTTTGTCTCGTAGTGGAGCCCGCCCGGCCGAGCCACGATCAATTCTCGAGCAAGACCGAGGTGCTTCTGCCACGGTATAGAGTACCCAAACACCTTGGGCGAGACAATCTCCAACGATGCGAGCATGATGGCTGTGGCTACATTTGCATCCGAGAAGTTCTGGTTCGGATCTGACAAAGCCTCTCGCAAAGCAGGGAAGATGTCGTCCACCCACATGGCTATACGCAAGCTCGGCTCGGGGTGTCTCAACAGACGCGCTCGATGGGATGCAGAGTATGCAAGAATAAGAGCCAGAAGGTTTTGGTTCCTCACAGCCATGAGGGGTAGAGTCGTTCGGAAGGGATTTGCCTGGGGGTCGTCGTATGGAACTAACACTTTGGCTGTGTGGTGGATAAAGTGGTGAAAGTAGAGCAGGTTCATGGGATTCTTCGTCAGGCTGGATGGCAGCGGCTCCAGGTACTGAGGAATGTATATCTCCACGGGCTTGTCATAGTAGGCCTTGGCTTCACCCTTGATATCTGTAGCCTCAAAACCAAATGAGAACTCCGTGGAGAATAAGTCCGTCTCGAATTCCCCCTCTGGCGTTTCAATACGATCACGTTGGCTCAGAGGTGTATAGCCTGTGCCAATGGCATTATCGTCGTCGTTCTTGCCAAGGTCTAGGTCTGGCAAGCCGCGATCAATGCCGTAGAATTTTGGTCCATTCTGATGTGATGGTAACAAGTCACCTGGGGAAGAATGCTGGTAACTGCTGGCATCATCTTGCAACCGGCCCCCAGGCCCCGACAAAAGGGAATGTACGGACATTCTCCTCAGATCAGGTGAAGGCTCGGACCGTGGAACATGGCGCGAAGGACCCTCATCGCTATATATGGATGCGGCGGGCGTCAATGGTGATCCGGTAGAAGATGTGGTTGAGGCGGGAACTCTGAATACGGGAGTTCCGACGTCTACGGTGGATGAAGGAGAAGAGTAAGGTTTCTTCTCTGAAGTGTCCGAGGGGACTGAGCCGGGATCGAGCTTGATGCGCTTGTTAGGCACTTGAAATTGGTCCGACGGACTTCCATAAGTGACACTCGACGCGTCAGCACTGGGCGTGGTGAAGTTGGATTCCGGCTTCACCGAGCTGCCCGGGGATACCAGCGGCTCCAGCTTGCGCGTGGATGTGTTATTCGGAGCCGGGAACTGATGAACCAATTTGAAGCCCTTGGCCGGAGCCGGAACCGTCGGTGATAGCACATCCTGACTGAAGTCGATAGTGCCTGGCTCCTGTCTCTTTCCCCGGCGGCCATCCCAGTTCAGGCGGATGCTATAATCGCAAGTCTCCCCCGCCTTTTGGCAGCTATAGGAATGATATTAGATAATTTGTATATAATAGAAAGGTGTACACGTGAGCACAAGTGGGAGAAAAATGACGTATGATGATTAAAAGATGCAGAGAAACTGAGGGACTCTGATTGAGCAACATGACAAAGAATAATAGATGGAGAAATCCATACTTGACACATGTTGGGTGCTCTTCACCACATTTGATCTTACGGTTCTTACACGGCCTATTCAGAAAGAAAAAAGACACAACAGTTAGCGGGTTTCAGCTCCAAGCTCCAGTCAGTGAGGGGCAATGAACGGGGACGGGATGGGAATTTGGGGGCGGGCTGCAGGTTCATCTCGGGTTTTCTAACCAACAACCGTTTCTACTCCTTCTTTTCGGTTCCGGTGCGCCGGGTTTCTTGGGTCGAGGCATTGCTGCTATTCTGCTGCAGCGGCAATGCGCATGCGCAGGGAGGTGGGTTTCTTTTGCTTTTTACAAAAGAGGTAAAAGAAATGCCGGGTAGGAAGGGTAAAAAAAGAAGAGATAAAAGGATTAAAAAAAAAAAGTCAATTTATCAAGGTGGGGAATATAGTGACCTGGGGGCCAAGAAGCGTGAGGTTTTTCTAAAGCTGGGGAGAAGATGGGGACGGCCAAGGCATCGTCGACGTCGACGCTGCAAGGCAAATCCGGAGGGCCGGGAGGACATGGACACTACAACTTGACGCTCATGGCGAGGCTGCGTCCTTGTGAAGGTGAGCGAGAGGCGATGCCGGCAAGGGTAGGTAGGTAAGGTAGGTGGGAAATGTGAGGATGAGATGTGAATGGGCGATTCGAGTGTCGGTAGGTACAGTTGTAGGCAAGTCAGTCAGGTATGTAGGTAGTAGGTAGGTAGATAGGCGGTAGCTAGGTGAGGAGATACAGTAGTAGATCAGGTAGGTAGGTAGGTGCAGAATGTAGAATAGCACCAAGGTAATAAATGTAGGTACGTAGGTATGCAGATTGACGTCGCTGGGGGACCTTGTTGGTGAGCAGCTGCTTGTGCTTGGCTCCGTGTTGTGTTCAAAAGCGGCCTGTCTGTCTGCTGTGTCTTTTTGCTCCTCTTCCTTCTTCTTACCCACATTCTAAGTAGTAAAAAGCAGGCAAAAGTAGGCAAGGTAGGCAAGCAGATTTGGGCAGGTTGTGATCGTGCATATGAAATGGAGCAGATAGATAAGCAGGTCGATCCCCAGGTCTTTTGCTCGCAAATGCGCTTACACCTGCATTCGACTAAGCGGCGACCAACGAGAACAGAGAAAGCCAGGAAGGGTCCCGGTTCCACGTAGTATATGTGGGGCGACACCTCCTCGTTTGACGAATCTCCATTCAACGGGCGAGTCGAGCCCTTTTTCAGTCTGTTTGGGCTGTGGGAGCAAGTCCCCAAGCAACCAAGTCCCCCAAAGCTGCTCGCTAGTGGCTGCTCTGGTTACAGCCCCAGTCCTACCTAGTCCCCAGCCCAGTGCCAGTTTCAATCGTCCACTCTTCTCGGAGGTAATAAAAAGAGAAGGGAGGCGAGGAGGGAATGATGAGAGCACAACCTTGCCCTGCAAGGAGCAGAAGGCACAGTTGAGCCCCGAAGCTTGCGGGGGAACGGAACCAACTCCGCTTGTCTGGTGCTCATCACCATGGTCAGCTGACCTGCTAGGAGCTGATCACCTATAGAAAGTACCGTAATGACAGTGTATGTATAATATTTTGTTCTGGATTTGGGTGGTGGGGGCTGTCCTGACCAGGACAACATCTCTCGCCTTGGTTGTGGTGATGACCTCCCCAAAGTCCAGGGAAAGTGGCAGAGCATCTCTAGACTCTGGAGCAATAGCTCCAGCATAGAAGCTGGCAGGCCGTAGCAGAGAGGTTCACCCGTCCGAAAACCCCTCTTGGTTCTCTCATGTCACCTCCATACCTTTTAGTGTACCGACGTGGCATCGACCACTTGGTCGTCTGAGCGTGGCAATGCTTTGAGTGTACCAATCCATACAGTCAGCACTGTACCGTACCCTAAAGTATGGAGTACCTCGTACGCTGGACATCACCGTTCAATGGAAGCAAGAGTTCGCCCGTGACAGTTCCCAATCCACTTCCTGCACTAAAAGCGCAGGTAGTCGGACCTAAGTACCGCTAACTATGTGGCCCAACGACCAATGCCGCTCTATCAACTCATCTATGGAGAGCATCCTCATTTCCCACTGAACTATGCTACGCTATGCGATATCAATATTGAGTATCTTGATATCCTCCTCTGGCTTTTCCTTGTACGTCCGTACGTTTTCTATCTTGTGAATCACGTCCAGCCCCTGGATCGCGCGGCCAAAGATAGTGTGCTTGTTGTCAAGCCATGGCTAGTCCGCTATGTTAGCTTGACTCGTGTACAAATCCACCCCTCAGATCATGGGGGGCACTGCTTACCGTCTTCTCCGTCGTGATAAAGAACTGACTACCATTAGTGTTTGGCCCAGCATTGGCCATACTGACTGTGTAGGGCTTATCGTGTTTCAGCGTGCTGAACTCGTCTTCAAACTCCCTCCCCCATATGCTCTCGCCACCGGTACCATCGCCCAGCGGATCTCCGCACTGGATCATGAACTTGCGGATGACCCGATGGAAGATTGTATTGTTGTAGTATCCCCGCTTCGAATGAGTGACAAAATTCTCAACCGCCTTTGGTGCAGCGTCTGGGAATAACCTGATGTGAATGTCACCATAAGTCGTGTGGATGACCGCCGATGTGCCCGTCTCAGCCTGTTTCTTTTGCTCCGTCTTCTTGGCCCCGAGCATGGTCGGCTTCTCATTCTGGACATCACGGTCCGATTTCGACACTTCCGCGTCGTCCGTAAACATATAGAATCGAACCTTGCCCACAGCCGTGGTAATGAGGATAGGATCTCGCGATTCTGCCTCTTGCAGCAACGGATTGGCTGAGGCTGCCATGGCCACCGTGGTCAGTCCCTTCTTCTGAGGCTGGCCTTGATATAGGGCCAGGTTGACAGGCCGCATATTCTCGTCCTTGCCATACACCTTTACAATATGGTTGGTGAAGGTGTTCAGCACTTTGACGCCTAGAATGGAGCCGTAGAGGATAAAGTTCCCGGATTCGTCAAAAATGACATTGACCTTGTCCCTGAGCGCCGGAGACTCAATCTCCAGCTCTGCAGCACGCCTCCGGCCAAACTCGACTGGTTCAAGCTTCTGTTTGGCCGTTCCAGCTTGCTGCATCTCCTCCACGACCTGCAGAGACTCATCGTATGTTCTATATAGCTTTGCGCTGGCAAATTCGAAGACTCGAATCTTGCGGTCGGGGAACGAGTATGTTACGAACTGATGCCCTGACGGCGACATGTTCAAAGACACTGGCGCAGACTTGGCCTTTTTGAAATCGAATAAATTCGTGGAACTCTTGTATTGGAACACATTGTCCGGTTTCTCGTAGTTTGAACTGGGACTCCAGTACTCGAGCATTCCACCCTCGTCTGCCGAAATCACACAATCGTGAGCGTCGTTGAAAGCCATGACGCTAACCACACTCTTGTGCAATCCTTTGATGGTGTGAATCGGCGTTTGGTTCTCTCCCCGTCCATCGTAGATGTAGATCAGGGGTTTCTCGTCGTCCGATACAGCCAATATGGGCAGAGATGCACCACGCTTGTGCACCCAGCATATGGCCTTGGGCGTATAGTCGAGCGTCAACATAGCGAGAAGGTCAAAAGTGAACACATCAAAGATCTTGACGCTCTTGTCAGCGCCTGCCGTCGCAAAGCTGCGGCCGTCCTGGCTGACAGATACTGATCTGATTTCGCCGACATGTGCCTTGAACTCCTTGACAAACTCGATACCCTGTGCCACCTTCTTCCAGAACTTGACAACGCCATCGACGGAGCTGGTGATAAGGAATTCGGTCAAGGGGGTTACAGTGACGAAAGCTAGCTGCTCCTTGTGCATCAAGGACTTTGAATATCGCGGCGCTTTGGGAAGTGCCGATATGTACAATTTTTCGTATGGCAATACTCGGCGTTTCTTCTTTGGGGCCGCCGCCGAGGGCAGCTGCGGGCCCATGTCATCGTCCGAGGAGCTGTCGTCTTCTTCGTGTGAGTATGATAGAACAATATGCAGGGAGAGAGGGCTTCCAAGTCATTGGTGAGTCGCATACCGGAGTCATTTTGTTCAGCGAATTCCGCGTGGTTGCGCTTATTGGACTTGACGTCCTCGGCGTCCTGAGTAGAAGCCATTGAGGCGTAGGGATTCCAGGCAAAGGCGCTGGTGTAGGGAGCAGTTCAAATAGCTTGCGCACTGGCAAAGCTGTTTTTTGGTGTTGAATTTTGGAGAGCTCTGGTTGCGACAGGCACCAGGAGCTATCCGACCACCGACGTAAGGCGGAATGTTCCCGCCCCTCAAGTGCTGTGCATTGGGGTACCTACTAACATGGCAGCACTCAGTGCTTGCTTTTGATGGCTCTGAGATTGCTCACTGCATAATTTTTGATACTTTAAAAAAAAAAAAAAAAAAAGACAATAACGTTTGCCCAACTTCCAAGTATTTGACCATCTCTCAAAATAGGCGAATTTTCAGATTTGACAGCAATCACGATCTATACTGCTCACAAGCACGGCACTTTTGACGGTAGTCCCACGCATAGGTGGTCTAGTTGACCGCTCTATGTAGTTGGTTCAAATACAAGGACGGCAATACTCGAAGACTTGCAAAATGAAAATAATTCAAGTTCCACTAGTAACGAGACATGCAATATGACAATAGATAATATTTCATCCGACAGATCAAACACGATACTTCATTTGCTGCATAGCGACAAATGAGAGAACCAAACTATTGAGACATCCTCTAGTTTACCATGTACATTGAGGCTGTGTTCTCGAAGCTCTGGTCCCCGCATTGCTATCTCTTGGCTTTTGCGCGCTCTAGGTACGTCGTGACCTCAGTAGACAAGCGAGCGGCATTATGATCCGGCGCATGCCTTCACGTACTTACGTACTCCTCTCGTCGCATAACTTCATGGTTGTCACAGCCTTTTTGTGCGCTCGTGATTCAATCAATCTTTTACGTTGTCACATGCTTCAAGTGACACTAGAAGTTCCATAAGCTCTCCTCCTCACCTGGATCATTGTCTCATCCTTCTTCTCGTACGTGCTATCCATCTTCTGGGGCGGTTTCTTTTCTAGCCGTAACCAGACAACTGCTGCTTCTCGCCCGCCCCCCTCCACATCGGTTATACAAGCGTTTTTTTTTTTGTCTACTTGTTCGCCAATCTGCACGCGCACGCTCGCGGAGACTGTGTACACAAACACACAGAAAGGGAAATGGGAAACGTGTGTTGCGGCAAAGCCGACAGTGAGGCTTTCCAGAGCCCCGGCCGCGTCCTCGGCACCGCACCCCCCCAACCGGAGCGTGCCTCAGTTCCAAAGTCGCGGACCGTCGGTGGACCACCGCGCACGCTCGGAGGTAGCGGCCAGGACACCAGCGGCGGTAGCGGTAGCGGTAGCGGTAACAGCAGCGCAGCCGACAATGCGAGGCAAAAGGCAGCAGAAGCCGCCGAGGTGGGTAGCCCATTCCTATTGACTGACTGACCAGGACGATGTAGAGCAAAGGCGTGCGTGCATTGTGAACGGGAACCTGTGAGAGAGAAGAAGTACAGAAACTAACATTTATACAGGCAAGGGCTAAAGCATCACAAAAGACCTCTGGAAAGCTAAGTGAACAGTTACAGGCGCAGAAGAAGCAAACACGGCAGGACACGTTGAAGGAGGCCAGTAGGAACGAGTTACGTGCTAGGGATGCAGATGAGGCTGCCCAAGCGAGAAATTATGATTAAAATTTAGCACTCAGCGTCGCGACAAATATCAACCTTAAAAAGCCCGGCTTCGTGCGAGGCCATTCATGAATCGTCAGCCCGAATACAGCAATCAGGTGCAAATCCCCTTATTGAATTTGTGTTTTCTAATGAGTTCTGTACCAACTAACCCGGTAATAAATCAAGGATTTCAATTACCATGTGAATGCATGCTCCCACAATGATCCAAATCCCGAAAAGACTAGATGACATTATATCTGCCCATTGGCTGCCGACTTTCAGCATCTGCAGCGGCCATCGTACCTTGCTTCAACAAGCGAGTCAGCTCCGTCATTGCTGTCGACACAACGACTTCAGTATCACCCTCCACCAAGATGTACAGTTTGGCCTCGCCTCCTGGTGGCACCTCCTTGCCTGCAGGGTAGAAGGTACCCTTGGTGGTGATGGAAACGCCCGTTGCTTCAAGAATCTTGGCAACGTTTGTGCGGTTCGTGACAGCCCAACGAGCCTTCTGCGGAAAGTCGTTGATTTCAAGAGTCGCATGAAAGGCTCCGGCGTCTGGGCCTTTATTATCGATGGGCTGTCCGGGCCGAAGCTGTCCAGATTTACCAAGACGGGCATTGATGGCATCACGAGCCGAGGAGACTTTGTCCAAGGGATTGTTGCCTGAGTTTGGCGGTGGGTCTTCTCGCTTGTGAATGGTAAACTTTGGCTCCAAGTCGGGCTGCTTGGCTGGCGCAGCATCACGCGACGAGACTGCAGAAGCTGCCGCTTGAATAGCTGACAGTGCCTTGTCAGCCTTCTTGTCTTCCTTTGCCTTCTCCTCCTCATTCTCTTCCTCCTCATCGCCCTCGGTCCGATGACTCTTCCGTTCTCGCAGTCGTGCGGCCTCTCGTTCCTGGTCCAGCTTGTCCAAACCTTTGCCGCCAAATCCAGACGAGTCTCGGGCCTTGCCGGCTTTCAGCTTCTCCTGGAAGGCCTTTTGCATTACTGTAATGGGTTCGGGGACGGGCTGCCCACTCTGCTCCAGGGCTTTTGCAATGCAATAGGCACTGTTCTCCTGTTCGCCAGTGACAAAAGTCACAGCAGTTCCTTTATTGCCGGCACGACCAGTGCGGCCAGCACGGTGGACGTAATCCTCCAAGTGGTTGGGCGCGTCATAGTTGACGACCAGTTTCAACTGCTTGACATCAAGACCTCGAGCGGCGACCGAGGTTGCAATCATGATGGGGACGACGCCAGCTTTGAAATCTGAAATCGTAGAATCCCGATCGACCTGATCCTTTCCGCCATGGATTGACATGCATGGATATCCCTTTTGCAGTAACTCTTTCAATAGCTTGTCAGCCTTCTCCTGGCGTTCAACAAAGATCAGACTTCGAGCATCCTCGTCCTTGTCATAGAGCTCGCCCAACAATTCAAGCAATCTGATGAACTTCTTGTCCTCTTCCCTGACCTCCACAATTTGTGTGATTTCGGGAGCTACAACACTCTTGCCGCCCACGGTGATTTCAACGGGATCTTTCAGAATCTTCTTCGCCAACGCATCCATGATTCGGGGCATTGTAGCAGAGAATAAAATGTTCTGACGATCCGGTCGCATGTTGTTGAGGATTTTCATGACTTGTGGTTCAAATCCCATGTCGAACATGCGGTCTGCTTCGTCAAGCACCACATACGTGACACGCTTCAAGTTCGTTACCCGGCCCTGGTTCGCGGCAAGGAGATCGATCATACGTCCTGGAGTGCATACCACGATCTCAGCACCTCGTTTGAGCTCGGCAATATGATCCTTGATGGGTGCACCGCCATAGGCACAGACCGCCCTCAGTCCCATCGATTTGAGGAAAGGCTTGCAATCACGGTGAATTTGGGTGGCAAGTTCTCTGGTCGGAGTCATGATCAGCCCAATTGGACCATCGTTCTCCCTCAATGGCTCTTGGTCCTTGATATGTCGAAACATTGGCAACAGAAAGGCGAGGGTTTTGCCCGAGCCAGTCTTAGCAATACCAATGATGTCACGGCCAGACATGATGGCCGGGAAGGCTTGCATCTGGATAGGTGTTGGCTTGTCGAAGCCGAGACTGTCAATGATATCCAGTGTCCGTCGCGACAAGGCACACTGTGACCATTTCTGTACCGGCTTGGGCACGTCCTTGCCAGACACCTTGATGCCATCGAGTTCGAGTCTCAAATCCGTCAGTTCCGCCTCGGTCATTTCAGACAATTCAGCTGGCTCAACCCAGAAATTCTTTCTAAGGGGTGCCATATCAAGTTTGCTGTAGTCGACAGTGGGAATATCCTTCTTCTTGCGAGCCTTGTTGACCTTTTCCAGGAATGCGCCTGGTTCATCCTCGTTTTTGGCATAATCATAATCGTCATCACCACTAAAAAATGCTTCCGGCTCTGGCTCGACCTTTTTCTGGCTCGCGCCATTGAGTTTCGCGGGTTTCGAAGCTGGGGCTGGCTTGGACTCCAAGTCGTTCATGAATGCGTCCAGCGCGTCTACTTCCTCCTCTTCGTCTACCTCCATTGCTTGACCGCCAGCGTCGGCAGACACGGTAGTCGCATCAACCTCTGCTTTCGATTCATCAATATCCATCGTGCTATTTTGTTGGGCATTTTCCTGAGCCATGCGCTCTTCGCGGCGTTCTTGAGCGGCTCGTGCTGCCGCCGCTTCCTCCTCCTCATCGCCCGCAAAGTTATCAGCATCCTCCTCGTCGTCATCTTGTACTTCGTATGGAGTATCATCAACGTCAGCAAGAGGTAGAGAAGGGAGCTTAGCGAGCTTTCTGTCGGATGCCTCCTCCTCATCAAGAATCAATTTTCGTTTCTGCGGGATCTTGTCGGTATCTGCATTCTGCTTGTGAAACCCAAAGCCGCTGGTTTTGGCTTTCGGTAGCGCTGATGCCTTGGGCAATCCACTGACTGGAGCAGCTGGCTTCGAGGGGGGTAGCTGTACGCCGATCGAGCCCAATTTGGGCGCAGCACTTGATTCGTGTACACGAGCCGACTTCTTCGCAATTTCCTTGGGGTCGAATTTACCAGAATACGGAGTTGCGGGTGACGGAAACGAGGTGCTCGCTGCTGGCGATGCTACCGCAGATGTAGGAGATGCTACTGATGGGGTCGCAGCAGAACTGCCGTTAGCCTTCTGGTCCATCTCAGCAAGAAGTTTTCTCGTCGCTCCCGGAGTGGCCTCCTTGGCCTTTTCCTTCTCCAGTTCCTGCTTCTTCTTCCATGCTGCGAGTTTGGCAAGGCGTTCGGCTTTCTTGTCGGCATCTGACTGTGCTGCAGCAGGCGGGGCGTTTGGCTTCGACTTGGTATCTGTAGACTGAGATCGAGAAGTGTGAATATTTGCATGTTTAGAGCGGAAGGGTGGACATACCTCTGCAGCGGGCCGCGCGCGAGAATCGGTTGGTCCAGAGCGATGAGAGTCGGTGGTGCCTTCTCGTCGACTCCTCGCGCGGTCGCGGGAGTCGTCCCTCTTGCGTCTGTCATCACGGTCACGACGACCCTTGTCTCTGTCCCAATCCCGATCCCTGTCTCTACCGCCATCATTATAGCGATCACGGGAGCGTCTCCGATCTCGTCCATCTCTGTGGTAATCGTCGCTCCGGTCTAGGGAACGATCCCGTCGGCGATACTCATCGCGGGGGCGTGGCGGCGTCCGCGAGCGGCGGCGGCGGTCCCGATCGCGGTCCCGGTCACGTCGTCTGTCATCATCGCGACGGTATCTTCTTGAGCTTCCTGCAGGGCTTGGTGAGCGTGAGTCCCTGAGCCGAGCCATATTACGCGTGGTAGCAGCTTCGGCAACACTACAGTAGCACGCTCGTACAAGTTATGGTTATCCCAGAGGTGCCCGGCAGAAGTCCACGGGCAAAACGGGTACAGACGTCGCGGGTTGTGGTTGAGATCTGGGTGTGAACCAGATGAGGTAATGGTCCTTGGCTTGTCGCCAGCGAGCTGCCTTTCCTCCTGGAGTGTGAGCCAGTGAGAGGGGATTACTGGAAGAATTCAAATTACCTCCTCGCGAAGACCGAAGCTTCTCAAAGTCGCATGAAAAATTATATCTCTGCCTTTATCGCGACCAAGGGATGGTGACGGCGTTCTCGAGAGAGATGTAAAGTAGAAGTCATGGATAAAGTATGTAGCTGAGAATGTAAGTAGCGTCTGCAAAACCCAAACCCCCAGGCAGGAAAGACTTAAGTGGGGCCGCCGTCACTACCCAGGTCGTCAAAGATTCAAGCCAAGCACGCAGCAGGCAGTCAGTCAGTCCATTAAAGTGCGTGCCTGTGGCTGGTGTAGGTGAGGCGTCCACTCTCGCTTGCCTATCTTGTACGATAACAAGCTGGGACTAAGCCCTTTATGGAGTAGCAAGTTAGGGAAATTGCCTTGGATGTTGTGGCACAAGCTCTCAATGCATTATTGATCGCACCGACCTGATCTGACCAGACAGCAAGCACCTGGCACACGCGACAAAAGGAAGCTAAAACTGCAGCTCGGTGGCTGGCATCGTACTCCGTATTTATTATAGTAGACTCCGGCTATTTCGCACAGCAGCGCTCCCAGACTCAAGAGACCCACCATCAAAAAGCCCGAAGAGAAGAAGTCCGAGTCGTCTCGTTCGCACTGGCGAACCCGAATCTGGCGACAAATTCCACGACAGCCAATTGCACGATCCCATCGAGTCCAGACGCTCGGCCATCATGTTCACCAACCTTGGACGCGCCGCAGTGCAGCGTCTGCCCTTGCGGACCATTGCTACGTCATCCGTCGTTTCTCGACTGGTGTCGCGCGCCGCTCCCAACCAGCGCGGTCTCGCAGTGCTTGTCTCAGACTTGTCAAGGTCCGGCGCTTTGAGATCTTTCGCGACAAAGACAGAGACCACCGAGCCCGCCAAGAAAACCACCAAGAAGACAGTCAAGAAGACCACCAAGAAGAAGCCTACCAAGAAGACTACCAAGGCTGCAGCAAAACCCAAGAAGGCCAAGAAGGTCGAAAAGAAGAAGCCTGCAACGCGCAAGGTCAAGAAGCCACTGAGTCCGGAGAAGGAGGAGCAGTTGAAAATCAGGGAACTGAAGATGGCCTCTTTGTACTATGCGGAGTCCAAGGCCAAGGTCACCAAGGTCAAGCTGCCCTCCACTGCTTACCTGCTGTGGATTTCTGAAAAGCTCAAAGGCAACTCTCGAGATGCATTAGCAACTCAGGAAGCCTTTACGAAGGTAACTAATGAATGGAAAACAGTTTCGGGTTCTGAGCTTGCAGTGAGTCGCAATCATACACATTTGTCATGGCGTTGAACTTATTCATTTCCTCCATCTAGGGTCTGAAACGTACTGCCGAAGCGAACAAGCTTCAGAATGAGGCCAATCACAAGGCTTGGGTGGAATCATACACTGTTGAAGAAATTCAGAGAGCCAACAGGGCCCGTCAGATGCTGAAGAGGAAGTTCAACTACCCAGCAAAGAGGCCAGTGCATCTCCTCAAGGACGATCGCCGGCCCCTTGGAGTAAGAAGTCCATTCACCTACTATGTCAAGGCCAGATGGGCATCTGGGGACTTTGAGAACCAGACTGCGTCAAGTGGTATCAAGACTCAATCAGAAGAGTGGAAGAATTTGTCAGCGGCTGAGAAGGCTGTAAGTCTAACCCCGTTGAACATGCGTGTAGAAAAGTTGACTAACGTGATGTAGCCGTACGAGGAGCTTAGTCGCGCTGACCGAGCTCGACGAGCCAGAGAGCAATCTGTTCTCAGTGAATGATTATGGCAAAGAAGCCTCTAGGGTTCTAGGAGCGATGCAACCAGAATAACAATTCTCCATCACAGACATTCCGATACGAACGTCAAGTATCCTTCTCATTTTTCTAAAAGAAGACAGTGGCCCAATTGACGAGTTTCAGCCGTCACTGATGTAGAATTTTGCCGCTTGTACAATGATGTGCACGGTACGGAGAGATTCCCATGTATTTTAGTCGGTAACAGGGCTTTCCTTGGATTCGTTTTCACACCGGGAAGGGCCTTGAGAATATGAAACCCTCGTATTATACATGTGTGTTGGGTATTTTGAAATCAACCTCGTGTGCTATCTACCCCATGCATGAATATGAGTGAGCATTTCTTAATATCAAGCCCTCTTTTTATCCTTGCGCCTACCCTTTGATAATGGTTATGACTTTCACTTGAATTGTGGTTCCATTTGATAAATTTGCAGTCTGTATCACGAATGGCTGCGACACTTTAATCCCTTTTGAGTCACAGTGCATCCTATAACTCGCCAGGATTGTATGTGAGCTATATCATGGTAGTCAAGTGGGCATATACCTAGGTAGGTACTATTGAAAATCATTTATCTAACAAAACAAAGCAGACGTACGATGCGTACTGATGAAATATGCTCTGCTTGGTGGAAATGACCAAGCCATGTATGTATTCTCATTATAGTAAAGCACTAAATCCAAGCAGGCTGCCTGCTCTCAACGCCAGCTCGCTATGCTTATGATTGTGGATTTCATGGTCAACAACTGAAGTCACCAACCCAGGACTGTGTGGAAAAACATTTGGAGGGCACAAACAATCCAAGCCGAAACAAACTTAGGCCAATCAATACCGTGTCCAAACTCCTTCCTTCTTCGCCATTTTGATGACAGTATCGCCGCAGGCATCTATCCAGGTCGTGGCGCTGAAGCATACTCTCCTCCGACTCGCCAGGTATGCCACGAAATAAATGTGTGCGGCTAGCAGTCCCCAGCAGTACAGCCTTAGCGATGTAAACTTTTCATCTCTGTGGCACGAGATCCCCCAGCCAGCTACGCCGGTTCCAATGTAGTTTGCCAGGAAAACCCATGCCTCGGTCTTTAGGTCTTGGGGCCAATCAGTACAGTCAATCTTCCAGTAGCCACGCTCAAAGGGACGAAGGTCTCTGGTGCTGAACTCTGGCCGGTACCGCTTTGAAATTTTGAGATCGCTCGCAAGTTTCGCCAGTCCCGGCGTGACGAGGTCATCGGGAGCAATTGTATCGTGCCCGACGGGAGGCTCGGGCGCCGTCAGAATCAGGCTGTCGTGCCCGAACCCATGCCTGGGGAGGAAAGTCACCGTCCTCGTCGAACTCCCAGGCGCATTGTGCAGGCCAATGTCACTAGCCGTTCTCAGCAATGCGCCTGGGCTTGCATCCGATTTGTCCCGCCGAGGACGTTTGCTTGGCGGGGGCTCTGAGTCTGCCCTTGTAGCCTGGGGCGTTGTTGGCTCGAATACTATCACCGTGTTTTCTATCACCTCATCATCCACCTCTTGGCTTTGGGGTTTGTGAGGGGTTTGCCGTCGGCTTACTGGCGTACAGGGAATAATAGGCTGGCCCCTTCTCTCGTGACCTGGGTCGTTGTGATTACTTATGACCGAAGCGGCCTCATTTACGACTTGGGTGTCTCCTTTCTGAATTATTGTTTGCGAGTTCTGGGAGGGTGGTGCAAAGTGTTGGAGGTAATGCTCCAAAACACGTCCCGGGGAAGTCAGAAGAGCTATAGTAGCATCATTTTCTGGTGCTGAATCTTGCACTATGCTTGGCGGTGTGTGCCACGATGAAGGATTCAGTGCGCTTTCCTGGCTCTCATGGAATAGAGACCTTGGCGCCTGTAGCTGAGGCTGTTGAAAGCGTCCTTGAGAGTTTGCATTGTCCAGGACGCTTTGAAACGAGGCTTGGAAGGAAATTGACGGCAGGATGATGTCTCCAAAGCTGTGTTCCACCGAAGCATTAGGTATTTCTATCTTTTCGCTTGAGAGAGGAAGAGGAGTAGAAGTAAGCTCTGATAGATGCGTACGCTTCTCAGACTGAAAGTTGATGTAGGATGCTGCCAATGAACGGTATCTGGCGTCATCGGATGTTCTACTAGGCGCGGCGATGTGTATCAATATTTCCACGTCTTGCGTATAAGACATCTTTGTCGATCTACGTCCATCTGCGTGCCTTCGTAAGTACCTGTAAGCAGGATGGTGAATATGCGCTGAAGCCTGGAGTGTAAACACGTCTGATAGGTTGACCAAAGGGATGGAAAGAACAATGAGTTGCGATGAAATGATGCGCCCAAGAAAATAAAGAAAAATAATTAACCACTTGGCGTTTGCAAATGTGATGCTATTACATGAGCAACGAGCAGTAATGAGTTGCCGGGATGATAGTAAAAAAAGAAATCCAAAGTCCCGGTTGAATGGTTCCCCATCCGTCGTGCAGGAGACATCCCGGGCCCCATTTTTATTTTAAGACGATCCGGCCGATGCCCCACCGTAGATGCGAGTGACCGCCCCCACCAGCCATCATCGTCTCTGCTTCTTCGCTCATCCATCTTACTACCAACTGCGTATAACAACTTCCAACATGCACAACCCGCGCGGCCCCCATGACGCAATATATTGATCATATAGGTTGAATACCACCTGATTACTTGTCTAGGGGAGAATGACGATGACCAACCAGAATATCAACCCAAACAGTAGGTACCAGACATCAACGATTAGAACGTACAGATCCTCGGTAGGCAATACTCTCTTCTATCAGCATGATATAAACACGAGAGCAATGATTTATACCCAGCACCATTGCAAACAATATATTTAATAGAGTCTACTATGTAGACACCCTACTGGGTTTACCAGGTACTCCACTTCCGAGAACCTGGTCAAGTAATGGCAATCAAAGAGCCTCTCCCGGCCACGGCACATTGCCACACGGTTCGGCAAGCTTGCCGGAGGCTCAAGTTCTTCAAGTTTACCAACTCAGCAGCAATGTTTGGGATACTCTAAAGGATTATCTACAAATATTGTATGTATCTGACGACTATATATGACTAAGTCGCATAATAGTGCATCTCAGCCTGGGAGGCGAATGTCCAATGGTTCCAAGCTGGGCATTTAAGCGCCGAGGAGACATGGGCTGCGATTATTGGCCTGCAAATCTGCACCACCACTGCCAATCACCAACCTTGCCCATCCCCCATTCGCGCGCGCCTGTCCCTTTATTGGCTGTTCACACCATCTCTTCTAAAATTAACCCACGAAGAGCTGCTACTTGCATGATGCTGATTGGACTGCTGCTGCAAAAGCACACTCGGAGCAACCATGCTCCTGACGTTGTCTGGCACCATAGCGACTAATTTGCCCAGGGAATACTTCCTAGGCCTGCAGGCTTCGTGCCCAAAAATGGGTTCGCTCACTCGTGCCTATGGTCGAATCTGCGGGTTGGCCCTGCACGACTATGCAAGTCCATGTGGCTCCCCATATGTCGAAGCAGGCGAATGAGTCCATCGAAGCGCTCAGGAACCCGCCGTGACACGAGTCCCCGCCCTGACTAACCGCTCGACTTCCCTCACGAGGCGGGCGTGGTTCATAAAACTGTTGCCCGTCCTCTAATGCCTGCGTCGCCTGTGATCTCGCTATCCTCTTCTTTCCAACCCACCAAGAGGTTGACTCTTTCAACAATCCGCTTCGTTGATCGAAGCATTACTGTCGTTTAGACTTCTTTCCTAAACTTCTATTTCGTCGACGCCGGCCGTCTCTTACATTTTCTCGTCGTTGCGTTGGAATAACTATTTTTGGTGTCTCACTTGCATATTTCATTTATTATACCACCAGTTCAAATATACCCCAAAATGTCAGACCTAGTCCTTCTTCCCTCAACCACATATCGACCTCCCTCCCCGTCGCAGGGTCGCCGGCCTGGGAGGTCACTTAATACCATAATGGAGGAACCAGAGTATTCGAGAAAATCAGCTGCATCCGAAAACCGTAGGAATCTGGCACAGTCGTCTAATGAAAAGATCGTATCATGGTTGTCACCCCGGAGCGATCACTTTCCCACGCCTCGCGGTTTTCACTTCTTGTCAGCACCGATACTTCCTTCGTCGCCCTCGACTGTCTCGGCAGACGAAAGCAATTCTCCCTCGACATCTTCGAACCCATGGAACAGATCGAGTACCTGCACTGATGTCACCGAGTTTGACGATATATACGACACTTCGGGGGACGAAGACAAGATTATGCCAGTACGAAAAGCGTCGCTGAAGCGTCAACACAGCACTCGCCGAGCTTCGTCTCGCAGATCCTCTACCCAGTCATTGGCATCTCAGAGGGCCCTCCCAAAATTGACGATTCCCGAGTCTGAAGATCAGGGCACTGAATCTTGGTCCGCAAGACCCAATCTCAGGAAAATGTTGACTCCAGTGCCTCCTACACCCCCATCCAGGGTGGAGATGTCTCCAGCTGTTATCTATTTCCTGGAGAGACAGCAGGGTCTTGATATTCCCACCGTGTCCGCACCTCCATCTTTGGATGGCAGCATGAGCTCTGAGCAGATGGCTGCCTTGTCGGCACCTCCAACACCGGTGATGGGTGCAGGCGAAAGTGTCCCCGAAGCTGATTGGGCTGGTGTTCGTCTGCAGCCAGGAGCCCTCGCAACTCTGCGTGCTCTTTCTGGAGGTTCCGACGTGGCCGAGGTTGAGTATCAACAGGAGCCGGTCATTGAAATTTCCCAAGCACCAATCCAGGAGATGTCTCAACAGACAACGCGCCTATTTAGCTCCCAAAGACCCGCGCTGAGGCTCTCCACGGGCTCGCAGCGGTCCGTGACTGACTTGGCCCGGCTTGAGATCCCCTCGCCCAGCAATTTCTTCTCGGGGCTATCGCCTCGGACCAGACACACTTGGCACATGCCTACAATCACTCCGGATGATGTTGCTCCACCGACCTCTACGACAGCCGAACAGTTCTATCGATGTCCCTGGGTAGAACAATCGGTACCCCCGCTCCCCATTCTTCCTTCCATGCCCGTGCTTCCTTCCATTCTGGCAGACTATGCTTCGCCCGCCTCAGTCCGTGAACATATCATTGAGGCTCACGGAACCGTGTCTGATGGTATGCCAACTGCGAGACCTGTGATCCTGGAACAGATTGTTGATGCCAAGGGCATTCAGTCGGATGATCTTCCCACAGCACGCCGCATTCCGGAAATATCGGTACCATCTACCACACCCGCAGCTCAGGCTGAGCCATCGTCACCAAAGGAGGACATTGTTGCTACCGAGATCGTGACTGCATACGATCCCGAGTATGTCAGGAAACAGCAAGAGGAAGCTCTGTCCAATCTGGATCGAACCGAGCTTTGGCTCATGGCACAGAAGGCTTACCTCAAGGGAGTCAATCCTGAGTCAGATACCGAGGCGGAATCCAAGTTGGAGGCCGTATTTGCAGAGACTCCCCAAGATGATATTTCCATCATCAAGAGTCCCGTAGTTGAGACTTCTCCTATTGGTGCTCCGACCAAGAAGACTGTTCGCTTCTCCGAAATTGTAATCAAGAACGACATCCCGCGGTCTTTGCCATCCATGCTCTGTCGTCAGGAGTCTGCCTATTACCGCGCCTTCCAGGACTATATCATCCGCAGTCGTTCCCACGATGCCTTTGTCCACCGTCTGCCCCGCCTCGAGGCTCTTCAGGCGCAACGCGTATCTCTGCGTGAAGCTCACCGCAACCAGCTTCTCGGCAAGTTCCAACTCTCCGTGGTGCCCCAATCTGCCAAGAAGAGAATGAGCACCAATGTTGCTCGCGGAGATGATGTGATTGTGGACGATCCCGAGAAGCTCAAGCTAGAAAAGGAGGCAGAGGCGCTCCGCCAAATGTCAACTGCCAACTGGCATGTCCAGGCCATGAAGACGCTCAACGGTGGCCGCCTCTTTTCGGCGCCATTGGCAAAGAGATTGGCGCGTCTTTCTCGTATGGCCGGACCCAGCAAGCGTGCCAGGATCTTGGACCTCGGTGGCCAGGCAACGTGTGAGTGGGCGTGGCACTGCGCCATCATGTACCCCAACACCAAAGTATACACCGTGACGACCAAGGCCATCCGTCAACTGTCCAACTCCAACATCCGAGGTCCCTCCAACCACCGCCAGGTCGCCGTCGACCGTCTCGCCAAGCTCCCGTTTCCCGATGACCACTTTGACCTCGTTTCTGCTCGTGAACTGCACTCAATCCTCAAGTTCATTGGTGAGAATGGCGAAGATGAATGGGAGAGCTGCTTGGCCGAGTGCATGCGCGTTCTGAAGCCCGGCGGCTACCTCGAGTTCAACCTGCTGGACTCTGACATTGTCAACGCCGGACCTCTCGGTCTCGCCAAGTCGGTCGAGTTTGGCTTCGCTCTCAAGACCCTCGGCTACGACCCCAACCCCACCAAGATGTTCCTGAACCGTCTCAGCCGCGCCGGCTTTGAGGAGACGCGCCGCGCCTGGATGTGCCTCCCCATGGGCCAGAAGCAGCCCGTCAACAAGAACATTGTTCGCGACAGCCTCGGCAACGAGGTCAAGCTCGAACTCGAGGCCATGGTGCAGGGCAGCACCGAGGACGCCGCGTCCATTGCCGGCGTGGCCGGCAGCTGGGCCTGGGAAAAGTGGCTCCTGCGCTGCGAGACGGAAAAGGTGGCGAGCGAGGGCAGACTCTTGGACACGGCCGTCATTCGCGAGGCGGGCATGTGTCTCGATGGCGTGCACGATGTCATTGAGGAGGGTAGACGTTGTGGTGCTGGATTCCGGGTGCTGAGCGGTTTTGCCAGAAAGCCCCTCGTCCACAAGGAACTTGTACCCATTACCCTGGTGCAGTAAATTTGAGTAGGAGTGTCTGCTGCATTTGGAGCGTCTGAAGGGGGGGACCATTGTTTTTTTCAAGCATTGATACCATTGCTTTTTGGGAGTAATGTCATGGACGGCGTCCGGATGTTGATGAGTATATACGTTGTTGACGATAATATAATTGGCGGTTCATGTATGTACACGCAATCCAGCAGTCTAGATACTTGCTGCAGCACGAAAATAACAGAAATCCACCACATTAAATACTACCATGTCAGAAAGCTTGTGTGTTTCTTTTGAGTGTCTAGACTCCAAGAGTCTCAACTAAACCAGCTGACGACCATGTGCCGTATACACCTATCTTCGACCTGGAATCTTCGACATTACAGATCAATAATTTCATGTTCATCGCCTGCAAACAACCACTCAACCCGAGCCCATTGGGCCAACATGCTGACCACCTTGCTGATCACTACTACCGCCCTGGTGTCCGGCCGTCTTGGCTCCTGAAGATGCCTTGTGCGACGTGCCAGCGCCTCGACTCCCGCCCTTGGCCACGGTGTCGCCCGGTTGTTGGGTATGCTGCTCTCCCGACTTTTGGTTCCGGGACGGCTTTTTGAATTCCTTGGTGTGGTCCGTCTTGGTGCCGCCGACAGTTTCGCCTGGTTTAGAGGAGGAGGAGGCCAGGCGTGCTGCTGCTGGTGCGTGATAGGGGAGGGTGGTAGATCTGAGGCTGGTGCTGGCTAGATTGGCCCAGCCGGGGGCTTTGGGATTTATTCGTGAAAACATTATAGATGAAATCGGGTATTTCTAGTAAAGCTGAAGGGCTTTGGAAAGATCGGGAGCGACATGAGGTCAATTAATTATTTGTAGTGCTACACGATTCCACATCTTGTTGAGGCCGTCGGTGACTATATCATGACGTCGTCCATATCTTGTCTAGTCGGCTAGTATAGTCTGTCATCCCGACAATGAGTCCCAGTCAATAGATTGATTCCAAAATTGACATCTATACTACTTAGGTACTTTGATTCTATCTAGAGAAGTATATTTTCTAGAACTTGGGGCCTGGTAATGTGGTGGACTTCACGACCTGGAGCAATGCTAAGTCGTACAGACTGAAAAGTGATGGGAGTCAAAACCAGACCGTCCTCTGTAGTCTGGAACCAATATTTTGAGACGCTATAATTCAGTTCTCGTTGTACGAAGCATGAAAAAGGTGCCGGCAGCGTCTTCCGGTCTGCGGAAGCCACTCCCGGTTGCCGGTTCTTTGTCCCAGAAGTGCAACGCCAGCGCCGCCGGCCTCACGACACTCGCCCACTCTATACTTTCTCGTGCTGCACACACGCTCCATGTAACCCTGATTATCCATTCTTACTGAATTTAACGTATGATAGTGTATATATGCCCACACGACCCTCGCCAATTTCCAGACCCAAAAACACAGTTCGTTGTCTTTTTTACAGACTTCTGATTAGTTGTAGACAACCTCTTGTCCATTTGATAACCAACTCAAAGGCACATGAGACACTCAACACATATCCATTTTGTTATCCTTTGTAAAAAAAACTCACAAACTTTCGCAGTAGGAGGTGGCCAAGAGGCCGTCCTTGAGAGATAAAGAGCTGGTAATGCTGCCGAGAAACTCAAACTCGATATAAATACCTAGCGATGAAGTCCCGTCCCTTCGATTTGAATTCCCCCTTTCTCATCGTCACGGTTCCTTCAACTGAGCGACACAAATCAAAAGCATTACAACACAAAAAGCTGTCCACTTAGTATCACAAACACGCACTCGGGAAGAAAAAAAAAAGGTTTCAAGTCAGAACAGCAATACAGGTAAAACAGAATCTCACATCTGAGCTTCCCTGAAAACAGATTTACAAGAGACATGTCTTCCTCATCTACCCCCGAAGCATGGCCGAGCCAGCACCAGTGCGGCAGTGTCACCCTCGACATGGACCACTTTATCGAGGCGCCTTACGACTCAGACTCTATTGAGCAGGTAAGCATATATGACCAGCACCGCCTGCGCCTGGCCGAGCGGCGTAAGCCCGATCGCCTTGTCCCGCGGGAGAAGGGCACCAAGGCTGGCCGCTCCGAGCTCGAGAAGCTTCACTACGGTTCGCCTTGAGCCAAGCAGCACGTTGCCTTTTGCTCGCGCCGGCTGCAGCAAGTTAAGCCCCGATCAAGAACCTGGTAGCATCCAAACGTCGGTAACGTGACAAACGGGGAGCTGCCTGCCTAGATATCGCCAAGGGTACCGAGCACATCAAGGCCAAATGGATTCCAGCTAATCATTTGATAGAGGTAGGGTAATGACAAGCAAGGAGAGGAACACAGGGAGTCTAAATGGTAGAAGGATCAAAGTAGATTGTAGTCAAATTAGGGACATCATCCTAGGGATTAGGTAGTCAAACTTTCACTCATTTACAATATGCAACCATGTGCCCCATTTCATAACCTGCAGTCACGTTGATGTGTTGGCTTTTGCGAATGTCACCAAGGTCATCAAGACATTGAAGTTGTGGGTAGCCTGCTTTTTCGCGGCTTTTGTCTATGTTCATCATTTGATCGGTACACCAAAGTTCTGCTACTTTGAGGTATACCAAGCGGTTGCTATCATTTCCACCCACTTGTGGTCATTAGGAGTTCATGTGTCTCTCAAGTCATTCATCATTCTTGCTTGCGGAGCATCAACTCCATTATTATTCGTCACCCAAGAGAAACTTCTTACAGCTTCTGCATGGCAACAATGTCAGAGGACTGGACGTAGTCCTCGAACTCCGAGATCTCCTCCTGGAGCTCGTCAAGGGAGATCTTCTCGTCCTCAACGACCAGGTTGATCTGCAGCTTCTTGATACCGAAACCAACAGCGACCAGCTTGGAGCCACCCCAGACCAGACCGTCCTTCTCAATGCCACGGACAGACTCCTCCAAGGCAGCCATATCAGTCTCGTCATCTGTAATTTCAGGTTAGTCCAAGTCGAGTACAAACAGAGCGCAGGGAAAAAGCAAACATACCCCAGGGCTTGACGTCCAGAGTCACGATGGACTTGGCAATGGTCTTGGGCTTGGCAGCCTTCTTCTCTCTGTAGGCCTTCAGGCGCTCCTCACGGGCCTTGACGGCCTCAGCGTCCTCCTCCTCGGAGTCGGAGTCGAAGAGACCCTCGGCATCATCGTCCTCATCGGCAGCGGGGGCCTTGGCGGGGTTCAGGGTGACCTCAGCGACCTCGGGGCCGTAGGCAGTGTAGGGCTTGGCAGCATCGCCAGAGAGGGTAGCGAACTCATCCTCAAAGGTGGCAATGTGCTTGTACCAGCGGGCAGCGTGGGGGTACTTGGCAGCGTCGGGAGCGGACTGCAGGGCCTTGAAGGTGGCAACGTCGGCCTGTGTGGGAGCGTAGCTTTTAATGTTGTTAGTACGCGGTTGGCGAACAAAACATTGGCAAGAAATGGATGTTGAGAATCGTAAATCAGAGTTGCACAGAGTGCTATTGTGTCTGTCGCCATCTGGAGGGTCTTAAGCTCCTCGGAAACACGGACCAATTGTTCTCATCATGTAGAAAATTTGCGGTTGGGCTGGTTGGGTTGGGCTTGCACGGTTGCGCCCGCGGAGACGAACGAGGAGCCTTGACACTTGAACAAGCTTCACCCCGTCCCATCTCTTCGAGAGTCGCATTACCGCGCGCGCTGGCACGGCGAGGCAGAAGAGACTTACGCAGGAGCAGCGACGATGTAGGATCGGGTCTGCAGCCAGTTGTTGAGCACGGTCAAGCCCTGGAGCGGAGAGATGAGTCAGTTTGACCAGAGTTCAAAACATTGGCAAGAGAAGAGAATGATGGATTTTTTTTTTTTGGAGGAGGTGTTGAATGAGGTTTAAGTACGTACGGCGTCAGTGAGGATGTCGGTGAAACCCATGGTAGCTGATTTGAAAATGGGGGAAAATTGAGAAGAGGAAAAAAACCTTTCACAGGGTATCGAAATTGGCTTATTTTTTGAATGAGAAAGAGAAGGTCCGTGGACACGAATGGTTGATTTTCTGGATGGGCGACGGAAGAATTGATGGCGGGGTTAATAAGTTCAATCTTTCAGAAATTCTTGTGTCGAGGTGGGGGCAAAAGAATCTGGACAGTTCCTTCCCTTAGGCGCTCTCCGACTGACTGATTCATTTTCTTTAGGTCTGTTGTGTCTGGCCCGTGCGGCTCGGTCCTGATCTCTCCTCTTGTTACCAGGACCCACCAGTATCATGCCATCCAGCCTATTGAAGACCCTGCGTCAGGCACGCATCGGGCATGCATCAATTTGACTTGCTCTTTTCGTAGCCCAAGCGGTAACCAACCTGCGATTTCTCCGTGGCTGGAACCCCTCATGAGCGCCAAAATAGAGCATTGAAACCCCTCTATCCCCTAACCAATGGGCGGCAACTTGTGGCTGGTATTGACTATGTGCAAGACAACGCAATGACCATGTATGAGGTCAGATACTAGATATCGGCGTGCTGATAACTCCAGTCCTTTCTTACTGCAGATATAAGATAGATGATTGACTCATAATTTCCTACACCCTCCTTTAGCATCTTGGTCAGAATGCAACAAAGGCACAAGCAGAATTTATTCTTGCACTTTGATTTACATCATGGATCTGGAACTTCATTGACAACCAACAAGTGGACGCCTAGCAATCCTTGAACCTCCCAGAGCCTTTACTGAGTTTTGGTCAGACTTCTATATATTTTACAGTAGGTGAGCTATATATCATGTCATGCATTAATCACCCAAATCACAGTCTCATTGCTCGATACAAGAGACCTGTAGTGCGAACTCTTCATGGCATCCATGTTGTGAGGAATGCAAACTCGGACCAATAGGCTTACAGTAATCACTATTTATATCCATGTATACCTTTGAGTGTGATGATAAAACAATGTATTGCTTGCTATGAACAAGCTTCCTTGTCGCCAACACACACATACACGAGTTGTAGAGAACAACGCAAACCAAACTCCCCCGCCAGCGTGAGTCGCGATTTTGTTCTTTGAGATAATCACCCAAGATTCGCAAAAATAAATACGGAGCCGATCTATGAAATGGAAGCTGCCCTCTTATAGGTCTCTGGAGTTTCGGGAATATTCCGGTCAAGTGGAGGCAAGTCGTCTTCGCGCACGTCAGCGCCGGTACCGTCTCGGTGGAAGCACCGCTGCCGGAATTGTCCGATCTCGCAACCAACCATATGTGAGCCCGCTGGTTACTTGATATCACTCTTGCATGAAACCTCGGCCAAGGACAGCGGACCCTAAAAATGCTAGCATATAATCACGGATAATCTCCGTACAGTCCCCCGGTACCGGGTCAGCTGGGCAGCCTGGGTGAATTATATTAATATAGCTCTACGAGTGGTGGTGATGCTGACACAACCTGGATGATAATTCGTGAATGTGCACAGTTTGGAAAACCGAAATCGAGGGGCCGGCAGGATGACGAACAATGATAAACTAGAGCCCATTACCATCAGCGATGTGCGAGAAATCGCAAAGAAGCGTTTGCCCCGTCAAGTTTGGGATTACTACACGACTGGGGCTGATGAAGAACGTACGGTCCGCAGAAATGAAGCAGCCTTCCAAGAGTATGCATCTATTGCACTTTCAATGCCCCGTATTGACCATCAAATAGGCTGTTGATTCGCCCCCGGGCTCTGCGCAATGTAAGCAATATCGATACCGCGACTACCATTTTCGGCAAACGTTATGAAATCCCCATTGCCATCGCCCCGAGTGCGTACCAAAAACTCGCGGGCGGTAATGGTGAGATTGACGTCGCACGTGCAACCTCTGAACTGGGAACCAATGTCATCCTCTCCAGCAACGCAACTACGACACTCGAGGACGTTGCCCAGGCACTGTCGGGCCGGAGACCCGAGGATCCCGCGCCTTGGTTTCAGCTGTACTTTCTCAAGTCCAGGGACCTCACGGCTGGATTGGTGCAGAGGGCGGAACGGGCGGGCTACGAAGCCTTGGTGTTGACAGTCGACACGCCCATTCTCGGCAACCGACTCCACGAGCGCAGAGAGCCGTTGCAGCTACCGCCAGGCGTGGCAATGGCGAACGCACCTGCGAGGAGGGCCGGGGCTATATCTAAAGCCGGCCTCCTGCTCAGAGCCAAAACAGCTGCTGAACATAGAGAATTAGCCAAGGAGCATGCCGACTCGCTGGTGGATAGCAGCCTCGACTGGGCGGAAGTTATTCCCTGGCTCCGCTCTCAGACCAAGATGAAAATCCTTTTGAAGGGCATCTTGACGGCGGAAGATGCAGAGCGGTCACTCGATGCAGGCGTGGATGGTATTATAGTCTCTAATCACGGCGGGCGTCAGCTTGACGGAGTTTCGTCAACCTTGGAAGCGCTTCCCGAAATTGTTGACGTAGTTCGGGGCAAAATCCCCGTAATATTAGATGGAGGAATAAGTCGTGGTAGTGATGTGTTCAAGGCACTTGCCCTGGGCGCAGACTTGTGCTTGATTGGCCGAACGGCTCTATGGGGTCTTGCGTGGGATGGGCAGAAGGGCGTAGAAGGTGTTTTGCATATACTGGAGAGAGAACTCGCGAGAACAATGGCTCTTGCAGGTACGCCAAGCCTGGTGGATATATCGAGGAACATGCTTGGACGGGCCAAGAGGGATGGATTCGGCATTGCCAAACTATAGTCAGATGGGAAGCTAGTGTAAGATTCAAACCTTTGCAATGGAAAACAGTTCTTGTAATTGCGGCTCACTTTACATCATGGTCAAATAATGCTAGTTTGTGTTTCCTCTTGGCTCCGTCATAGGAGTCGAGATACGAGATGTGAAATGCCTTGTCTATTATTGTATCAGCTGTGATACTTTTCTTGTTTGCCAGTTTCGAAGTTAATTCGAAATGATGTCCTGGACTAATCCTCAGCCCAATGACAGATGGGGCTTGAAGTAGCAAATTGGAATGTTGTGGAAGCAACAGAAGCCAAGATGTCTAGCTCCAGCATTATAAAGGAGTCTAGACAAATCCTTGGCGGCTTGAAAAGGGCTGCCATCGGGACACCTCACAACCTTGCAAATAATGGGTCGTAATTCTATAGGATTCCTAACCTTGACGACCAGTTCTTTCCATGATGCATGTGAAGGTCTTCTTATACTCGAATCCGTATTGTACATGGTCATTATGAGTTCCATGCATGCAGCATTGTATGCATAACCTTGATACATACCCCATGAGATTTACATATAGTAATAGACTCAAATTTGTGCCTAAAATGTTTGAAATTAAGATAATGCATATACTGCATCAAGGTCGAAGCTTGGAGACATTTCCTCCTTCCAATTCGCATGCAGGAGAGAAGCACTATTCACACGACTCGCATATCCACTGTTCCATATTGCGTACTACTATATTCTGCACTAGGCCAAAGGTGGCTTGGCATGCCCTCCGATAAGATAAAGCTATGCCGGGGATGACTTCACCTACATTCTTCTCGAACAAGCTGGAAAGTGCACTAAGAAACTGGTGGAAACCAGCTGCTCCGAGAGCATCCAGCCTCGAAGTACATCAACGACCGGCAGGTCTGAAACCTCTCTTTGTGTCTTTTTGTATTTCTACAGTTTACATCTTTCCAAAAGAAGAAACCTCTTTTGAATCACTCACGTATTATCATTCTTTTTACACCATTTTCACTGGTATCAAACAACGCACGATATGCTATCTAGGAGGCAACTCCTCACATCGTCGCGGCGCGCCGCTGATGCCTCTCTTCAGAGCATTGCGCGGCGCTCTGCTCTACCCTCTACCTTTTCACGCGCGGCAGTTTTACACTCCACCAAGCTGCTCACACAAGCGACCTTACCAACAACACCGATACGGTCTTATGCTAATGGAAGACCACATCCTCCCGGCGGCACACATCGAATGAACCTTGGAGGCGAGCCAGAAAAGCCAGCACTCGAGGAATATGGCATTGATCTCACAGCCAAAGCAAAAGATGGAAAATTGGACCCGGTTATCGGCCGAGACGCAGAGATTCAACGAACCATTCAAGTCCTGTCGCGGAGAACCAAGAACAACCCGGTGCTGATTGGAAATGCTGGTACGGGCAAAACCGCTGTTTTGGAAGGCCTGGCGCTACGTATCGTCCGCGGCGACGTCCCAGAGAGCATCAAGAACAAGAGGGTGATATCTCTCGACCTTGGATCGCTTATAGCAGGTGCCAAATTTCGAGGCGACTTTGAAGAGCGACTCAAGAAGGTATTGAATGAGGTGCAAAAGTCCAATGGAGAAGTCATTCTCTTCATTGATGAGCTGCACACCCTTTTAGGCCTGGGCAAAGCAGAGGGATCTATTGACGCCTCAAATCTTCTCAAGCCGGCTTTGTCCAGAGGCGAACTCCAATGCTGTGGCGCTACGACATTAGCCGAGTACCGACTGATCGAGAAAGATGTCGCCCTGGCAAGACGTTTCCAACCTATCCTTGTCAACGAGCCCACAGTCGAGGACACTATTAGTATTCTCCGTGGAATCAAGGAGAAGTATGAAGTTCACCATGGTGTTCGCATCACGGATGGTGCACTTGTGGCAGCTGCCACATACTCAAATCGATACATCACCGATCGCTTCCTGCCCGACAAGGCAATCGACTTGATGGACGAGGCGGCTAGTTCGCTTCGGCTGCAGCAAGAAAGCAAACCCGAGGATATCATGCGCCTGGATCAAAAGATCATGACGATTCAGATTGAGCTGGAAAGTTTGCGACAAGAGAAGGATATTGCTAGTCGAGAACGACGTGAAAAGTTGGAAGCAGATCTGAAGCAGTTGCAGGAGGAGGAGAAGACGCTTACAGAGCGATGGGAGAAGGAGAAGGGAGAAATCGATGCGCTCAAGAAGATTCAAGAGGACCTTGACAAGGCGCGTGTCGAATTGGACCAAGCACAACGGGAGGGCAACTTTGCGCGTGCATCCGAGCTGCGCTTTGGTGTTATCCCAAAACTCGAGGAACAGCTACCCAAGGAGGGCGAGGAGCCCACACCTGCTGAGGGCGCTGAGGGGACGTTGATCCATGATTCCGTAACGGCTGATGATATCGCCAACGTTGTCTCAAGGATTACCGGCATCCCTGTCACCAAGCTTACATCGGGACATATCGAAAAGCTCATCCACATGGAAGATGCTTTGAGACAGTCAGTCCGCGGCCAGGATGAGGCTCTCAAGGCAGTCGCAGATGCTGTTCGCATGCAAAGGGCAGGCTTGAGCGGTGACAACCGCCCCTTGGCCTCGTTCTTTTTCTTGGGACCAACAGGTGTCGGCAAGACGGAGCTGTGCAAGAAATTGGCCAACTTCCTATTCTCCACCGAACAAGCTGTTGTACGATTCGATATGAGCGAGTTTCAGGAAAAGCACACCATCTCACGTCTGATTGGTGCGCCATCTGGCTACGTTGGCTACGATGATGCAGGACAGCTCACTGAGGCTGTAAGGCGAAAGCCATATGCAGTCCTCCTTTTCGACGAATTTGAAAAGGCTCACCGAGATATCTCAGCCTTGCTTCTTCAGGTCTTGGACGAGGGATACCTGACCGATGCTCAAGGCCACAAAGTCGACTTCCGCAATACCATCATCGTGCTGACATCCAATCTCGGCGCCGATATTCTGGTCGGATCCAATTCGTCTGTGCCTTATCAAGAGGCTGAAGACGGATCTATCAGCCCTGAGGTGAAGAAGGCTGTTATGGATGTTGTGGCTGCGAACTATCCACCAGAATTCCTGAACCGCATTGACTCGTTCATTGTGTTCAAGCGACTTGCCATCGAGGCACTTCGCGACATTGTGGATATCCGGATCAAAGAGCTACAATCCCGCCTTGATGATCGACGCATCACGCTTCATGTCGACGGCAAGGTCAGAGACTGGCTTGCGGAGCGTGGTTACGACCCCAAGTTTGGTGCAAGGCCTCTCAACAGACTCATCACTACCGAGATCGGCAACGGCCTTGCAGACAAGATCATTCGGGGCGAGATCAAGCGTGGCGACAAAGCTAGTGTAAAGATAAAGGAGGACAATTCCGGTCTCGAGGTTTTCACCGAGGAAACTGCATAAATAATGGTTCATGGCCGGCGTTCTTGGATACTTGTTTATTTTGAGCATTGAAAGCATGGGTCAACATTGAAGGGCGCTGAGGATTTTTGCACGTCTGTATATATGAAAAGTATCATAAAGCATGAAGAAACGCCTCTCGATTAATAATAAGAAAACTTATCTTACTCTTAACATCTTGAAATTAATGCTACCTTTTAATTCGTAGTCATCTTAAATATTTCGAGGACTTGGTCGATTTCACACGGAAAAGTGGCAGATAACTTTGAAGGTGTCGAAAATACAAATGACCATCTTGAAATTTAAAAAGTAAAAAGTATATGAGCATGTTTGATCTACAAGTTGTTGTAAAGAATCACTTTATCATTATATTCTATACCTTGTTGTCTCATTCGGCAGCTGGCGTGCCTGACCCAAAGGCTCCAAAGCAAGAAAAGTACCCAGCTGCCGCCACTTGCCAATGACATCAGTCCAAGATAATTCATCTACACCTAGAGCTTGAGAACCTCACGGCAAATAAAGACTGCGAAAATCACCAACGGACAACCGCCTTCCGCATCTTTCGACGCAAATCCTCCGAGATGGCAGCCTACCGAGCTCCAGCACTGCGCGGTCTGCTCGGACGGTCGCTGCCGGGCCTGCGCAGCAGCGCGGCACCGCAGCGGCAGCAGAGACGCTGGGCGCAGGTACACGACGTGCGGTTCCTGGCCACGACGCAAGCCTCGCGCAACATTGCCGAAAAGTACAAGGACAAGCTGGACCGCAAAGCCAAGGAGGAAGGGCACACGGATGTGAGCTCGCTCAAGGCCGCCTACGCCGACAAGATCATCGAGCAGCGCACCAAGAACAAGATCTCGGTCCCGGGGCTCGACGCCCTGCTCGCCGACGAGGAGGCGCCCGCACGGCCACCCGTGGGAGAGACACAGCAGACATCAGAGAGCGCGGCGCCGGGCGCCGGCTCGCATCCGAACCCGCCAAAGCAGCCCGCGGCCGCCCGGCCGGCGTCGACAAAGTCGGGCATCAAGCCGCTGTCCGAGATCCTGGACATGGACAAGGCGCGGGAGCTGCCCGTCAAGGAGCTCGGGGCAGTGTGGCGGCTCCGGCACGCCTCGAGCGCCTCGTCGCTGTGCGCCGTGATCGAGGCGCCGACGTACCAGGCCCTGGAGCAGACGGCGCGGGCGCACCCAAACTTTGTGCTGCCCGTGCCGCGCGAGGGCGCCGGCGCCGAGATCCACTACCTGCAGTGGGTGTTTGACCGCGAGTCCCGCACCGCCACGGCCCTCTTCACCCAGCTTGCCGAGTACAAGGCGCGCGGCGAGTGGGCCCAGCCGCACACGAGCGTCACGCACTACTACGACGAAGGCGTCGCCGCCCGCCAGGGCGTCGTGCTCATGGCCGGTAATGTCGTCGACGGCCGCGGCGCCAATATCCAGGACGCTCAATGGCTTGTCATGCTGATGCAGCGCTTCTACGGCCCCGAAGCCCTGGCTGGCGATGGCGCCAAGAGGAAACTGCTGGAGGACTTTGCCAGGGGTGCAAATGGCGGCTTTACTGTTGAGAAGTTGCTGGAGGAGAGTGAGAAGCTCGGCTGAAAGTGCCAATAACCTCTCATCTGCACATATCCATAAAACATTGGATTGAATATAGAATGTGTTGGTATTCAACACCCGGAGTCGATCGCCACCAAAAAGGCTTGTACAAGAGGCGCAAAACGGAATCAAGGGAACGGCGGATAAAGTTAACATCGCATTGTTCGCCAGCTTGTAAGATTTAGGACTATCCTGGAAAGATGTAGGGGATATGTACGTTGTACCATGTGTAAATACTACAAAGAGCACCGCAGCCTCTGCGCGGCGCCAGTGGGTGCTGCTGGCGTTTTGAAATCCCAAAATATAGTAAAATACCCAAAGAACAAACTACAACTTTGGTCCCTTGGCTTTCTCCTCAGCTTTGGCCTGCTCCTTGAGCACTCTACGCAAAAGCTTGCCGCTTGCGTTCTTTGGCACTTCATCAACGAATCGTACTCCACCGCGAAGTTGCTTGTGAGGAGCGACCTTTGAGGAGATCCAGTCGACAATCTCCTTGGCCTTTTCGTCTGTCCGCTCAATGCCGGGCCTAACCACAACGTAGGCGCGGGGGATTTCGGTAGCGCGCTCCTGATCGTAGACTGGAATCACACAAGAATCCGTAATGTCGGTATGTCCCAAAAGAACGCCCTCCAACTCGGCAGGTGGCACTTGGAAACCCTCTATAGACGCAGCCGCGTGGTTAGTATAACGACTCGAATATAATGTTTCGTGAACAGCAGGAAGCTTACTGTACTTGATAAGCTCCTTAAGACGGTCTGTAACAAAGAAGTTGCCCTTGTCATCCATGTAACCAATATCACCAGTCTTGAACCAGCCGTCGGCACTGAAAGTATCCTTGGCGAGCTCGGGTCGGTTGAGGTAGCCCGAAAAGACGTTGGGGCCTTTCAGCCAAATTTCGCCCTCCTGCAAGAAGAAAAAATCAGATTCGACCAATCCCCACAGAACATTATACCACATATTCATTCACTTACCTCGCCTTGCTTGACATCGTTTCCTTCTAGATCGACAACGCGGCAAGTCATATTGGGAATGAGTTTGCCCACGGAGCCCTTGTATTTAGCCCATTCAAGGACTGTTTGGAGTAGCGCCACGGGCGATACTTCTGACAGACCATAACCTTGTTTCACGGGAATGGTCAGACGCTCCCAGACACCATTAATGAGTTCATGCGTCAAGGGTGCTGCTCCCGAGTTGAGCCACTTTATGGTTGATAGGTCGTACTTGTCCACAATAGGATGCTTCGCGAGCCCGAGGACGATTGGGGGTGGAATGTAGGCAAACGTAATGCCATACTCTTGAACAAGCTTGCAGAACTTTTCCAATTCGAATTTTGCCAGCACAACAGCTTGGTAGCCGTCGTGCACTGCAGCGTGGAGAATATTCACGAGACCCTTAGGTTCCCTAGTGAGCATGACGATCCAACTGCAAGATGTCCGGCGTACTTACGTATACGTGGAAAAAGGGCAGGACAGCCAACTGCTTATCGCCCTGCCCGTCGAGACCGCCTGTGGGGTAGAGACCGCTCCGCGCTTCTACGGTTGTCGACTGAATAACGTTGGCCACAATGTTGGAGTGCTTCAACATGACACCCTTGGGGAGTCCGGTCGTTCCCGAGGAGTACACCAGGAAGGAGAGGTCCTTTTGAGGGTCGATCCTTGTCCGGGAGTGTGAAAACAACAAGCTCGTGTCCTGGAGGTCGGTGAAATGCTTAAACTTGCCCGCGTTATCCCTCTCGTCGCCCATGAGCAGGATGCGGTCCTCGGGCAGGCCAATCTGCTTGGCCGCCTCGAGCAACACGGGTAGCATGGGAACCTGCGTCACGACACCCTTGACGTTGGAGTCCTTGAGCTGAAAGGCGAGTTCCTTGACCGTGTAGGTCGGGTTGGCGGTCGAGCAGACACCACCGGCCCATAGGGCACCCCAGCAGACGGCGCCGTAGTCAATGTTATTGGGGGAGAAGATGCCAAGTACATCGCCCTTCTTGAAGCCCCATTGCGACTTCAGACCCTTTCCAAAGGCAACTGTGGCATCCTTGAGCTGGCCATAAGTATATGATCGCTTTGTGTCTCCGTCAATGAAGAGTTCTGGCTATGGTGTGAGTGCTTTGACTTGTGCGTTATTATTTTCAGAGTAGAGGCTACCTACCTTTGTTGTTATCAATCTTTCTGCCCGCTTCCTTCTTCTCGAAAAGGAGCGACCATATATCCGTGTTTGGGATGAATACGTCGGTGTGGGGAGAGGAGATGACCATGGTGGCGATGGCAGCGAGGGCACCACGATTGCAGGATTCGGATATGGGATTGTTTCACAAGACAGACAGAAATAGGAAACCGGAAGTTTGGAGTTTGGAGATTTGGGGTATCTTTGGGGTAAAGAGACGTCAATGTGCTACAGCAACAACAATAACAAGCAGTGAGCGAGGTTGAAATGAGAGATTGAATAGCAAAGTGGATTTGCCGAGGCGAGATATGGATTCCAGTCCTACATACGTCAACTCTGGCTGTGGGACTACCTACGAGACCTGCCTACAAGTTGCTGTGTACGGTCATTGGAATATCAATCTAGTGGCCGCCTGTCCCCGTCTATTCCTCTAAAAGTACGGCCGCGATCGATGCCGATAGATACATCCATGCCCTAGCGCAACGACATACGCTAGAGGTTGGTCGTGGATCCCCTGACCGATTCCGCTGCTCCCACTTGCCCACCTCGCTCTCGGCGGCTTGGAATATCTGGGGTTCCTCATTGGTGTCCTGTCATCGTCTAGCATCCTAGGAAAGAAATGCAGGGGGTTGTTTTCCATTCACTAATGCCGGGACGTTTTCCTTGTGCTTTAACTTTTGGGCCGACTGTTTTTACATGCAGTACAATGATTCCAAGCAAAAATGACTCGCGTTTTATGGGATCCCCGTTGGTGTCCATCTAACCACTAACATAGCACGTATTGGAATGTTGTTCCCATTGCCCTAATACTAGCAGAACCGAGGTACGATACTGAAAACTATGGGGATATTGGAACTAAGTAGAAACGCCCCTACTAACGGTACCCCTAAAGTAGTAGCGCATCTCCGCGCCCAGGTGCCTGTCGTGCGGGGAATTGGGGCCAATCTCCCCCAACTCTTTCAGGCGGGTTAGCGGGTAACCGCGGGCCTATGTATGTAGAGGGAGCATGGCATGGCTGAGCCACATGACCGTGTTACACGTACAGAGCATAACCTTGCGGTAAGCGATTGGTATCTAGGTAGAAAAGATGCAGCAAGTGATTCAATGCCTTGATAGCCACATTCAAATCCTTTTGTATGCTTACACTTGCCGCATCCGTGAAACGGCCCCATCATGCGCAAGAATACCTGGCTCCAGCTGCAGTCTCTTGACCGGACATCGGTCGGCCCCGCATTAGCACCATCTGTTGATGCAGCCGGCTCAACTATCTCAAAACCTTGTATACGCAGATTCGATCAAATAACTGTTCTGCACTAGGCTTGGATGTAACCGAGTAGTTTCCGGTCTGCGGAATGGAATCCGTCCGTCCGCTTATTCCGTGTTCATTCATTGGACAAACTTGCCTATATATAGCCTTGGCAAACTTCTGGTCCATCATTCATATATAACCGGAACATGATTTGAGGGTGTCTACATAGGGATGCACTTGATACTCTCATTTGTGTGGCAGCGCCGGGATTTCATCAGCAGGTCGTCATACACAGAGCACCATCGAGGTTATGGTTCGACATGGCCAGCTTGCAATTGCATAATCTTCGCGTAGCTTAACCACATACTTCCCGCTGTAGAGGTAGAATGCTATTTTCCTTATTCGGAGAAGATCTGTGCTATTAATTATCTATATCCCAACTCCAAATCCAAATCTAAATGTGTACTTCTAATGCGTATATCCTTTTCCGTGTAGCCATCAGCATCGTCAGGTCGTTAAGCTCATACTCGTCTACCCAACGCCCACTATGCCATGCCCAGAATGAAGAAAGAAAAATGCAGACCACGAACTCCACTAAGACTAATTTCAAGATGGAGATTCGCTGCTCGACTGACCGCTATCATCTGCGGGTTCGCCGCGACTCTGAGGCTGCCATGCAGACACGGTCTCGCAGCCCTTGGGAACCCGACACTGGTCTCGAGCGTTGCAGGTCTTCCACAAAACCTCGCGAATTTCGCCGAAGACTTGATCCACGGCATCCATTGCCCAAATCACATCGAGATGTTCGTACTCAGGGATTACCTTGCTATGTACTATATCGACACTGTTGCATTCAGATTAGCACCTTTGTTTATTCATATCGAGGCTTCGTCCTTAGGGAGACCACGATAAACATGGAATTTCCAAGACAAAAAGAAATGTACTTACTGTGGCTCACGGCCTCGCTCGAACCGTCTTAACAACTTCCTACCGTCTACCAAGTCATCGTCGCCAGCGACCCACAAGGCAAAGGGTGGTGCTTGTTCGGAATACCATGCTGTCGAACCCTTTGACTTTCTCTTCGAGTGCTGCTGATGGTGACTCGAAGATGGTCGGCTGCCAATAATTGAGTCCCTTCTTGACATGGGTCTATCCGTGGGGTCGCCGAGCGGTCCATCGGTTGCCATATCCTCGCGCTCTTCCGCCTTCCACTCTTCTTTGGTCTGTAGAATACACTTGTGCTTCGCGAAGCATTCCCGACCAAGCCACCAGCGCATCGACTCAGCGCTGACATAGACTGGAGCAAACTGAAACATGCGATTTTTGAGTGCTCGATCCCACCTCGTATCGGACCAGTTGAACAGAAAAGAAAAGACCTTGTAACCCAGCCAGCCGTAAATATCAGCGGGCACAATTGAGTGCGCGACCATCATTAGGGGAATAAAAGCATGGATACCAAACATGAGCCGAAACATGGAGGGCGTAATGACTCTCATGAATTTGAAGTACATTTTGCCAATGAGCGGCCCAGCGTGCGTCGCTGGCGCGAGAGCACAGAACACCGTCAGCTTCTCGCCCAGCTCTGGCCTCTGCTCCTTGGCAAGTGCCACAAACGTCTGCGTCGTTCCCTGGGAGTGGCAGATCAGTCCGATCTTTTCAAAGCCTGTCTCGTAGAGAACCCTTGAAGTCAACGCCGGCAGGTCAAAGACCCCCATCTGTCGAATATTCCAACACCACATCCTCGGGTCGTTGTATTCCAGGAGTACGTGCTTGGGCTTGAATCCGCACCTGTTGTTTCCTAGCCACACGTCGTAGCCTGATTTGCACAAGTAGAACGCCAGTGAGTCGTCGTCATTGACGCAATAAGCGCCCGAACTTTGAAGCAAGCCGTGCATAAGGAGTACCGGAAACTTGCGCTTCCTTTCAGATTTATCGGGTCTGTCTCTGCTCTCGCCTGTGAAGAGTTCGGGGCCCCGCGACGCTCGATCCTTGTCATCTAATCTTTTGTATTCTTTAGGGTCGTAGATATGCCACAAGTCGATAATGAAGCCATCTTCAGTCTCGACTTGAAACTCCTCCATGTCCAGACCAACTCTTCGAGCATAGTACCCTACATCGCAAATCACCGGGTCTGGGCCTCCCTCCGTAGGGATATACCCATCCTGTGAAACGGGATCTTCTCTATCCACGCTTGCTCTCTCCTTGGACTTTCTGCGCCGCCAAGACTTTTCAATGTCTTCTCGTGTCTTCCTTCTTTGCATCTCTTTCTTGTAGAAGGGCCGCTCGGCATCGGGGTTCTTCAAGAGTAGTCTCTTCCATGTTCGAGAAAGCGCCGGTACGATACTCGTGAATAATGAACCGAGCACAATAACCCCTAGAAATGCAGTGCTGAGAAAAAAAGAGGTGACCCGAAATGTCAGACACTGCAAGTTTCGCAAAAGGGAAGCTGGGCCATATAATGGCAGAGGTGGAAATAGCGGATTGGTATGCGAAGGTGGCATGGTCCTGCTGATTGAACCCTCGGTCTGCCTGTGTATATGACGGCTATCAAGACCAGCCGACTCATCCAAATCTACCGTCATTTTCTCTGTGCCATTCTGTTTCCCCCCCTGGTCTCTCGAGAGACGTCGCCCTTCGCCAATTGCATCTTTGGGGCTCTGCTCATGCAAGTCGTCTTTTAGCACGTTTAGTTTCCATGCCTCTTCGAGCGGCACGGCGGGAAGTCTTCCGCCGTCGGCGGTAACTATGACGGGGTCGTGGGGGGTTACGAATTGGGCCTCGACCGCCGTTGATGCCGGGTGCTCATCGTCTGCTATTGTACGATGCGACAACTTCTCTGCTTGCTTGGTGAACTTGATGGCGGCTTGCGCGTGGGCAACACCGCTGGGCTTAGCATCATTGCTCGCCGCGGCAGCCATCACTCTCGGGCTTTTGCGACTTGTATATGTTCTCGATCGATTCGTCTTGATTGTGCGACCTGATGTTATTATCGACCAAACCCCGGTATCGAACAGTGGAAAGAACCCAAAAGAAGAAGAAAATCACCCAGGGCTATATGGTGGAAAAGTCTAGACCCCAGAAATCAGGGCATATGAAAAAGAAGAAGAGCAACGATTCATAGGAAAATGCGGTCTGTATTAGCCCAGAGTCTAAAACCACCACGATCGCAAATGGTTTGTTTCTTACGAGAGACACTACCGATCAGTCCTGCTAGAGAAAAAAAAACGAGAGAGAGGGAGGGAGACACAATACATGTCTATGCACGCGTACATAATAGCACATGCGCCGGAACAAATTTCAGCTACCATAGGTTGGAACGCGACATGTCGGAGTGTAGCCGGTACACCACCTAGAGGCGCCCATAGGGGATCGATAAAACCAAAAGAGGAAGAAGATCCTTGGAAGTGGAATGCCAAAAGGATGATTGTGGAGGGGCCAGTCCGCATCCCACCCGCTTCGCCCAGAGATCGATCCACTGACGTCAGGTTCCAGGTTAAAGAGATCTAGCGCATCTTGACAGGTCTTAGCATCCGAATACAAAAGCACATGAAATCTGAAAACAGTTGAAGGTGAACGCAGTCACATCTTTGTAATCTGTGGATCTCCCAGATTTTTGACATAAATATCGAGATTGGACAATGAGGCTCACCCAAGGTAAGTATAGTACAGTTAACGTTGTGCTACATGAATCAAGGAGATTTCCTGCTTTGACCAGATTTCATATATTGCTACTGCAGGACAGAAGTAAACCATATATACAAATGGCACGTTTGCAGTTTTTCTAGATGAATTGGTCCTATTGCATTGCAAACTTCAGCTGACAAGGTACATGATTTTTTTCTTACCTATAGGGTTTTCTGTGATCGTCAGCCACTGGACCCAATCAGCCCTAATTCGCCCTTGAAATTACTTTCAGCTCAAACTTTGGCCTATCGCATCTGCTAAGATTTCAATGAGGTCATGTCAAGACGGGTGATCCAGGAAACTGGGAAGATATGCAATGAGATGAATGCTTTACACTTCCAGAAGATTAAAGTCAATCGTCCTATGCTGTCATATGTCATCTTGGGCCCGCTCCAGCCCTTGCCTAAATTACAATAAGTCGAGGTCCTGTTTGGCCGCAATCGCACAGATCACGAATTTGAGTGTACTGCACGAGGTAGTGTTTCCAAATTTCTCGGGAGATCGGCAGAACCGCCAATATTCGGTGTTACAGACCTCAACACACCGATTGGATACATTAACGTTGTTGGCATTAAATCTGGGTTAGTATATCGTGCATGCTACAGATCATAATCACCCTCTTTCGAGGCAGAATTGAGGACAACGATGATGATCATGCAGTGTTGACATGTTACCGATACTATTTTTATACAAACATAGGTATTCTCCTCACTATAATATGACTGCATATAGTTCATACTACTACTATGTACTTGGCAAGTAAGGAACATCGGACGTCGGACAGAGGAAAGGAATAGTGGCTGTTCTACAAGTATAGTAATTCGCAGTGGTATTTCCACTGGAACGCCAATTTGATAGGCGGAAGCTATCGAGTTTAGTGCCCTATCAGCATTTCCTAGAGGTACCTAGGTACTTTCGCGGACGAACCACACTGCGACCCCGGACCCCTTCTTCGACGTTCCCCGGCAATGCACCAGCATGTGTTTAGGTGCCTCGGCAGACCTGCCGAATAGCAATTGGTGCTGTGAGATGCGACCACCCACGATCAACCGAGCTGGGGGACCAAACCAAGCTCCCGACATCCTTCGCATGCAATCGACCCGCGGGAAGTTTTGTTCTTGCACAAAGGAGACCTGCAGTGTTTGAAGCACAAAAATCTACTTTGTAGATGCGAGCGCGTCTGCTCCACCAACGCTGGGTGTAGGTAGTGCTTGGGGGGAATACGATACGCCAACTTTGACAATGGCCGCAACCGCAGTCGCCAGCCGGCGAAGACGCAGGAGGAGACAGGACAAACCCTCCATCCCAGCGCGGTTGGTCCTCGACGATCACGTAAAGGGCGACGTTGGAATACTATCAGATGATTTATTTGCTGACCTGTTCCCCCACTTGATTCACCGTGAGTACTTACTCATGACATACATGCCGAGTGTACTTGATATACGCGACAATTGACTGACCGAGCTCCTTTGTAGAAGAGAGCGACGAGATCAAGCCGAACCAGACCGCCGAGCTCCATCACGTCGCCATAGCACCATGGACACCAGATGCGAACATCCTGAGAACGAGCTGGACCATTGTCCCCGTCCTAAAATCAACCGCACTTGCGCATTCCACCCTGCAGTTCTCCCCGTTCTCCTTGGCGCTCCAAAATTTCGCGGCGACCCTTAAGCAAATCGCGCCGTCCAAACTGTCGAGTCAAAGCCGGAGTGGGATTGAGATCCACGTTATAGATGTTGCTGCGCTGGAGCTGGACACAATATTCGTGAGCCTGGAGAGTGATCTTGCCCGAAGGTTGGAGCAAGGGGAGGGGACATTCTTCAGAGAACATCCTGCCTCCAAAGAAAAGGCAAATGCGAGATCCGAGTCCCCTGCGGAGCAACTCGCGAATGGATTGCGCGCTGCATTGGGCACGCTCAAGGTGGTGCATGCCGGAGACCAATTCCCACTACCATTGCCGCCGCACCCAGTCACACATATTCCTCCGCCTCCCGGAAAGGTTATGCTGTGCGAGCCAGTGGCTCAAGGTATTCTAGGTCCGCGCACCAAGATCATTCTCACAAGAGGACACAGCTCATCCAAAGCTGATCGAGGCTCGGCCAATTCTTCTCAGGTTTTGAATGGAACAACGCAAGAAGATGGTGATGACACGGCTAACGACCAGTTTTATTCGGCTGCCGAAGAGAGATACAAGACGGATGTACCCACAGAGGCGACAGAGACTGCCACTGAAACTGAGACTGAGGTGTCGGAAATTGAAGAACATGAAGACGAATTATCGGACGATTCAATGGACGATATGATTTCATTACAAGCGCCTCAACTCCCACCTACGACTGCGAGTGGGTTGTCTACTATGCAGCCCGGGACGCCGATGACACTCGGACGAGGAAGGAAAACCAATGGTATCAACACACCAGGGTCCGTTTTCTCAAGCTTCACAGCCACCACAGCGCGACCTGATCGGCCAAAAGGGCGTCTCTTCAAAGCCCACGGGCTCATGAGCCCCATTCCTGCCGGCCTATTGCACCCCAAACCCGGAACGGATGATGATGCAGAAGCTCGCATCTACGTGGATATTACTTCTCTGACTAGAATTGGTTGTTTCTCTGGTGATTGGGTTCGCTTGGAGGCATCCAAAGAGCCCCCTTCCAACGGAGCAGGTCTTTTTGGACTCGGAAGCTTTGGTCAGCCAGACACGGATCCTGTTTGGAGGCCCGCCAAGGTCTTTGGACTTCCCGAGGGTTATTCGCAGCGCCCGATGACGAGAATCCCCAGTGCAAAACACCACAACGATGGCAGGCGCTTTTCCTTCTTTGAATCACAAGTGCCAAAGCCGTCTGGCCCTGGTGCTTACTTATCGCCAATGCTCCTGGCCAACCTTGAGAATGCGCCATACGTCAGATTATCCCCGCTGAAAAGACATGCTTATCCACCTAAACCCGGACAACCGAAAATAACTGGTTCATCATTTCCCCCCTACGCTCGCGATGTCACTCTTCAAGGCATTCGAACTCCTCTTTCTTCGGAAAGAGCTCTGCAAACAGTCATTGTGGGTGGTCTCAAAACTCACTTCTCACGATGCACTCGAGTCGTTAAGACGGGAGATCTCATTGGTGTTCCGATTGATAGTCAGCTCGGAAAGGCTCTACAGGAGGCTCCTGGAGCTGGAGACGGTTCAAATGTTGATGATCTGCTTGCATTGACCAACTCAAACAGTTCTTCTGGGAAGACTACCAAACCTGACGGTGTTGCTTGGTTCAAGGTTGGCCACATTCAACGTTCAAGGACCGAAAATGCTGATGATGGGGATGAGGAAGACGTATGGGGTGGTGTCGTTTGTGTCGACATTGCCTCGACTCAAATTTCTCAGTCAGGCGCTACAACAAGCCTTGTTCCTGGGACTAAAGAGAGCAATTGGCCTTATTATCTTGGAGTGGAAGAAGCACCCAAAACTGGCCCGCAATCTTTCTTGTCTTCGGCACAAGAGACAGCAAAGTTCATTTCACCGCTTAGACGGAGGATGTGCGAGTTGATGGCTGCGGCCACCAGCAAAAGGGCCATCCATTTAAAGATGCCTCCAGTGGCGATCTTGTTAGTCTCTACCCAACGAAACATTGGAAAGTCAACGTTGGCGACGAATGCTTGTTCCGACATTGGAATCCACACCTTCACTATTGACGCCTACGACATTGTCAACGAAGGTGGAGGCGGAGGAAGTGATGTGAAAACCGAAGGCTTCTTGAAGGCGCGAGCTGATCGTGCTATGAGCTGTGGACCCGACTGCTGTGCTCTACTCATAAGACATCTGGAAGCTCTCACGGCTGACAGAATGGTCACGGCAATGAAGGAGATCCTGAACGAGGCTAGGGTTTTGATAGCTACAACCACGGAAGTCGACAAAGTACCTGATGGCGTCCGGGGTCTCTTTACGCACGAACTAGAGATGAACGCCCCCGATGAAGGCGAGCGTGAAGGCATCTTGAGGACTATTGTCGAGCGCCAAGGTGTCTCACTTGCTCCAGAAGTCGACTTGAGTGGTGTCGCTCTCAAGACTGCTGCTCTTGTGGCTGGCGACTTGCTCGATGTCGTTGAACGCGCCATTGTAGCACGCGATGCCAGACTAGAAGCGCTTTCGAGAAGGGCATCGAACGGTGACTCTGTCATCACCATACGAGATATTCAAGTGGCAGGAGGACCATCTGCACGGTCTCTCACAAAGGCAGATTTTGAGATTGCAGTGGACGCTGCTCGCAAGAATTTTGCCGATGCGATTGGCGCGCCAAAGATCCCCAATGTTACCTGGGACGATGTAGGTGGTCTGAACAACGTAAAAGAGGCAGTCATGGAGACTATCCAGCTGCCCTTGGAACGGCCAGAGCTCTTCGCAAAGGGAATGAAGAAACGGTCTGGCATCCTCTTTTACGGCCCACCCGGCACCGGAAAGACACTTCTCGCCAAAGCTATTGCAACAGAGTACAGTCTAAACTTCTTCAGCGTCAAGGGACCAGAACTACTAAACATGTACATCGGAGAGTCCGAAGCCAATGTGCGTCGGGTCTTCCAACGTGCTCGAGATGCAAGACCTTGCGTCGTCTTCTTCGATGAGTTGGATTCCGTCGCTCCAAAACGAGGCAATCAGGGAGATAGTGGTGGCGTCATGGATCGTATCGTCTCTCAGCTTCTCGCTGAGCTCGACGGCATGTCTGGTGGTGATGATGGTGGAGGTGGTGTTTTTGTTATTGGAGCTACTAATCGACCTGACCTGCTCGACCAGGCGTTGCTGCGGCCTGGGCGATTTGATAAAATGCTCTATCTCGGAGTTTCTGATACACATGACAAGCAGCTCACCATTATGGAAGCGCTTACGCGAAAGTAAGTTCTTGCATCCGAGGGCATTTGTTTGCATTTATCCCAATACTATCGGTATTCGTGGCTAACACTTAAATAGATTCACACTCCACCCCTCTGTGTCTTTGTCGTCTGTTGCGCAACAGCTGCCGTTCACCTACACTGGTGCCGATTTCTATGCACTCTGCAGTGATGCCATGTTGAAGGCCGTGACGCGGCAGGCTACGGCCGTTGACAAAAAGATTAAAGAATTGAACACAAACCTACCACCAGGCAAGCCGCCGATTTCCACAGCAAACTATTTCGATCACCATGCCCAGCCCGAAGATATTGCCGTTATGGTCACGGAACAAGATTTCCTAGACGCCAATCGGGAACTGATCCCCTCGGTCAGCGCAGGCGAATTACAACACTATGAAAGGGTAAGAGCCACGTTTGAAGGAGGACGCGATAAGAAGGAGACTGCCGCTGCCATCAACGACGCAGCAACCATCGAAGGCCCTAAAGCCAGCAGCGGCAAGGGCAAAGGCAAGGCGGTTGCAGCATCCTCTGGCAAAGGGAAGGGCAAAGCCGTCGCGGGCGAAAGTGACCAGGACAGCGATGACGAGGGGAATGCTTATGGAACTTATTCGGCGGGCGGTAGTATCAATGGCAAGGGCAAGGGTAAAGGAAAAGCCGTCATGAGGTTTGAACAGGGAACGGGAAGTGATGACGATGGATTATACTGAGAATAGCTTCCGGTGGATGTTTGGCACCGGTTGCCGCGTCTTGATGTATTGCGAGGCTGCCGAACTATAATGTCTGTCCAAGTCCTCTGTAGCTATGGTCCGCTGTACTTTTTCCTGTACGGCATGGGCGCCTTGATTGAATGAATCGTTGGTGACACGACGAAGCATGAGGCAGAGACTTGCGAAATGTTCATCTCCGATGATTACCAATATATTAGAAGTGACATAAATAAAACTCTTGGTATTCAACTCCCGGACAACTAATCGTAGGTGTACAATTTTCTCATGACAGCTTCTCATCAAGGGTATCGTCGCTTATCAACTACTTTCGCAACGCTCAAATCAATGTACGCCAACGCCTGAATATATGCTGGTCTGACAAGTGGTTCCCAAAGCAGAAATAAAATAACAGAACTGGTCGCTGTGAAACTCCTATGCTATGTGTATGTGACTGAACGAAACATTTCACCGGAAAAGGATAGAACGTCGAGAATTCGTAAGTGGCAGCTTTACTGCTGTCCCTGGAAATGTTGCATAAACTGGATCGCCTGCTCGATAGGATAGCCGATGAAGACGGGCCCAGTGAAGAGCATCTGGGGAGCTCCGGGCTTTGGAGGTGCCAGATTGGAAGCATTCAGAAATGTCGGCTGCCCGGGCAGAGCCGTCGGGTGCCTAGTTGCGGTTGCAGGAGTGAAACCTTGGTTAGGGGAAGGGATATCCGGCTGTTTTGGGTCATCTCTGTCGTGGGGAGCGACTGGAGTTGTGCCGTTCATGGTCATCTTGGTATGGTCAAACGGGCATTTGCCAGGCCTGCGGCTTGGTGTTTCCTTGTTGGCATCAGGTGTCAAAGGTACTTGTACGGGTGCAGGTGGAGGCGAATGGGGGCGTTCATGGCTTTCATCAGCAGCCATGGGCGGATCGAAGTCTGGGACTGGAATGCCCCAAGGACGGCTAGGAGACTCGCCAAGGCGAACCTCCTTGAGAGGCCTATCAAAGTGACTAAGACGTTCTTCATTTTCAGCCAGACCCTCGTCATTCATGACTGACTGGTCGAGCTCGTCGGCACCGGTCGCGCTGACTGCTTGAGCCCATGTCTCGACGCGCTCATTTGATCCTCTCTCCACATCACTTTGAGGACGGGTGTCCTGCTCTGGGAGCATGGGCTGATGGATACGGCCCAAGCCCTCAACCATGTTGGCCATGTTACCGTACTTGGCATCGAGCTTTCTCAGATGGATTTCATCCTTTTGATATCTGCGTAAGCAGACCTCATGACTGCGGGGAAGTTCGTGTTTGTGAGTTTCCAGGTAATGAGCAATCTCTTCTGGAGTGTGTTGGTCTAGGTAACGGATCGGACATTTGGAGGCACTGTCTTGTGCTGATGGATGTGCCGAGCGATCTGCACTCCTTGCCTCTTCATACATGGCAGCACAGATGGGATCGTTGGAGTCATGTGGTAACGAAGCCGGCTGTTGGGCAGGAGTAGCTTCTGGCGATTCCACAGACTGGGAGAAGGGACATTTCAGATCGCTCTTCTTTCCCTGGACAGTAAAGTCCTGCTCCAAGACTGTCGAGGCAGCGGTCGTCATGGTGCTGCGAGAAAGTGTGTCAAGATCTCGACTCGAATAGCTGCTCTTGCTGTAATTTCCGAGGGAGGATGCAACCCGACGTCCTTCTCTAATGATGAGGGCAATTTGGTGCTTTGAGTCGGCAGATTTGCGTCGGGGAAGAGGAACCGAATTTGTGTTTACAAGGGACGGGTTGTCGGGCTCAGGTGGCAGTTGCAGATGCGCAAGAGTTTCGGAGATCTCGGGCGCAGCCGGTGCATATTTGTCGGCCAAATATTGAAACTGTAACGGAGGAAAAGCGTCAGCGTTTGTCCTCGATGGTGGATTTGTAATCGTGCGAACAAAAGAGTCACGGTTTGTTTGTTGCTTGTCAGAAAAAATGGTAAAAGGTGTCGGTCTTCACCACCAATGAAAAGGCGGCTCTTGATCTAGAGCTAAAGTGTTTCATCATACAAGTCGGAGTGTTGGGAGTAGTCTTTTCTCTTTGGGATGGGCGTTTGTGGAGGTAGGGGAGAGACGTGCGGCCTTACCTGCTCGTGTGCGTAGCGAAGTTTGTGCTCTAGGACGACCTGGCGGTCATTCAGATTCTGGACCTCATTGGCTAGAGCGTGGAAAGACTGAACCAACGTCTGAGTGAGGTCTTGAACATTCATTCCTGCTGGCGGGTCGAGACCATCTGTGCTGTTGAAAACACATTTGAAGCTCGGGAATGGGATTGAGGTGGAAAGATGAAAAAATCCAGCAGGTTTTGGAATGGAGACGCAGAGGAGCCGATGACAGCTCCGAAGTGGCTTGCTCGGCTTGGGTGGGTTACGTGCTGCTTAATTGCATATCATGTCGTGCTCGCTAGAGCACCCCCACAGCCTCTTGGGTGTTCTTTTAGCCTATTAGGTATGCTCAAGTGAACCTCGAGTTCTCGGTCACGGATTATGTACGGAGTGGACAACCGCTCGAATGACCATGGCGTGCGAGATTGGGTCATGCCATTTTGAAGCCGGCGGCCCCCGGACTTGAAGTGTTTTACTCGCTACGGATTTACGTATTTCATTGCGCGTCTGACTATACATGTACCTAGGCACCTACGTATACTCTGTACACTCGGTTCGATCTTACACACTGGGTGCCCTCAAGACTGCCCAAGTGGGTAGAGCATGTCGGGACGATGTGATACAAAGATGCTTATACCCGGATACCTTGATAAACCAATAGGCTGGGACCAACCTGCCTGGTAGACTGGATTTACCCCATCTTCCTGCATGTAACTACTAGGTTAGGTAGGTAGGTACATATCTATCATCTGGCCAGCTCGATAGTCGAGATATCTCGGGACAAGCTCATACTACCGTCCACTCCACTCAAGTTGTGTATTTGTCCCATACGTCTGCCGCCGCAATTTAGCGTTACTTGTCCGTCGGCATTCTCGACTTGTGATATCTCCGTCCTCTGTTGCGCGTGACAACGTATTGGAATTGTCTTCTCCAAGTTATTGTCGCACTAAGCTGAGTTCTTCCAAGATGAGTTGGACTACACTTGCGCGTTTGATTTCCAAAAGCCGACCACATCTTGTGCCCGGTAGAGCTCATACTCGTTTCCAATCACCAACAAGCGTGCTGACTTTGAATACAAAGGAAAACTTCTGGTTACCGAGTTGTGGTTCGAAGTACCCCTCGATTATTCCAGACCAACTGGCAAACAGATCAAGCTATTTGGCAGAACTGTATCCAAGTATGAGCGTCCCATAATCGAGCCATCGCCAGAAGATCAGGCCAAGGCAGCGCAGAAACCTCTGCTTGTCTACCTACAGGGTGGGCCTGGGTTTGGTAATCCACAACCCCAAGATAGCACATTGTCATCGCACATGCTCGACAGAGGCTATGAACTTCTCCTGCTTGACTACCGAGGCACAGGCTTCAGTTCCACCGTCTCGGCTGAGACCCTCAAACACATCGGAGGTCCTCAGGAGCAAGCCGATTATCTGAAACACTTCCGTGCGGACAACATCGTGAGGGATTGTGAGTCCGTCCGTAAATACCTGACGAAAGAATATCCGCCGGAGAAGCAGAAATGGTCGACATTTGGGCAGTCTTTCGGTGGCATGACAACCCTCACGTACCTATCGCTCCAACCCGATGGCTTGCGCGAATGCTTCATCACTGGTGGCTTGGTGGCTCTGGACAAGAATGCCGAAGAAACCTACCAATCTACCTTCGGAAAAGTCATTGAAAGAAACAAGATATACTACGAAAAGTTCCCAGCAGATGTTGCTGATGTCAAAGAGATTGCCGCCAAAATCCGCGAGCTAGGAGGGAATGAAGGCATCCGTTTGCCTGCCGGGGGAAGACTGACCGTTCCGCTCTTTCTCACACTGGGCATCAATTTTGGCAAGTACTATGGCTTGGACATAGTTCACAATCATGTCGTTAGAATGAAGGGTGACATTGACCAATTCGGCTTCTTTACAAGAGCTACTCTGAACGATATCCAACAAGCAATGGGTTGGGATGATGCGCCTATATATAGCGTTCTCCACGAACCCATTTGGTGTTATCGTCCTGGAATAGCAAGCAATTGGGCTGCTGAGCGGGTAGGCAAAAGTCTCGAGAACTTTCAGTGGCTACAGAAAGATTGGGCGGGACCGCAGTCTTTGAAAGACAAGGAGCCACTCTTCTTCTCGGGGGAGATGGTATATCCATTCTTTTTCGACACTAGCGACGAGCTCAACCAGCTGAAAGAGACCGCCGAGATTCTCGCCAAATTTGATGAATGGCCAGCGCTCTATGACGAAGCTCAACTACGAAAGAACACAGTCCCAGTCTACGCGGCCATCTACGAAGACATGTATGTATTTCCAGAGGACTCGAGAAAGACCGCCTCCATCATCAAAGGCTGCAAGACTTGGGAGACGTCAGTCCATTTCCACGGGGCTCTGAGAAGCCACGCAGCAGATGTCTTCAGGGAGCTGTTGCGATTGCGCGACGATACCATCAATTAAGGAAGCAAGGTATATTCTCAAATGCTCTGGAGAGAAGTGAAAGGCCCATGGTAAGCCCATAAGCGTTCATTAGAGACATGGTTACACAAGGATATCATCTACGAAGGTACTTGGTGCCACCGCTCTTTGGCCTGGAAGTAGAATTTTCTTCAGAAGCATGTCTTTGCGCTTGACGCTTTCTGGAACCAATAGGATGGTGAGAACTCTCGAAAAAATAAAGTTTTGACAGATGTGGGATAGCCGCCCTCTCCCGCGCCTCTTCTTTTTGGCAGTAAAGCTCGGTAAAGCTAGAGATGATGGAATGATAACGCCACCTCTCCCTTATTGATCATCGTGCGGTATTGGCATTCTCACTTGTACGACGAGTCTTGAAGTGTATCTGGTGGTGCTTTGGACACCATTACCAGACCTTATCCAGTGGCGCACTACGTTTTCCGCAAGACCAATGATGAGCGACGAGAATGAGAGAGCGCCGCACCTAGTGTGGGATGACATCCTATAGTATTCGGATTTGAGTGAGACAAGCTTGTGTAGCACTACCGGACGTACGGGTCAGCCACAAACTCTTTCAACCAGTATTATAATGGTACTCTCTTCTCTTATCGCAAGACGGCCGGGCTGACCTTTGAGCTTGCAGCTCGAACTGAGTATATATTGCTGGTGACGGCTCTCGAGCCTCAGTCGGCGGTACTAATACTCAGCATAAACCATTTGACCACATCTCATCATTATTATGAACTTCTCAAGTGTTGGTGAAGCTGTTCCAGCACTCGCTGGACTTGGCTACTTTCCTCCAGACGACACGCGGTCAATCTACTCGGGTGGCCAGAACTTCACGCATTGTTGTCTACGTGCTGCGAACAGTTCTCTGACAATCGAGAATCACCAATTGGCATTCAGTAATGATTCTTACTTTGAGTCGAGTGTTTCGATCGAGGACATACTGAACTCAGTTGAAGACGGCATCTTTCCATGCGGGGCCCAGTACAACGGAAATCTAAACGGATCGCCCAACATCATCGTCCCATACAGCTGGTGTATTTCTCAGTGTAATGGCTGGGAGATCTCGCACCCTAGCAAGCTCAATCAATGGGTCGGTCCGCTAGTACAATTTCTCCTGCCATCACTCGCCTTCTGCCTCAATATACCAAGAACCCGTAAGCTCGCAATACCGGAATTTGTGTTCCAGGCGCACCCGCGGAACGTCATTGGTTTCACAACATACTGGCTTCGGTTACTCATGGCGGGCATTCTCATGTTGATCGATACCATGGTGTGGCTGTCAATGTGTTTTGCTTTCGCGGGCCCCATGTTACTGAGTGGCGTTTACGAGTTTGTTCTTGACCGGAAAATACTCGAATTCCTGAGCCCGCCTGCCAAGGTTCATGACCGTCCGCAAATGCCCGTCAAGCTCCGAGCGCAACTGTTATTGGCAGTAGTGGTTGGTAACCTTCGAATCAACAGTAGCAGCCTAGAGGCCCAAAGGGAATCTATCCCCGTGCGCCAGGATAGCTACGGCTTGTACAGTGCGAAGCGAACTCAGACGACCGACACTGCCCATTCTACCACTACCGACAATACGTGGACACGGGTGATGATGATGCTTCACGGTATAGATGGTTCTCAGATGTCATTGCAGCCGGAAGTCGGAGAAATATCTCTACCAACGAAGCTCAAATCAATTCTCATGGCCCAAGAAAGGTATGATACGAACCCTTCTTGTCCAGAACTAGGCACCTTACTAATCACCCTGTCCAGCTTCGGCTCGACCATGGGAGCTCCAATCCTGTTCTTCGTAGGTGGTTTTATCTATACGGTTCTGGATATTGATAATCAGCTCGGCGACAACGATCAAGCACATGCACTCGCCTTTGGAACATGTCAGTCTTGACTCCGCTTCTAGTTGCTCATTTGGGCCATTTTCCCATAACTGATGCTTAATAGGGTGGATGACTATTCCGTACCTAGCCATTGTTTCATGCGCCATGCTTTCATCGAACAGCCCAAGCGCTCTACAAGGCATTGTATATGACGGCGGAGATCGTGCCGCGCGTGAGAAGCATGAATTGAGCTTCTGGGACCAATTAAAGGACAAGATCAAGAGTCTACCGCTAGGAAACGTCATCGGTGGTCACTTTGGAGGCTACTCGCTCATTGAGCACACCTATGAAGGCCACTTTCAGACCGTGACAATGTGGAACAGGGGACCCAACAAGCGACGATGGGTCTATGAGGCCATACGAGAGTACTCGAAAGACCGCCAGATATCCGGCGATGAAGATGCCATCACGCCCGACGACGTTCGAAAAGGTCTCAGAATGTCATTCACCGACAAGCGCAACATCATTATCGGTACCCTCTTCCTGCTCCTCACGCCGTCGATTCTAGCATTCCTGGTATCCTACAACACGCCGCGCAAATCCCTGGCGTGTCGCACGCTGACATACATGGTGTACGGAATCACGCAACTGTGCGAGATGCTGCTCTGGATCTGGGAGGTCTATCTCAAGGTGCAGTACGGCTCGCAATGGTCAGACACCAAGACGCTGGCAAAAGCAATCAACTGGTGGGCACAGGCTTTTGTTGCCTTTTTCGCCATCCTTGCCGCCGTTGGTGGAACGTTTATGCAGCTCCTGGGCGTTTACCACTCTTGCTTATGCCGGGTAAGGAACTCTGCCAATTTTTCTCCTTCTCCATCTTGATAGGCCTGGGAGGAGAAAGAAGAAGAAGAAACCCCCGGCTGACACACTGAGCAGATTCCGGTAGAGTATTGGCTCAAGCCAAACGATCCCGGGGCCTGGATCAACATGAGCGATAATACGGCCGAAAGCATCGTGGCGGCCCAGGATTACTGGACCGTTATCGGCACCGTGGCCGTTGTTGTGCTTAGTGTCGTCTGCGCGCTTTGCTGGTGGCACCAGCGACGATTAAGAAAAGTCTTTCGCGAGGAAGCTGATCGTCTGGAGGAGAGTAAGGAATTCGAGTTACCGCTTGGACGATCGCCGAGTGATGTCGCGTATTCTCCCCCAACATCTCCAATGACGCAGCGAACTTAGAACGGGGAATTCTTTGTGCTTAGCTAGTATAATTCTTGTTGGATCTTGAATGATACACACGCCGGCAAATGGTTGGATACAAGTCTAACAAACCTTTTCTTTTTCTCGAGCGGGAGCGACATATTTTGTTCAGTCTCGTGCCGAAGAGCTTGCGCTTGTTAAAGTCCCAATCTAGACAATTACATTAGGAACGAGATTCATTGTCTTTTATTCGCTACCTGAAGATGATACGAACTGAAGCGGCATCGAGCCCAATGTTTCCCGAACATATGCAGACTGTTCTCCCCCGCCTTGCTGCCCATAAGCACCCCGGATCATGCCGGATCATGCCAATACAACGCAAACGAATAAAACGCCAAACGCCAGCCCGATGCAGATAGGGTATCATTGCACATCTACTTTTCCGGCCATCTTTTACATTAAGTGAAAAAACGATCAAGCAAGCGAAAAGTCCCAAGGCTTGAATGCCTCCTTGAAGCGATCTGCGTCAGACGTCTCGTCTTCCACGCTGAGGGTGGAAGCCTTCCAATCGAGTCGATTCTCGAGCTCGAGAAGCTTGGCCAAGACCTTTCGCGGGAATTGCAAGTCGAAGCGGAAGCTATCGTCTAGCGACATGACGAGCTCTTTCCCGTGGATGGCCGCGTCACTATCGTCATACCAGATCCAAAGACGCAGGAAATCGCCCTCTTCGTCCATGCCAGATCCCAAATTTCGCTCTTTCAGGGGCGGGTATTTAAGATTCTCGGCTTCGACCTTGAAAGCAGCCTCGACGAGACCCTTCTGAAGGAAATCAACGGGCACAGGTACGAATTGCCAATGGGCGTGAATGTTGCGAGAGCGACTAATTTCCCAAGTCAATGCGCCAAGCTTGTGGTTGGACTGCTTAGCAACCATGGCCTGTAGTGCTTCCTTGAATCGTGACATTTCTGAATAGACCAATAAACCCTCAGAAGGCATAGCCCGCAGAGTCGGCTCGTGAGCCAGGGGGATGATGATTTGATGGCCCGTGAAGGAAATGCCAGAAGTAGAGAACGTGTCAGGGCCGGGCAGAGGTCCCTTTGCCGTGGTGATATAGGAGTGCTCCCCGATTGAACAAATCAGATGTGTTTCAATCGATGGATTACTAAGACAGAAGAAACAATCTTGAGGTCCAGGAGGGGGACGATGCTCATGTCGCTGGCGGCCTCTCCGACCATGTCTGTCATTGCCGTGTCGATGAGATGGTCCAGATTGGCCGTCCGGGTCCTGCCTCTTCGCGGTTCTGGGAGGCACAAATGGAGAAAGCGTGCTACCTGGTGGGGGTAATGACTTGTTGTCTCCGGCCTGCAGGCTGAAGGCATACATGGCCTTGGCCTTTGCAGCATTACCGAAAGTAGCCACTGAGATGAAGCGAGTGACAGCTCGTTCACCACTCTCTTCCGACTCGGCGTAGAAAAATGGCTCCCTTTCCCAGAAGAAATCGTCCGGGGAGAATGAGAAGTGGTATCGCGGCTTAATGGCATTGCACAGGTCTGCGGTTTCTTGAGAGCTTGCTACTGCAGCCTGGTGCTCAGGAGCCAGAACAACCCGCGAGTTTGTCCATACTCCTGCGGGCCAAGTCGAGGTCAGAAGGATGTCAGTCTTGTTCGCGCCTCTCAAGGCAGCCGCGTCACTTGCCGTGTGAAACGGCAAGTGCTGTTCCTTGGACTGTCCGCCAACAATGCTTGAATCCAGAGCGCCTCCAAGAGTGACAATTCTAATGCCATCTGATGTCTTGTTGACACTGCGCTTGCCAAGATAATGCAGGTTTTCACAGATCTGTCACGGGTATGAGTATAACTGTGTATTAAACCACGTCATAAAACTGTGACTTACATCTTCATCTTTCTCGATGCGCTCAATCACCTTGGGAGGAAGGGGCGTAGTGCCAACAGTGAAATAAGTCGTGAGAGGCACTTGAATCTCGCCATTCAGAAGGCGGGCGGCAATGGACTCGCTCTCTTCTGAAGAGTCGAACAAGTTGCCGGCAACAATAGCAAAGGAAAAGTTGTTCTTGGCGTGCAAAGTTGCGAGCTTTGCAAAGGCCGATTCGAGCTTGCCACCGAGGCTGCCAAAGACGATGCTAAAACACTTTTTAGTATGAAAGGAGCTTGACAAACACAAGTGAGGCTTAGTACTGACACTTTGGCCGCCATCTTTCTTTCGAATCCGATATCCCAAGATTGTGATATGCTTGAATAAAAATGTAGTATAGGTGATGCCTGGAAGAAGTAGTAGGTATGTAGTACCTAACCGCGTGGGTATTGGAGGATGATGGTGGTGGCACTTATGAGGTTGGTCAATTGGTTAAAGTCCGTCGACCAATTGGGCTTGGGCACTGAGTTGATTGCGCTTGCGAGAAGCAAGTCTAGCCTGTTTCGGCAAGGTGTCAGTCGATAAGCTGCCGATAAGATCTTATCGCGCCCAGGGTCGAAAAAAAGTCGAGGTCGCCTTCGCTGTTTGAATGGTGGGGAATAAGTTTCTACTATTGCTTGCTTGCTGAGCACACGATCACTGGAGGCAGGTCGCAATCCCTCCGCCGACAGTCGACAAGATGCCCGCGACATCATCGGGACGTATTGTCAAGTCCCGGAAGGGCAAGACGTCAACTCCCTCCCAGAAGAATCACCGGTGGGAGTCTTTCACGACGAAAATCTCCAAGCTCCATTCGCTCGACCCTCTGCGCAAGGTGCGCCGCCACGATCTCGACGCCGAAGACCTCGATGCAACGACTTCATATTTCAAGAATGGCCTGGAGAAATGGGCAGATCTCGATGTCTCCAAGGGATTCATTCTCTTCAAGAGGGAGGTCTCTCCGCTCTGCGAGAGTTTGGCCCAATTAATTCACTTTGAAAGTAAGATCATGGACTTGCTCGACAAGTACATATCTGCTCAAGAGAAGGAGTCGCTGGAATCTTTGCTCGACCTCCTCACTGCCTTTGCCCACGACTTGGGTACCAGGTTCGAAAAACATTACCCCAGGGCCCTGGATCTAATTATACAAATCGCTGGCCGACGACATGATGCAGCGGTGATTGAGTGGACGTTTGCCTGCCTGGCTTTCTTATTTAAATACCTTTCGCGCCTCTTGGTTGCAGACATCCGACCGACCTACGATGCCGTATCTTCACTTCTAGGAAAGGCTCGCAACCCCCAATATATCGCCAGGTTCGCAGCTGAGGCCATGAGTTTCTTGATCAAGAAAGCTGCCGCTCCTTCCCATCGCGAAAAGTCGCTTCCACTCATTATTGAACACGCCCGCCTCGACCTTGAGAAGACTCGCGGTGAAAGACAGTATGAGCTTTACTACCACGGCATCATGACAATGTTTGCCGAGGCGATCAAAGGTCAAGGAAATGGTGTGCATACCACCGCTCCAGCCATCGTCAAGGCTTTAATCACTTCGGTACCTATTGCCGAGAGCTACTCGGAGGATACGGAAACCTGGGCGGCAGTTGTCTGTGGTACACTTGTCAGTTCCGTGCATCATACCACAGTCGACACCTTTGCACCGATAATAGAAGCCATTTTTGATAGCGTTGTCCAGGAGCCCGGTCTGCGCAACGTGCTTTATTTGCGCTTGCTTGGAACCATCTCTGGCGTTCGCAAGGGTACTAGGATTTCGGACTGGTCCAGTCTGCTTGACTGCCAAAACCAGTGTCTTAGTGCCTTGATGCAAGATAAGTCTGGATTGGAAAGTCTTGAGGCTTCGGCAGTCTGGGACCACATTATTGTGAATATTGCTCTTGTCTGGCAATATGCGTCTTTTGATGCAGTTGCCCCTCATATTGCAGGACTCACCAAAGCTCTCACGCAACAACCTCTCAAGTCATGGTTTATACCTTTCTGTTCCTACCTATCCGAGCTGGATGCCAGCAAATTTCAGAGTCTATTCTTGAGTCACTTTCAGAAGTAAGAAATGGTCCGCACAATGAGATTTTGTGACAAAGCTAACAAGATCCAGGTTTGTCGCTTCCCATTGGGCAGAGGACGCTAATGAAGATATGCTCTATGTCATTCTACCCAAGATGGTCCAGGGCAATGCCATTCCTACCCAAAAAGACAGCAAGGCGTTCACACTGCCACAGTCCTGGCAAGATGAAATCATCAAGACGTTCGGTAGACTGGAAGCCTCGCCATTTCCCGAAGCGGGCTCCAAGGTTGGCAACGACGATACTGAAGAATGGCGAAGTAAACGGCTGCCAAGATATGCGGCGATTCTCCGTCTCTTGGAGTATGTCAACGTAGACACCAAGACTATCGAGTTCGTCTCAGACAGACTGTCGACAAAACTCAAGCTTGCCCTTCGACCGTCCGATTCTCTAGAGACCGAGGAAGCCCGTTTCATTGTCAGCCGAGGGTTTTCGTCCTATCTCAGAATGAGTCAAGCGATTGGCCGCTTCGATCAATCTCTTGGGCCACTACTCAGAGCGGCTGCACCTCGATACTCACGTCTTACCGGCTACCTAGAGGCGATGCTTGCGTACGAGGCACAATCGACAAGTTCATCTAGCCCGACATCTCATGGCGACGGAAGTGTGAGCCCAGAAAAAGGACTCAGCCCCCTTCTGAAGAGTCTTATCCGTAATCTTTCATCCCAATCATCCGAACTTCGCCTCGCCTCCCTCAGGTTGCTTGGTAATATGGAGTCCGCTCCGGACCAATTGGATGCTTTGTCAATCATGTTACAGACAGAGCAAACATCACTGGATCTGCAGAATGCCCGAGCCATTTCGGTTCATCTTCGTAAACTTGGTGCAATCTATTCCCAAATTGACGAAACCGCGTGGCTGCGCCAGGCAGTGCCTGCTTTCCTCTTTGGAATGCTGACGGTCAAGCTTATGCCTGTATGGGAGACTGCTGTAGAGTCTCTCAAGCAAGTCAGCCAGACGCAAAGCGCAGAAGAAGTCATCTGGGATTTGGCTTTCGAATGGATTGAAGCTCCGTCCAAACGCTGGGACGGGTCTTCCAGAGAAGTTGCGACCGGTGGCGTACGCCGTGGTGCCACAGATTTCGAGTGTCTCAACCTTGATCAGCTAAGGGAGAAGGCTGACGCTACCAAACATGCATCCATTGAAGCATCGGATATTCTGCTCCAAGACTTTGAGGAAAGCCAAGAACAGGCTGAGGAGAGACCAGCAAATGCTCGGACACAAGCACTCAAGGTTCTTTCAGCGGCTCCAAATCTGGCAGAAAAACGGTCACGCAAACTAGTCCCTATCTTTCTATCCTGGGCATCCAGCAGCGATGATCATGGCGATGCTTCAGAGGACGAACCAGTCCCTACTGAAGGCCAATTTTGGTCCTTGACAGACAGAAAGGGGCTCTTGGGCGTATTTGCAAAGTTTGGCAACCCCAAGGTTCTTTACCAAAGCCAGCAGGTCTACGATGCGCTGTTGAAGCAATTGGCAAATGGTGATATTGAGGTTCAAAAGACTGCCTTGAAAGCCATTGTGGCATGGAAACAAGAAGGCGTCAAACCTTATCAAGAGAATCTTGAATTTCTACTCGACGAAGCAAGATTCAAAGATGAGCTTACAACTCTTTTTCAAGGCGATCGCCAAATTCAAGCGAAACACCGTGCCGAGGCTATGCCTGTCCTCCTCCGGCTCCTTTACGGTCGCACGATTTCAAAGAAGGGAACATCCAGCGGACGCGGTGGCCTCCAAGCTACCCGATTAGCCGTGCTTCGAAACTTGAGCGTCGAGGACATGGGTGGATTTCTTGACATTGCACTGGGTGAATTGCGTGGCGTTCAAGTCATTGACAAGAATGGAAAATTGCTCAGCGAGGTTGTAAATCGCGAGCTTCTCACTGTGCGCAAGCAAGTCGGTTTTTTGAACATGATCCTCTCGATGATTAACGAGTTAGGCACGAGCGTTGCCGACTACACTTCCACGATACTCCCCGCAGTGTTGTACTGCTTGATCAGTGCTTGTCACAGACTTGGGCGGGCAAGTGGTGAAGAAGAGCAGACCGAGGAAGAGGGGCATACTTCACTGCTACGAAACGTTCGAAGCATTGCTCTGAAGTGTGTTATTGCTCTGCTACGAAATGCGCCTACGTTCAACTGGGCACCTTACTCGGATGTTCTTGTCAAGGAAGTTGTGGCTCCTAGACTTGAGAATCTGCCCAATGAAAACACAGAAGGTGTATCAGGCACACTGCAACTTCTCTCCACGTTTTCGCTCATTCCCAAGACAGCTTTGTTTCTGGGTATCGATACTCGCATTATTCCCAAACTGACTGATCTGTTATCAATCATGAAGGCAAAAGATGAAGTCAAGATTTTTGCTCTGAGCATCGTGCGCAACCTGATCAGCCTTGCTCAAGCACCCGCTGCCGAGTCCGAGTTCAACGAACTCATCAAGGAAGAGCTGCTCGACCCGAACCTAGATGTTATCCTGGGGAAGATCAGCGGCTTGCTGCGGTCACAGGAGAGATCCGAAAATGAACCTGGCAAGGAACTGGGAAGAGATCTGCTTGCTGCGAGCGTTGAGACTGTTGTTGAATTGTCGCCATTGGTTCAACAGTCTGGCAACACGACTGAGCTCATTGACATATCAGTTTACTTGCTCAATCAGCCACCCCGTCGTGTGCATCCGAAAGTCAAGGGTGGTGTCCTCACAATATTGGAGAATTTCTTGCAGCTCGTGGATGCTTCTGAGACTAGCGGTTTGCGCAATCGCATCTATGTCACTGTCTCAAGTCTTTACAACTTCTTCAAGGACAGGCCCAGTCGCGAGGCGTTGTCGAGAGTCCTCGCTGTTTTCATCTCCAAAGACACAGAGGTCCGAGATGAAGTCGCCGACCTCTGCAGCAAGCTCAACTCCTATGTCGAGGGACGGATTGATGAGGCTAATTATGACACTCGGCTGGCTGCATTCAACACTATTACGAAATCGTCTTTTACAGCCCGAGAATGGGAGCCATTGCTACAGAACATGCTGTTCTACCTCAAACACGACGAAGAATACGGTGTCCTATCCTCAAACTCAGTCGACGGCATTTGCAGATTTGTAGATGCAGCAACATCATCTACTGGACGAGAAAAGGATACTTTCTTCGATATGCTCCAGAACATGGTTCTACCCGCAGTCTTTTCTGGGGCAAGGGAAGCGTCCGAGACTGTAAGAAGAGAAACAGTTCGCATGCTTGGATACATGGTCTCTCATCTGCCTTCGTGGGCTCCAGTCAGTGATTTGACAGGACTCGATCCACCAGCCGATGAAAACGATGTAGACCCTAGCTTTTTCAGCCACATTCTCAGCTCAGCTGCCTCTCGGCAGATGAGGGCATTGCAATTTTTGTCGAAGGTCAACCACCACACCGAGCTGGGCAGTCGTAATCTCGCACACTTCTTCATCCCTCTCCTTGAGCACTTCATCTGGGGGCGCGAGGATGGTGAGGATGATCATGGCGTGGGTGCGCAGGCAACAACCACCATCGCTGATCTGGCAATTTCGCTTGAATGGCCGCAATTCCGAGCGATCTTGGGCAGATATGTTAGCTATATTGAGTCCAAACCAGACCACCAAAAGCAGTTGGTCAGGATTCTGGGCAAGCTGATTGAATCTCTTTCCATCGCTGCAACGGAAAAGTATGGAGACCTTGCCTCCCCCGACACCACTATGAAGGATTCGTCAGGCAAGAAACACCGCCTTGCATCTACAATGCCAGCCTTGGACAAGTTCAGTGACGACGTTGTCAACAAAGTGTTGCCTCCTCTTATGAAGTATATACATCATAAAGACGAGACGACTGTCAGCTCACGTGTACCCGTCGGAGTCATTATTGTCCGACTACTCAAGATACTTCCACCCGAGTATTTGGAACAAAAGCTGCCCGGTGTCTTGACAGATATTTGCCATATCCTTCGGAGTAAGGCATGGGAGTCTCGAGAAATGGCGCGCGACACCTTGGCCAAGATGACATCCCTGCTTGGGCCTACTGCATTTGGATTTGTGCTCGACGAACTGAGAGGCGCGTTGACAAAGGGCTACCAGTTGCACGTACTGTCATACACCATGCACACAATTCTTGTTCAAGTCATCCCCGAGTTTCAACCAGGTGATCTTGACTACTGCCTGGACAAGATTGTTGCGGTCATCATGGACGATATCTTTGGTGCTGTCGGCCAGGAGAAAGACGCCGAGGAGTACATTAGCAAGATGAAAGAAGTGAAAAGCAGCAAGAGTCAGGATTCCATGGAACTCATTGCCAGAACTGCTTCCATCAGTCACCTAGTCGAGCTTGTGCGACCTCTGCAAGCGCTCCTGATGGAAAAGCTTGACCTGAAGATGGTTCGCAAGATTGACGACCTATTGAACCGAATAGCCAATGGACTGCTCGGCAACGCCGCAGCAGAGAGCAGAGATACTCTGATTTTCTGCTACGAAGTCATTCAGAAGGTGTACGAAAGCAAAAAGCCAAATGTAGAGGTGAAACTGGATCCCAGGCTCCGCCGCTACCTGGTACAGAAGGGCGCAAAGAAAAGTGGCGAGCGTGGTACAACCAACAAGTACACTCACAAGCTTGTCAGATTTGCATTTGATATTCTTCGCTCAATCTTCAAAAAGCACGACAGTCTGCGTAACGCTGGCAATATTACTGGTTTCGTCCCCATATTTGGTGATGCTGTCGTTTCAGGGGAGGAGGAAGTCAAGATTGCCGTCTTCAAACTTCTCACTGTCATCGCAAAGGTTCCGTTCAAGACGGATGCTTTTGCGAAGCTGTACAAAGTTGTGGCCAAGGATGCGATCAAAAGCATTTCGATCTCAACCACGACAAGCACTGACCTGGCTCAGACCGCGTTGAAGCTTGTCTCGGTCATCTTGAGGGATCGGCGAGACATTCCCATCAGGGAAGCTGCAGTAGACATGCTCCTGGGCAAACTGAAGGATGACTTGACCGAACCACTTTACCGCCACGTTACTTTCAATTTCTTGCGCGCGGTTCTTGACCGCAAGGTTGAAACCGCTGCAGTGTACGACACACTTGATTATGTTGGCAGTGTCATGATCACCAATGACGACAAAGATACTCGAGATCTCGCTCGTGGTGCTTTCTTCCAATTCCTTCGTGATTATCCACAGAAGAAGAATAGATGGGCAAAGCAGCTCAGCTTTGTCGTGGCCAATCTCAAGTACGAGCGCGAGGGCGGCCGACTTTCCGTCATGGAAGTTGTTCATCTTCTCCTCATGAAGTCGGCCCAAGATTTTGTTCAGGAAGTTTCCACTACATGCTTCATTCCCCTCTTTTTCGTACTGGCAAATGACGATAGCGAAAAGTGCCGCCTTGCAGCAGGTGAGCTACTCAAAGAGATTTTCCGCAAAGCCGACAAGGACAGCACTGCCAAGTTCCTCACCCTGCTTCGCAACTGGCTTGCACAAGATGGGAATCAGACCGTACTACGACTCTCCATCCAAACCTTTGGCTACTACTTTGAAGCAAGGGAGCCCGTGAGCAAAGACCTAAAGGACTTGGGCCTTGTCTCAAGCAAAATAGTCGAGATTCTGGACGACTATGCGACCTATGCGAATGATTGGGAGCTTATCAACACGATTGTGGAGACGGTGGCGATTCTGATGGACAAGCATGAGGCCGTGATACTCGCCAATGAGAAGCTATGGCACGCCGTTGGAAAGCCACTTGCTTCCCAACATCCAACAGTCAAGTTGTCAAGCATCAAATTGCTGAACAAATACTTGAGCGACTTTTACGAGCACACCGAGCAATCGGAGGAAGCTGAGGCCCTCGTCGGCTCCCAGGGATTGCGTCTCGAAAAGGACGCCGTCGAGGCTCTTGTCATGCTTGCAGTCAATATCATCAGCCCACCTACAATTGCTAGATGGCGTCGGCGCTTGTCCAAGCAGGGTGCCGAGGATATGCCGGAGATTGAGTCCAACACTGAAACGCCAGATGTTGATGAGAATCTGGCAGGAGAGGTCGTGCAGACTCTGGCACGCCTGGGCAAGTTCTTGGATCCCAAGCCATCTGCTTCTGACAATGCATCACTCAAGGTTGGCGATGATGAAGGTGATGAAGAGAGCGAATTGAGCGACACTGATGAAGAAAAGTCAAAGGCCGCTTCCATCACCCTGCACACGCTGTTCAACTTCCTGTCTGACATTTTAGTCATTGAAACGGCGGCTCGGGCCTCCGCGCTCATCCCCAAGGTTGCGGCAATGCAACTCTTACACCTCTATGTGGCGACACTTCCTTCCACGACCCACATTGCACCCTCGCTTAATATCCTACTCACTCCACTGCACCACTTGACGGATCCATCCATTCCGATCCCATACTCGACCGACCGGTCTTACAAGCCGCGCGTGGAGGAGCTCCAGGACAAGGCCCGGGAGCTCATGGAAACGCTGCAGCGCAAGATTGGCACAGAACTCTACACGCGAGAGCTACTTGAGGTTCGGGAGGCTGTCAAGAGGCGCAGGGAAGGACGCGCCCGGAAGAGGAAGATCGAGGCTGTGGCCCAACCGGAGCGCTACGGAAAATTCAAGAAGGGGAAGCTGGACAAGAAAATCAAGCGCAGAAAAGAGAGGGCCGGGGAAGAGCGAGAAAGACGTCACGGAGGGCGGTACTGAGGAACGTTGTAAAAAGTGCTGGTTCAAAGGGGCAAGCGAGGATAACCCGAAATATCGGTTTAAATTCATTTTTTCCATGTTGCATAGTCATGCATGGGCTGGTGTTTTAGGAGTTTTTTGAATGGGATTTCTACCAAGATTAGAGAAGCATCTATCACTTACAGTCCTGTTGTACCATGTTGCATTTTATCATCCACATGTCGGGTGTCTTGTCTTCTCAGCTCTACCGGCTAAAAGGCACGAGATCCGACAAGTGACAGCCGTCTAAGGAAACGCCTGCTAACAGGCTTTTACTCGACGTGTATAAAAGTCGCTGCAGAATGCCTTCGACATTAGGAAGGCTACCCGTCTTACTTGCAGAAAAGACCACGCAAGTTTGCTCAGCCATGCAAGGCTTGTCATGTCTCCGTCATGGCGTCTGTCATTTGTATCTGATATATCGAGTTATATTGATTTTACAAAGTTAGGATCATGCTCCCGCATGTGTATGGTAGATAAACGCCTCCGTTTTAGGTGATTCATTAATATACATTGCAATGCAAGATGTTTCGCTGTTTGTGAATAAAGCAAACATATTTCTTGCCTTGGTCTAGATTGCTTTCTCCGTCTCTGCTTCAAAGAGGTTGAATTCTTCGAGGGAGACCTTTTGTGGCGGGAGCTCTTTGGCTGATTCGACGCCTCGAGCGATTCGCTCATATGTCTCTTCCGGTAGTGGCCTTTGCGGTGACGACACTTCCGTGGCCTTCGCCAACTCTGCCACGGAGCCTTGTGTGCTGTCTGGCGGCGCGTATGTAACTTTGCGGAAGTGCAGGGTCGCTCCGGGCTGCCGCTGGATCCGACGGACTCGGTCTGGCATTTGCGAAAGGACTTTGCCAGTGTCAATATCGACCAAAACCTCGACAGCCTCCCGGGAGCCCTCTGGCCATGCGTATATTGTGCGTGTACGCGGGCCAGTCTCGGTCGGTGAGCCAGCTTCCGGTACTGAAGCGGGAGTTGAGTCTGGTTTGCGTTGCTGGACCGGGAACTTTCGACCCACGCTGCCTAAACGGACGCGGGCCTCAGGATTCCTTGACTGCGCAAAATACTTGGTCATGGTGAATCCTTCTGTCTTTTCTCCATTTTGTTTCCTGCTCCGGGTCGGCGTTTTCGGAGCTTCGATTTCGTCTCGCAAACTAGCTCTCAGCTCAGCCAATTCGTGTTCTCCAAAGGACGATGGTCGACTCTCCCAGACCCTGGACTCTCTCGATTTGTGGAATTGTCGCTTTGTAGATGGCGTATCAGCCGCAGAATGCCCACCATCTAGCCGAGGACGAGTACCACTTCCACTGAGAGAAGGCTTTGTAGTGGTTGTGGCAGAAGAGGTTGCCGCCGACGTTGATGGGTCGCGTGCTTCCCGTGCTTTGGATGCCTCGTCAGCCTCCATTGAGGCTTCCGACGAGACAGCTCCCTCGGCTTTGTTGTTGCCACCATTTCCGGCACCCCGCTGTGTTTGTGTGCCGTCCTCCCAGAATTCAATGTCTCCATCCACTCCGAGGGTTCCACGCTTGACCAACTGCCCTCTTTCCCTCATGAGATCCTCAACAGTGATGTTCCGGTCGCCAAAGATATTCAGGTGGTCGCTGATAATGTGTCTGTTCCGACAAGACGGGCAGGTGATGAGCACGGATCCTTTGTGGTAGCCTTGCTTTGAAATTGTGTGCGATGACCTCGAGCCGCAAGGAACGCATGTGAATGTAAGCTCGTAATGCGGTTCTAACTGCTTGCGCGTCTTGGTTTCGCTATTGTTGCCATCCTTTCCGGCAGGAGGCGAAGGGCGCCCAGGCTTGGGAATTTGGTGCGCATAGCGACGAACGAGCTGACCGGGCTGTAGAGTTCGAGGCAGGCGAGGGTACGGTCGAATAAGAGGCGCAGAAAGGAAAGGTGAGGGCGCTCTCGGTGCGCGAAGGATGCTGCCGAAAATTCTCTCAGTGATGCGTTTTGTAGCCATCATGAACGCATGCTTGGGAGGACAAAAGAGACCACCTGGCAGTGTTGGAGTTGAAAGGTATAGGTAAAAACGTAATTATAGAAGAGGGTAGAATCGTTCAAACTTTAGGCTCTGGCTTGGCACCTTGTTAGAATACGTAACTAAAGATGGGGCAGCGAGCTTTTGATCAAGCGTTTGTAGAATACTACGATCCTACGTACTGTAGCAGATGCATTCTGATAAGATAGGGAGCAATCTTTTATCGGCGCTGGATTAGCGTCTCGATAAGAGTTAGCTGCAGGGATAAAAGCGCGATGCGCAAACGCCAGACGCCTGCCGAGCTTCAAAGTCTGGAGGGGCAGAAGCTGAACCCGCTCTTACACAGTAGCTTAACAGCTCTAGAACCCCTGTTCAGTGCCAGCAGGCCAATCAACTTCGGCGTTGAGCCCAGTGGCCGGCCGCCTTCCCGCATTTCTTCAACTCTGGCGAGACGGCATTGTTGCTTTCTTTGACCCTGACTTGACTACTATTGCCTTTTCTATTCTTCTCTTTTTTTAATATTCGAAAACCCCCAGGCTATCGGCCCTACATTTGGGCTCACCAGACGCCAAGTTTCACGCAGCCGTCTTCCCCGAGAGAACTTCACGTCAACCATCTTTCCCCGCGAATAATTCATGCCCTATTCACTCACCCATCCATCCAGGCATCGACCCCACTACAGCCGTTGCCACCAAGTCTGATTCACCCCACCGCTCACTGTTCACGATGATGGGCATGAGGCCATAGTTTACCTGCTGTTCTCTTCCTACAAGACACTGTCGCAACATTGTCACCATGATTACTGGTCGTGGAGGCGCCATGCGTGGCAGCGGCGCTGGCCGCATTCGGCCACCCAGAAGAGTATGTTTTGGATTCTTTCTTCCTTCCACTCTTCTTTCCTCCCATGGTGCATATCTGTAGCCGCCTTGTTGCAGAAGCTTGCACATTTCTACCCACAGTTCTTAGTAACCCAAAGTCCGGCGTTGGATCTCAAAACCTTGTAAAAATACTGACTGATACTCTTTTACAGCTCAACGCTGCCGTCAAGGACTCAACAACCGCCACCGATGACTTCGAGTTCAATTGGCAAAAGCTGAAATCGGCGATTCAAGATATCCACCTTAAGAATACCGGTGCCCTTACCTTTGAGCAGCTTTACCGTCACGGCTACAAGATTGTCATTCTGAAACTAGCCGACCGACTCTACGATAACGTCAAGGCTCTCGAGGCCGACTGGTTCACTCAACATGTCAGTCCTACCATTTTCGAACATGTCACAGCCAACCTCATCAACGTCACGCTCGGTGCAGGTATCGGCTTATCCGTCATAGAACGCCGGTCCATGGGCGAGAAGTTCCTCAAGGTTATCAGAGAGTCATGGGAAGAGCACAATACCGCCATGAACATGATTGCAGATATCCTCATGTATCTGGATCGCGCTTTGAATACCTCGAATCGTCCAACCATTTTCGCCGCTACCATTGGTCTCTATCGGGATCAAATTCTTCGCAACGGTCCTCGATCAGCAGAGGATGGGACTGTGGTCTGCACTATCTCGGCTGTCCTGAATGCCACCATTATTGATCACATCAACATGGAAAGAGAAGGTGATGCGATCGACAAGTCCTTGCTGCGAAGTTGCACCGGCATGCTCGAGGCTCTCCACCAGACCGATGAAGAGATTGAAGATGAGAAATTGTATCTCACAGATTTCGAGCCGGAATTCCTTCAAAAGAGCCGTGACTTTTACAAGGCAGAGTGCGAAAAGCTCCTCCAGGAGGCAGATGCCAGTGCTTGGCTTCGATGCGCACAGCGACGTTTGGAGGAAGAGGAAGCCCGGTGTGCCACGACTATTTCTCCACTGACCAAGGATCGAATTGCACAAGTGCTCGACGACGAGTTGATTGGAAAGCACCTCAGAGAGTTTATGAACCTCGAAAGCAGTGGTTTCAAGATCATGGTCGACAACGATCGCTTGGATGATCTCGCCATACTCTACCGCATGGTGACCCGGGTGGATAGCAAGAGAGATGCTCTTCGTGACGCCCTAGCAGAGCGCGTATCAGCTCTGGGATACGAGATTGAGACAAAGCTCAAGAACACTGACTTCTCCGTGGCCCAGTCTGCCGAAGAAGCTGCCCCTGAGGGAGATGATAAGGCTGGTGCTCGTGAGAAGCCAAAGGCCAAAGCGCCCAGTGCCTCAGCGCAACAGACTGCCGCGGCGCTCAGATGGGTAGCTGATGTTCTCGCCTTGAAGGATCGATTCGACGGTCTGTTGAAGCAATGCTTTGCCGACGACTTGATACTCCAAACTGCCCTCGCCAAGAGCTACACAGACGTCATCAATATGTTTGATCGCAGCGCCGAGTTTCTCTCTCTTTTCATTGACGATAATTTAAAGCGTGGAGCCCGAGAGCGGACGGAGGCAGAAATTGATGACAATCTGCAAAAGGCAACCGAGCTTCTTCGTTTCATTCGTGACAGAGACAAGTTTGAATTATATTACCAGAAGCATTTGGCGAAGCGGCTTTTGCAACAGAAAGCCGGGGCATCTGACAAGGAGGATGCCATGCTCGCGCGCATGCGATTGGAAATGGGCAATCAATTCACGCACAAATTCGACGGCATGTTCAAGGACATGAAGATCTCCAAGACCGAGACCGATAAGTTCGTTGCTCATGTCAAGGAGAACCGCAAGCCTGGCGAGACCTCAGTTGAGCTTTCCATCAATGTTCTGGGCGGCAATAACTGGCCAATGGAGATCATGGGAAGACAGGCGGATGGCCAGGGACGCGCGGATATAATATATCCAAGGGAGATCCGGGACACGCAGGAGGCCTTCTTCAAGTTTTATTGCAGGCATCATGAGGGACGGCAACTGTCCTGGATTGGTGCTGCTGGAACTGCAGATATCAGATGTGTCTTTCCTCGGGTTCCAGGCAAAGCTCCTGCCCTGAACAAAGAGCGCACCTATGACCTCAGTGTCTCTACATACGGCATGGTCGTTCTCTTACTTTTCAACGACCTGCCCGAAGACCAGTGGCTTACCTTCAATGAAATACAGTGCGAAACAAACATACCTCAGAATGATCTGATCAATGTCTTGACATCATTGTCTGTCATAAAAGCCACGAGGGTCCTCCGCAGAGAGCCCGTATCCAATCGTGCCGTCAAGTCTACTGACAAATTCTCCTTCAACAACGAATTCCACAGCAAACTAGTCAAGATCAAGGTGGCATCGGTCAATATCTCCAGCAAGGTGGAGAACGAGGAGGAGCGAAAGCAGACCGACGACAAGACCCTCGAGCAACGAAGATATGTCATAGACTGTGCCATTGTCCGTATCATGAAGTACGTCACACGAAACAAGCCCAATACTCTTAATTTGATGCTAACCAGATCAAAGGTCCCGCAAGGAAATGCTCCATTCAGACCTCATGACTGAAGTGATTCGGATTCTGGCCCGTCAGTTCCAGCCTAATGTGAAGCTTATCAAAGAGCGTGTCGAAGACCTCATTGGCAGAGAGTATCTCGAGCGAGCTGCGATCCAAGGCGATGAACAACAAGCGTACCACTATGTGGCATAGATACATTGGTTTCCCTGGACACCATGATTTCTTAGACAATAGGTTTCTTCGTCTGCCGTCCAACTCTTGTGGCTGGCCCCTGCCATCACTGTAGCGACTCGGATTACTGCGCACCACCTAACGATGATACGAATACCCTTACGACGAAAAGAGAGAGAGAGAGAGAGAGAGAGAGAGAGAGAGATCACAGAAATGAGGATGGGAAATGTTTCCATGTTGGTACCGGCACAGTTGGCAGCATTTGCATCAGTCTCAAAAAGCGTTTAGATAGGGAGTGCTTTTTGCATGGGACGCCGATAGAGACATCAGACTTGACAAGCTCAAGTGCCATAAAGTGTCGTTGAGGCTCAGCGGATGATCTGATGGAATCAAAAACTTTTGACGGGTAAAATCCGTCGAGATTAAAAAAAAAATAATGGAAACAGAACCTTTTTTCTGTCTGAAATCTATGAGGCTATGTACATGGCGTGGTACTTGATGCATTGGTTTGTTCGGGGCGATTCAAGACTTGAAGTGATGCAAAGCCGGTAAGTTGTCCGTGCCATGATAATCAGTGGGTCGACCCAGTCGCTATCCATCAATCGTGAGGAATTCGACGATGAATTCCACTCCCCTGACAGGCGAATAATAAGAGAGGATGGAAATATAATTGCGCGTTACAGAAAAACGTGCTGCGCTGAAATCGACCATCTTTTTTTGCATTCCATTTCGAAAGTTCAGATTGCTAATCCCCATCGTTGACGTATCTTGATACCATACCCACGGATCTACATACTCAACAAGAAATCATGCACATCAGTTCACATCACGGCCGAAAGAGGTCGAGTACTTCGAGCAGCTCTTCGTCGTCCAGTAGTTCCAGCAGCTCGAGCAACAGCAGCAGCAGCAGCAGTAGCGACAGCGATCAGGGCTCCCCTGGCCACAGACCTCTGCTCTCCCATGACTTCCAGGAAGAAGTAGCACAGCGCGTCGTCCAAGAGGTTGGAAACCACTTGATCCACCGACTCGAAAGCTCGGGAGGCTCGAATCATGCTGCTGCTAATGCATCGCCATCATCACCTCGGCCCAACGGAAATGACCTGGGTACGACCGAGGGTGACGGTGCTGGACCAGGCCCTGGACCTGGCCCCGAGGATCACAAGTCCTCGCACGCGTATCAAGTCCTAGATCGATTGAAGAAGCAGCACAGTTCCGTGGCGGCGTATATTGCCAGTCACAAGAGGATCGTGGAGGTTATACCCGGCGGAGGGCAGCAAGAGGACGGCAGCGACAACCACGAGCACCCTGATAACCATACGGAGACGTCACCGTTACTCAGACACCACCGACACTCGGCAGATGCATCGCCACCGGAAGATCAGGATGCTGAGCAAGAGCACGAGAATTGTGGAGGATGGTGGACGTGGTGTTGTGGTTGTTGCCTTGGTCGGCGGAAAACCTAAAGGATGGTTACAGGCTATGAGTCGAAGGACAGACTTTTCCTTGGAAGCTACGTCGAATGCAATGATAAGATTATCATGTCTTCTCTGTCAAGCGGGTCAATTTGTTTGATGGTTCTGACAGACATGAGCAAGGCCCAGAATGTCTCGTATACTAAAACTGTCGATTGCCAAATACCTACTGGCGTCTGGAAGAAGCGGCCTCGGGCTTGATTAAGCTCCCGTCAATGTCCTACTAGTTTAAGCTTCAAGTCGCATTCAAGCATCAAGTACAAGCCCCACTAGCATAAACCGTTCCGAGGAGGACATTGATGACCATTCCCCCGTGCTTCACCCTCAATTAAACTCTGTTTTCGAGGCACAAGGCGATGAAAGAAGAGTAGACGCGACACATTTGACTCTTGGACTCTTGGATTCAATCATGACAAAACGCACGAGCGAAAAGCTTCGTCAAATTGGTAAGCATGAGACGCTGGTCGCAGCTGGACCCCTGGGCTCATCGCTTGGCCGCTTGGCAGGGGTCCGGATCTCGCGCCCCTCTCTACTCTGTAGTGATCGAATTCCAGATTCCAGCGTGTACCTGCTCGGCAACTTCTCCGCACGCCTACACCACTCATGTTCACTGTAAGGCGGCTGCTGATGTCGCTGGATAATTCTGTTCTTCGGAACATCGTCCTCCATCTCCCTGCCTGTCATCGACGAGTGCCGGAAGCGATTCATCCATTTCCAGTAACAATGCCATGCCCCTTGCAGATGCTGAGATGCACTTTCGGGGTGTCGGGAGTGATTCCAGTCACTCACTGCCCGTGATGACGAGGACAGAATCGAAGAATAAATTGACCCTCAGGACCCTGCAAAACTTATATAATTGAACGCTGATGCTATTCAAGTGAAGAAAGTTCACGCCGCATTTTTCCGTGATAATCCTTTTGGTCTTTTCTCTACTATACTTGAACCATGTTTTCGCAAATTGTCATGAGCAGCCTCTTGGCTACGCTCGCAACCGCGCGCCCATCCCCCAGAGCCGCAGCCAGCTGCCCTGTCGTGCTCTCTGGACGAGTACCGGCATCTGCCCAGCTAACCGACTTTGACTCGTCGGCCACGAGCCTGTTCAACCCAGACTATGTACGGGCGAGCGCCATCCCGTGGTCACAGATTCTGCTGTTCCCCAACGTGACCAACTCGCGCTTCGATGGTGCCGACTTCAAGTCGGTCGAGGTCACCATTAGCGAAAAGTCCATCTTTCAGACTCAGAATGGCTTCCGCCGCGCCGGTCTTCAGCTGGCCAATGACACCAATACTCAGGGACCAGGAACGACGGGTGTAAGGACGCTTCACTGGAGTGTCAAGCAAGATCCGACCAGGACGCTTAACCTGACCCATGAATACCTGGTAAGTAGTCAAAACTAGGCGAAAGATGATATATGGAGATAGAGACTAACACGTGATGAAGAATGTCTGGCACGAACGAGCCGACTACAACGGAAACCAGTTCAACTTTGAGACGGGCACGCTGATTGACAACTCGAGCTTGGACAAGAACACCTTCAAGATCACTAACCGCAACAGCGAAGTCATTTGGTCCACGCCGATCGACCAGAGCGCGTGGCAAAACTTTGCCGTCACATTGGACTATGATAACAAGTAAGTATCCATCTCGGATAGAAAAGATTCGCTAGATTTGTGTTATCCACAAGCTTACATTTTCCTTTTTCCTCCTTCACTAGCACTTTACAGGTCTACTACTCACTTGGAACCGAGCCACTCACAGCCGTCACTCAGGCTCTGGCCAACGACAACTCGGGCTATGGCCAGTTCCAAATCGGCATCCTCAAGAAACCGACGGGCACTTCCGATGTCGTCAACTCGGGCTACCAAGAGTCTCCCATTAGCGAAGGTCAGATTTATGGCGGCATTTTCCTCGAGGATAGCGCAAATGGCTGTATCACACTGTAGAAAAGCCCCCCTGGTTCCAGTTTGGGTTTCTTGGTAACCACCATGTACAAAATGAATCATTTTTCTTTTCAGGCCAGGATGGCAAGCGTAGAAGAGTCGCATATTTGCGATCAATCAAGATATGAATTTTCTTGAATTCGATATGGATTACACGTAAATAAACTTGACACCTTCTATCTATATATTTATATACCCGGTACAGGCTTGACCAATCTTTCGTAAGCCACTCTCTATTTTTACAAATTTTAGACCATGGCCATGCATCTCACTCGCTTAGTTATCACTCCCTGCCCTAACCTTGGTAAAATCAATAGCCGTCGTCTTTCTAAGAGACCTACTACTCGTCGGTCGGACAGCCGCCGACATCATACCCGCCCGCGGCGGGCCACGAACCACCTGGGCATTAGTCATGGCCACGCGCTGCAACGAATGGGATGGAGGCGAGACGACTCGCTTTTGGCTGGGCAGCATCCGACGATCGTCGGCGCGCGGCGGTGGCGGCGCTGCATGAACCGGACCCAGACCTTCCAGCTTGCGGTACGGCTGGATGCCGACGCCGTTTGCCGACTTGATCTTGCTCTGGGCCTGCTGGTGCTGTGTCCACGACGGGAAGAATTCGTGTTGCTCAGGCATGATGCGCGAGGAGGCCTTGGGCCCTAGGAACAAGGAGTCGCTTCTCTGTAGGCTGTTGTCAAAAGTGGGAGGCGACTCGGCGTGCACGGCGCCGCGGTAGTAGTCGGTTAGGAGCATGGTCTCCCGTGGACGTTGCTGCTCTCTACTACTCTCGGGCTGCTTTTCCCGTCTGGCGCTTGCAAGCTCAACGGGGTGATAGGAAAGAGGGTCGGGATGAGCATGTGGTAGTGTTCTGTTCATTCTGGTTGGTGCCCTCTCATGATGATGATGCGTACCGTCCACCGCGGCTCTGGTAGCAAAGGATGTGTTCGTCACTGGCGGCACAATACTCAGTCTCGGCCCCCTCAAAGTCTTGACGTCTCGGGGCTCTAGGCTAGAGGGATGTTGCCGCACAGTGTTGTCATGCCTGTGCTGGTAGCCATTCGAGGACTGCGCAACACATGCCGAGACGGCGGACTTTTCATGCAACGGATTGTATGTATCATGCGCCGGACTAGGCGAGCGAGAGGAGACCGTGGTAGCCGAGCTCATTGTCGAGGTCCTTGTGCAGGCTTCAGAAGATGCCGTGGACTCTCTAGACGATGAGCTCGTCGTTCGGGCAGGCGACGGAGTAATCTCGAAGGGTGGCGGGGGAGTCGTGCTCCGCGTCACAGACCGGACGCTGAAGCTGCTCGCCGAACTCTGCGACGGCGGAATCACCACGGACAGAGCCCTGAAGCTGCTGGCCCTGGCCGACGACTCTGTCAACGTCCTGGCACTGGATCGAGGGTTGAGCATCTCAAAGTCTACGCCCTGCTCTCTCACAATGTACTGCTTTTGCTGCTTCTGCTCCATGGGCCGGCTGAAATTGCGCGGTGCGTACGAGGTCGTGGCGGCGGACCGAGCCGAGTATACACTGTGTATATCGTCCTCATCACCAGACACAAAAGACTGCGATGCTCTACTTCTCCTCCGCGCGTTCTGCACAATGGACATTGTGGTTGGAACAACAGGCGCACAGCTCTCGGGCACAATGGTGGCCGTCGATGACCTCCGGCTGCTGCTGCTGTTGTAATTGTAACTCACACTGCGACGCTCGGGGCGAGCCGAGGAGGGCTCCGGCTGCCACTGTGGCTGTCCCGTCGTCGACGATGAGGATTTGTTCGGCGCAAACCGAGATCCCTGAAACGTCTGCGCGACCCAGTCGGGTTGAGCAACCGCAAGACTCTGTCTGCCTTGTCCACCCTTCATCGCCATGCTCTGCCGCTTGCGCGCCGTGCTGCCCATGCGGACAGCCGCCTCGCTGCGAGCTCGTACGTGCGACGGCACCATGAGCTCTGGGTGTGATAATGGCGGCCTTGATACGACGGTCGGCTGCTGCTGCTGGTCGGTATTCTGGCGCGAGAGAGTCTCTTTCCGAGCGCGTGATCGGCTAGTAGTCGTGGTCCGCGACCCGGTACTGCGCTGCGATGGTGCCGACTCGCTCAGGGCGAGCGAGTTGCGCCGGCACGCTTGCCCACGCCGACCGGACTCGGGACCCGTCAGCGGCGGTGGCGCATCATCCGTGCCGGGGCCGCGGTGGGGACGGGCCATCTGGGTGACGACGGCGTCGACCGAGTTGAGGCTCTCGATGCTCGGGGCGCCGTACAGGCTGCGCAGCCGATCTTGCATGACCGTCATGGGCGAGTCGGTGCGGTACGGGGGCAAGGCCGCGGCGTCAATGCCCGACAAGTGACCCAGCACGGCCACTCGATTCAGCGACTGAGACAGACGGCGGCGGTCCGTCGAAGAAGAGCAGGTTGATCGCACCGAAGAAGGCATTGTTACTCTGTTTTATCCAATTATGTCTTCCTTGTCTGTGATCAGGAAAGGGAGGTGGATACTCTCTGCTGTAATGGAAGTGAGATATGTCGTGATGTGGGCTTGAGACCGAGTAATAACTGCGGACGATATGTATATAAATAGAGAGTCAAGAGGGAAAGAACCAAGTTAACACGAACAGAAAAGACCAGCCTTTCCGCACAACACTGCAGGGGAGTGTTGTGTAGTAGAGAAAGAAACGAGTCCTCGAAAGCGGGTTCTTAAGTGCAAGGGTGGTATTCCCAAGACGGCTCGCGTACTGGGCGTAATAATGCTGAATCTGCTGAGGGCTCAAAGAGAAGAGTCAATGATTTGTATATGCTGGAGGAAACGATCCATTCATGCAAGGAGGGGGCCGATAGGATTGTGATATAGCAAGTTGGCTTCACAAAGGAAGTCCTACACAGGCCTTTAAGCAGAGCCACCAAAGACGGGCTAGACCCATGACGAGGGTTGGAGCATTGTTATTCAAGCGAAGTTATTGTTGGATTCTTGTTTTCTGCTCGGCAAAGGACATTTCCTTTGGTCGCAAGTTTTGCGTCTTTGTTCCAGGGTTGGGATCTTTCGAGGACAAAGACATTGTGCCTTCGAGTATACAAACATTATAGGGCGGGAGGGTGTAACCCTGCATTTTGTCCATTCATTTGTCAGTATCAGTGATCGGCGCGCAATGCACTCAACTCGTCAATAAGTATACGTCAAGCGGAGATATATCGTGGAGTGACAGTATGCCCAGTTGAGCATTTGGGAAGTGGTTTGCAATATGTACAATTAGAAACTATTGAATACTTTGATGGCTAAATATGTCAGAATGATACTGCATTGTAAGATTTCCTCCTCACTATAGAGGTGGGGCATTTGGATCCTGGTTCTGTCAGCAACGAAGGTAGATGGACACGGAGGCTGGAAGTGTTCTCGAGGATTGAAACTTACCTCCATACATTGATCCACACGCATGAGCTGCTTGCCTGTAGCTTTGGCGAGCTGAATAAACTCTTGCAAGTATCCGACAGTGCTCGAATACAAGTAGTGCATGACGACAAGGTTACCGCCCTTTGCAAGATCCCGCTTGAATGCATCAAGCTGTTTCTCTGGCGTGTTCGACTCTGCCCAAAGCCAGTCTTCTACATCGACGCTCCAGCCAACAATATAAGGGGTTTCAGTGTCGAGAGCAACGGCAAGCCTTTGACGCATACGTGCACCTTCCGTGCCAAAGGGAGGACGAAAGTACGGGGTATGCAATCCATCAAAGGCTTCTGCCACGGCGGCAAAGTCGTTGTTGTATTCCCAGTCAATCGCCTCGTATGATGGCAGACCTTCCATCTTTGGGTGCGTAAAGGAATGGAGGGCGATTTGGTGACCAGCGGCCATCATTTCCCTGTAAACGTTTGTCAAGTTGGTGCTGCTGTCGTCTAGAGGGGCGCCAACGGTAAAGAATGTCACTTTGATGTCTTCCTCCTTGACAATTTGCATAACTTGTTGAGCCAGCTTCGGGTCTCCATCATCAATGGCGAATGCAAAGGAGTTGGGGCGAGTGCAGGCGAAAACATAATTTCCACTGGGCAATTTGGAGGGGATTGTAAAATCTGCTGGTATAGATGGCACAATCTCCATCTTGGACAAGACGGTGGAGTCGGTCGAATAGAATCCTAGCAGAGCAATGCCGATAGCCCGGGACTGGTTTCCATTGAAATGAGACATTGGTATGTATATGTCGCTTGCCGATGCGTACCGTGCCGCCTCGAGGGAATCCCAAGTCTCTGGGTAAGGGGCGATTTCCTCATTACATTGTGCATTGTGCTGTTGTAGGGCGACGGAGAACTTGTTGCTTCCACTATAGGCAATGTGCAAGTAGGAACCACTGTAGCTAGTGAGATCACTGCAGCTCTCTGAGACCTGGCTGTAGAAAGCGTAGTCGGCGTCATCCGATTTGATAGTCAGAGACTTTCCGCTCCAGGTCAAAGACATTCCCTCATCAGCGCCGTGCCAAAAGCCCATGGTGTTCGCGTCTTCCGTGGAGAAATTGTCAATCACGAGGGCGGACGCAGTTCCTGCAGGCGCTGGAACTGTTGCTGTAGGAGAAACAGGTGTTGTCGTGGCAGGAAGGACATAGCGACTCGGTGTATCACCACAGTAGAATGCCATTGGGCCAAAGGTCACCGCATTGCTAAGACCTGCAAAGAGAATCGTTTGCACCTTTGTGGTATCAAGGCCTTGGAATTTGGCGAATGGTATGCTGTAGAGTTGTTCCGTCCCGTCAAAAGCCCAACCAAGATCGGTACTCTCCACGTATATACTGGCTGAATCCGTGTCGTTGCCGCAGCTGTCTGGAGATCCCAGCTGAACACCGAGAGTCGTGCCTTGTGGAGCAGTAATTGGGAGGGAGATACCGCCATATACGTTCTTGGCATTGACACAGCTTGCAACAGTGAAAAAATACGAGTCCGAGCTGTTGGGTGTAATAGTAACGTGGTTATCATCGCTGACAATGATCGATTTCATGGTTCCGTCGTCACTGGAAGGCTCTAGCATGGCATTGTAGTAGAGAAACGTCAATCGGGACTGCGATTCCCAGTCATCCACCAGTAGATTACTGCAGGTCCCTGTGGAGGACGCGGCGGAAGTTGTCGCAATTGAGGCAGTGGAAGTTGTCGCAGCATCCTTCTTGTCCAAAGTTGTCGATGAAGGTACTAGTCCACTTGTTAGCTGAATAGGAGCGTACGAATCTCGCAGATATCTCTTCTTACCTGGAGTCGAAGTAACAGGTTCGAAGTCACAAATGAGTTCAACCGTGCCAAGTTCCCAAGAGGTATTGGTCGATGAAAAGCCATACCAGACAAATCCTCGTATAGCATCCAAGTTTGCGCCAGTAAAAGATGCCAGGGGTATAACGATGGTCTGGTCCGAGCCTGTGAGGTCGGTAATGGTATAGTAGTAGCTCGTGTAATTGGACTCTGAGCACGAAGCTGACGTTTGGATCTCGACGTTTATTTCACCTCCAACAGGACCCAGTACATAGAAGGACAGGGCATTTAGCCCATTGGTTGCAGCTGCTTGACAGCCAAGATTCTCATAGAGATAGGAATCGTTACCGGGAGTGAAAATCACAGACCCCTGGTCGCCTGATATCGAGGTCATGGTGCCATCGTCTGCAATACAAGTTAGCGCTATTGCTTCCGCCAACTGCCGTCATTGTAGTTCTCCTACCGCTAGTCCGTTGACCCAAGCTATTGGTATTATTTGCCCATTGCGAGAAATCATCAATGGCAAGATCGGTGGTGCATTGGGCGCTCGTTTTCACCGCAAAGAGACCAGCCGCCAGACCGGCAAGGTGATAAGATCTCATACTTGGCGAAGAGATTGAAGTTGGCCAAAGACAAGACAAAAGCAGCTCACAAGTCACGGACGCAACCAATAGATAGACTTGAGAACAAGAGAGGTTGACGAAAGCCAAACTGATCCTACCATCCAGCGATCACGCCTAGAGGCAGATACCAGAGTATATAAAGCAGTCATGGTGCTGTCATAGTGGTTTGCGGGTAAAGCAATCCAAGAATAATAGGCTGTTTCATCAACTTGGTAATACGAGATCGGTGGACATTCGTGCAACGTTCAATCTAAAAAGCCGGGCCGCCAAGACCAATACTCTGGGAATAGGCAAGAATATTACGACGTATAAAGAAAACTCCCGATGTCCCTACAGGGTAAGAGAGGCGGCGGCCAATGTGCGTGCAGCGTTCGAGCGTCCAATGATGTGCGGTCATGATTCCGGTGATGGGATGGCACAGAGACTAGCCCGGGAGCGGCAGCAACCCCCTCCCAACGTGCATAAGAAGCAATGGTGAAGATCAGCCGAATATTCTCGCCGTCTTGACAACCTGACACCATCGGAAGTCGGTAGGGCCCTCAGATCTTGCGAAGAGACGCCCAAACCATAGCACTCGGGCTGAGGTTCTTGGAGTCACTTGGGAATTGCCAAGCCAGACGGACGTTGAACGGCGCGCAAAACTCTCCCCGTCTGATTTCAGGTGAAGGTTGTCAGAGCACCGTGTCCTACCCCTAGCGGCATCAGATACACATTGGCCCTGACACCTCGGCGCAGTAGTCTGCAGTAACTTTAATCTCCATGCACCTCGAATTGGCTCTTTGGTTTCTTTTTGAGATGTAACCGATGCGGAGTAGATACCGAGTATTCGTTCTTCGGAAGCTCTAGATTAACGGAATGGGCATCGGAAGATCGCCCAGGTGCATCTCGGCTGAAAGCTTGGCATCCAAGAAAGCCGCCATCTGCGGGTCGTCTTTTCGCAATATATAATTTGTACCACGGCTGCTATGTGATAGGTCAGCTGACTTTTGCATGGACGAAACATGCCGAATTCATCATGACTGGGCCTACAATTCTCGTAATGATAACTGGTCATTGGCTGGGAGAAGAAGAGAAAGCATTGAGAGATATTTATTCGAGTGACGCTGGTTGTCTTGTTTTTATCCTTTTCAAGTTTTGGTCGGCAGTTGCATGCATACCTATGTACCTACCTGAACATGTACATATGTAGGTAGAGGTAAACCATGAGTTGGTACCTGTCCTTAGCTCTCCTTGACACCGCCACAGGTCGCCCCTCGGTTAAAACCTGCCGCCCCATGTTTGCAACATGCTAATGGACTGTGTCTAGGCCCCTAAAGATGGGTGGTGCTTTAGCGCAGAGGACCCTGACAACCTGCACTGAGTTGCCAGGTCACATTAGTGCTTGTTGGCCCTGGCTCCCCTCCAGCGCGGGATAGTAAGCGGGCGCCACAACCCAACCCATGACCAACCTGTCACGCAAGCTGCATCAGGAAGCTGTCCTTATCGAATGCTTATCAAGTTGCTCTAATTGTTGAGAGCTTCATTCGATGCAGTAAGGATAACTGCTTGGCTGTATTGTTTTGTTCCGTACTGCCTCGGAGGAGAAAGAGTGAGAGAAGAGTCGCTCTCGAGTCGGGATGGGTATGTCATATCTCCGCCGCAGCTGTCGGAGCTTCCTCACTAACAAGTACACGCCCAGCGCAATCACCAAAGTCGCCGCGCGACTCTCTGTCATCCGTCTCGACCACCAGCTTTGTATTCGACCAGATTGACGAGCGAGAAAAGCTGGCCGCTCAGCGCAACCTTTCCGATTTCAACGACGACGATCCCCTCAGCCACGGCGATGATGATGATGAGACGGGCGCCTTCTTGCCTTCGGCTGGCAGGATCAATGGCAAAGGCCGGCCGATGGACCGGAAACTGAAGCGGATACTCATTGCGCTGGCCGTCGTGTTTGCTGCAGCCTGGGGCATCGGTCTCTTTAGTTTCATATCATCAAAGTCGTACCAGAACACTTCAGAGGTAGAGCACGATCCCTCGGCTACTGGCTACCGCGGATCTGGCAAGAAGATCAGCCTCGACTTGGTACAGTCCGGGTTCTTTTCGCCTACAAGCCATGGGATCAGCTGGATCGAAGGCGCCAACGGTGAGGATGGCTTATTGCTTGAACAAGGGGCCATGAAGAAGGACTATCTGGTGGTTGAGGATGTTCGAAGCCTCAATGCGGAACATGCTGCCGCCAACGGAGAGGTTCTTGCAAAGCAGACTCTTATGCGCAATGGCTGGTTCGACTACAAGGATCGACAAATCAGCCCGCAACAAGTCTGGCCGAGCCCCGACTTGAAAAAAGTCCTGATTGCTACAGACGTAAAGAAGAACTGGAGGTGGTCATTCACTGCTGTTTACTGGGTCTTTGATGTGGCCTCCCAAACTGCAGAGCCTTTGGACCCGCTCAACCCAGATCTCAGGGTGCAGCTCGCACAATGGAGTCCGCAGAGCAATGCCGTGGCCTATACAAGCAACAACAACCTATACGTCCGCCGCATTGAGGGTTCCAACGTGGTTCAGGTCACAAAGGACGGTGGTCCCGAATACTTTTATGGAATTCCTGACTGGGTCTACGAGGAGGAGGTCTTTGGAGGAAACAGTGCAACATGGTGGTCAGAGGATGGCGCCTATTTGACCTTTTTGCGAACCAACGAGACTCTTGTCCCAGAGTATCCCGTGCAATACTTTATCGAACGCCCGAGTGGCACGAACCCGCCGCCAGGGGAGGAGTCATATCCAGAGGTGCGACAGATCAAGTACCCCAAGGCTGGCTCACCCAACCCATTTGTAGATCTTCTCTTCTACGACATGAGCCGGGGCGATATGTTTGCCGTTGATATTGCTGGTGGTTTTGCTCCTGATGATCTTCTAATCACAGAAGTTGTTTGGGCCCGTGACAAAGTGCTGGTCAAGGAGACGAACCGAGTGAGCGACGTCATGCGTGTAGTTCTCGTCGATGTCATTGCCCGCACCGGCAAGACTGTACGGACAGATGATGTTGGCCAGATTGACGGCGGTTGGTTTGAGATTTCCCAGGACACTCAATACATCCCAGCCGATCCTAGCAACGGTCGACCTGAGGATGGCTACATTGACACGGTTGTATATGGCAATGGAGATCACCTGGCATACTTCACACCTTTGGACAATCCGGAGCCAATCATGCTTACCTCTGGCAAATGGGAAGTCGATGGCGGCCCGCAAGCAGTCGATCTCAAGAACAACTTGGTTTACTTCCGTGCCACCAAAGAATCTTCGATTCAACGCCATATCTACAGCGTGAAGCTAGACGGAACAGATATCAAGTCAATTACCGATACTTCAAAGGAAGGCTACTATTCAGCATCGTTCTCTAGCAAGGCTGGCTATGTCCTCCTTTCCTACCAAGGGCCTAGCATTCCTTGGCAAAAAGTCCTCAGCACTCCCGGTAACCAGGTCTCTTACAGCCATCTTATTGAAGAGAACAAAGACTTGGCTGCCAGAGCCCAGAAGTACGAATTGCCTCTTCTCGAGTACGGCACTATTCATGTTGACGGATTTGATTTCAACTATGTCGAACGACGGCCACCTCACTTTAATCCGAATAAGAGGTACCCAATCTTGTTTCAGCAGTACCAGGGCCCCGGATCGCAATCAGTATCGAAGGCTTTCAAGGTTGATTTCCAGTCGTATATCGCAGCAGGACTTGGCTATGTCGTGGTCACTGTTGATGGCCGAGGCACTGGCTTCATTGGCCGAGAAGCTCGTGTCGTGGTGCGCAAGAACCTTGGCCGTTGGGAGTCCCACGACCAGATTGCCGCTGGAAAGATCTGGGCTGCCAAGCCATATATTGACGCCAATCGCGTCGCCATTTGGGGTTGGTCGTATGGCGGATTCAATACGCTGAAGACTCTTGAACAAGACGCTGGTCAGACATTTAAATACGGCATGGCAGTCGCCCCTGTGACGGACTGGAGATTCTACGACAGTATCTATACAGAGAGGTATATGCTGACTCCCCAGGAAAACGCCGCGGGCTACGATGATACCGCCATCAGCAACGCTACGGCTCTCTCGGGCAATGTTCGATTCCTAATTATGCATGGTGTCGCCGACGACAATGTTCACATGCAAAACACCTTGACATTGCTTGACAAGCTAGATCTTGCTGGAGTGGAAAACTATGATCTGCACATGTTCCCGGACAGTAACCACGGCATTTACTTTCACAATGCGAACCAGATTGTATACGACAGTAAGTACTTTAGCGTTTTGACTTTAAAAATCTCGCTGACACATGTGATAGAATTGGTTAACTGGCTCATCAATGCTTTCAATGGCGAGTGGCTGAAGATTGCTGATCCGAAGCCCATCGTGGAGGCTCGAAAGAGGGAACTAGAGGAGGCCAGGAAGAGAATGAGTATCTCTGTGAACTAAGCAACTCGGCCACGAGCGCGAATGGGCATCCAACTGGCGTTAATGGAATTATTATTATTATTGGGTATATCATTATAGAATCTTTATTACTGTGTTCGAGTTCGAGATTCTCGAAACTATTTCTCAGCAGCCATCATTGAAATGTAACCTAGGAGAGATCGAACGCATTTGCCCCAATACTTGAGGGAAAACATTATCTGGCACAAGGAACGTCCAGTACAGCACAGGCTCGGCATCAATGCTAGCTGGGGTCAGCTCGATGCTGCAAAGGGTCTAAGTACCCAAATTAGCGTGCGACTATACAGATCGGTGGCCAGGTAGTGAATCGTGCACAGACCAGTAGCATAAAATCTATAGAAACATACTTTGCCACTCACCAATTGACTTTGTTCATCTGTGCTTAATTTTCATTTTCCTCCCTCACAATGTTCCAAAGCTGATAGTTGCACACATGAAACTAAAAGCCGCTCATATCCATCACCATGTCATTCTCTCAAGTGTCCCTGGCACTCACGATACTTGTGTCGACCGTGGGCACCTACATTGCTTGCTCACCCCCTAACCCGAACCCCCAAGGAGGTCCGGAGTCCGAGTCGTCGCCGTCGCATGATTTGCTCAGCACCCTGAACCTCACCAAGCGGCACACGAACAAGTTCACCATTGGGCCCATGTGCATCCTCGCCGTTCATGCCTTACTCCTGGCCTTTTACTACCCGGACCTGCCGCCCGCCCTCCTCGGCCACGGCGACGCCAACGGCCTCAACCGGGATCTCATTACATGGTCGCCGGCAACGGCGATCCCGCTGGCCTTGATCCTGTGCGTGGGCATCCCGCTGCGGCTCGTCTCGTACGCCTCGCTGGGCAGGAACTTCACCTTTGCCCTGGCGCGCCCGGACCGGCTGACGACGACGGGGATCCACGCCCACCTGCAGCACCCGAGCTACACGGGCGTCATTGTGCTCGTCGTGTGCAACCTGGCCCTGCTCGCGCGCGCCGACGGCGTCGCCTGCTGCTGGTTCCCCCCCGCATGGCACGCGGCGCTGCGCAGCCCTGGAGCCGGGGAGCCCACGGCCGTGGTCCTGGGTCTGTCCCTGCTGGCGGGCGTCGTGTGGACGCGGGTCCGGCAGGAGGAGCAAATGTTGAAGGCGCAGTTTGGTGCCGAGTGGGAGAGGTGGCATGCGCAGACGTCAAGATTTATCCCGGGGGTATTTTAGGGTGATTGTGCTGCGCTTTTGTCGAGCTTGATGGAGGATGCTAGGAGACATGCCAGGCATGATGAGATGCATTGCGTGGAAAGAAGAAATACCATAGAACGGGCAAGCATCTCCATCATAAAAAGTCATTAGAAAATGTAGACGGGTCAACCCTGGAATGATTATGTATTCGAATGTCGAGGAAAGCAGGAAGGTAAGATGGAAAAATATAAATCAAGACTCTAGACCAAGCTCGAATCTATTGCATGTTCCTTTCAGCATCTAAAAGTACTCTTGTATGCCACAGCCTCTGAATCTCCACCTTTGCCATGTCTCCAAGCAGATATGAAGCACTAATACTACATACTTGGTCGTCCAATCATCCAATAACTCATTGGGAACTATACCTCTGCGCTCATAAATAATAAAAACAAAAACATTACAATTATATACATATCATCATCGTAGATCATCGTCCCAACGCCTCCCCACTCTATATACTTTGTTCGGCGTGCGTCGGCATGAATTATAACATGGGGTATCTCATATACCCGAGTCAGTCTGAACGATATTGTCGGCCGACACGTAGGCGTCCCAAGCGGCACACGTCGAGTCGAGCAGATCCGTGTCAATGAGCGCGGGGATTTCAGACTCGCGCTCTAGAATCTGGATGGCGAGGCCTTCTGCGAGATGCCAGGCAATGTGGCAGTGTACAGTCCAGATCTGTTTTGGGAACACGATTAGTAAGTACTATCCACCAGGTTTCAATGTTCATATAACTTACACCGGGGTTGTCAGTCTTGAATGCAATAACGACGAAACCGTTTCCGGGAAGCTGGACCACATCTCGTCTGGGAGGGTTGACCATGTTCAAGCTGACGGTCGAGGTGTCATAGGTTCCAGTGCCTTGACCCAGAATCCAAAAGTCGTGACCATCTATCAAGTTCTCTGGTTAGCAAGATGAACATGGGTCTTGGAATTGCTATGGCATCAGGTAAAATGACTTACGCAAGTGCATAGGGTGCGGGACACCGCTCGACGGCTCCTGGATGATAAAGTAGACCCACTGGTCGGCGTCGGGCACCGAGTAGACCTGCTGCTGCTCGGTCCACGTGTCGTTGCCCTCGTTGATCTGCTGCAGCGACGGGTACTCCCAAAGGTTGATAAAGGTGTGCGGACCCATTTCCCACAGGAACGTGTTGGAGCTGCCGCGTATCACCTGGACGTCAAAGTCCTCGGTCACGTCGGCGTCGGACGGGTTGATGGCCACGTAGGGCACCAGGTTCGACATGTCCTCGTCGTAGCACGTGCCGTTGGGGTTGGCGCCCTCCCAAGCCGTCGAGGTGGGCTCGGCCGTCGAGCTGCTGTCGTAGCGGATGATGCCCCGGACATTGTCCGAGTTTTCATTGTTGCTGCACGTGTCTTGGATGGCGGCCCGCATCCAGTAATCGCCCGACGCGGCGTTGGCCGTGACGATGACGTCGTACCGCTGGCCCATGGTGATGGCGAGCACGTCGGTGGTGTAGGGCACGATGGGCACAAAGTCGGCGGCAATGACCTCGAGGGTGTGGTTGTCAATGGCGAAACGGAACACGGTGTCGGCGGCGGCATTGACGAGACGGAGTCTGTACCGCTTTCCGGCCTCGAATGTCGTCTCGAAGCGGGATCCACCGTCGTCGTAGACATTGGTGCCGTTGATAAGGCCATTGTTCAACTTGGGAGGTCCATGCTCAGCTCGGATCGCCATGGTGGCGGCATCCAAGTGGTACCAGTCATTGAGGAACAGATTGCCGAGATCCTCGTCATAGTTGGCAGTAGCAGGACCATTGATGAGAATTCCACCAAAGATTCCATCCCAGGCCTGCACGGCAAAGTGAGAGTGGCTATTTGGATCTTGTCAGTTTGATATTCGCTACGCGGCTGATCGCTCCAGATGGGCGATATCGAGAAACTAAAAATCAGCAGGGATTTACTTACTACCAACTTGATCCGTACTGAGTAGCTCTCCAGGTGTAGGTGTAAGTACCCCCAGGAGGAATTGGGCATTGTGTTACACTGGAGACACCATCGTTCTGAATGGTCATGTTCTGCCTAATACCATGGAAGTGAATGCTAGTTCCATTGTTCTCCATGGAGTTGGTCAGGTGGACAACTAACACGGGGTTAGCAGATAAACTTGGCAAGCACAGGCAGCATCTTTCTTTTTCCTTACCAACGGTGTCACCCCAATCGGCAATGATTGTAGGCCCGGGTATGCTTCCATTGACCGACAAGACGAACCGCTCGACACCATCAGGGGCAGCGGTCGTGTTGACAATGTCCCACCAGTACTCCCGGGTAACACCCGTGTCGGGAACTTCATCATAGTAGTTGGTAGAGATGTCATAGTCTCCCCAGCAGGTGCGATCATCGGCACTGTTCGTACACCTCTTGGAAAGAGAAGGTGTCGAGGCACTCGGTGCCGCTACTGCTCCTGATGCCAGGAGCAGAGAGCAAAGAAAAGATTTGAAAAACATGACGAGGAGCGCCAAGAGCGAGTGACTAGTGATTGCAGACAAGATCTAAGAAAGAGACATATAAAATGTGCTCGATGTATATCGATACAGTGTATGAGAATCATAGAGGAAGGAAGATCATCGCGAGATATATAGTAGAGTCTTGATATCGAGAAACACCTGCATACTTGCCGTATATTTTTTTGCGGATCCTGACCGACGATCATGGTATCTCGCAACAAGCCACTTCGTGTATGTGAACATGGCTATTTTGGATAGGCGATAGGTACGAGCTGCGAGTTAGTCCGAGGCTATAGCCCCGAAGGCAGCGGCGGTTATCCCCAGCATGACTGGTTTGTCCACGTGGTATGCGAGTAGACTATCGAAAATCCTGAACAGATACATGCAAGGTCAAACGGGGTCAGGTAAGCCAGCTGTGGTTTGATGGTCGCCTCGAGGACCCTCCTCCTCGGGCGGGTGCGAACCGAGCGTAAGATGGGGACCGGCGACGGAGTTTTCTTCTTTCTTTCTTGTCAGCATAGTATCACTGCGCCCAGGCTGCAAGGCTTGAGAAAAGCCTCAGATGATGTTTTGCAGATTCTCTTGTCAGACGCGCGTTGCAACTCCGCCCATCCAACGGCCGTGTAATTTCCATACTTACATTATATCGACTCTGTATACTCACCTGAAGCAAACTATCGACCGATGGACGCGTAGTCAATATCCCTGAGTTTGCAGAGGTGAATATCCTGGTGTTTGCATTAGTACCACGTGTGCTTGATGATACTACTACTACAAGCAGCAATGGAAATCTCCCTTCTTCTTCTTTGTCCCGACTCCCTAGACACGCATCAAAAGATCTTCTCGTCAAGGCGAGTGCGAACAGGCCCTCGCCAAGCCCTACCGGCATCAGTAGCGTTGGCCCGCAGGACTATCTGGGGGCCCAGCAGGTAAGCATAACGAAAAGAGTGGAGGATCATCGTCTCTAGTGTCAAGCTTTTAGACGCGGATTTTATTTTAGGATCACACAAGCTCTTTTTCGGATACGAGCAATGGCCAATCGAGTCCGACTTGGATAAATTCCGAAAAAGGCCGACAAGGGTAAACAAATGGAACTCGTACACGTCTACGGACCCGAAATATGTAGGTAAGCCAGTTATCAGATACGTAGGAGCGGACATTGACCTTTTGACAAGTCGGAGCATGCCCCCACATACCCGCAGTAGGTACAGTATGTAGATACGGAATCAGACGCCTGACGCCCTACACCTACAAGACTCGCGCAGTCAGATATGGAGGATCCTGCAACCAACTCACAGAAAACAAGTCTTTTAGCTTACCCAGCAGATAAACGAACGAATCAGTATGGCCAGAATCCTTCAGCCTCATGTCGCTAATGCCACCGCTCCATGGCCAAGTTGCCATATTGTCAGCGGATATAGCCAGCCAATAGCACAACGGGTCAACCTGGTCGTCTTTATTGGACAAAACTCCATGAAACCCCAAATGTGGAAACTTGGTAGTGTTGGTCAACACAATCATGTTTTACCCAATACATTGCATACAGCGTGTGTAGGTATACAATGGCTGTGTCTTGTGTGTTCACGCATGACAGCCAATTATTCTGGCACTAAGAAATAAGTGCTGACAGCAGTGAACTCCATTGCCCAGAAAATCCGGGTCAACATCAGTACAGTACCTACTGCTGATGCTTTTTTGACGTTTGCATCATGCTCATGTGGCCAAGCCCGTATTCAGTGCATCTTCGTACCTTTGCTAGCACCAACGACTTTGCAGCATTTACCAGGTCCAGGCTTGATATTGCCCAAATTGATTCCATCGCAACAGTCAAAGCCAAGCATTTTTCAGCTAGCGGGTCCTGCGAGCGGTTAACTTAGAGTTGATTCAGAGATTCCCGGCTCCGGATAGACTAACTAGAGTATAACTTTCTATTACTTACAGTTGGAGTAATCGGGGGGCATTCGCCCAAACGAGGTTAGGTAGGGCAGCGTCTATAGGTTTTCCATGGACGATAATAGTAAAAACAACCGAATTATTGCGTCATTTTCTACTTTATTCGGCTGGCCGGGGTCTGTAAACGTTCCGCAGATCGAAGTCTATCCTCGAGGCCATGCGGCTCTCCAGGGGGGGTATGCGCCTGGTCCTTCGGCCCTGTCACCCGATTCAGAGAGGCTGATCTCTCAAAGCGGTCATTGGAGGGGTTACTGGCGATTGAATACAGGATTACCGCGCGCAGAAGAGTCCAGACAAGCATCAAAGAAGCCACAACTGAGGGCACCCGCCCAAGTATTTTGCGAGGCTGCGTAAGCTCCTGCACGATGCCAGGGGCACGAGTCGCACGAACCCCCAAACTACTTTGCAGCTGGACGGAGAATTATGTACATAGTATGTGCAGAAAAGAAAAGGTAGTACAAAGCAACCTATCAGCCTTGTCGCTTACAACAAACAAGACCCGCAAAGGACTCCAGTGGTCCCATAATCGCAACAGCGGTCCTTGTCCACGGCCGACATCCGTGCGAAAAGAGGATCGGCGTTTATACTATCGCGGTTCTCCTCTCCACTTTTCTATTGAAAGGGACGCGCAAGACAACCTGTGGTCGTGCAGTCCAGGATTCCCAATAGCGGCAGATGTCCCTGGATGAACTCCGAATTGTCGTTGTTTCGCAGGATATTATGTAGTACATTCCATTAAAATTAATTGAAATCTATTGTATAGTGCAGAAGTCATATATTGATTTCGTTATTGATATTCTTCTCTAATCGTATTCCAATATTTGTGCGGCGTTTGTCTGATAATCGTCCTGGCCTCAAGCCTCTTTTGCTTTCATCTTCTGAAAAAATAATTATCCTGTATCACTCAAAACATGTTGTTCAAGGGCACCTGGTGCTTGTTCCCCTTGTTGGTCGCTAGCGTAAATGCTGCACCACACGAGAAGCGTTCTATACAGACCGGGAAGCGGGTGCTTGCCTATGGCGAGAACATCACCGGGTTCGCTGTATATGCCGATACAGACGGTGAGAGTTGCCACGGCGGCTGACAAACAAGCAGATCGGAACTTTTGCTGACAGATGCTCAGGTTTCGCCGTCATTGCTGATCCCGAGAATGACAACTCGGAACTGTTCGAGGCCTCGTGTAAGTCTAACCCGGGGACTTGAAAAATGATGAGTTAAACTCCACAAGATACTAATCATGCCTTTGTGACAACTAGGGACGCTTGACACTGATGGAGCTCTGGCATGGAATGTCTCCTTTAGCGTACCACACAACGCATCCGCCAACGTGACTGAAGACACGGCCAGTTTCTACATTCTCCCCGACGCCGACTTTGCGCAAAGTGGCTTTACCGTCAACGGCAGCACTCCCGATGGCGCCGAAACCGAAGGTTTTGTCCTTTATGGTCACGATATCATGTTCTCATCCGGCGACTCCCTGCAGTCCAAGTTCTGGGCACAGAACACGTCCAGCGGCTACTGGAACCTGGTGTGGAACACAGAAGGCAGCTCAAAGTCGGATAGTGTACCAGTCATGTTGATGACTGATGACGATGACGACGATTCTTCTTCTTCTTAGCCAGCGCAAAGATAGTCTGAGATAGCCACGCCTCGGCATGGCACGGGTTATTTCAACATGGATTCTCTAAGTGAGACTGTTTGCAGCAGCTCAAGTCTGCCTACAGATATCACTTTGTTCTTTTTGATTACTATATACACAATTTGGATAATAAGCTGATTGGAATTTGTAATTGTACTTGTAAATGAAAGACGGAGGGTATGGCTACGGTGCTCACATCTTCAGTCGCTAGCAGCAATGATACATTGATACTCGAATAATAGCACCAATCAAGGCATACTGTTTGATGCAAAGCTCGCCAGCCTGGTCGCATTTCTTATCTATTTCCAGAAACAATCCTCATAAGCGGCACAGCAAAGTAGAAACACCAAGCAAACGAAAATATTGTACAAAAACATATGATTTTGAGTATTACTAGCAGTCATCTCGCTATGGCTGCGCCAATGTTCGCTTAGCGCATCCCTGACGCCACTGCTGAGTACCGAGGTGTCATTCTCGATCTGTTGGCGGCGAAAAGATCGATCCATATGGTATGTCTTTGGTGTCTAGTGCTGACAACATTTCTTATAGCATCTGCAGGGGTCAGCTGTGGTGTTAACTTATATCACGATTTTCATTTGTACTATGAGCACTGCATTCGGGAAATTTCAAGTCTCAAATATTCTGGGAAGTTGTGGCTTTTTCTCTACAAACATTCAACTGGGGTGAGATTATTGGTAGCCCTGGTCTTGTTAAGCTTTTACAAGTTAGGCAATCGGAAAGCAATACATTTAAGCCTTGAGGATCTATTAGCATGATGACGCGTCGGCATCTCCCGACGGAGTCGTCTAACCGAAGCTGACTCAAAGTGAGCGATATGACAGTCCATCCACCGCCAAATAAATTACGGACCCATGAGTTTATTGGAATATGATATTGGCACAATAAGATCAACAGAGAGAGAGCCAGCGGTGTGGCCAAAAATGCAACTATCCGGGACTGCCGCCGTATGAGATCCAATCAGCACATGAACAGCATATTAGGCCGGGATGACTACGGATGGCCGGGAGGCATGTGTATCATCGGATTACCGGGAGCCTGGGTTGAGTCTATTGGTAAATACCTATATTATGGGGGCGGAAAGTTCGGGTGGGAGCACCTAGGCCACCGCCTTGTTACGCTTCCCGCCGGGCCATAGCCAGGCAAGCAACGCGATCCTGCTAAATAAAGAATCCATGTGGATGCCTAGAGTACATCTTGCTTCAACAGAGATATTTCCAAGTCTTATTATTGGATGGTCACCTCAAGGTGGCTCAGCACCTTATCATACCATGTGGCGCACCAGTCCTTGTTGTTGAATGACTTGGATGAGGCTGAGCAACTACCCGAGTGCGACAAAGACCAATCGAAGCCTCGAGGAAGTTTCAGTGAACTTCCAAGATTGAATCAGTAAAATATTTTGTCTTTCACAATGTTATGATGGATCAAGGACATTATCCCATGGAGATTGGCAATCAAGTAGCCCTAGGTTAAGATAATGAGATAACATGCAGAGTTACAGCGTTGCCTCACCCAACCACCAATATTGCTTTCCAAGTATTGAAACAAAATATGATTGTGATGATCTCAATTATGTGAAAGTCCAATTGTGTTCTATGTCAAGCGATACCTGATATCATCCAGCCATTGGCAGTGGCCCGAGCGAATTGGGGCTATGCATCAAACATGCAATCACTTCGAGATGTATCATCTGTCTGAGTTGCTCAGCTAGAGATATCGGTATTTTCCATATCGAACAAAGCAATTGAACAAAGCTTACACAGAAAACATGTTTCGTTAGAACATGATAGATGCCATTCGACTCGGATTCGAGGATCCAGGGGTTTTCTCCAAGACACTGCAGTGGGGACTTTCAAACGTCTTTGTCAAACAATGCACATTTGCTGTTTGAGATTGAATAGATTGTATGAAACATCCGACTCATTTTCAAGGCTATAAATCTTTCAAGATTGCACATGTTTGAGATCCTGAATTGCATCACCAGCAAGATCAACATCAAGATCACTGTGACCCATCCATTCAACGAAACCGTGAGACACAAGAAAGACAAAATGACTAGACACGAGGTAGGAAAGGACTTGACACCGAGTGAATCCAAGCGAAGAAGACGAGCTTCGAAGATGAAGAGCAGAAAGTTGGAACGTGATAAAGGTAAAGAAGTCGAGTTTCACTTTAAAGCAGGTTCGAGTGCTCCCCACACGACAGGGCATCACAAGCTTGAAAACCCCAGGGAAAAGGCCAAAAGGACTAGGGTCTCTTCCGAGGCGCCTACCGATAAAGATGAGCATCTCGTGGAGCCAAGCTCGAAAAAGGCCAAAACATCAGACGTAGAGGATTTAACTCCGCGTATGCGGACAGCATCACTAAAGGGTTCAGAAGCAACATCATTGACACGAATCAAAGAGGAACTTGACGGTAAGTGGTGCAAAATGCCAAGTTGCTATGTCTGGAGAGAGAAAAAGGCTAAAATACTATAACAGCTCGTCAAATAAGTCTACCGCGATACCTGTTTCGTGGCTTCCATGCGTATTCCGGGAGTGTTTATGATCGAGATCCTCGACTTAACAACACGAAAGGGATAACCCCTCATGCATTCCTCGACGGCTCTACACCTACTAGCATGTATGATATACCTTGTCTGGGCGATATGTTGAATGACCATCTCGGTGGGATGCTCATACAAACATGCTTCAGTTCGTGGTCTGCTGACCTGGATACGGCTATCTATTTCTCTAGAGCATCTGGGACTTCATACCTTGCCGTACTTGATACTCGACTCATGGATTCTCATGTGCAAATACACCACGTACTTGACTTGCATGCTGTTGGCCTCGCGGCGGATGAGTATGAACACACGAGTGGTTGGCTTATGGCCCTATTTCCGGAGTCGCTTTCCGATGCATATCCATAAATGATATTACGAATATCGGGTTTTCCAGCACATTTGAACGTATCCGCCGGGGCTATTGGGGAGAAAATCACAGGCCAGTTGAGCAACTAACCTCAAAAGCCGCCATTCGGTCTGCAAAGAAGATTGGTGAGCTTTTCAAACGCAAAAGAGATCAGAGCCCGGATATTGCCATTACGATCACGGCTGCTGTACTTGGCATATACTTCTCAGGGCTGGGAACTTCAATGAGTCCTAAAATTGCCGACTCTTTAGCAAGAGCTCTGTCAAAAGAGCTCAAGGCTGTGCAGAGATCGAAGGTTACGGGCATAGGAACCGGACTTTTGGTTAACCCATTGACTCCAAGGCCTGAAAGCCTTCAGGGGTTGAAATTCATGATTGAATTGCTCAACGCCCTTGAACAGCATGCTGTTAGAATAAAAGTTTAGCCTGAAAATTTCAATAGATGATTGGATTCATACGACTTCGCACGAGGTTCGACGAACACAGCTGATGGCAACTCATGCTTCGCCCTGCTTCTGCGATCAATTGAGATGTCAAGTATACTTGAGTCTGATTTGCGACAACTGCGGATATCAATATTGCTTGGCATGGACCAAGCACATCAGGAATGATGTACATGTCCAAATGAAACGTAACGAATGCGCAACTAGACTTGGAGAGAACTATGTGTTGCGTCTGAAATGTGATTAGACATTATACAGAGCACGGCGCTTATACGCAATATTATACAGAGAGTTTATCTCAAACCTGAGGTTTCCAGATTTTCTACCAGAAACCACCATCATAGTCCTTGAACACCTGTCTTGGGCAAACAATGGCCCAAGATCGAGTATGTCGTCTCAGGCATCCCCTTGGGTCAAAGAGAAATAAGATGCTCGAGATCACGCCAAGTCAGGTTTAGGAACCATTGCAACCGCAAAAAGCCAAATCGACAGACAAACATACCAGACGCGACAACCAAGATGTCGGGCCACATGGTAAGCATTCAAACACTTGCACTTTCTTCATGTATCTTGTCTCATCCATCTATTATGTGATTTACTTTGCACATTTCCAGAGCAGTCATTTCTTTTAGCTGCAAGTGGTCTTTCTCTTGCTGATAGTGGGTAACTAGAAAGGATGCACTTTCAAAGACGATTTCTACGACAGCGATCCGGAGTCCTGCATGTGTCAATCATGGTCCTACTGTAACCCAAAGAAATCCAGAAAGGCACCTTCTTTGTATGAGTTCCAAGCAGGCCTGGACACTGTGAGCGAGACAGTGCCCCTGGCGAAAAGTCACAAGAACTATGGAACCAAATCAGGGAAAAGTCTGAAGAAGGCCGAACACAACAAGAAGTCGCACAATGAGTCGACGAAGAGCCTTCAGCCATCAACCAAGAAGATCAAGACTCATGATCCAAAGGGACCCGAGCCATTGCTTCTCAACCCGACGTTGAAAGATGCAAAAGCATATCTGGATGGTGAGTATCGCTCAAGTTCACTCCCATGAAGCTTCATATTTCTCATCACTTAATAGCTCGTCGAAGCACTCTTCCCCGGTTCTTCTTCCGTGGCTTTCACGCTGGCTCCGGAGGCGGTATCCCCGGACTGAACAACAAAAAAGGCATCACTCCGCACGGATTTCTCAGAGGACAGACGCCTACCACCATGTATGCCATTAAAAATGTCCATCATATGATTCATTACCACCTATCTGGGGTCGTTGGGAATAGTCACTTCAGTTCGTGGTCCGCTGATCTGCACACTGCTCTTGGCTACTCTGGTGCCCACGGGGGTAAGAGGTACGGAAGGCATATCGCCGTGCTTGATACTCGGCTCCTGGAGCCTCACGTGGAGGTGTACCACACTGAGGATTTGCGCGATGCTGGTCTGTCCAACCAAGCTTACTCTTATGAGTGGTTGATATACGGACCTATCACCGGGGTCGCTTATCGGTGTGCATCTGTCGACGCGATGGAAAATATCGGCTTGCCCATCATATACACCATCACCGCCCGCCCAGCAAAACTAATGACGACAGAAGCCGCCGTCGTGACTGCAAAGAAGGTTGGCGAGCTGTTTCGACATGATCAAGACAAGAGCCCGGATGTGATCTTGGCCGTAGCGGCTGCTGTGCTAGGCCTGCATTTTCGCCGCCTAGGGCAGCGCGGACTCGAGCCAGGAGTGATCGACTCAGCAGCCAGGCTTTGGGCACACGAGCTCAGGACACTGAAGAAGCCAAAGTTGCCCACTATTGGCACCGGCATATTGGCCAATCCGCTGACTCCAACGAGGAACCTCCCGGGGCTGGAACTCATGGTTGACCTGCTTATTGCCCTCGAACAGAGAGCTATTCAAGCAGGAGCGCAGTCAACGCCCGTGGTTATCGATCTTACCAACGAAGTCGACGATGATGAGTACATCAATTTCTTGATGCATGGAGCTGTTGGAAATGAGGCAAAGTCCGACTCGGGTTATATCGACCTTACTAAGGAAGAGGACGATGGCGTTCACAAAGTCACAAAGAAATTCCATGGTCTGCGTGGAGGATGATTGGGCGTACGTGTCTCGCAAACATGACTACGGGATAATCGAGGGAGAAACCTTTGTTGGAGGGACACAGCAAGATGTTAGATGTTACATTGGCCTCCACGTGGATATTGAAACTTGATTAGTGGTTACTAGTAATCACCAGATGCCAAGCCCATGATTGGCGCATTCCGATACAATGGCATTCAATACGAGCCAATTGGTCATGCAAATGCAACGTGATGAAAGGCCGCAAATACCCCGCAATCATTTTGATTTACCCAAACCATCGCCTTGTTCAGAGTCTGCCATTACTGTATCCGAAGCTGGGTTCACCTCCTCAGACTCTGGCTTTGCCTCTTCAGTCTCTGGCTTCGCCTCTTCAGTCGCTGGCTTCACCTCTTTAGTCTCTGCGTCAAACATTACTGCCTTGAGCAATTGCCTAATGCTCTCATCAGTTTCCTCCGGGCGCCCAACATAGTGAGCCTCGGTCCTGACCCTGATGGCAGTAGCAGTCCCTATGGCCATGTTTCTCAGATTCGGCTGTGTGGCTACCTCGTCGGACAGACATCTTGCTACCAAGACAGCCAGGTCCGAGTCCAACTTTGGATTCGTAATCTGACTGCTGCCCTTTTCGAACAAAGCCCCAGCAAAGGTTTTGCACTATCAAGTTTGAGAATGAATTAGCCAAAATGCCCATTACTCATTTGGTATGACAAACATCTCCAACAATGCAAGACTGTAGTGTATCTCGTCCAGCAGGGATGATATTATGTCCCCCGAGGTCGAAAAGAATGGACACGAAACTGCAAAAAAAGAAAAAAAAATACTGACAGAATTACTACCAAATTTCAACTCTCGTTTATTATCTGATACTCGTAACTGGACTTCTTCCTTTTTAATCAGGCTCATCATCAACTAAGCCAAGACCGAGTGAGGTTAGTACTATACGCATGCTATATCGGTTGGCTGATGACTCACGCATCCCATGCTGAAAACGTTTGTATGATCAATCTTCAACGACTCGTACTCTTTTTTCCTTGTCCAGAATGTGAGTCGGACTTTGTTGAAAATCGGAACACAACTACTCACTGTTGTTCATCTTTCAAGTCATATCGATCAGCGCAACCGAAATCGATAACTTTCAATATCGGCACCAGGTCATGCTCGCTACCATCAAGTTCGCCAAATACAACTGCAAGCATGCAATCAGCGAGAGTGTCATATAACAGAGCGGTTCTGTAGATCGTACCGTTTTCTATGTGTAGATCACTGTGGCAGATGTGCGCAGTTGGATCAGTGCCGGCTGGCCATACTTCGGGGGGCAGTTTGTCATTGCCTGGCCACTGAGGAGGGTGGGCTAAAGCAATACATGCCTTTATCACTGCGTCAAAGATTCAGTAACGATGCGTCATGTAAAGCCGAAATAGACTTACAACAGAGGAAGACTCTCCACAACAGGCGATTTGGTACTGTGCTTCCACGTTTATTAAGTCTCTCTAATAGGCGGCCCAAGGTGCCGTTGGGCAGGTACTCGGTGATGAGCGTCGGCCCGCTGGGAAAATCTTTGCTGCCTAGCAGATCTGCTAATGTGACCATCTGTAGATTATGGGGTGATCCGGTCAGGAGTTCCAAGGTTTGGATTTCAGTCTCGAGCCCGGCGTCGGCCTCTTCGTCCATGGCACGCTTCATCACGAACTTTTGTGTCTGTGGTCCAGCACCTCCAGCTCTGGAACATAGCCAAGCAATACCATTTGCGCCGTTCCCTAGACTCTTCTCATAGACATAATTTGGATTTGAACTGAAGTATTCCTTTACTTCTTTGGTCTTTTGAATTACCATTTCATCTTCCCATGCGTCAAAGAGATCTTCACCGTCATCGTTCATGTCGAAGTCGTCAGCATCGTCGTCGGTGTGTCTATATTTAGACATTGTGGCGAGATGAGGGAAGAATGCGCGCCGAAGATTTCTCTTGCCACGACCATTGCGACTGGCGTTTGTGGGATAGGCAATAATGGCAACTATCACGACATCTCTGGAAAATGGCTAGATTGTCCCCTGGCCCATGCCCTTGTCAACAAAGACTTGCTGGTGGTGACATTCCATTGTCATTCACGAAACAAAGACTTACTATTGCTTTCGGCTTGTCCAGGTACAAGTGCCCAGATAAAGAAACTCATGCTATCACCCTGTAAGCGACAATTGTGGTCAGGTTGCGCACCCATTGCGAAGGTAGTGCATGCATCACTCTACAAAATCTCTCCGCTGTTTGTGATATTACTTGTTTTCAAAGTTTACATCTCCCGGATGTCAGATATTTATCTTCGGACATCGGACCCAAATGAGACAGTTTTTCTCTTGAAATGCTTATGTAGATTGCCGATAGTATATATCAACCCGCGAAGGCATATGGATTAAGGTGCATGATGTTGATGATGGCGTCCTAGCAAAGTTGGCCGGCGGTTTCATGAGAGACAAGCTATGATTTGGTACAGGTGTCACTAGAATATAGAGCTTAGGAATGATGTTCTTCTCCCTCCCCCACCAAATTCGGAGCAAATACCCCTGTGATATGACGGCCGTGTTTTCAAGCTTATTTTGATGGTTTGCTTGAGGAATAATTTGCTTAATTCTGTACAGTAAATGCAACTGATGTTGAGGGGCGCCTTTCGAGAAATGACCAAAAAAGCCCCGATCATGGTGCTAGCGAGAGGTGCGACGAACCCTCAGGTCACTGCGTTGAAGTGAGGCGCGCTGCCGCCAACCACTAACGGGCGGCCGGACGATCGATCTCAAAGTACGACTGCTACTATGGTACTACTATACGCGCTGCAACGTAGCACAACAGCGCCAAGTATAATGGCCAAACTTGGTATCCTGCAATCTGCCTGATACATACCTACATACTACCCAGAGTGCTACCATAAACATCGTATTCTTTGCGGGGAAGGCCACATTTGTCTCGTTTGCCTTTTTTTTCTCGATTTTCTTTTTTTCTCTCCCTTCCGATCATGCCATTTGTTTCTGCTGTCATGGCAAGATCGATAGCATCCTAATCTCTCAAAAAGTTCTAACCTTGGGAACAAACAAGGAGATGTACGAGTTCTCGGTATTGGCGATGCTGTTGGCAGGCCTACAGCAGGTGCTCGGCGCCACGGCAGCAGCCACTACACTAAGTCAACGGGATACAGATGCGCCAGCGCCAGCCCAGCCCAAGCTTATTTCTACTTGGGATATTCAATCGTCTGCAAAGACGGGCCAGGATGTGGCTGCTCTGTCTATCGCGTGCGTCGATGTGTCGTCTTGGTATCACATTGATGCGTCTCGATGCACTCTCATGGGATGTCTAATCGACGCCGGGATATATAATGACTCGAACTTGTTCTTCTCTGACAATCTTGTCAATTTTGACAGGTCTCAGTTCTCTGTTCCTTGGGTATATCGATATGAGTTCTCATCAAGTCCGAGTGACGGACAGCACTACTTTCTTGAGAACAATGGCATCACCTCCAAGGCCGACATCTACCTAAATGGACAACAGATTGCAAACAGTACTTCTCAGGTCGGAGCATATGCTGGCCACACCTACGACATTACCAGCTACTTGTCCCAAGACAATGCTCTTGCTATTCAGGTCTATCCTACCGACTACAACTACGACTTCGCCCTGGGTTTCGTGGACTGGAATCCTTATCCCCCTGACAATGGCACGGGAGTGTGGCGCGATGTGTTTATCAAGCAGACGGGTCCTGTGGCTTTATCCCCATTAAGAGTCACTACTGACTTCCAACTACCTGCAGGTGATAATCCTGCGACAGTGACGCTCTTGTCAACTGTGCAGAATTACGAGGATTGTGAAGTCACTTTCCAGGCAGAAAGCATCGTGTTCGGAAATGGGACAGATCAAATCTTACAAACCCAGTCATTCGCCTACACAGTTGGCCCATTGGCTTCTTTGGACATTAATCTGACACATGTCGTTGAGGAACCAGCAATTTGGTGGCCAAAGGTATGGGGAGAACAACCACTCTACTCCGCAAAGCTGTCCCTCTGGGTGGATAATGCGACATCAGATGCCGTCGAAAAGACCTTTGGCATACGCAAGGTGACCTCCGGCTTGAACCAGTTCAACGACACGTCCTTCAGCATCAATGGAAACGCCTTCCAGGTCCTCGGTGGCGGCTACTCGTCCGACATGTTCCTCCGATGGGACAGCGCCAAGTTCACGACACAGGTCGAGTACATGCTCGACCTCGGCTTGAATACGGTCCGCCTCGAGGGCAAAAACGAGCACCCAGAGCTCTACGATATTGCCGATCGCATGGGTCTAATGGTGCTGGCCGGCTGGGAATGCTGCGACAAATGGGAGGCCTGGTCATATAATGAGGACCTTGCTGTCAAGGACGAGTGGTCCGTTGCCGACTACAGCACAGCCAATGCGAGCATGAGACACGAGATTTCAATGCTACAGAATCACCCGAGTATTCTCGGATACTTGATTGGCAGCGACTACTGGCCAGATGATAGAGCCACGGCAATCTACCTTCAGGCTTTCAAAGAGTTGAATTGGCAGAATCCAATCATTGCTTCGGCGTCTTTGCGGGGCTACCCGGGAGAACTTGGCCCCTCTGGAATGAAGATGGCCGGTCCCTATGACTGGGTACCACCCAACTACTGGTACGATGTGAGCGACACTGAAGATCATCTTGGAGCTGCATTCGGATTCGGATCCGAGCTCGGTGCCGGCGTGGGCACGCCAGAGCTTGGCAGTCTCGAGAAGTTCTTGACCCAGGAAGATCTCAATGATCTCTGGAAGCAGCCTGATAAGGGCTTGTACCACATGTCGACCAATGTATCTTCATTCTATAACCGCAAGATCTACAGCGACGCATTGTGGGCAAGATTGGGCGAGCCGACGTGCTTGGACGACTATCTTATCAAGACTCAGATCATGGACTATGAAGCGACGAGAGCCCAGTTTGAAGGCTATTCCTCATATCGAGATGCCGAAAGACCAGCCACGGGCATGATCTACTGGATGGTCAACAATGCCTGGCCCAGTCTTCACTGGAACCTCTTTGACTACTACCTCCGCCCGGCCGGCTCCTATTTTGGTGCAAAGATGGGAAGCAGAGTCGAGCACGTCGCTTACGATTATGTCCAGAGTTCTGTGTATCTCATCAATCACTCGCTTGACCGTCGAGGTTCGCGTTCCGTAGCGGTCGATGCGATTGACCTGAATGGTAATTCCATCTATAGCACGAGCTTGACCATGGCCACTCAGCCGTATACAAGCAAGAGTGTACTCGTGGTTCCGGAAATCTCTAGTAACACTACCGTCATGTTCCTCCGCCTGGTCCTGACGAATGAGGAAAACGCAGCGGTGAGCAGAAATGTATACTGGTTAACATCAACCGTCGACACGCTAGACTGGGAAAACTCGGACTGGTACTACACTCCCGTCACAAACTATACCGACTTTACTGCCCTCGATGCGCTGCAACCTGCGAGCTTGACGGTTTCAACCACAGAATGCGACAATGGCTATGGTGCCATCGTGGTTCTTGAGAACCTTTCCGACGTGCCCGCGTTCTTTGTCAATCTCAACTTGGTCGACGCTGCCGGTAAAGACATATTACCAGTGACCTGGACAGACAACTACGTCACGCTGTGGCCCAGAGAAAAGCTCGAGGTACAAGTCAATTCACCCAGCGCAAGTGCAAAGAGTATCGTGGTCAAGGGAAAGAATGTGGAGCAACTTCAAATCTCCGTACTATAGAAAATTGCATTCAGCGGAATCACACATTATGAGCGGGAACTCTTCTTCTTCTTCTTTTTCTTTTCTCTTCCTCAACCTCTTCATAGTACAATGGATTTTAATACAAACGGGCGAGATCAAAATGAACGTCAAGCAAAGAGTGACTTACAAGTGATTACTCCATCACGTGATACATGGCAATGGGCAGCGCATCTTATCTCCGCGCCCAAGTCCGATGATCAGCAAGCGATTATAGTCCAAGAACATCACCGCCATCAGGCACCACCTTGGATATTATACTTTGTTTACACTACTCGAAAATGCCACAACCTTGCCAAGATCAAGCCGAGCCTTGAGGACTAACAAAGTCAAACTTCCTTCTCTGGAACCTCCAACAACCAAGACCCCACCCGATTCAAATTCAGCCTGAATTCAATAATCTCTCCAACCCAAACATGGACCAGACCCCCATGGAACCTGAAGCACCATCCTTTCCGCGATTCAGTGATTTACCAGCCGAACTCCGCATCGCCATCTGGAGATTTGCCCTGCCCGCACCGCGCAACATTATTGTGCTCGTCTACGCCTTTCCCGGCCTCAAGCTGGCGCCGCTGAACCGGACCGCGGTGGGCGTGCCGGCGCTGCCCCAGACGAGCTCCGAGGCCCGGCGCGTGTTTCGCGAGTCTGGCTACGTGCTCGCCTTTCGCGACGAGGACAACTCGGCGGACCCCGGCGTCTGGTTCCACCCTGGCCGGGACACCTTGGAGCGGACGCTTTGGGGTCCCGGCGAAAACTGGGGGTTGAGGTGATGCCGATCTAGGTTTTTATGAGAGCGTAACCCACTTGGGCTCGGGATGATTAATCTCGACGCAATGCCTCATTAGTCTTGATATGGTCACGTAATCAAGTCATTGCGCTCAGTTCAAAGTATCTGGTCCATCCGATAACGAGACAATACCACCAGATTGGTATCGAAAGATGCCATGGTTGCGCGAGATGAACGCAGAATATGAGCGAGTATACACCACCCACAGCATTCATAATTAGGGTTCGCCAGAGTGCGTTTCATGGCAAAATCAAGATATTTTCACTATGGCAAACGTTTACTCTATGGGCAGATACTGTGAACGGCCTGAGTCTACTGGATGAGACTGGCCATCTCTTATCTCATCATCTGGGAGCGTGCTAGCTGGGCCCTTGAATTTTTTTCCGCTGTCCGGGAAGTTCCAGAAAAGAGGCGAATCAAGCCAACCGAGGAAAGAAATTTCCTTCAAAGTCGATTCGTTGGGATTTCAGCTATGGGTTTTGTTTAGACGTACCTAGAATAGAAAGTGAGACTGAAATCGAAGCCATCTAGAAATGCCAAGTTGTTAGCAAAGACAAGTTGAAGTCAAGGAATGGGTGAGTGGGGGGTTAAATGTATAAAAAATCCTATAAAAGAGACCGTCGACTCCGAGCCATGACATAAATCTGTGCGACCCAAAGGCCCAACCCTGCCGAATTTCCCTATGCCGCCATGTTGCTAATGACATGATAATCACAAACCCCAATCCATGCAAAGAATACCAATGCAAATATTACTTCCAAGCCAATGCCAGTCATTTCCCTCGTGTCATTATCAGCGCCTTTAAGCACTAATACTTAGAAATCCATATGACCGCCCATTTGGAAGGCTCCATATTGGTTCTCCATCGCTTGTCTTTGACGGTCCCAATCATTGGTTGTGTTGTAGGCAGGATCCGTAGCCTGGCGATAATTCGGGCCTCCAACGGCTGATCCAAAGTGGGAGTAGACATTCTTGGTGCTATTCATTTCCTCTTCGTATTGGCGTCTGGCGGTCTCCTCGTACTCGCGTCTGGCCAGTTCTTCGTACCCCGACATCATGTAGGGCTCCATGTAGGAAATAGTTCCGGTCCACTCGCCTTGTCCGGTTTGGACTGGTGTCAAAGGAGTACCATCCATACTCATGAGATTCTGCTGGTCAGCTTCCTCCTGAAGCTTCCTCTCGTATCGCAGCTGAGCCAGCATTTCCTCTTGCTGAACATTTGTGCTGGTTGGGTTCTCTTGGGCATTGTTAGGAGGGCAGATATGCCAAAGCTCAATCAATCTCTCCTTCTGGGCGTCCTCGGCGGTTCTGAACAGGTCCATCTGGGCTGCTGAGAGCATGGCGGGGTTGACACCATAGTGTTTGAGGATGTCCTCGGCGGATGGTTGTCGAGATTGGGGCGGTTCGGAAGAAGGCCGCTCGCGCTCGACCTCGGGTTCTTGTGCTTGAGCTATATGTGCTGAATGGGTGTAGTGTACCGACGCATAGACGATGGGTTCCGGCTCTGGCTCGGCTTTCGTTTCCATGGACTGAATGGGCTGTTGCTGCTCAACTGACTGTTGCTGCAGCTGCTGAAGTGTCATGTTGCGGGAGAACATGGCAGCAAGCTCGTCGTGAGACATGCTGTGCTGATCGTTCATAGCCATCTGCACAGATTGTTATTAATTAGAACCGCCCAAATTCAAGTCGACTGATTTCTCAACTCACCTTTGGCAAACTGAACTGTGCAAGATGTTCTGTGAAATGGAGAAGTCTGTCGCCCTGGATTTCTGAGCGTCGGGTATCTTGAATCTCGACCCTGTTTGCTGTTGTGACAAAGCTGCGTTTCGGGTAAGGGGGACTTGTCAGAGCTGCGGAGAAAATGGTGAGAGATCGGGGTCTGGAATTTTGTTTTGCGAGAGCAAACAGCTGTATCAATTCTTGTCTTATATTGACTATGCTATGTACTGTAGAAGCAAGCACTAGAGACGAGTGGAAAGCTGCGGAGGGAGGCACGTTAAGGTTATAGACAAAAAGACGAGTGAAAGTCGCCTTGTCTGTTCGTTCCCAAGGGGTAGTCTCGAGGCAAGGAGCGGTGGATGGACAAGGTATACGTCGGTATGATGTGGGCTAAGTGCTGGCTAGACTCCGAGAAGCGTCCGGGAGAGGGGGGTCGTTCCAAGGACGGAAATGGATGGCCTATGGTATGGTGCCTGAAGAGCGACGATCAGAACAAAGCAGATCTTCTTGGCTAGTAGAAACTATTGTTTGTGTTGAGCTACTTATTCTTCTTTAAAGTGAAAAGCGGGACAATGTCGAGAAATGAAGTGGTAGTCGACAGAGTGATCAAAGAGGAATCCTTGAAAAAGTCAGGTGGTGAAAAATGAAAGGGGCCCAAGAGACACTGAGCAGGACCATGGGATTTGATGACGACAATGCGAATTTCACGTCATGTCTTGCCCATAGTACCTGCCCGTGCCATGATACATCAGTTCACCCAACCCAGGCCTGCCTATTGAAATTTGGGACCTTGGGGAAATGGAGGGGTAAATCTTCCAGGCGTCAGCCCGCCAGGCCACCCCCTGGGCCCTTTAGCGCTAAATAAAGCCGTTTAGTGGACTTCTTCGCTGGCCCGCTGGGTTGAAATGCAGCTCACGTTGACGCCCAAGCTGCCACTATACTCCTTGGGGACTATGGATGATGTGCTGGACCTGTAAAGCGGCCCAACACTTGAAGATGCGTTTCAGACCAATATCGTTGGGAGTCTGGTCATGCTATTGTGCTTTGAGAGCAAAGGACTGTCTCCGAGTGGCCGCATTTAGAGTGGTTCTATCGTTATTCGTAAATGCCTGGTAAAGACTGTTCGAGGCCTGGGACGATATAATATATCAAGCGTAGTGACAGACACCATACAGAGCACATGTATGCAAGTTCATGTTCCATGCAAGTTGCTGAGCGTGCCTAGTTTTCTAGAACAGACTAGAAATAATCGAAAACATGGTACAGATCATGCAGGCAGGTCACGGAACAGGCACAATGTCGATCTAATCTAGCGCCATGTTGAATTATGTATTGCTGTTGGTTCTTGGCTCGCAACTAGAATATACTTTTCGCAAATCCCTCAGGATTTCAATCTGTGCTGTGTTTGCGTCTAAACAGTATAATCACTACTTTGACAGCTTACAACTCATTCAATGAAACTCAAGAAACCCAGTCACACCAAGCACCGTAAGGCAGTTGAAATGACTACCGCTTCTTGCTTCTCTTCTTGGCCTTGCCGCTTGCCTGGGGCTTGCTGCCACTGACCTTGGCCAGATCTTGAATGCTCTGCGAAGTAGCGTCGAGGAGTTCGAAATCATCGTTCGAGTCGGTGCTGCTTGGGGTGCGTTGGGGGATGTCAGAGTCATCGTCGACAAGTTCCTCGACTATCTCTTGCTCCTCGATGACATCCTCTTCGGTATCCTTCTTTCCAAAAATGCGGCCAAAGGCCCATAGAGGCAGTCTTACCAGAGCAGTATCGCGGATGGTGGGAACAGGGACCTCATTCGGCTATCAATATAATCGTTAGCGTTTCTTGCAATGAAAAAGAATCCTTGCAAAGCAAACTTACGTCGAGCAGAAATTCCTGGACATTGCCGTCTTCGTCTTCTTGTTCCAGATAAACGTCACCGAGGGAATCCACGACCAGAATCTTGCCATTCTCTGCAACAACGCGCTTCTTAGCGCCCGTAGGTCCTGCACCGTTGCTCGGCTGTGTCTGGGGAACTGGTGTAGCACTGCCGCTAGCATTCTTGACACCTCGAGGACGGCCGGAACGCTTGCCTTCCTTGGCGTTCTCTTTCTTGGCCATGCGTTCCTGTTCACGTCTCTGTTTGCGGTTTGTCGGCATCATGGGGCCTTGCTCGTCGTCGGCGGCCGGTTCGGGGGTAGGGGCTTGTGCTGTAGCACCGGCTTCCACTCCCGGGATGCCTAGGTTGTCCCCCCAAGCAGCATGACGGGCAAACTTGATGTATCGTTCGATGAACTCGCGCTGACGCTTCCAGCCCATGTACAAAGCAAGGTAGTGAAAGCCGCCGCCACCCGCGAGGAAGACGCCAATGAGCACAGTACCTAGACCGGGGCGGTAGCGACTATAGTAGTAGCCCGTGCCCTTCCAGGTGGGAAAACCGTGGGCCATGAAGTGATCGTATCGGGCGCGCTCGGCGCCGGTGAGAATATTGGCAATGACACCCAGGCGTGTCTGTCGCTCGCCTGCAGCTTTGATGGCAGCCTTGATCTCCGACTGGGTAGGGGGCTTGGTAACAGTGACGCCGGGCTTCGACTTCTTGTTCGACTTGGCGGTACGGGAATTGAGTTGCGCCTTGACCTTGTCGGGGTGAAGCGTCTTGGACTTCTTACGGTAGGCGCGCTTGATCTCATCCTGTGAGGCCGAGGGCGTGACACCGACGAAGTCGTAAAAGGTTATGTTGGCACCTTCGTGGGTCATAATCTCGTCACGCAAGCGGAAGATCTCGTGGTCTGCAATCTCGTCTCAGTCAGTCTCCTCGCTCAATCTGAGCATGTCTCAAGCCATCCATGTGAGAGCTTGAATATCGTGACGCACCTTCTTTGCTCCATGCTGACACGAGAGGCGTCACCAGGGCAAGAAGCCCAACAGAGAGGGTAGAAAACCTCATCGTAGTGTGCCTCGTTCGCTAAAACATCAACAAGTGTTGCGAACAAGAAAACAGATGAGGTCTGCAAGAATCGTAGTGTGACGGGGACGATCCTTTTTTTGAGAGCGCTCCAACTTTTTCTCGCCTGTGATATTTATCCGTGTCTGTCAAATGCAAGGTGTCGCTTCGGTACTGGACGGCACTTGCCGCTGAAACGTTAGCGAATCGTAGGGGCCCGAGCTGGAGGCGAGCTTGCTTCCTTCTCAACTAAAAAAGGGGTCGCGCAAGGTCTGGGTGGGTAATGAACACCGCTGTTCAAGCCCCCCCCCCCCCCCCTCCCCCTGGCTCCCCCACATCATGGTCGCCCAGATTGTGAATGGTGGGGTTCCGTGAATTTACTCTCTGGATTATTTTAGCACCCAAAAGGCATCCGAAGTTGTCTGGGAGTGCCCAGCTGTGTGGTTTTGCCGTTGACAATAAGCTATATGAGCCTATCAAAATTGAAGATTTCATTTACTTGGAATATATACCCACGATTCCACCTTCAAATTTGAGCCGCTTCCCCGTTACATAGTCCTCTGAGCTCTCCAAGGTAAGCCTGGTAAGGTTTTAAGACATATATAAAAGGGTTCTGTAGAAGAAAGTGAATCTCAGAATGGTATATCTACCGCGGGGCATATCTCATCAACCTTATGATCTGCCAAAGCTTGACGAAGGCGGCCCTCACTTCTTGGCACGCAGAAAATCCGATATCTCTCTGGCGCCATGATCAAATCCCGAGGATTCTTCATTCCCGTTCTTGGATTTGTGTCGACTGTGCCGTGCGACTCGAGGCGAAAGCTGCTTAGCAGCCTCATAAAGACGAGATATAGCTCTCTCGAAGCCAGGAGATGGCCCGCGCACATTCTGTAGCCAAGGCCAAAGGTGAAGACAGTCGCGTCCGGTTTCTCGATCCAGCGTTCTGGCCGAAACACCTCTGGGTCGTCCCAAAGTTCATGGTCTATGAAGGTATTCAGATAACCGAACCTGTATAGTAAGAGGGTGGTGTCAAGCTGACTTACCCCAGTTGCAAGCCATTGCATTCATATAAAAAGTCGTGCCCTCCGGTATCCGCACACCGTTGTAATCAATGTCCCGGGTCGACTGCCGGGGCAAGTTCAGTGGGACCACTGTGAAATATCGAAGAGCTTCTTTTGCTAAACCGTTCACATAAGCGCACTTCTGGTCGTCTGAAGCATCACACAGAGGATTATCGGACCCCTGAAACTCCTGTATCGCTTGATAGGCCTTGTCTTGGATTTCTGGATGCTGGGCTAGAAAGGCCATGCTGTATTGTACAGTATTCGATACCGTCTCGAAACCACCACCGAGGACCGAGAGGCTGATTGAGATGAGCTCAACGTCACTCAGTGTCTCTTCCTTGAACTTGATCACATTCGCTTGGATACATGGCTTGTTCGATCCCATGGCTACCTTCTCTGAGAGCTCGTTATTCAAGGTCCTCAAGTAGTGGTCTCGACGATCGCGCATTTCGCGTGCCTTTGCCGACGTCTTGTTGATGGGGTTTAGTCGTAGCAGAGGGATATAATCCTGCAGGTTGCCAGTGGTTGACCTGAAACGATTTAGCTCTTCCTCAACTTCTACTATCTCTTTGAATAACCTGTCCTCGTGGGACGGCACCCGTACACCCCAGTTGATGGTCATGGCGAGCGACAAGGACAGCCTCTGAATTAGAGGCAGAGGGTCAATAGGAACTTTCCCTGCCTGCCCATAAGTGAAGAGGTCTTCGATAAAGGACTTGGACTCCATATCAAAATATGGGACATAAGACTGGATCGCTGGTCGGTTCAATGCAACTGCTACACCCTTCTTTTTTCGCTTCAGCGAGTCGTCATAAGGCGATGTACCGATAGTCAAGCCAGCTGTACTTGAAGCAATCTTCAATACCATTAGCTAAATTTTTCGGTCAGGATTATACATATGATTGTATACCTTGTGGAAGGTATATGTCGTAGGTCTCGAGCTCAAAGCTTGGGAATGCGAGATCCAGAGCGTCTTTGTAGCAGCAGCACTGTTGACGACGACTACTGGCACATTGCCCATTTGCACTTGGTAGACGTCACCGTACACCTTTGCCCATTCTTCGTATTTTTCTGCTGCATTGGTCCGGATATCCCAAAGGTTTCCAATCAGTGGCAAGCCTTTTGGGCCGCCCAATCCGGGAACCCGGGCTTTGCTGCGGGAGAATTCATTGAGAACGACATATGTAACGAACGCAATTACTAATGACAGAAACGTCGATTGTAGTAGGTGGTTGACGAATCGTTGCTCTGCTGTATGTACTAGAGTTTCCAAAGCCATGGTAAGGACCGCGTGCTCAAGGAGGGAAAAAGACAATCGGTGTATGAAATGTCAAAAGGTGAAGGAACTTTTGGTGCCAGTTCCCCGCGGCTCAGATCTGTACTTGTATTGTTCGTTGGAGAAACCTACGATGGAACGGCAGTTCGTACAATGTGGGGGAGTTGGGTATGTCCCATGGCATCCGTACAGCACAGAGCACAAATGGGATCGCCCAACCATGCATTGGCGCATGATGCAGACGGGGGGCTCTTGGATTTGGGGTAACGAAACCCGAACGACTTCGTAGAACACAATGGCTGCCCCGGCCTCTCACAGTGTTGCTGACGCCTATGGTGTCTTCTGTCAGATCTATTATGAAATGGCACTTGAATACCTCTAGTGCATCTTATTAAGTAGATAAACTAGGATTCGTTATTGGCTGCTAGTCTTTAGTCAACGTGACTGTACAGAGTAATGTACGATGCGGTTTGGGCTGCTGTTTGAAGCTAACCTTTTGTAAGACCGGAACTCGCTAGATACCAAATTCGAGTCATGGCATCAAAGCCGGTTTCGTCTCTACGAGCTACATCGCAAGATATGGATATATTCAAAGAGAGTTTCAATGTTGGCTAAACACTTCTAGTGTTGAGTTACAAAATTATGAACAGACAAGGCTACCAGGCTACTGTAACTATTACTGATACACTATCTATAAACTTCTATCACCGCATAGGACAGTTGGACTAATGCAATTTGTTATTTAAACTGTCTACGTAACTAAACAAGAGCAAACCATCCAACGCCGCGCCATCATTATAACCTCTTGAGGATACCTCAAAGTCTTACGCATAATTGTCAAGTGTTGAAAAGGAATATGCCGGGACAATCCCAACAACTCAGATGCTAAATGTGTTGCCTAGAGGCCAGCATCCGCTCCTCTCTAGGTGAAAGTCCTTACACACCCACAGAGTGCGAAAAGATCTTGGCCGCCAGCTGCGTCAGGAGCGTCGCCCTTTCAGCCTGCGGCAGCTCCTGGAAGACCTGATAGACACTCTTTCCCCTGGCATCGCGGACAGCACCTAGTCGATTTCCCGCTACGGCGCCTGCCATGAGCCCCGGGAAGTTGGCAATGATGAAGCCCAGGACGCCGCCACTGACGCCGCCGGCCATGCCCCAGAACGTGCCATTCTTGCGATTGTCCTGCTCCGCCATGCCCTCCTCGCGCAGCATCTCCTCGAATACGTCACCAAACTGTTGGTTCTGCGTCTCCTCCCGGGCCTGCTGCGTGTTTGCCGTGTTCGACTGGCCTGTAAAGTAGTTCCAGGCCCAGGAGGGAAACCCTCCAGGCATGCCGCCTGCTCCTGCAGCGCCACCGGTGGGAATCTCCTCGTCGAATTCATCCTCAAAGGGGTCCGAATATGTTGCCCCCGAGGTAGTGTCCGGGCGTCTGTGACTGAAACCATACGTCTTTCGCTGTGAATCGTATTCGCGACGTCGACTCGCATCTGAAAGTGTGTAATATGCGTCGTTGACGAGTTGAAATTTGCGAGTACGCGCTGCACGGTCGGGGGAATCAGCAGGGACCCGGTCTGGGTGAGTTTTCAGAGCGGCTCTGTGCAATAATGTCAGTTTAGAAAAGCAGAAGGCGCGTTTCCAATATATTTGAACCTACTTTTTGTAGGCATCCCGAATCTGTTGGGTCGTGGCGGTCTCAGAGATCTCGAGGACCTTGTCTGCCTTGCGCATTAGCATCGCGCATCCATACAAATGGGAAGAGAGGACTTACAGTAGTTGGGAGGAGCGGTGCCAGCCATTTTAGCACCTTTGAGGTAGATAAAATAGGGGGGAAATGTGAGGGTATTTCACTGGGAATGGATGTAAAAGATAGAAATTAAGGAGAGGAGTTGGCAATATCTCGTCGAAAGACCCCAAAATCACCAAGGTATTCTCTGTTCCCTCCCTACGGCAAGTGGGAGAGTGGGATGTATGAACAGTATGGACAGAGACGTCATATATGTGGCTAAGAGAGGGAGCCAGAGGCAGGTGAAACGTGGCTAGAAAGTTCTTATCGATAGACGCCACAAAAAGGAATGCCAAGCCATTGAATTTGTGGTCTGTGCCTCGAGGTGCCTGAATGCACTGATCCGCCTCTGGCTCGACCTGCCTCTTTACCTCCGAGCACGCCAAGCAGGGGGCAATTGGGGCATCGTACTTGGGACCATCTGCCAGTAATCGCTCCACCCGAAAATCCCATCGAGAATCCCTTTGGGGGCGCCTTATACTCAAAACAGAATCCGCTACATTCGTTGAGGGGCTGCAGTAGCTGCGGCGATCGCAAGGGTCCAAGAGAAACCAGCCCGTGACGGTAGTAAACCCGTCGTCCAACTCCAGCCCTCCAACCTTTCAATTGAATCTGTCCAGCCACTCCAATTGTCGGTGAAAGAAAAGGGCACACGCCCCCCCTGGCAGCAACGGCACTGCTACATAGTTACTGCATCTTCGCGGATCCGGAATTCTGCTCTGATCAAATCACGTCCCACCTGCATAACACTCTCACCTTTGTGGGTTTGTCAGAAGGGTCAGGAACCAAAGGAGAACAGTCACTGTTGTGCTCTCACGCAACACATCGGAGCATCTACAACTAGAAGAGGAATTGTCAACACGTAAGAGGGTTGTCGTTGCATGCGTTCCAACGCTGCTAAAAACAATCTAGACGAGCCGACTCATGCTTTGCGACCCAAAGTTTCTCCAGTCACCCACGACGATATACTCCACCGAGGTCGCCATTTCTGCACACCTTTTGGTCGCCGCGCCTGTTTGACTTTGCTTGCCTCGTTCGAGCCCCCAGGACGATCGTGGATCAAGTCGTGTGCATTTCCACCCCTACAGCCCAGCCAGTAGTGGAGTCTCTTGCTGCGAGTAATTGACTCACGACTCGCATTCCCGCGCGCCCGAGCTTTTTCGTGCCGTGTCATTGGATCAAGGAAAAGGCATTCCAGGCTCTACTATTCCCTGCTTTTTCACGGGAGCAGCTTCTCATCAAGACACGATTCATTATTTATTATATACATTACCCACCCGAAGCTCAAAGAGGCTATCGGGGGTGATTCATCTTGGCCAGGTTATCCCAGACACTTGTTGTTCTTCCTCTTCAGTATAGTCGAATTGTACTTTGCGCAGCCCGAGAAAAAACTATATTCGCAAAGGTGAGAACAAAGTCGCAATGGGCTTCTTCGATGGCTGGGACGGGGCCTCCGTCGTTTCGGGAAAGTCATCTCGCAAGCATCATCACCACAAATCATCATCGTCCCACAAGCACAAGCGATCAAGGTCCCGCTCTCGATCTCGGCATCGACACTCCAAATCCACAAATAACTTGGGCGACTTCTTTGGCTTTGACCAGCACAGCAGCCATTACAACAAGCACAATGCCTCGCGGGGATCCTTCTTCAATCTGGGCAACAGCAGCTCCCGGAGCTTCTTTGGGCTAGGTAAGCTTTCCAGTTCTTATCTTTGAAAACGTTCAAGGATGGTATGCTGACTTTGGTACCGGTCAAGGCCGCTCGTCCTCTTACTACAAGCGGTCGCCGCGCTCCAACTTCATGCAGCGCATGTACAAGCAGCTCAAGCGACTGCTTCGTGACCTCATCTACTACGCCAAGAAGCACCCGATGAAGGTCTTCATGCTAGTCATCATGCCCCTCATCACGGGTGGCGCACTCACTGCCCTTCTAGCCCGCTTCGGGCTCCGTCTGCCCCCGGGCCTCGAGCGCATGCTCGGCATTGCCGCCAGGACGGCAGGAGGTGGCAGTGCGGGTCTAGTCGGCGAGGCGGTCCGCATGGCCAGTGGATTGGGTGGCTCCGGCAGCGTTCATGTCGAGCGTGGACGAGACGGTCACATGGCATGGGAACGTCGAACAGCGTATGAAGACGATGGCTGGGGCGATGGGTTTGTCAAAGGCGTGTCGAAGATGTTCTGGTAGTCGTTGACGGATATTATATGGGCATATTGGTTTCATGATAGGATAGATATAATCTTCTTGGGGCAATCTGGATGGGAATTGGGAATTGGCCGGCTAGATTGCATCCTTTCTCGGATCCGCTCCCCTTGGCCGATGATGGATTACGGGCCAGGTATATATTATGAGCAGATGACGACAATGTTGGTTCTGGATACCCTGCTGTTTAAAAAATTATGGTTACGAATATAGAAAAGTTGCATCATTTTTGAAGACCATGTGTTAAAAAGTGCATCACACAATCAGGGTAAACATGACGCAAGTAAAGCGTGCCGAGGAAGAGGCAGGAAACAAATGCATCATTGAAGTAGAAAGTCTATCGGTTTGGGTATACAGGAGTTGAGCAGTGCTCAAGATTGCATGTCATGTGATCGTTCAGTTCTTTTTCCGTCTTCTTCCGCCTCCGCTGCCACCAACAGGTTTCCGCTTGGTAGGAGAAGATCGCTTGCTTTTTTGTCTCTCGCGTTCTGGAGATGGCGATGCTTCCTCAACGACTATGGCAGCATCTGGAGTCCTGGTACGAGACCTGGTGATATGCGCACCATTGCCGAGATCGTCGCTTGTCGTATCGCCGTCACCCCCTGAACTAGTCTCGCTACCAGGTGTGCCTCGAGTTGCAACTGGAACAGGTCCGCGAGGCCCGTGACCATATGCGCCTTGAGAACCCATCCAGAATTGTCTGGCGGCTGCAGCGCCAGACGGAATAGGTGGTGCGCGCGGTCCGGATGTCTGGTAGGCAAATGGATCTCGGACATCTCTAGATTCGCGAGAAGAAGATGAAGCAGGGCGCCATTCAACGTCATCTGGGTACGGAAGGTGAGATGACGATGATCGCGTAGATGACCCTGACACCTGCCGTTGAGTCGGAGGCGTATTGACATAATTGTACTCAAACGGCGATGAATTCCCAGACTGACGATGTGAAGATGAAGTTGCAGATCGAGGTCGTGTCCGCGGGCCATTCGAGGGAGGGAAAAGCCCCATTGGCGGGGCGCGTCCTTGATTACTGTTTGCTGTAGCTGGAGATGGGTGTCGTGGAAGAGTGTCATCTGATCTTGCGGCGCTCGATCTCGTGTTATGTGAAGGTGGCGCATCGAATTGTGAAAGCGGAACAGCAATTCGTGGTTCTTTTCTCCGCCGCTTGTCGCTTCCGCCAGAAGTTTGTCGTTGTCTAGCTTTTGCTTCCTGTTCAAGTCGCTTTCGTCTGCGCTCGAGTGCCCTAAGTTCTTCTTTGCTCAACTTGACGTCTTGCTTGCCCTTCTCCTGAGCCCTCCGTATTCTAGAAAGGGCTGATTGCACCAGAGCATTATCCAGCTCCAACGTAGCGGGATCGTCGACCTCGCTGTCTTGGTCAGAGCTCGCCTCTGTATCCTCCTCCGTAGACTCGTCCCCTTCACTGTGTGCATATACTCTCCGTTGTCGTCCGTCTCTACCCAAATCGACCCCGGTAAATCGTAAGGGATCACTGGCAAACCGTCTGTTGCCAGATCGCGCCAGGTCGGCGCCTTGTGTATCCGTATCATCACTGTCCACCTCCTCCACCACTCTTTGCCCCGAAACCCAATACTCGTGTACCCCCTCTTGAGGCGTCCAATTTCTCCGCTCACGCCTCGATGGTCTTCCCCACTGGGGCACATGTTTGGGAGCTCGCGGCCGACCACCTAGACCGCCTCCCCAGAAAAAGCCTCATCGATAGGCTTGTCCATAAGTGCGGCGTGTCCAATAATGACAACACCGCTAGCACCAAGCAACCAAAGAACCGTGCTGAAAGTCGGGGCAATGAGACCAAGGATGGCAACAGTGACAAACAGACCGGTGTAGAGCTGCGAGGAAGTAGCACGGAAGGTTCCGATGACAAGATCCTGACCATTCAGACGCCCAAGAATCCACAGACCAGCAAAGAGCAGGACGATGTCGAACAACAGGAGCGGGCTCGTGACCAGGGCGTAGATGCTGAGAACAAAGAAGACAACCATGTAGTTGCTGGAGAATTGGCCCAGGTTGTAGTTGACTCGCGACTGCATCTCAGAGAAGTTGGCAGGCTTGGACAGACGCTTGAAGTCGAGGAACTCGCCGACAGGGCGGAGGTTCGAGAATCTGCTGGACAGGGAGGTGTTGCGGAAGCCATCGAACCGGTCGCCAATGTTGAGACGCGACGTCAAGGCGTCGAGAGGAATCTGAATGCGAGCCATTGTGATGTAATGTTATAAATTGGGCGTGATCTAGGGAATCAAAAATATTGGTTGTTGCAGACAAGGACCACGGAAGATATGACAATGGCGACGCCGCGTAAACAGATTTGTATGATGCAGGAGGTCGAAAGTCTTGTGAGAGTCGAGTGAATGGTGTCTGAAGGAGGGATGCTCTCGTAGTCTTGACAGACCCAAGTATTCGGGATGGAGACTCTGTGTCGTTGAAGGGAGAGAGAAAGATTATCTGTCAACAAGCTTCAAAATTAGAAAACGTTGCGCTGCGCCTTGGGATGGGCAAAAATTTTGAGAAGTTGCAGCCAAAAAAGCCACGGTGCCAGGCCAGAGAAAGGGGGCTGCTGCTACTAGCTTACGAATGGCGCTTTCTTATTAGAAGGACACTTCCACTCGTGTACCTACTACGCAAGCTGGAAAGGGGGGTGTCAGATTAGGTCACTAAAATTGAGCGACGTAATGAATGCAATTCAGGTAAATGTGTGAATGAATGAAAGACTTTTGTGCGTATGCTCTGGTGCAGGGCTTGAATAGCAGCTGGCTGTACTGGTCAAGGTTGAAGATGGTTGACTAGTGATCTCGCGATAACAGGTTGCTTTGCTCTTGTCCTTTCCTCTTGGCTGCTGGGGGACCAAAAAAAAAAATCCATAGTGCAAATACTCACGTTTCAATCGCTTTGGAGCCCCGGGCCCCAAGGGGTCGGCACAGTGGAAACGGGTGCGCTAGCAGACCCCTGACCGTGCTGGAATTTACTGTTTGCGCTGTGGTGGCTTAGGGATGAATAGGTAGGTATGAAAGACACAGACAGACAAATTCCGCCTGTGCTTCCTCCTTCCTAGATGGTGTTTCCTATGCCTCCCTCAGCGACCGAAACGAGACGAGCTGAGGTGGAAAAGGCGATGTAAGAGAGAAGAGAGGGAAGGAAACTAGGTCACGACTCTCGAAAAGAATTTTCTTTCTTTCTATCTACTATCTTGCCCCTGTTGAAGCTAGGTAAGGTAGCGCTCCTGCGAGCTCAGCGGTTTCCTTGGAAGCTGCAGTGCCCTTCTCTTCTACGCAAGGACAAAGGCTGTCAGCATCGAACAAGTCACCGCCCTAAGGTGCAGTAGCAGCAAGCCAGATCATCATCCAAGATGCGGGCGGGAGTTCGGCATAGCTCGGGTAGGCAGACAGCACTGTAGCAAAGCAAAGACATGCATGCCCAACGCCACCAGAAGACTGAATAACTGGACAAGCTGGACCAGTGAGCGTTTACTGGAGTAGAGTAGCGTTCAACGCCTCATTGATTTCAAGGTTGCTACCTTGGTTTACGCTGCCCATCTGCCGGCCAAATCCTATTTGCTGGCAATTTCCATAGCATGAGACAGACACAGTGAGAACTGCCCAACTTGAGGCGGTGGTGAGTCTCCTCAAAGCCCTGCTTTTCTAATCTCTTTGTCCTATTTGGTCTAACATTTACGAGACTCTCCAGTCTATCGGGGTACTTACCAGCATGTGTCTCTCTGATTGAACAGTCCTATGCCCTCTGCCATTGGCAGACAGCCATGTGTTCGATATAGTGGACCAGAAGTACGAAGTATGTAACCTAAGTACATAGACGCACATTAGCTTGAGGGGTGCTACACCATCTCCGCTGCTGAAAGAAAGCATGATGTTTATCCTGCACGGCAATGTTTGATAACACTCCACACAGACTAAGATTTGTTGCCAAAAATCAATTCATCACTCTCGCGGTGTGTTGTTTACACATATCACAATGTACACCTAAAAATGAGACATGGCTCCTCCTGTTCAGGACACGAAAGTTCGGTCAAGGCTTCTCCAGTACAATAAGCGCATATCTGAAGGTTCCATTTGCAAACCCCCTTCTCATGGCTCGAAAGGCCTGAAGAAATGCCAGACCATCCCGTCCCCAAGACAGTGCAAAAGCCCATAGCGAGGGCGAAGCGACTAGAGACCACGATATATCCCTTCATTATGTCAGCATATCTCGCCAAGTCTCTTGAATGTCAAGTCAAATAATGCTGAATGAAGAAGTGTAAACTCACCAAGTCTTTGCCACATTCTTACTTATATCAACTGGTCCTTTGAATACTCTGAAGCCCGCCTTTTCTGCCATCTTAACGTATTCGTCAGCAGTGCACATGGGCGGTAAAAGCATTCCATCTTCGATTGGCTTTATATCTGCCTTATCCTGCTCTTGGCTCAAATTTGGGGCCTTGAACCAGTCGGCAATGACGAGGCGAGATGATTTCCCACTTGCAAGCAGAGCAAATGAAGATTCGAAGAACAACGGTTTGTTGGGGAAATGGGAAAGAGCCTCGGAAATCCAGACACAATTGAATCCGTCGCTTGGCTTGTCTCCGGTAGTTTTGAAGTATTGCAGCATCGTCTCTGCATCCAATTCGACAAAACGAACACTGCCTGGGGGCAGTCGTATAGTCGCACCAGACGGGTCTGTATGTTCGGTACTTGAGGTTTCAGCAAGTGACAATCGCTTTGCCATTTCAACTTGTTTGCCGCTTATTGTGAGACCAGTCACGTTGCAAGCCCGCTCTCTCGCCAGATACCGAGACGTGCCTCCAATACCACATCCCACGTCAAGCACGTAGCTTGATGTCGGCAGTGCGGACAGCTCGAGGAGATACTCGATGAGGTTGACCTGTGCCTGCTCTTTGGTCTCATTTGGTGACTTCCAGTATCCGTGATGAATGTGCTGGCCCCTGATTGTTGTTAGTGATCATGTCTGAAGATCACAGACAAAGAAGTATGACATGGCAAGTACCAGAGAGAGTAGTAGTAGTCGGATGCGACATTATAGTGCAACTGAATTCTTTCCTTTAGGGATGCAAAGGAAGCATGAGCCTGATAACCAGGAACGTTATGCTGATCGCCAGGATGAGAGTTGCTCTCGCCGTTTACTGGAGTTGGGCTAGACATTTTAGACTGAAACTGAGTTCTCCTACTTGAGACTGACTCCTTACGGTTGGGGTAGAGTTGCGAGCATTATTTATTCAGAAACGGGTGAACCTCTCTTGGAGTAGCTTGGTTGGAGATAGTACCTGTGTACTGCCAAAGATCTAATGCATCGGACCGGTCCATCATGCAGGGCGTCTTGCTATCACATCAGTGTGGGAAGACGGGAAACAGAATATAAAATAATTCCTTCTATACTATCTATCTACTCTAGAGGAATAATGGGAAAGATTCTCATCATCTGTCAAAATCACATACACCATTGTCTGGATTACAGTGATTTGGCACACCTTCCAAAGCTTGACACCACTTGTGATAAGATGTCATCGCGGGGCAACTGGAAAGAACATGCGCTAAGCCAACTACGGTCAAGGCTAGTTTGTGCCTGACAGGGATCGCCCAAAAGTCGAAAGCGACATCATCCTTCTGTTGCCTTCTGGAGAGGCTCCCAAGCTCAGAAGTCGCCCATCTTGTGCTCACAGCATCACCAAACCTCGCGCCGCCAAGATGTCAAAAACTGTCGAGATCCAATCGCCTGAGCAGTTCAGTGAAGTGCTCAGCAAGTCACGCATTGTTGTCGCCGACTGTAAGTTTATGCTACTACTTCTTTGCTCTGTTCACCAAATACCCCGCCGCCGCCCTCTTGTCTGGGTATGCAAGTATCAGTGGCCGGTGATCAGAACGCATCAACTCGTCGGGTCGTTACCGCCGGTGCTCGTGTGTCAAGACTTCAATGGACTAGTATATTGGGCTCTAAAGCTATCTATGAATTATGGAAATCCGCTGTTTGACGCGGAAAGAAGAAACCACGACCTCTTTGCTCTGACCCGATCAGAGCATCTTGCAACGACATTCACCGATTGAACATTCCGCTGACAAATCCACCACAGTTTATGCGAACTGGTGCGGCCCTTGCAAGTCCATCGCTCCTTTCTACGAGCAGCTATCTCAGCAACTTTCGAGACCGAACATTGCGACTTTCACAAAGATCAACACAGAAGGCGACAGAGCCAAGGAAATCGCAAAAGCTTACGCTGTCACGAGCCTTCCCACGTTTATCATCTTTCGCGATGGCAACAAAGTAGAGCAGGTCAAGGGTGCCGACCCGAACAGACTCAAGTCCATACTGGAGAAGCTCGCAAACGAGATAGAGACTGCTGGTGAGGCAGGCAGCAGCAGCAGCAGCAGCAGTGGCAATGGAGGCATGACTTGGTTAGGTGCCGATCTTCCTCGAGGATACTCGGACATTTCCGACATCATCGACATCCGCGGCCTCGAGCTCTTGAATGCTGATTCGAACGAGTTCTCTGTTCGAACTCTGTTCAACAAGCCGAAGCCTTCCTCGTTGGAGAAGAGCTCCTCTGAGAATAAGGACTGGGTAGAGAGTGATACTGATGAACAGCTATTGCTCTTCACTCCCTTCAACTCGGCCGTCAAGTTGCACACTATCCAGGTATACAAGATACTCCCCTAAATTTTTGAAGTGTGATTGCATGTGACTAACACGGAAGCGCTAGATCACTTCACTTCCACCACAGGCTGGCGAGGATGATGACGAGGATGAGATACCCATGAGACCCAAGACAATCAAGTTGTTCACCAATCGTCCCCACAACCTCGGCTTTGACGAAGCCGATGACATTCAGCCTACCCAGGAGATCGAGATTGGAGAGGACGACTGGAACGAGAAGGGCACCGCCTCCATCAGCCTACGCTTTGTGCGATTCCAGAACATTACCAGCCTTGTCCTTTTCGTCGTCGACGGCGACGGCGATGGCGAGAAGGTGCGACTGGACCGCGTGAGATTGATCGGAGAAAGCGGCGAGAAGCGAGAGATGGGCAAGCTGGAGAAGATTGGAGACGAACCCGGCGAGTAGAAGGCTACGTACAAGGCGAACGGAGAAGTTGCCGGTTACGTGTTATGCCGCCTGCCGCGGTTGCAGTCTCACCTTAGTTAGTCTTGTTATGAGGGGCTATAACGATATCAAGTCGCAGCCTCTATACCCTCTAATGCAAGCACGATAAAGCACTTTTTTGAAGAATTTTCGTCTTTGCAGTGAGTATTAATTGAGAAGGCTGGAGGCTGGAGGGCGAGATTCAGCTGCTGTTCAACGATACCCACCCATAACGCCAGCTTGCCAGCGACGGATGCGATGGCAGCGCATGCCGAAAGCAAATGCACTGCAACTTGTATCCGCAGACTGACAGGACGGCGGACCAATCCTTCGGCTCCGGCAGCATGTCAAAGGAAGCAGTATCATATTGACAAAGTTGACAGAGCAGGCTCATTGGCTGCGCTCAGAACGCAGGCAAGGTCAAGAGCTGACGACTTCATGTCACAATCCTTGCGAGCGCTGCAGTAGACTGCATATCACCAGGAATGCGCTCGCACACCATCATGGGGATCTCACATTGGATCTGATGGGAACAATATGGGGAGAGAAAAATTCTACGAGCTCTGACAGTCATGAAACTGGCAAGTCAATCCGAAGCCTCGTGGGGATAAGACACCATGCAACGTCAAAGAGTCAGCCAGGTCATCGGGATCTACACGTGTACTATGAAAAACCTGACCCCAGCAAGAGTTATAGTTGACGAGAGAAATGTCAAAGCGACAAAAGAGGCCTGCATACAGCCAGAAGATGCCGTTTGATCTTGCCTGACTCGTAGCTGGCATACCAGACAAGAAGCCAGGGCCAGACTGCACGAGCGGCAGAGAAAAACAAAACAGATTGAGTATTTTTATAATGTCCGATACTCCCACCGCGGCTCTTGGAGCAGCTTCCGTGAGGAAACCGCAAGACCAAGAGACGACGCTGGAGCGGGAGGTAGCGATTGCAATTGGGTTGTTCTGTGGCAAGACTGACGCACTGTGAAATATCCGTGGAAATTTCCGGTGAAGGAAGTCGGATCAGAGCAAAAGGGGAAACAATCTGAGTCTATGCCAGCCGCACAACCCAAAAAAGGGAAAAAAAGAGAAGCCTTTGATGGCATCTGAAATTTTTTGGCTCGAATTTAAAGGGCTTGCTGCTGGGAGCTTGCCCCACATTTACTGGCTAGGTAATAAGCTTCCCTGGATACATAAGTACCTGGGTAGGTAACAGATGGCGGGGAGGACGCCCCCAGAGGCCTTTGCAACCAACTGCCCGCCCAGCAGCAGCGGTGGGGCCGGCGTCCGGCGAAACTCGAGTCCTTCCTGCGGTCTGCCAGCGATAGATTGAAATCCCCCACTTCGTTGGTAGGCAAGATACTATAATCGATAAGCTAATAGCACTGGCAATCTAGGGCCAAGCCACCTGAATCAACGCGGGGCTGGCGGTGCCGGATTGTAGAGAAAGCTGGAAGAGGAGGTATGAATGCCACCTTGTAATGGGCGGCGATATCTATGCGAAATCCATGGCTTCTCAAGTATGTTGGCCGTACTATACTTGAGCTGAATGAATCCCACCTCAGCTTGAGAAAGAACCAATGCGCAGAGCACTCTTGAGTAAGAGGAGGGAGGCATGTACTGCACGGTTCTCTGCCATCAGACGGGACTTATGCAAGGACTCAAACAGATACTCTCTGTGTGTATTACGCATCTACAGTTGGTGCGAACGGTTCGTGCTGGAACAAAACTGCCGCCCTTGGCCTCTCGGGCTCGTCCAATTCCTGCAAAGTCTACGATTGCTTCAGCGCAGGGATCCCTCTTCGTCCGTTCTACCATCCCATCCGTACCGTTCGTCCCATTTTCATCCTAGGTTGATATGTCTGTTCGGCTTAAACAGTGATGAGTAGACAGGGTCCAGACCAGATACCATGGCCCTGTCTCTTCTCAAATCGTCCATGATCGTCCTTTCAGCATGTTCCCCGTGAGGTGAGGGGGATTACATCAAGCTTGTGCATACCAAGAACGCTCGTCGGACCACTACAATCTATTTTCACAGCCACTTTTTTCCAACAAACCACCACATCCGGCCTCTCACAGTCCTGACTTCCTTGTCGTGCCTTTGAATGGACTCTGGCCATGGGGAACTTGCCCCTTCGCTTCTGTAACGTCACGCCGCAGCAGCTAGCTGGTAAGACCTCTCAAACCACAAGCCCCGTCGTGGCTGCTACTAAGCTGCGTGCACCGTAAAACCGAGCCGGGACCGATAGGCCACATAACTTTCTTTACTCCCCTCGAGGTCTCGACTCCCTGGTCCGTCGAGAGTCAGCTGTTCAGCCCGCCGCGTTGCCAGTGGTCTGCTAGCGGACGGCACTGTCATGAAAGACTGCGCGCGTGCCGAGTTGCAGAGCAGGGATGGATTTCCGTCCAAAACCCGTTCCAAGCGCGGTAAGAAACTATTGGACTGGGTGTGCAGCATTCAATACGGGGCTACCCTATATAATCCATTTATAGCCTGCATCATACTGTCGCATACATACCATAACACACTACTCCGTATATACATTACACACGACTATGACTAGCATGACCACCTACTATTACCTAGTAGTCAACACTAGTAGTGTACAAAGTTAGTAGTGTACTATGTAACAGACAGGGCCCCTCCCTCACCACTTTTTACATAGAGTCTTACACTACCGTATCTACATTATTACCTTGCCTCCCCTACCAACACAACGCCCAACGCATCCTATCGGCGAACGGGGGCCCGCCTCCTGGGTAAGGATCGTTTTGAATCTTATTACTTTGCATCCTTGACCCTTGTCTTCCACGTTCTTTGACCACCGCTTCGAAAAGTCTGTCATCCATCACATCAGCAGAGGACCTCCGTCTTGAAAGCCCGCCCGGCTCTCTGGGATACGTCAGCGCTCTGACCACGAGCCGTGTCACAATAGGCCGCTCCATGTCCGCATCTGGTAGCTTTCCGATCAAGGTTGGGTTTTCTCTAATGGGTTTGCGCGGCCTCGACGGTCCCAGAAAAAAAATCATGTCCCGATTCTACGTAGGCTACTTGCCTTTTTTTTTCTTTTTCCCAATCATGCCCCCCAACCCTATTTCTCGCTATATGATCCAATAGATTTATTCCTCTCAGTGGCTTGACAGCCGCACTCTTCCCGCCGGAAGCCGGCTCACTGCGTTTGTCTTGAAAAAAATACAATTATTATTACTACTAGTAGTAGTACGCTTGCTGTTGCTGCTACTACTTCCTTGTGCCCATCAACTCAACTCCTAGCCGATGCGTTTGCTTGATCGTCAATGCCTTACATATGGCTTGAAACAAACACCTCCTGTACCGTACAACCAGTCTCCGCCGTCAATGCTCGGCCTATAATCGAGCTAGTCACTATACCCTGTTTTAAGCTTTCTAACTCGAATCAAACCCGTTTCCCAATCCACCAAAAACTCGGTTCCAAAGCACGGCGCTCTAGTTCCCAGGGTCGGATGCCCATCGAGTTGCCGGGCACCGGGTCCACCCCACAGAGAAGCCACGGGTACCCATGAATATATATATACACCTAGAGCCAACGTTATCGGGTTGCTAGAGTAGCAGAGAATAGACACACGAAACTTTTGAGTAGCAGGCTGCGAGTATATCTATTTTGCATCGTTGGGGGGAAAATAACTAGAAATGATTGGCTCACCACAGAATTTTCCTCAGTTCTCGAAACTGCCACTCGAGTTGAGAGATCAAATCTGGGGATATGCACTTCCCGAGCCAAGAGTATACGAGGTGCTGGATTCACCATGCTCCGCTCAGACACAGTCGACGCCTTCGAGCCGCCTCATGTTTGCAGACGTCCGCAACGAACCGCCGCCGGCCATTGCCAGAGTCTGCCGCGATGCGCGCCACGCCGTGCTCCGGCGCTATCGACCGCTCGTGTTTGCCAGCACGGTCAAGCACATTGATCTCTCGCGCGACATTTTGCTCTTGGACTCGTATCTGCAGGTCAAGAGGCTGCTCAAGGTGGTCCGGCTGCTCAGCCAGGTGGAAGCCGTGCGGACCAAGGCCTGCCGCATCGCCTTGGGCACGTCGTGGGGCTTCTACACGGGACTGCACCTCCGGCTCTTTCACAAGACGGTCCAGACGAAGCGCAACATGTCGAAATTCATGGAACATATATCCAAGTTTCGGCGCTTGAAAACCATTATACTAGTCGTCTACCAACGCTCTGCATTTAATTTGCGACTCAAAGACCCGGACCGCCAACCCTTGCCTTGGCGGCATTACGATTGGTATGAACCGTACCACTTCAATTTCAACATCAACTTCAACTTTGACAACTACTTTCTCCGGCGGCCATATCAGAGCCGGCTCGTACGCTACGAGCCCGAGGTGGAAAAGGCTGACAAGCCCGAGCCGACAAGCATGTGCCAGTCCAAGCAGCAGCAACAAGCCATCGATCCGCACCCTCGTGGTTATCAGGTTCACGACCTCAAAGATACTTTTGAGAACTGGATAAAGAAGCTGTCCGATGAGGGTACATTGGGAGATTTTGAGCCCCCGAGCTTGGAGACGGCTACGCTGACGTGGATCTACACGGGCGTTGGCTACTAAAGGGGAGGGGGAAGATTCCACATCAACTGCGTTCATCGTCGCATCTTATTTTTGCATTTACAACGGAGGAAGAAGGAATGAAGGACTGTATAATGAAGTTACAAGACACGAGGCTCACGATCTTTACGAATATTAACGAAACACCTAATACAGACACGGCCGCAAAGCAGACATGATAATGTCTAGTATGTAGCGTACATAGACACACACACACACACACACACACACACCAAACACTTGACAAAAAGCTTCAATCACACATTTCTCTACTCAATCGCATTCTCGTTCGACGGTTGTTTCCTATCAGTGAATGATTTGATAAACGTTGCATTGACCCTCCGCGAATGCATACGAAAGCGCTGAGCCGCAACGCGTCATCTTGCTTTTATGGTGTTCCGGTAGTTGCTTTCGCTCTAAACGAGGCATGTGAAAGGAGACCCGCTCATTTCCGAATGGGATGTAATCCAGGTAATATAATCAATCGCACAAGCAAAATTAGTTGATCTGATTGCACAATTAACATGGAAAACTTGGATTAGTAATTCATGGCGAAATCTATGGGTCGTATTGGTAATATAGATTCAGATGCACACAGTTGTATAATTCGTCATCCCCTGGTCTTTGCCCGTGGGCGGCGGTAGTATGGCCTCATACCAAAGCGACAACACCCACATGGTGATGATACCTTGGATGACGAATACAAAAGAGGTACACCTATACATCCGTTTTCAACCATACAACAATTTATTGAAGCTTATTTGAGCATTGATAAGCATATCACCACACCCGAAAATTGAAACCACGCCCGTTATTCAGAGCTAACCACATCTCCTCCCAAGACCATCGTTTAATCGGAACTTGGATAAAAAGGCCTTTACCTCAAGAGTCTTCATTGTCCTATCCGGCAACCAGGGTGCACTGAGAGTAATAGTCATTCACGTACTGGCAAGCGACGTGCGTGGGAGCGCACTGAGTTCCGCCACCCCAGTTCCTGCCGCCGCACTGCTGGTATAGAGGCACCAGACTCGAGCTGGGCATAGCCGCTGTGCTCGAGACACTGCTGCTGCTGCTGCTGGAGGACGAGGACGTCTGGGTCGGTGTCGTGGTCGTGCTGGTCCTGGATGAAGAACCCGTGGTTGTGACGGGCACACTTGTGCTCGTTGAGCGGGAAGTCGTGGCCGTCGCACCGTTGCTGCTACTGCTGGTGCTGGTGCTGGTGCTCGAGGATGAAGTGGTTGGCTTGGTGGAGCTGGAACTCGAGCTGGCGGTGCTGCTTGTCGTCGAGGTGTAGCCGACCGTCGCGGTACCACTGGCGGTAATGGCCGAGCTCGACTGGGCCGCGCTCGAACTCGCGCCCGCAATGAGGGCCGGCCCGGGCACCGTGTACGATGGCTGAGGCGTGGTGTACAGATTGTACAAGATGCCCGGATCGGTGGGCTTGTACAGGTCAGTGCCGAGCACGCCCGTAGGCGCATCAGTACCAGATCCCACGACCTCGAGGTTGAAGCACTGCGGGTAGGCCTGAGCGCCGTTGGCCTGGTTGGCACTGTGGAGGGCAATGATCTCGTGCCGAAGGACGTAGTTGCCGGGCTTGACCGACGCCGGGATCTTGACGAGCCACGTCAGCCCGTCGGCCATCATGACATCGTCGGCCCAGTACCCCGGACTGGCAGTGGCCGCCGGGTCCGCCTTGCCGGCGCCGTCAATCTTGAAGAAGCGCAAGGTTGTCTTGTCGACCGACTCGCACGGCCCGTTGCACGGCGCCAGGTAGTCGATGATGGGCCCATGGTGCGAATCAGGCCAGGTGTTCCAGGTCAAGGCGATAGAGTCACCTGCTGCGACACGGACATGGCCTCCAGCTGGTTTGGCACTTCGGTGGCAGATGATGTCTGGTGCGCCGAAAGACCCGGGATCGACAAAGCCAAGATCTGTCTGCGATGTCGTCCAGCCGATCACGATGGGTGGGTTTGACTGGTATGGGAAGACCGTCGGATCGTAGCCCTGGAAGGAAACTCCGTTGATGACAATGTTCTTGACATAACCGTGAGCGGCTACTTGCGTCAAGCAGGCCAGTAGACCTGCCAGATAGAAATTTGCCATTTGTGTGCACCTCATAATGTAGGTGTTTTGCAATCCGTTATCTTTAGTGGACGAGTGAATATCTAGTCTGTGGGCTGATGGGTTTGCAAGACTGAAGAGCATCGACAACAAGAAGCCTTATATACTCGATTGAGAGGGTTCCTGTGGCTAGCAGATCACGATCTAGAATTATTTCCTAATGACAGAAACAGACACGATATTGACGTGAGTTGGCCGCTAAAGGTGGTAGCCACCCATTCAGGTCGCCTTGGCAGACTTGGTATAGTATTGAAATTTCTTTTTGGATAGAGACATTATAGCCATGGCTTTTGGTGGTAGCTCAACTATAGCGACAACCGTACAGAAGAATTCTATAAATTGCCTGTTTGACATGTCTAGACCGTCTCCCACGTGGCCAACGCCTTTACCATCATGCCACACTGAGACAAAAGCTGATCATGGCCTTAGCCTCAATGAATACATGTCGAGCGCCCTGGCTTTTTCTTGTGTCAAAACCGGTCCTTGAGAATAGTAGTACGTCCGTAGAGCTGAAATGTCGCACCTTCCATGGCGGCAAACTTCTATGTGATGGCGCCTAGACTGACAAACCTGAGCAAGACGACAGACCGCTATGGAAATTTTAGCCGACAACGTCTTATCTTATTCTGGTTCTATTTTCTGAGTCACTAGCATTGAAGTAACAAATGAAATCTGATAGTCAAAATGTAGCCAACTAATTGTCCTAAGGGTTGGAATACCCGTTTTTCATGCCTATAACTACAATATCGCATCGGCTATGAAAATTTGTATGTTCTAACCCAGGCAATACGGTCGCGTAAAGCGCAGAATTTACCAAAATGACTTAATTATCACATATCATAGATATGTAAAATCTCTATCCACTCAGGTCCTCATCCAATATGCTCAGAAGGACCTGCTGGCCAGCCCAGAGCTCCTCCGCCGTAGGCCTGATCTGCTCTGGAGGCAAGACGAATCCATAGTCACCAGTGTCGGGCAGCTCAATGGTGTAGGAGAAGTCGGCCCCACCAATACTGTACACATGATCCGGCGCGGCGCCGGTGGTTGTGTAGAGAGTCGCGCCACTGGGGCCAAAGGTGAAAGTGGTTCGCCTCGCCGAGCTGTCGCGAATCGCCTCACTCACGAGGGAAGACGCCTGCTCCCACTTTCCGAGCTCGGGGGCGTACAAGTCGTCGCGGTATCCGTAGGGCGAGAGGATATACTGACCGTAGCTGTGCCAGTCGATGAAGAGCTTGATGCCGACCGAGTCGCGGAGCTGGCGCACGAACTTGTCCAGACCCTGATTTTCGGGTGTGTCTGATGGTTCCAGTCCCTTGTAGGTCTCGGAGCACGGGTTTGTAGATGCTCCATTGGGGTTGGCGTCCCAGGCAAACTCCCAGTTCCTGTTAATATCGCGGCCGTAGCAGGTTGCATTGGCGCCGGGAGGCGGCGGTTGACGGTTCTTTCTCCAAAGTCTATTTGTTGTCTGCGAGTACACGAATCCTGAGTCTCGTTAGAATATTTATCCTTTTTTCCATTCTTTAAATAGCATGAAATATACCATCTGGATTGACAAATGGAAGGACGTAAAAGTCGTATTTGTTGAGGAGGGCCTGGACATCCTCGTCTCCGCTCTCAAAGCCTTCAAGTAACTGGGTCGTAATATACTCTACAACCTAGGAAAATGTTAGCAGTAGCCAGACGACGAACAACTTTCTATGTACTAACTGGAGCTGCAATCCATTCTCGAGCATGAACAGTCCCGTGGTACAACACTGCCGGCTTTCCTGGTCCATCCGCGCCCCAAAAATGGAGGCCGAAAATGCTCCTGTTCTCAACAGAGTAACCAGAAGTGATAGCCTCTGAATTGTTTGGGTACGTGGCTTGAAGCTGAGCAAAATAGTCAATGTGATCAGCATAATCGTGATAAGTGTCGAACCAAGCAGAAGTGTTGTCTTGTCGTTTCCATTTTGCGGTCAAGCTGGACTCAGTGGTAATGGAGTCGCCGAGATTGGCATGCATAACATGTGTCTCTAAGCCGAGCTGCTGAAAGGCGAGCAATTGCTCAGGAGAGACGGCAACGTCGACATGGTCGACCTCGTGGCTCCATTCGTCCAGGTTCAGAGGTGCCAGCTGCTCTCTGATTACAGAGGTTTTGCCGTGAGTCTTGATGCGGAAGACCTTGTAGCCTTCGTACGAGACTGCACCCTCCTCCACAGCTTCTGCGCCGATGCTCAAAAGCAACGATAACACACCAGCAAAAAGTGTCGACCTCATTTTGATGACGATGCCACTGGGTCAATCTTGGCCGGGATGGTGTATCCAGGAACAACATCCTTACTGCGGTAAGTATGATATTTATACATAACTTGAATCCGCATCAACCGGCTAAACTTGGCAGCTGTGCCGCCCAATTTGCAACTAGACTATTGTAGTTGCTTTTTAGGAAAATCAGTCGGCGTCGATCGTATGGCTTTGGCTCGATGCGATTGGTTTACTGATGATTCTTGCTGCGCAGACACCGCAATGCACCAAATAATATGCTGCCAAGGTGACATTGCGCTGTACTTGCTGTATGGATGCCTTGGAGGCAGCACGAAAAGTATGTCAATGATGATGACACTACAGTGAAGTGCTTCACGCGATGAACCCTAGCAATTACGCAAGGGTCTTGTATGGGTGCAAAAGAGGACATTTCGACTACCGATGCGGCAGGTCAGTCTTGGCAACTTAAATAAACGTCAGGAATCACGACTGAAGCCGTCCTTCTTGGCAGCTCGCTTAGGCAAGATGTTGTTGTATTATTGCTAACCCCGAATTCCCCCCCAAGACGCCATCTATTGAACGAGATCTAGGAGTCGACTTAATACGTTCCAGGCAACACTCCCAATCTTCCTCCGTCTGTCACTAGCACGTTACCGTTGATATACGCGCCGGCCCTGCTCACAAGGAACAGGACAGCACCAGCCAGGTCTTCCTGATCCCCAGCTCGTTCCTCGGGCACAAAGTCTTTTGCCCAGCCAACTTTATCCTGGTGCTCTATGACTTCAGTGGTCATCTCACTAGGATACCCTGCAAGAAAGGCTTAGCAATCGGAGCCGCCGGAGCTCGCGCAAAGGGGGTCATGGACAGTCACTTACAGCCCGGCACAATGGTGTTGGCCCGGATGCCATAGGGCGCAAATCTCGTGGTGAAGATCTTCATCATGTGTACCACGGCCGCCTTTGAGCCGTCATAGGCAAAGCTCGAGAGCGGCGAGGTGCGCATGTAGGCACCGACGCTGCTCGTGGCAATGACTTGGCTCCTCTGCTTCAAGTTGCAGCGCTTGTTGCCCTCGTCGAGCAGGTCCAGGAACGCGGCCACGGTGAAAAAGACGCCAGTAGTGTTGACAGCAAACGTCTGATTGAATGCATCATAGTCCTGATTCCAGAGCCCGTCGCGAAACTCTGCAAGACTGGGATTTTCTGGCAGTCCGGTGAGGCCCGGTCCTAGAATGCCAGAGTTTGCAATCACTACATTGACGTATCCATGCTTGGACTCGATCTGGGACGCGGCGCTTTCAAGGTCTTGTTTCTTGGACACATCGCATTGGATTCCATGAAGCTGTCCGTGTTGCTGATGACCATGTTAATGCTAGTGCGCTGATGAAAAAAAAAAAAAAAAAAAAAAACAAGTAACTCTTCAGATGCATACAGACGCCTGGACCTAGATGAAGATAGAGCGTTTGATAGACTTACAGCAGTTTTGGCAGCTGTGTCCAACGTGTCCTGGCGACGCCCAAGTATGTACACGATGGCACCATTGGCCTCGAGCGACTGTGCAATCATTAGGCCGATGCCTATCAACGGAGTCAGATGCTTCTCATGGCAATGGTTTTTTTCAGGTCGGGCATACCGCTTCCACCTCCTGTAATGACCACCACCAGTCCTTTAACGCCGAACAGTTCGTTTGGACTAATTGCTGAAGATGCCATGACTATATTTGTGTCGTCTTTAAAATCTGACTTCCCGTGCTATTTTGGCCATTATTCACAAGACAGGCGGTGGCTATATATATATCTATCAGCTACCAACATCAAAAAGCAATGCCATAATATAGAGCACAATACCACACTAACAGTCGTTATACTGATCCAACCCTAGTAGTCGCAAGGAGTCCCGGACTTAGCGATGGGGGAAGCGGCCGCTCGCTGCACATGGAACATAACTCTTGACCTTTCAGAAAAGAAGCATGGCATTTGGCACCAACCAGAGACCAAATTCAGACAGTTGGGTGTATAGATGGTTCTCGGACTTAGCAAGCATAACTTTAACGGAGTTTAGCAGTATTTAAGACGGACGACGACCAATCGAACGGCGGCCGGCAAGCGGCGCCCCTCATCATAGTATGACAAATGCTGCTAAGTCCGACGATCATCGATAAAAGGGGACGGACCAAAACTGTTTGCTCAAAGCGTTTGATAAGTATTCACGGGAATTCAACTTCTGACTTCTTTATTAAATACCAACTTGCTGCGTCGGTCCCGCGAATATCACACACAAGTCCGCATTATAGCGCTTGAATCCTTTATCACGGCCAACCACCTCGAGTTTCTCCATGTGTACTGGTCTCGTGATGGACATCTTCTTCTTGTTCACAAGTGTGTCTTCTCGATACCGTCGGTCATTATGCTCGATGTGGTCTGATCAATAGCCGATAGCTTTATCTTTGTGAAGGTGTTGATAAAACGCTTACTTAACACTCATATGTGCTAATTACCACTAGCCTGTGAGACTTTTGTCAATCTGAAACACAATGAGCCTCGGGAAAGGGGTTACTGGTCTCCTTACGCTTGCATATAAAAAGCAAATTTAGTTTTGCCTGACCTGTAACTTAAAAGACGGGACATTCGTGTTCCACGGTAAGAGTATATCTGCTTTCCGTGTAAAAGACTGGTAATCTATGGAAGCCACTGACCCTTGACTCATCATGTTTAATAACCATCGATAAATAATCTTCGGCGCCTGTTATATCGAAGGCAGTCATGAACACTAGAAATGCTATCGACCCGCTGCCAACGTGATTGAATTCCGGCTCGTCTCGCTTCCAGCCGCTATGGCAGACGCGGGAGCCCCTTCAATTACAGTTTAAGTACATAATACACTGTTGCAACTCGAGTCTTTCTTTTCCATACTCGACGCCAGGTCTCGATTCAGCTGGCTCTGAACGCCGTGCCCAAAGTCAACCAGTATAAGTATGGCGGTGCATCCAGCAACGCTCCCAAGGTCCTCCTACTGCCATGGTGCATCACGATCTGAGGTTATTACTTCCTAGAGTAAATATGGCGACAATGGCTTGCTTGTATCTGATGGTCTTTTTATCGTCAATCATGACACAAGGGCATCTAATTTCTGATCGTGGATCTTCTTGCGAGATGGCATCGATCGAATTCTTTCCTGTACTATCTGACTATAGGCCAGCTTTGGATTATTGCTCCTCGGCCTTTCCCGTCGCCCACAGCTCTGTTACCACGATATTCACCACAACAGTAATTGTTCCGCCCAATGGCATTACCACGTCGTCTGAAACGGTTGATGGGGGGACGGTGACTGAATCAGGCACAACTTTGACGGTAGTTGCAACTTCGACCGTGACGGTAAGTAGTCTATTATTGACTCTCTGAGGGGTCAGTGATTAGTTGCTGACATCAGAATACGATTAGAATACTGATCCCACTACTCTCGTTACCACAGCCACGTCTGTAAACCAGAGAAGGGATGGCAGACTCGTGCAGCCAGAGCATGACAAAGAATCCAGCTATCTGAGCAACGCCAACTATGATGGATCCGATGATGGCGAAATACAATATGGCAATGGCGATGATGATTATGATTCGTATGATGACGGCTACGATTCCTCTGGTTATGGTGAAAGCGTCGATGGGACCTGGTATCCAGCCTTCGAATCAGAGCCTACCAATTATGATAGTTCACCAGATCCGAGGCCCACCGCTGCCTTTTCACGGCTTCGAGCTTTGCCCAAGGCTTCGCAATCCTCGATTTGCTCGTGTCTGGAGAACCATGCTACCGCGGATCCAATATCCACAGGCCCTCTTCCCCTGAGTAAAACAGCCACCGTCACATCGACCGATGAAAAGTACGTATCAACACTTGTATGAAACGTGATACTCGAAATAACCTTGCCGTTAGTCTACCATTGGTTGCAACTGCCACAGTCAGTGAGGTGCTCACTCTGGTCTCCACTACAGTAAGTCCATACCACTCTCGGCTGGATAAGACTGCCCATGTGCAAAACTGACTGGAGTTCACAATGTAGACCGCTACAGACACCACTGTCACAAGTACAACGGTCAGTGTGAAGGTGACTCCAATGCTGACAGAGTGGACACTAATGTATTCTTAGACCACGACAGTCTTCACTGGACCAACCATCACATGCATTGCCAACCCGGCTTCGAACATTCTCGCCAACGGGGGCTTTGACGATTATACTGCCGACGAATGGGGAGAAGTAAATCCGACACCGTGGGGCTTCGATGGCAGGGGTTGGGGGCCGAATTTCTTTGGTCCGAGAGACAATGCCCAGACGGCCCCAAATTATGCGTAAGTATCATATTAAGTCTAGAAAGGGCTTTGGATTGTCTTTTTGAAAGCATCACTAAACGTCATTGGTTAGCGAATTTCCTGGGGATGATGACGGCGCAGATTTTCGCCTGTGGCAAGACTCGACGAATCTCGATATTAATCTGAACTATACAGTTTCATTCTGGTATCAAGTCTACAGCCTCCGCCCAAGACCATATAATCCTGATGGTCACGGGCCCTGCCCTTTCAAATCCACATGGGGTAACTTCACCATCTTCACCAAAGACTTTGTCGAGGACGATACGAGCAGAGAATGGAAGCACGTCAATAGCCCGATTGATCTCTCTCCACAGTCTCCCACTGCCAGGCTCGAACTTGATATGAACTGCGATCCAAGCTGGTTAGGCACAGGCAATTTGATCTTTCTCATCGACAGTATTGCCATCTACCCATCTAACGAACTAATATGCGATGGAGCCTAGTACATGGTCCAATGCCGAGACCGCTGACCACGGCAGTACTGATGACGATTAGGGGGGAACATCACGTCTATGATGTTTGGGACCATGATGGCGTGATGAGCAATTTTGGTAGCCTTATCTTCGGATGATACAAGTGTAGTGGAGGATGCATTAAACAAAGTGATCATGCAGGGACAAGAAATGAATACAAGCGAGCCAGTTCAGAAATTCGCTTCTAATAAGCAATATCATCTCTACCAGCTGTCAAAATGCTCAGTTTTCCTAATCAAATTTTACCGCCATTCGTCCTCTTGCCTTGTGAGCTTCCATTCTCTCCACCATTTCTGGCAGCTGCTCCAGCTCGTAAAATTCGATACTTGGCTTGATCCCGTGCTTTGCGCTGAAGTTTATAGCGTCAACCACTAAAGGATATGAGTTAGCTCGGGGACTTATTGAAAATGTCCAACGCAGCAGCCTCTTTCAAGCCTAGATACACATTAACCAAGCATAAGGTTAACTTACTCGTATAGCATGTTCCATTATTTGAGCCTCGAAACTGATATCGCCACATGGCAATATCAAAAATATTGACGCTGATGGGCTCCTGCGGAATGCCAACCGCCATGAGAATGCCCGTTGGGCGGATAATGGCCGGCATCCCCGCGTAAGCCTTGCCGGAAGCCGTAAAGTTGACGGCAGCGTCAACGCCTCCCTTTGTGATTTCTTGGATTTTCTGTACATAGTCCTTGTCCTCCAAGGAGTTGAAGACGTGCTCTGCTCCAGAGTGCGTGGCCTCTTCCAGGGCGCCCTCTGCGACGTCGAGACCGATCACTCTGTAGCCCATGGCTTTTGCATATTGAATTCCTTTAATCATGAGTTAAGCAGTGCCGCAATATTCATGACTATATTGGCTGTACATACCTAGGTGACCAAGACCGCCACATCCGATAATGGCAACCCACTTGCCTGCTTCAAGCTTGAGGTCATTTATGCTGTTGTACGCGGTAACTCCGGCACAGAACAAGGGCGCGGCGTCGTCGGGGGAGAGGCCGTCCGGGAGTTTCATCATGTTGCGAGCATCCACTGTCGCATATTCCTGAAAGTATCCATCGAGCGAGAAACCCGCCATTTTCACTTGGCCCTTTTCGCACCAAAGATTGTGGCTAAGACGGTGATTAGTATCGACTGCAAGCGAAACTAATGACAGACAGTCTGGCTCCAGGCGCGGGTGACCTACACGTTCTTGCAAGGGTGACACTCAAAGCAGGACTGCTCGGCACAGATGAAGCCAACGGGATCGCCCTCGTTGAACGCCGTGACGTCGGACCCCACGCCGGCAACAATGCCCGTCGCTTCGTGACCCATGGTGATGGGCTTTGCATCCTTGGTCATTTGCAAGGCGTCATTGGGCGCGAAGAGCATGACATCAGAGTGGCATAGTGAAGCGCATTTGATCTTGACCAGGACCTCATGAGGTTGCGGTTGAGGTATCGGTATCTCGTTGAGCTCGATCTTTCGAGTGACTGGGTTGAACCTTTCAAGAGTCAGTACATTCCATTCAGACGTCCACTTGGAGAGTCAACAACATACTGCTGAGCCTTCATTATTGATTTGATAAATGGTATTCGCTCTGGAAAACAATGAGTGTCGCTAGACTCGTTGGTTTTGATGTCTTGAGTTCTTGACATGCAAAATGTCCTTGTCCGAAATTCTCGAGGTATAAGTATTCAATATCCGTGTACTTCTTCGTTCCTTTTCATATGTTTTCTTGCCGAACATTTACCTCAATTCCAATCTCCGCAGCCTCTGGATAATGACTCCCGCATTTTCGCGGAGGTGGGTTTCCCGTCAAATAAGTGACGGATGGTCCCGTGGACTTGGGGTCTAAAAGTTTGATAGCTTGGATCTAGTAGCGGCATCATACATGAGGCACACTGCGGCCCTTGAAAAATTGTATTATTATCAGTATCACTGCAATTTACCCTGCTTCCTGCGTTGCAACACATGGCATATTTGTTGCAGAATTCCACAAGTGGAGTATTGCATGCACATCCACTTTGGGTGTCGCATATGAGTTTAGGTCACTAGCTTGACCATCCGATCGTGAAGAATGAATGCCTCATAGCAATTGAATTGCCTTGCAGCTCCAAGCCACTTGATGAATCTGTTAACAACATTGCCTTTCCCATTTGTTGACGGGCCAGCCTATCGTATGACTATTGGCCCAGCGCTTATGAACATGAGTCTATTGAAATAGTCTCTGGGCGACCTTAAATGTGCATGTCAGTGGGTTGGATTTGCTTTATATCATGTCAACCGGGTTCTTATTCTGTCGCGTATAAAACGCACTACCTAGAGTATAGCAAATCCACTACATCTAGGCTCGGGACTCATCGGTTGGCCCGAGAGTGGGGGTTACACCGCCCATGGTGGCTGGGATTCCAGGTTCTGCTTATCTTGTAACGTTACCTAGTACCTAGCAGCTGCTACAAGTTCACCACATTGCGGCGCGAATCGCTGGAACAGCTTTCTTTGGAATGACCAAAGACTCTTGTTGGTTTTGTGTTGGAAAATGTGGCTCAAAGTCGTAGGACCCGTCCTGATCACAGTACTGATCAGAGCTTCGGCTCTCCAGTATCCAATTCAATGGGGAGCCGATTTGGTCTTGGAGAGTCCCGACAGCCATGCGGCGTCCTCTACGAACAAGGAACAGTTCCTTGACAAGCTCGTCGCAGAGATGAGAATCGAGGATTTGGGTCAGTTGTCATGTATACGTTCGTGAAATAGTCCAGATATTGATCAGATCAATAGCTTTGCAACTTCATCTTATGTTTGCTGGAGACATTATCGGGCCTGAACCGGACAATGGTCTATGGAGTAAGTTGGTTCCTAGAAGAAGACTGTGATGTGTTTAATGACATTATATCAGATGCCACCATGAGTTTCAGTCCTGAATCGCCAATTGGAATGATGCATGATTGGTACGACTTCTGATAAACTCGTTTCAACGCGCTCGACTAATATAACCAGGTACCCAATGAATGCTACTGATTACAATTCCCTCCAACGAGCAAATCTTGATCGCTCACGCCTCAAAATTCCGCTCATGCAAACGGGCGAATGTCTGCATGGTGTTGGCTCTTTCAAACAATCCATGTTCCCTCAAAGTATTGGCTTGTCCGCAAGTTTCGATGCCGATCTAGTATATCGTGTTGGGCGCGCGATTGGAACCGAGGCCCGCTCAATCGGTGTTCACGCTTGCTTTTCGCCTGTACTTGATCTTGGGTTGGATCCCAGATGGGGAAGATTGCAAGGTCAGATCGTCCTCGTTTTGACTATGGTTTCAAGAGCTGACAAAAACAGAGGCATGGGGTGAAGACAAAATATTAACTTCGAAAATGGGAGTCGCTTATTCTGCAGGACTTTCCAAGAACAACTCCTTGGGCGAGCCAGACGCTGTTGTACCCATCATGAAGGTAAATTTGATCTAGGAGCAATGTTGATAGAATTCTACTCATTATAATTTTGTCTAGCACTTTGCAGCACATGGCTCGCCTCAATCTGGTCACAACGCAGCGCCATTCATGGGCCATGGTAATCGACAGGTTCTACAAGATCTAATGACACCATTCAAGGCAGCCATTGACCTGGGAGGTGTACGAGGCATCATGATGTAAGAAATTTCAAAGTTTTACCATACATCCTAGTTGACATTAACATAGGGCATACAATGAGTTTGACGATATTCCAGCATCTATACATCCAAAGTTATACAAGACACTCGAGGACTGGGGTTACGATGGCTTTGTCATGGCCGATGACACTGGTTCGTAATCAATTCTCTCTCGCGTATCAATTCCAAAAATATATCCAAGCTGAACAGTAGACAGGAATGATGCAACTTGAAACTGTGCATCGGGTAGCAGAATCTCCACTCGACGCCATGAAGCAATGGTTTAATGCTGGTGGCATGCTCCAGTTTTATGACTATCCCCTTGATATATATACCAACGTACCATACCCAAGTTTAACAGCCCTGCAACTGATCACTAATACATGTTGCAGGCAATTAAACAATTGGTCATCGATGGATCTGTCCATCTGTCAAGGCTGCAATCGCACGTCCGCAGTATTCTAAGCGTCAAATGGGATCTCGGTCTATTCAAGGACCCCTACCTGCCACCGGACATTGATCCTCGGACTATTGCTGAAAGGAACGATCAACTAGTCCTAGAGGCAGCACAGAAGAGTATCGTTCTTCTTGAGAACAGGGACGCTACGCTGCCATTGAAGCTCAAGGAAAATGGAGTCACCAAAATAGCCCTGATCGGTCCATTCTCTGACACGCTCAACCATGGCGGATATTCTGGAACATGGGGCCAAGTGCCAGCAGGGGCGGCCAAGACGTTGCGCGAAGGCTTGCTCAGCTATGCAAGAGACAGCAGCCAGCAGGTCGAAATCACCTCCAGCTGGGGAGTAGACTCGTGGGAGTACCACGCGCAATACGCGATTCCTGGATACTTGCTTTCTTCCGGAGGAGTATCAGGAGGACTTTGGGCTACCTATTTTGCCACTACAGACTTTCAGGACGTACGCGCCGAGAGGCTGGAGGTGCCAGCTCAAGACTGGGGTCTGTATCCGCCAACTGGCCTTCCATCAACAAACTTTAGCGCTGTGTGGGAAGGCATTCTCACGTCCCCAGTGGACGCCGAGGTTGACGGCTGGCTCGGAGTGGCCGTGGGACCAAATACAACGGTCAGGTTGTTTGTCGACGGCGAAATGATTTTGATGCATGGAATCAATGATCTCTCTTCAGACGGGACAATATTGAGCAACATCATGGATTACGCATACGTACGAGCCAACGCGACGATACCACCACCTGGTGCGGCGCCTTTCACGTTCCAGAAAGGCGCAACATACCACATTCGGATCGAGTACCAGGCCTTCAACTTACACAAGAAGATCGCAAATGTGGTATCGATTAACCATCAGGTCCAGCTTTTTTGGAACCTCGTCGACCGCAATCAAAATGGAGTGGGACAGGCGGTGCAACTAGCCAGCGATTCTGATCTCATCATCCTAGCAGTCGGCGCAGCATGGAACAGCGATGGTGAAAATGGCGACCGGGCGACACTTGGCTTATCTCCTCATCAGGATGTTCTTGCCCGTGAGATCTTTCGACTAGGCAAGCCCGTGGTGCTGGTCTTGCAGGGAGGCCGACCTTTTGCGATCCCCGAATATTATGACCAGAGTTCAGCAGTCCTCAGCACATTCTTCCCCGGGCAGTCGGGAGGTCAGGCAATCGCCGATGTCCTTTTTGGATCCGTGAATCCTGGAGGACGATTGCCTGTGACGGTTCCCAAGCATGTTGGCCAGCTTCCGGTGTACTACAACTACAAGTCTCTTGCTCGAAAGATTGCATACTTGGACGTGGATTCGGAGCCTGCGTATCCCTTTGGCTACGGATTATCGTACACGAAATTTGAGGTCACAGAGTTTGCCGCTTCTGGCGAGAACTTTTCCAATGGTCAATTGATAAACTTCTCGGCCAAAGTGAAGAATACTGGGTCATTGGCTGGCAGCCATGTCTTACAAGTATACCTGTTGGGTCGAATTTCCTCAATTGTTCAGCCAACACAGCAATTGGTGGCTTTCGACCGGATATATCTAGATGCTGGAGAAGAGAAAACGGTGTCGTTGGTGGTGGACGCTGACAGATACCTCCGCATTCTGAACCGCTGGGATCAATGGGAATTGGAAAAAGGTCTATACACTTTTGCTCTGCTGGAACACGGTGGGGGAACTGCCAACACAACCGCAAGTGTGACATTGCAGTGTGTATAGAGAAAAAGGCTATAGATATCGGGCTGCTATCAATAGTCTCCAAGGTTTAAATCTGTTGTTGTGTCACAGTGATCAGAGCAGACTATAGTCATGGACTAATTCATAGCACGGAAAGGTCCGCGGCAAACTTTCAAACGTTGACGATTTTCTTCCGAAAACCCGTCGGATAGTGGCTGTCATAGGAATCACGAGACAATATAATTCAACCTTGTAGGAGACAAGATTATAAAACAGATTTCTTGCGCAGTGCATACAAAAACACGGACGCTGTCACGTGCAGTCAGAGGTGGCGGGGAGCAGAAGAAGGAAAGGAATGAAATGGATGATGACTCAGCCGAGTCCACTAACTTACCCGTTACCAAGCTTCCCTTCGGCGTCTACAGGCACCGGTCCACCGCCCAGTTCGCAACACTATCTCACCGAGCTTCCGGTCCCCAGTGGTAGAACGTCGCAGAGCAGCTGGTTGGCAAAATATCCACCAAGCCCGGGATGGAGGACAGCATTGACCCCAGGCTCCGCGGCACCGACGAGCAGAGCTCAGCTGTCGCCCACGATGCTCAAACGGGCCACCATAACGCTGTAGCACCGCAACCACCATCGATAGCATCACCAACGACAACGTCGACCGTAGGCCCCAGTCCAGCGTCAATCGGACCCCCGACCGGCCACAGCTATGGCGCAACTCCGGCCACGCCAGCGACAGCTTCGCATCCCCCCTACACGGCAGATGGCGAAACCCCCGACGGCGCTGCTGCTGGCCACGACGGCACGCCAGGCGACCCCAACGATCCTAAACGACCTCGTGCCTGCGAAGCTTGCCGCGGACTAAAAGTCAAGTGCGAGCCCGAGCCCACAGATCCCGACGGACCTTGCAAGAGATGCAAGAAGGCCAACCGGTCTTGCATCATTACGCAGCCCACTAGGAAGAGGCAAAAGAAGACGGACAGCAGAGTTGCCGAGCTGGAAAAAAAGATTGATGCTCTGACAGCGAGTTTGCAGGCATCAAGAGGTGCGCCAGCATCACAGCCATCATCTGCCAGCGACCAGACCAACTTTGCCAGTTCCCATCAGCAACAACATGTTGTTGCCAATCTACCGCGAGAATGGCACCAACCCCAAGCACCATCCCGGGAACCGCAGCCACAGTACAGCCCGGAGCAGAGCAGCAATGTGCCCTTCCTACCACCCGTGGTGATGGCTGGCCAGAAGAGGAAACACACGGACACTCCAGAGGGCTCTGCAGAAGAGTTGAAAGTTTGGCCAGCGCCTCCACCGAAACGAAACGAATACACCACGGATGTAATCGATCGCGGCATCATGACGATGCAGCAAGCCAACGAGTGTTTCGCGCGGTATACAGACCACATGACCAAACACCTCCCTGCTGTCGTCTTTCCTGCAGGTACAACAGCAGCAGAGGTGCGGAAGAACAAGCCTATTCTCTTCTTGGCAGTCATGGCGGCTGCATCCTCCGAGATTCCAGAAATTCAACGCCAACTGGTCAAGGAACTGGTGCAAATATTTGCCGACAAGATTGTCGTCTATGGCGAGAAGAGTTTGGAGCTTGTCCAAGCACTTCAAGTCGGCGTCATCTGGTATCACCCCCCGGAGCATTTTGAAGAGCTCAAGTTCTATCAGCTTGTGCACATGGGTGCTGTTATGGCCATTGACATTGGCTTGGGCAGGAAAAAGAGCAGTAGCAAGCAAAAGATGATTCCTTATACTTGGAAAGACCATCCACTGCGGAAACATCCACTCCCGGAGCCCACCACGATCGAATCTAGACGTACTTGGATGGCATGCTATTTCTTGGCCTCTAATGTTGCCATGGCATTGCATCGCCCCAACCTCATAAGATGGGCACCTTTCATGACGGAATGCATGGACATACTAGAGTCCTCTCCAGAGGCTGCGCCTACTGACAAGTACTTGTGCCACCTGGTTTGGACGCACCGCCTGGCAGAGGAAGTCGGAATCCAATTTTCAATGGACGACCCAAACATATTTGTCAATATTGCTGAGCCAAAGGTCCAGTATGCTCTCCGGGGTTTCGAGAGAGATCTAGAGAGATACAGTGATTCCATACCAAAAACCGAAAAACAAGGTAGGTCTACTTTAGCCTGGTGATCAACTATCCTATACTGATTTTCATCTCTTAGCATCGCTTCTCCTAAGCTTTAATGTGCTCAGTCTCTATATGCATGAAATAGCTCTGTATGTTGAAAAACCAGATGATATACGGCCACCGTATAATGCAGATGCTCTCCGAGACCCCGTCCCCGGATTGAACGAGTCTCTCACAGCTGCTCATATTGGAGCACTAAGCTCTTGCTTAACTGCAATTGATGGAATCTTTGAGACATTTCTGAGCATGGACGTACACAGTATACGCTGTTTACCCGTTTTCAATTTCGTTCGAGTCGCATACGCTGTAGTCGTCTTGATCAAGATGTACTTTAGCGCGAGCATGCCCAACTCTGAGCTTGGAAAGGTCATCAACAAGGATCACATGAAGGTTGAAGAATACCTCGAGAAACTTCTTGCCAAGTTTGGCGAGGTTGCTGCTGCTGATAGGTCACGGCCAGCGGCCAAGTTTATTGTCGTCTTGGCTATGCTACGAGGCTGGTTTCAGAAACAAGGCAAGGGAGAACCTGGGGCTCCGTCACTCCCACCGCAACAAATGTCGGGCAATGAATTGACGCCAAAAGGAGAGACTGGTACACCAGTCCCGACTCCACAGCCTCCACAGCAACAACCGCAACCGCAAGCCAACGAGTATAATCCAGCAAATACTCCTTTGCAACTGCTCTCTGAGATTGCGACGGGCAACCGCGGCGATCAGGTCAGTACGGCGAGCAGCTCAAATCTCGCCTCGACCCAAGCTTTCCCCAACACCTGGATGGCAAACAACACAATACAACCCACCCCACCCTTTGTATTTGATCATAATAACGTGGGCGTAGCCTTGCCCTATCTCAACAACTCTTTCTCGGCCGACTTTGACTATTCCAATCTGGGCGAGGGTTTCGAACAGGCTATGGGCCTGACCTTTGGCGGGTTCATGGATCCTGATATGAGTATGCAGGGCATGGAGTACATTTTTGACGGAAATAGTAATACTATGGGAGGACAATCGGCCTTTACATATCAGTGATGGGGAAAGAAAAAAGAAAGGCAAATGCTCGTTTTCTTTTTGGTGTTTTTGTTTTATGTCATTCCCTTATGTATGGGCGTTTTGGGGAGGCTTTTCAAACGCATTGTAAGACTAGGCACGGCTTCATGGGCAAGGGAGTTTTTGGCGCCATTACCAAGCACTTAATTAGGCGGTTTAGCGATCTGTCTCTTTACCTTGCTCAGCATGCTCTAATAGTAGGTAGCTATTCATTCTATGAACGAGGACTCCTCTCAATGTCAAGATGTGTGTACAGCAAACAATACAACCTGGTGCATGCATACTGGTTTCATTGACGTGCAAGCATTCCATAAATAATAATTTCGTGCCTGATTTCCACTATTGTCATTGCAAAAAGCTAGCCTACAACATGCACAAGTGTTAAGCTCATTGAAGAGGGGTAGTATGCGGGTAGCGCAGTTATCCGGTTGTGTTTTTGCTATTTTCTGAAGTTATGGTTTTAATCATAAAAATGCTACAAGACTTCCTGAAAAAGCGCCTGTCATTACAGATGGAGGTACGTCCTGACCAAGCATCATCTTGATGCTCGCGAGCCTTGTTCTGACATGACAAATCAACGCAAAGCTTCCCAGCCAGATTGATTTTTTTTGGTTGCCTTTTTCTTTTCAGTGCCCCCTGGCCCAAAATCGTCTTGCATCTGTCTCCAGACACTGTCATAGATGGTCAGTCGTATCTCTGACGATTTATGGTTTCCTCCGATTGTAGCAAGTCCCTGTCTGCCTCCCTTCCAACGCCAGATTGCAAGGATCAAGCGAATGACGTCAGGTCAACGGAGTAGTACAACAGAAACGCGAAAAGGCAAAATGTCGCCACCGTTATCTCGTGCTAGTATGTGCACACAGCAAATGAGATGAAGGCGACTGATCGGGTTAATTGGTAGGTGTAGTAGTGTGAGGGTCCGAGTAGGCTGATCACAAAGGTCTTATCACAATTAATCGTGACTAGCCATGTGCCTCGCCAGCGGCTGGGATTAGACGACAGTCTACTCAGTCCATGTAAAAGTCGCCCTTGAGAATGCGTTCTTGCATAGCGTCGGGTTTGCGTGGCTCTGGTTGTTTGGGCTTGACAGCAGCAGCTTGCTGGGGTGGAGCTGGCATGTCGGAGACAGATTTGGCGCGATCGTGGAAACCATTACCAGGTCGGGGTGGGGAGCCACCACCAGACGCCATGCTGAAAGATGGGCGTATACCCGAGACACTGCTTTCGGCGCGGGACCTAAGCTGCTCTGACCAATTGAAGCCTTGGTCTGCACGAGTAGCGGAGAGAATGTCAGAAGGGGATCTTTGAGGTAGTGCTGTGCTTGCCTGAGCGGCGCTGACTCTGCGGCCAGCGGCCATAGTAGCGGTGCTTGTAATGGGTGGTTTGGATGAGCCGCCCGAAGAACGGCGGGCTGGGTCAGGCCTACCAGTAGAACCGGGGGGAGAGCCACCGGGGGCTCGCATAGAGCGCATGGCATTGGCGCCGAAGCTCATACGACGGACGAAAGGGGTGGTGGGAGCGGTGCGAGTCGAGTTCTCATCGTCCTCGATGGCGTTCTCATCGATGGAGTCGGAGTTGTTGGTGGAGATGCTGCCCCGTCTGATTCCTCCAAATGCTCCAGTGGCTGAGGCTGGGGCAGGGCCACCGCCAGATAGACCTAGAGTAGTGACAGAAAGGCGTCGGCGCGGGTCTCTAGCTGCAGCCGATGACGACATCTGATTGCCATTTGAGCCAGTGGAGATGGAGTTGCTGCGCTGGAAAAGACTGGAGAATGCAGCAGAGGTGACGGAACCTCGGCGCTCTCGAGGGCCGGAGGGTGGGCTGCTGTCTCGATCGTTGGACATGTTGGCAGTATTGGGAATGGATGGAAAAGCAAGGAGTAGAATTGATACGTTGGATGGGAGGATGGAAAGATTTAAGGGGTGATTTCTTTCCCTCTTTTTTAAGGTGTTTGCGATAATGTTGAATGACGTGCGTGCGTGCCAATCGCTGCGGGATGCAGTACAAGTTTATAGGTGTGTGGTGGGAGAGGATGGCCCCCGGAAATGGGTATGTGTAGTAGAAGAGTAAATGGCTAAGAGCTTGAGCTATGACCAGTTAAGGGTCAAGGTACAGCAGCAGCCAGATAAGATGGCGACGTGTCGACTGAATCAAAGAGAATTGAGACCCTTTGTGCACACGAGGGGGTAAGATGACAGTAGTGGGTTTTGGTGTGTGACAAACAAGCGGAGTCAAATGTTGCTTTCTTTGATTCAGACAGGAAAATGGGCAGATGAATGGCTTGAGATGGTTCTGATATCGCGTGGATCCTCTTTGAGAGCTCGGAGCGGGGTGTTACCCCTCGAGGTTTTGAGTTGATACACGAGGGAGATGCGCCCTCGATGAGATGGCAGAGAATATTTGTTTTTGGTTGGCTGTTGGATGGTCGTGAGAGATTGATGGGATGGGTGTTGGTATGAACGGATGGTGTAGAAGGGAGAGAGATTGTTGAAAGGAGAGACATGGGAATTCGACAAAGTGACTGACTGATTAACATACATGAACTAGAACTTGGTGGCACATGTAGGCTGCCGGGTCCCCATGAGGTTGCTATTATCGCTGGCCAATGAGGGACCTGCACGCTCAGTAGAACTACCGCGAAGCTCCAGTGCACTGCGCCAACGCCTGAACCTTGCGAAATGCGGGGAGACCGGGGTAGCGGTAGGCTCCCCTAGGGAGGTGGGCTTGAGTGGGTGCTCCCCGCTAGCTCTTCGCGGTCTAGAGTGCTAATCTAGAGGGCTGTAGTGGACGCGCCGCGCTGACAATTGTGACGTATTGTCCTGATTGGACCCCTGCCCCCAGTTTCGTCAGAAGCGGCGACCCTCTCCGACAGCTGAGCTCTCAATTCGCTGCGATGCCAACTGTCAATTTACTCGCGTGTGTGATGAACATGATCAGTTACTCGAAACGGGAGGCTCGAGATTGCTTCAAGCTCCGAGATCTGGGTTGCGTATAAACAGTGGACTGGATTCGCCATCTCACACGGAAACGAGCAAGATGATCATCGACCCCACGCATTCAACCGAAGCACTGTGTGCCCCTTCCTGCATCCGCGGTCCCTGACTGACTCCACACGATTGATCTGCGTGCCGTCTCTGCCAATACACTATCTTCTCTCGACCACGCGCATGATTATCCACCTCGTTGCAGACATTGTAAGACTCCGTAACCGTACGACCTGTAGTATCTGGTGTATTGCATATTACTACTCACTTACTACTGCTAGTTGACTACTACCACCACCACCACTACTACTACTACATTACAGGAACAAACGGCTAGAAGTCACCAACAGGATGCGCCGAAACTCCCCACTGCATATGCTAATGCCGATTCAGTGCGTCCCTCTTTGTCATTGTAATTGCATCAGGGAGTGTACACCAGTTACTTGCTACCTACATGCACATACTTTTAGGTCTGAGTGAGCCATGTTGACATTCCGCACGTCGGTATGTAATGCCAGACAGACATGCTGTGCCGCCAACAGATCAACCTCCCTCGCCTCCCCAACTCGGCTCCTACAACCAACAGAGTTCCAAATCCACCGGAGGCTGAGTCTAAGGTTGAAGTCCCAGACAATCCGTTCCGTGGCCCCACCAAGACACCGTGCCGTCGTCCGTCAGGCCATAACTGATGCTTATCTCGTGGGGGTATTAGGGACATTCCAGGTTTCTCTGAGCGCGTTGACTTCAGAGGCACCACACCTAATCTTGGGAGTTACAATTGTAGTTTTGACTCGTTACATGAACTGACCTGGGCTAGCTGCACATCTGCCCTGAGCAAAAATATCTTTAGCAAGTCTTTCCTCCATCTCAACATGCTGCACTCTGTGCAACCAGGCTTGGGCATATGCTCGGCCATATATGCACAAATGTGGCATCTGGGCTCATCAGGTCTACACCATGGTTTGATACCCGTACGATGCTCGACTCCTCAAAGCCTCCAAGCTCGGCCCACCCCGGCCAACCATGGGCTGATACAATAGCGAACATACTCCTCCTTTTCTACTCAAAAGTCTGCCGTGGAACCCACCGACAAGACTTCTGCACACTTTCACAGTCCAGAACTATCTATTGTAATTGACCCATTGCCATTGCTACCTCCGAGGGTATCCGTCACCTACAGAAAAGCTCCGCTGGCGCACATCTCCAAGAGGCAGGCCATCTAAACATCCACTTTGTTCTGGGCCAAACCTCACCGGCCACCCAACCCGTTGCCCATCATGCCACACTTGAGAAGCTCTCGAGGTCCCTTTTGACATGCCTCCGCATACAGAGTTCATGACTACTCGATGGTGCATTCACTAGTGTTCAGCCAAAAATGCAACCCCCTCTCAAGTCGCTACACGAGTCATTGAGAGCCACTCTCCTTGATTGGTTTTCAAAGGGACTATACTTGGAGCTCTATTGCCAGCTTCCCAAGCGACTAAGCAGCTCAGCCCCATACGAAGCTTTTCCGGCGCACCTATCTATACTTGATTAAATCTTATTATCTCCAGCGTCCTATTCTAAGCAGTGAGGGAAAGCCAACGGCAGGTCTGTTGGATATTTTGAAAATAGTTTTCCTTGCTTAATTTTCGTGTCAGTGCTTTCAATAATGGTTACAAGGCCTTCTATAACGTCTAGGGAATTTGTCTTCGTACAAATGTGTCTATGCAGTCACCCACCTCCTGACTCAACGAGATGGGCAGTTCATGGCCAGCTTCTAATACTACCGAATGTACGCCTTCTTTACCCAGGATTCGTTCCGCGTCTTCTATTGTTTCCGAGGGCACCACTACCGGATCAGTTTTGCCGAGCACCAGTAATACCTGGCCATTAGATAACCCAGACGGCTTAATGCTAGTGTCCACTTGTCTTCTCTCCGCGAGTATAGGCCCCAAGGCCTTCCAGTCCTCGTAGGCCTCGTATATGGGCGCATTCCGGATAGTGCTTAGAAATGCCGTGACGAAACCTGGGTGGTGATCAACCTGCCACGCTACGACGCTGGACACACTCACGTGGGGTCGTCTTCGTGAGATGGAGGCGCTATCGAACCCCGGCCCGCCGTTTGCATCACTGTTTCCGCCGGTTCGCCGATGCTGACCACCCTGGCTGTGGCTCTCCGCCGCGACGAGGTCCGCCCCGCCCGCGGCTTTTGGCGGTTCGGCGGACGGTCTGATGCGACGCTTGACGAGCCGGCGGACCAGCGATTCAGGAAGGAGTCCCGAGTTATACAGGAACCAGCTTTGCCAGCCTACATGGTATCGACGGACCAAACCGCCGCCCGCGACCAGAGTCAGCGATTTCAGTCGATGTGGAAAGTACCGTGCAAAGGAGACGGCCAGGCCACCTCCAAGGGAGTATCCCACGAGATGGAAACAAGACCATGCCAACGATGAAGAGGCCAGCACGAGCAGAATCTGCGTCGTGTAGAGTCGGGCATCGTAGGGCACGTCGGCAGGAGCATCAGAATAACCGCGCCCAAAGAGATCTAATGTCATTGTCTGGTGATTAGTGTCCAGCCCGCAAAAGATGATGGAAGTAAGGGTAGGTGAATTTGCCCGCACCAAATAACATGACTCGATACCCCTTTGCCACCATTTCGTGCGCGAGGTCTCCCTGCGAAATGGTGGGCGTGCTGATGCCGTGAAGGAAGAGCATCTTGTCTCCATCCTCGGGACCCCACTCAAACACACGGATCGAGCCATACGGAGTCGCGACGTCTCTCCCGCCCGGCAAAATATCTGGCGGATAGGGAAGGCTCGTGATTTGCTCCTCCGATAGAGAATCCAGAACCTTGCGGCGCGGAGAGGTAACGGGCAGGTTCTCCCTGCCTCCCGTGGCCGTCCTGACCAGCGGCCAGAGCGCTGCAGCTGCTGCTGCAGTGACGAGGCATGCACCTCCCAGCAGCGCTGCCCGTGACGAGGCGCCGGCGACGCCCGGGAAATGGCTCACCATGATCGCCATACAGCCCGCTTGACCGGCTTGTAGGAACAGTGTCTTCCAGTAAGCAAATTATACTCTGAATGAGACCGACGCAAAGGTGATATGAGAGTATTCAAGTAATGCAACGAGCCGACGACAGTATGGGCTCGGTTCGACTCGCATAGCAGTTGACGGCGGGGCTCTCGGCAAGTGTGCGCGGGCCCACAGTTTCTTCGGCATCGTCGACTGGCCGCCAATATAAGCGCTTTCTTTATAATTGCTCTCATCTCTGGCGGCTTCTCAAGTACAATATATGAAAGAATATTGTTCAATGTTCGTGCTGTACTAGCTGTCCAGTATAGTTTCTGTATTCTTTCATTTTTGTGATATTGGATATCATCTGGAACACTTTGAAAGTTCGGCCGGTCAAGGGTTAGTTTGGCGTTCCACTATAAACAGACGTGCCCGGGCCTGTACAGTGTCTCAACCTTTACCAATTACCATGGCTTATTTGCGCATGACAACTTTGATATTTTTATTTCCGCCAGACCAGGAAAGTGAGAATATAATCACGCATATTCTGCGGACTTCTGAGGCTTCATGGTATGGTAGCAGATGGGTCATTCACAAAACCCTGCTTTCCGCATGGTTGATGATGATTAGTTGAGATGACCACTGATAGCAATGCAACGACGCGAAGACCAATCTTCTCAATAATTGCGGTGCTGTCTTGTCATTTTGCTTGAACAGACTGGCGGAAGAGCCAAACAATATTTGCGCTTCTCGGGTTTATGGTAAAAGTCCTGAAGCCACATGATGTATAGCTTCAACGCCAAGGACCAGGCCGGTCAAAGTTTAAATTCAGATACCAAGCGACCATATGGTGGATCGCAAAAGGACCCTTGAATAAGGTGACAGTGAAAATGTTATGGTAGCTTAGTCACAAGCAGGGCCGCACACCATTCATCATTCTTGTTTCCGACGGAGGCGAAAAAGAAAGAAGAAGAAAAGGGGATTTTCATTATAGCAATGCCATGCAAGCGTCACAATTTCTCGAGTTATAAAAAGCCAAGATCTGCTTCTATAAAGTTTGTCCACGACCGAGTTTAAAACACTCTGGTCTATTGTAATCTCATTAATCCAGCCAGTACTGTCTCGCTCAAAAGTTACACGGTAAATGTTCCATTACAAACCTGATTTGACGGCAATACAGATCAACAAACCCCTCTCAAGCACGAACACGTCGTTTTTGTGTGACCTTGCTAATCGTTTTTTTTTTTTTTTGGGCTCCCCTACAAGAACCCCATGTTTTCCCAAATGCAGAAATTAGTAATGAAGCTTTTCTCTATCGTGGAAAACTTCATGACCCCAGTTTTTTTGCTCGACGATTTTTTCCATGGCTAGACTATGTCTGGAGAAACATTGGGCACGATCTCGCCTATCACGGTGAGAACCTTGATGGCCATTTTAAGGCGCTTGCCGCTGCTGGCAACAGACAAGATCACAAGCAATTCTTTTCTCACTGGATTTTTGACTGCTAGCAAGTGTGATTCAGTTCCATTAATCACACATTTTTTTTTTTTTTTCGTTTCCCGGGTCACATATTCAGATGGGCATGTCAAGTTATCGAGGCATGTTATTCGCATATACTTGAGAAGGGTCCGCGCTGTTACTCACTCTTTGGCTTGAAAGATCAGGTATTTAAGGCCTCACCACGAGATGCGAGAGATCTTGCTTCCCAGGAACAATTTCATGTCGCAACGACATACACACTAGAGCTGCTCCCTTGTCTCTACCTTACTTCGAATACCACTTGTCTCTCTACTGTTTTTCCCCCGACAGTTCCATTGCCCGATCACCCAACACATTGTTGTTGTAGGTGGCACCATACTTGTCCGCCTCATTTCAGATAAGCTTATCTTAGAGCTCACAAGTGCCCGTCTTTGGGTCTTGTCAAGTCGGCTAAGGGACAGGCGACTATACCATATACACACCGCTTTCGGGAAGCTCGTTATACCAAATACGCCCGACTTCCGGTTGGCAGTGGGCTGTCTTATAAAGCCTCACATACCCAGTTACTTCATTAGAGGAATCTAGTCTCCCGCCTTTGACTAAATAAGCGAGCAAAGAAGGACAAAACCAAGCGGAAGGAAAACCTTGCCTGTCATGTCCTGCATCCTCGCCCCTGTGCGCTCTCTCTTCTCTTTCAAGGGCGGAAGCAGCAGCAGCAGCAGCAGCCATAATACCAAGGACCGGAGCCAGGATCTTGTGGCGCGCATCCTCAAGGCCCACGATGTCCTGATCGGCCTGGACGACCTCAGCCCTGGCGAGGTGACCAATAAGACGCTGGGTGATTTGGTAGCTTTGTGTTGTGAATCTCATGATTCCGCGACCGTCAAAAAGGTGTGTATTATACATATGTTATTACCATGTATAACCTTTGTTTTCTTGTACCTTCAACAGTGACTGTCACTTTTTCAAGATACTGTCATGTTTAGTAAAAAGGCTAATATGAACACCAATAAAAAAAGGTCCTTGCCAACCGGCGCATAGCAAAAATCCTACCGGCACTGCGACGTATCTCGTCAGAGTCCGAGTGCTGCCTAGAGACGTACTGGAGCGAGCGCATCGTCTCAGCGTCCCGGGACCCAGAAGATGCCCTGCGTCTGCTCCAGTCCTTTCCCTACTACCAAAACTATGTTGAGCTGGCGCGTCTGGAACTGTGCGCTCTGTATGCCGTGGAGCCCCTTTTGCCGCGCCGCATCGCCTTTGTGGGCAGCGGTCCCTTGCCGTTGACGTCCATGTGTCTCCTGCGGTGCCTTCATCATGGCAGCAACAGCGACGAGGAGGATGCACAAGACAATGACAACGCCAACAATAACTGCCACCGCACTCTGGTCGATGCGTTTGGAGCCAGAAAAAAGAAGGACGAGGACGGCGGCAGTAGCAGCGCCGGCGATGTCGACGACGACGATGACGACGACGACGATGACCTCTCAAATGTCGAAAAGCTGGTGCCCAGTGTTCTCAACGTCGACAGCAACCCTGCGGCGCTCGCGGCATCAGAGGCGCTGTGCGAAAAGCTCGGGGTATGGAGTCGGGGCATGACGTTCCAGAACTCGGATGCAAAGCTGGCCTCTGGTCTTGGTGGCTTCGACGTGGTCTTTCTGGCGGCGCTGGTGGGCGTGTCGCCGCGCGAGAAGGAGGACATCATTATCAGCGTCGCACGGCGCATGAAGTCTGGTGCTCTCATGGTGGTTCGGAGCGCTCATGGTCTCCGTACCGTCTTGTACCCGGTGGGTTCCTTCTGATCCTCTCCATCATTATCATGATTGCTGCTGAGTACTGACAAATCTTGTGACGTTTATAGGAGGTAGATTTGTCTGGTAATAGGCTACGTGATGTGCTGCAAGTAGAGACCATCACGCACCCGTACGGCAATGTGGTCAACTCGGTTATCATAGCTAGGGTAAAATAACACAATTTCCGCCGTCTCACGAGTAATGACGCATATTTTATAGACCAATATAATCTATAATGCCATTTCTTCCTCTGCTTGGACGATGGTCCTACAGTTTAGCAACTGATAATGAAGTCATGGACATATTTACCTTGATTGAGAGGAGAATTTTTTTTTTTTTTTATCTGACGTGCTTACATGTTCTCGAGGCAGTGTCATGATTCATAAGATAGGCCACGGAGATTGGCACATTTGTTCTTGGTTGGTATCTTTGATTTGAGCTCATCTAGTCCTCCTACCGCTACTCAAGTACTCATTCTTGCAAACAAAACATTTCGGGCTCGTTGGCTCAACATTCGTTCTCACGTCCTCACTCAATCGTGAATAAAATTTCTTCTGCCTCTTCGATATTGTTGTAAAAACCGCAACGCCAAAAGATTAAAATCGCCATATGAGAATGTTCAATCTCAGGGCCACAAGCAATGCCTCCAACACCTTTTTCTGGCTCATCAAGTTTGTTGTACAATCGTAAGAAAGTAAATGTCGACAACGCAGGTTGTTTGCAAAAGGTCGTAGCTATGCTGTTGATGTACACTTTCCAAAGGTAGTCTCATTCGTGACAGCCCTTCTCCCGCCTCCTTCCAACTTCGAGAAGCAATAATTAGATACTAGGATTCGCTAGGCTCCGGTCCATAGCTCTCTGCGATGCTGGCAAAAAGCAAATCCGCCGTCTATGCTGAAAGGTATGATAATTCAAAGATATCGCCAAACACATCAGTATGCTAGATGATTGAAGGGTATGGAAAGCAAAGGCCAGAATGAAAGTTGGTATCTCGTGAGATAATATAAAAAAAAGATTTGTGTGCGTAAAATGTCAAGAAATCGCTGTGAACAAAAAATCAAAAATTCGCCCCTTGAACCGATGCGGTCGCCGTATGCGACTCTATTCGCGAAGGCGGCTTTTTGAACCTTGCGGGTTCAAATTCATCATGAACATGGAGCTCTCTCTCCTCTTTGCGCGAGTAGTATGCGACTGGTCATAGTCTGAGTAATCCTGCTCATACGAGGCCCCGTAGTGTGGCCGATCATATCCAGGCTGAGCATTAGGAGTAAGATGCGTGGAGTTGGTGTCATAGTTGCCCGTTGGCGCATATCCAGTATCGTAGGGCGGGCGCAGGGAAACGTTCGATCCGTTTGATTGCTGCGTCATATATTGAGGCTCGTAACCCATCTGGCGTGATGGACCTGACGGTATACGTCCCCCACTTGACATTGTAGCAGGTGGCGGAGTTGGCGAAAGTCGATGATGCTGCTGAGACTGTTCCACCAATCGCTGCCGCTGTGGCGATGCTGTTGCGTCTGTTCGAGAAGATGGCCTTCGCATCTGGGGTTCTGGAAGTCTGGCATCGCCGTCCGGGCTTGGAATAGGTGACAGCAACTCGTATTCTTCGGGCGCTATTCCGAACACGCCTTCATAATTCTGCAAAAGAAGTGCAAACACTGGAGCCGGAATGTTCAAAGTTGGCGAAAACACAATTCCGACATTTCTCACGGTCATCTTGTTGACGTCTGCATTGTTGATGATCTTGATCAAGAATGAGATCAGGTAGCGCAGAAGGGTCCCGTTTGCCGCGGGTAGGTATTGAACCAGATCTGCCAACGCAGCAATCTTCTCTTTCTGGCCAGACATTTCTGTGACAGCCAGGAATTGGAGGTGTAAATCTCTCGTGAGGATGGTCGTCGGCAGTTCTCTCAGATAAAGCTTTAATAGTGATGCGACGGCATGAATGTCATAGTACGTCTCATCAGTGAGCAGGTTGATGTCGCTCTCGACATTGAACCTCTCACGGAGTGCTTTGATGACAACATTTGAGCCACTGAGTCGGAAAATACCTTCTTCAAACACTGCATTCTTCGCATCCAGATATTGGATGCAGCGGTAGACAACTGCTGGCAGTGGCACATTAATGTCTGTTGGACCATTGAAACGCACTGCTTCGGCAAGAGGCGCGCCAAAGACTTGACGAGTCGGGCCACGGTATTCATTGCCCTGGGCCGATTGGCTCGAAGAGCTGAAGAGAGAATCCTGATCGTCAGTGGAAGAACGTGTCTTGGGCCCAAAGCCGAAGAAGCTACGCTTGCGCGCCTTCTTCTCCTCCAGCGTAGGACCCTGCGGAGTGAGAGCCGCCTTTGCACCCCACATTGCTGTATCGGAAATGACTTGGGGATCACGAGGTGCGGAAATCGTGTACGAAGACGGAACCGCTTGTTGTGAATCTGGCGTATCTGTGTTCCGTCGGCGTGGCGGCGCTCCGTCAGGAGCATCACCCTGCTTGGTCCCCTCGTAGCTGATGCCGATCAGGCCGTCTTGACTAGCACTGCGAGCGTTGTGGCCCTTGGCGGCCTGACCCTGCATCTTCTTTTTCGAGTTTGCGCCACTTGCATGAGAGGCATTGCTTGATCCTTGGCGGTCTTTCTCACGTTTCGAATCCTCATCTTCCGGGTCTTTATAGTCAATCCACCTAAGCAGAGTTTCAACCCATTGGTCTCTCTCATGGTCACTTTCGGCGCAAAGCACGTGCTTGACGTGACTAGAAGAATCCTTCTTTTTCGGCTCAAGGACCAGGAAAGCATGTCGGTACTGGTTCTCCAGCTCTCCACTGTTGGCAGGCGCCGCCGGTGAACCATCGCTATTGTGCTGTGATTGCTTGCCAATTTGAGCATTCTGCAACTTGATTGTACCCAGATGTGCGCCGCCGGGGGTTTCAAAGTATTTCAGAAGAGGTCCATCAAGAACAAAGAAGCGTGCTTTCCAACCACCAAAATTCTTGCCCCTTTTTGTCAGGTAACCACTCTTGAGAGGACGACCACCAATACTGGTCTTTTGAGAGCTTGCCTCGCTGCCGCTCTCGACCGGTGAGCCAGTTTCGTCGGCATTCGGGGGCAGAGTATTCAGCGATAGGTATTTGCAGAGCTCAAGAGCAGTGGTCATGTCCAGAGGTGTGTTGAGCAGCTCATCCAGGTATTGATTCAGAGCTACTCGCCGGGCATCGAGCTTGGCAGGAGCGTGTCCACTGAACAGTGACCGATCGGGAGTCCTGGCAGTGAAAGCAGGGCATTGCTTGAGTTTTTGATCCAGTTTGGCCAAGGAAGCAATATCTTTCTCAACTCTCCAGAGTTCTACGCCTTGTGCGCGAGAGAAAATAGCCAGGGTGAAGACGGGATCCTCTTCCAACTGAGTCAGCGATATCAAACTGGCTCTGGATGGCTTCATCCGCGATGACGCTACCTTGACGTCTATAGATGGCAAGGCGTTCGGCGGGAGAAGTAAGTCGGGGTGCTCTTCGGTGATGAATCCCTTGTAGACTTGACTCCGCTCACTACCACTTTCACGACTTCCTGTAGGACTTTGATGTCCGGGGACTCCTGAGTTTTTGGAGATATTCAGTGGCTTTGGGGACGTCAATCCGGAAGGCTCATTTGCTGGTGGGCTGGATAGTGGCGTGTTTGGGGGGAGAGCAATCGGCTGTCTAGGAGCACGAGGAGAAAGCGGACCAGCTGACATTGGGACTCCGCGAGGCGAGAGTGGTGGCGAAGTCATTGATTTCATATTGACCGGGCGCGGACTTGCAGGCAACCCTGGACTCATCAATGGTGCGCTGGGCGAGGCCTGGGCAGTTCCACTCAGAACCCCGGCAAGCGATGCCGGAACGTGATCGCGCAGGAGCGTTGGCTGCGAGCCCGCCGAACGAGGGCTGGCTGGCACCGGGTTTTGAGGGGGCTCAAATTCAGCAGTCTTCGGGGTACCCTTTTGGCTGCCCTGCTTGCTTTTCTTGGATAGGCTACGCCTTTCGGCCTCAAGCTGGGCGAGCTTTTCCCGTTCAAAATCATCTTCCTCTCTAGTTCGGCGGCGCCCACGCTTTTCCGGGGGAAGTGGCAACTCGTCTACATCCAAAAGTGAATCATAGTCAGAGTCAGAATCGTCCTCTTCAACAGGTGCGATAGCTGAGACTTTGGTCTCTTTCCGTAACTGTAAGGGAGCTGGCGGTGGTTTGCGAGGTGGAGGAGCAGACGGCGGGGGGAACTGGGATATGTTCTCAAGCAGCGGAGTCAACTCCTTGGGTGAGACTGGCGGCTTGGGTGGCGACCCGCTCGGTGGAGGGCCACTCGGTGGTATACTGGGAAGGCTTCGTGTTGGAGGCAACGCTGATGGCATGGGTAAGTTTCGAGCATCTTCTGCAGCTTGGGCTGCCCTGGTCGCCTCAGACGCAACACGATCCTCTTCCTCATGATCGAATTTGTCCAGAGCATGTTCCGATGCTATAGGCATGCTATGCGACGGGTCAAGGAGGTCCCCAACTGCCGAAGCCGGCGCGTTCGACATTTGTTCTGCCGGTGGTGTGATCGGATACGGCGCCATGGTCATGTCAATTGGCGAATTCTTGACACTGTCTGAGTCTAGATTAGATGGTGAAGTAGGCACCTCGGCTGCGTCTGAAAACGCGCCGACTTCGACTCGCGGAATAGCTGCAGGAGTTTGCTGGGTGTCGATCTTTGGGGGGCCCTCGTGTGCAGTCATGAGCTCTTTCATCTTTTTCCGGTACTTTTCCTTATCCTTCAAGGCCCGCTCGAGGTCCTTGTTCAGGCCAAGGATCATGGCCCTCTGCTTGTCGACCAGCCGCCATAATTGGGCGTTTTGTTGTGATTGACTGTGCTTTTCCTTCAAGAGATATTGAATCACTGCTTCTGGGCTTCCGGCAGTCTTGATAAGCCCTGCGATATCAGTTGTGCCTGCGGCAGCATCTTGTGAACCTTTGGAGGATATGTTGGATACAGCAGAATCTAGCGATGAGGTCCGCAATGGTCCATTCGTCGCATCCGCCCGTGTCGTGCCCGAGCTGCCAGCCATTGCTGGTATGTTACCGACTGAAGAGCTTTCTGAGAGCTTCGCCGTCACGATCTGATCGGAAACTCTTCTGGCGGCATTCGGAGAGACGGGTGCCAAATGTAATCTGCACAATCACAGTTAGACCATGCTTCTAGATGTTGTATCTCGACAGAAGCAGCACACGAACCCAGTTGCTTTAGTAAAAGGTGAGATGGGTGTTGCTGGTGGAGAGGGTGTTTCTCTATGGTACCAGCTATCAGCGGCAAAGGGATGCTTAAAGATGCCGTCTTTCGAGGGAGACGGCGCGGGAGACAGTCGTTGTTGTAAAGATTGACTATGCGTTCCGCGGCTCGGGCTCGGTGGGAAGAGCTCGTGTACAGGCGAAGGAAAGGTGGAACGAGTAGAACTCGCACTCGACGGTGGTGATACAGCGGTGCTCGCGTGTAGCGGACTGGGAGCAGGTTTCCGTACTGACCTAAAAGGCGAGTGGGGATTTCGAGTCAGCACTGAGAGCTTGGAAGCTTGAGACAGCGATGGAGCATCTGGCTTTTAGAGTTTCACAACAAGGTTCTTAGGTAAACGGTGCTGTGGAAGCAAGCCCCATTCGATTGAGTTGAGATGTCAAACTCTCTCAGGTGGAGGAAGTAGAGTAGTAGGAGTAATGAAAGTCCTTGCGCAACAGTTTTACGTCTTTGCAAAGAGGCAGACAGCCCAAAACCGAGCAAAAGGTGTGGAGAGATTCGGGTAGGGCGATTAGAGAAGCACGAGGGAGAGAAAAAAAGAAGAAAAGAATGCGGCCAAACAGAAAAGACAGGTGCGGGTCTACTGGGATGAGGGTTGCATTGGGTTTGTATGGGAGGTAACAAGCAAGTGGGAATTTTCTCTCTCTCTTGGAAGACCAAGTATCAAAAGAGAAAAAAGGAACAATGCAGTTGAGGAATGTAGCAGATGGGCAGATGGGTAGGTTAGAGAGTTTGTTGATGATACTCACTTTGCGCCCGTGATGGTAATAGTCAATGGCGGCGGCGGCGGCGTGAGGATTGTGGTTACGCTGTCGTTATCGTCAGAGATGTCGAGAAAGCTCACAGCGGCCCTGCCTATGGTCGGACTGTCCTGGATCTGGTGTTGAGTCTGCTGGGCTTGGGTTGGGCTTGAGCAGAGGTGGGAGGTGGCCACCGACGGGCTCTCACTTCTGCGGTCCCTTGACTGGCCATCGCCCTGGAGCGCAAGCTGCGACATGATCCACACAATTGTACTGGGAACTCTTCAGTCGTGGACGATGGGCCTGCTAATTCGATGCAACTCGCACCTTGCACCTTGCACCTTGTGACGGGGGTGTGAAGGGACGGCGACGGTGGCAGCCAATTGGGAAACGTCGCCAGTTGCGGGGGGTTCGAAAGGTCAAGGCTTTGTGCACTCCCGGCCCAATGCGGTCCGCTGGGTTTCGAGACGACCGGATGACCCTGATTGCCGTTGCAGGCTTTCGCGATGTGGTTGTGGAATGTCCGGCGTCTGGAGACTGCGACCAGTCCTTCAATGCAGGAATATTTCAATGCCCCTAGGTAAGATAGCTAAGGTAATACCCGCGGTCTGGGTACAGGCAGTCGTAGTAGCGCCTCCTGCCAGGTCGAGTAACGAAGGTAAATGTACTGTATTGTGTATGTTGTAGGTGGTGCACCAAGTATAGGGAGGCAAATGGTGAAACCTGATTGGGCTTTCTCTGGCTGCGATGTCTTGGACTTATATTAGAGCGATATGATCCCACGGCCGGTCGGCGCAAATGTACATTTCTTTCGGAGGCGCGATATGTTGGACTCTGGAATGAATGCCCTTTTTTTTCGGGACTTGTGTCGGTGCTGGCTCAGTCAATTTCGTCGACGAGTCTGGCTGTAGCGGTAGCGGCGGAGGGTTCGATAGCTCGAGGTCGGCGCTTGGCTCTTTGAGGAGTTGCTCTCTGGATTCTTCTCTCGCTTTTCCCTCTTCCTTGCTGACGACACGGATTTGGTGATTCTACACGTAACCCCCATTCAAGGGAATGGTTTAGAGGGGCAAAGAGGAGGAGAGGAGACCAGAGACTTTGAAGGATGCCGCCAGTCAACTATTAATTCTAATGGTACAGAGACAGGCAAATGGATATCTGCCCGGAAAGCTTGCGCGCAGCCTATTGCTGCAGTGGGAGCACTAGGGGCTTGTCCATCATTGCTTGGTGCACGTTAGGACTCTCTGGATGCGAATTAAGCACGACATCGTGTGATTATTTCCAATATTTGGCCCAGCACCATGAATCGCTAAAGCTGTTGACTCCGCCGCAGTGGATGGGCCTTAGACCCCAACGAGCTGCCACGGGCAAAAACCACGAGATCTGATGGGGGCGTTCAAGTTGCCCATGGCAGCCTCTTCCTCACAGTGATCAAAGTACCTGCATGTGTTCGGACCATATCGAGCGACGACGACATCTATCTTGCAGCAGCTCGACACGTTCATTTACGTACCTGCTTTCTTCTAGCGCATGTAGCCCAGGGCACCATGCAGGCAGCTTGGCAGGCAAGTGGGTGGTGGTGGGCATGGGGAGTTAGGGGGCACCTGTTAGTGTACTTGGCTTGGAGGGCATGGGGCTTGGGGCATGGGACATGCCATGGGACATGGGGGGCCCGCCTGTATAATGCCTGTCCGACCAAGAAGAGATGGAGTTGGATCAGCAAAAACTGCAAATGACAACCCGTCACAAACGCACAGCAAACACCACGAGTTGAACTTGACTGGCGAGACTTGGCCCTAGATTAACTTGCCTTTGCCAGCCCCACCTGCGAACATTTTCCAAAGGGTACAAAAGGTGCATTGATTGGCATGCTAGACTCGATTAATGCGCCTAGTATCTGCCTGATCATCAATCTTTCGTTAGCAAGAGAGGAGGCCCGCCTGGAATATGAGCTGGAATCAGGATACATACAACAGTACTTCCATTATGGTTGGGTCGGGCTGGGTTACCTGGCCCCATGACTGCATTCGTTGTGAACAGGTAATGACTGTCTACAAATTATTGTGTATACTATATTCAGTTGGCAAAGTACGTTACTGGACTCGTAGATATTACGTACTGGTAGCAGTGGCGATGTAGACCACATGCATTTATTTGGACAAGGAGGCTTTTAATTAGCGACCTCCCCAGCGCTCTGTCGGCATCTGCAGAAGAAAAGTGACCGACTCCAGTCGCCCACGTCAGGCACGTGGAGCGGCTAGTCCATCGCAACTTTAAAAGCGCCCTTCTCCATTCTTCTGCAGCGCTGGGAAGAGCGAACGCATGGTCATTAACGATGCTCAGAGTCAGAGACACGAGGAAAAAGCAAAAGAAGCTTTGCTCAGGAACACGCGTTAAATGTCAAGGGCAAGCTTTCCAGCCCACTGCCGCGCTAACGAGTACGTGTCTCTCATTCTCATGCCTGTTGAGCCTGTAAACCAGGTACGAAGTTGAGATGAATCACTACATCAACAACAACCTTCAGCAAACATATCTACCTGGTTACTGAGTAAGGAATTGCTATTCTCGGATTTGAATAACTTGATCAATATTCGCATTGAGTATTTTCGCCACGCATGGCATTCTATACTGGATATCAAAACAAGGCGCGAGAATAATTACAAGTTTGATAAGAGGTAAGATACGTACTGTGTAGCTACAGATACCGCCGAACATTCAGCTCTATCCGCCAGGGCGCGGCGAGCATAATAAGATGGTGTGGTCCACTCCTTGCATCCAGGGACCCCGGATTCTAATAAGGAATGTTGATAATTTAAGCTGGCGCTGTGGTACGGATCACGGACCACTCGGAGCATTTCTGCGAGCGGCGCCCTGCCTGCTCTTTGCTGCTTCTAGGCCAGGACTGGTCAGCACTTGCACGGGAGGGAGAGCAGAGCGCCAGGCGAACACAGTTTGAGACACTGCACATTGCGCTTGTGGGATTGTCATATATTCATCATTCAGGTTTGAGCAATATTCAGCACAATCACAGATAAGGTCTCCAGTATTTGCTCTTGGATCGGTACCTGGTAGGTAAAGAAAGCATAGGTAACAGCATTCCTCCATCCAGGACCCATTATCATCCGATCAGCGACTCTACCCAGCCCCGGTTGGCAAGATCCCGACCGGAACTTTTCAGATCTGTATGCCGCATCAATGCATGAGAGCGCTCTTTCTCTCCTTCTCTCTCACTTGACCTTTCGTGCTAACCCGTCTACTGCCTACATTATACGTATGGTACTAGCAGTGTGAGTAACATCGAAGCACAGCCCAATGCCGAACGAAGCGCCATCCAGATGCCACTTGGCCTCGCTTGGCTTGCTCCTTCAGTCGAATGTCCTTGACGTGTTTAGGACAGTCGACCAAAACGGAATGAAGGAAGTCCGAATCTGGCAAAGCTTGTTAGCCGAGGCCCTAGGGCAGTCGGCGACCCTGAAGATCCTTCCCTTCATCCACGCACACTTTCTATTGCATCGCCAAGTACTGCCTTGCTGCCTCTCTTGGGATATACACACAAGGGAATCCGACGGGCGACGGGCGCATACTATTTTTTGTTGCCACTAATCAGATCTCAGCGAGAAGCAATCATCACGATCACCGTCCATCAATCCACCGTACACCAGCACTCCACTCGCCCCCAATAAATCTTCCCCTTCTCGGCATTAGCCTACGGCTGAAACAATTCATCTTATTGGTATATCTTGCAAGTCGCTGCTTGCTCTCGCTTCCACATAGATGTACTTTGACTATCTGGTTTCCTCCTATGCCTATGCACCCACCGATGGATTCAAATGACTTTGATTAAACACGATAGAAGCCCTCGGACGTCAGTTCCTATCGCCACTAGCTCTTCTGTTGGCGATGGGGCTTCCATGTCGTTTTTCATGGGCACACCTATCACGGTAGTTTGCACCAAAGCAGACAGATCTGTGATTGTATCTAGGCATCCAGCAATTCTTTCTCGATTCAGACCGAAAAGAAAAGTTGCAAGAGTTGTCCGCCGACGAGAGACAGCCCTTGCGTTATAGAGTACATTATGAAATACATATCTACTTGGCAGGTAAAGATACATACCGACTGTGCCGCATGCATCTCTTGTCTTTGGCGGTGATCAGGCGCTCGCTGCTCGGTAACGCCATGGCTATCCAAATCGGAGGGTAATGGCAGCAAGCCAATCACGCAGTCGCAAGCTCACCTACTTTGGTTACACCTTTCATGCTATCCGAGGACCTGAGCGCTTGGAGAAACGATACGTACTTGACCGCAATCTCCACATGGCGCAAGCCAGATGTCATACAGACAAACTATTTCTGCCTTCGAGTTGCCTTCCAAGTCTCGCGATTATACACACAGAAGCGAACATGCCGAGAACGCCAAAAACTTGTTCGGACGATCGGCCTTGGTCATTGAGCAGCACTTTAGACAGTAGAAGGACCCGGCGAGCAGCAGCTCTGGCAAGGTTTCGCTTATCGCCTCCTACCTCAATCCTCCTCATGTGCTGCCGGCTGGGCAGGAAGCTGGCTGACGAAATCACTTTTGCCCCTGAATTAAGCCAAATCTGACCAGAAACAACCCATGCCCATTTGGATCGGGGGATTATCAGCATCTAGGTTGTCCTTAGCGTGCGCCAATCAACGCCCGCCCCGCGCCTGCTACCCTCCCGTGCTACTGGCTGGCTGGCTGGCGCACGCAGACCAAGGGCAGGGCAGAGCAGAGCAGAGCAGCGGTGTGATGGGTGAAAGGGCTACTACAGCATCTCATTGCACGAGATGAGCGTTTCGGCCTATATACAGAAGTGCATTTATTATGACCTGTTGCATCGGAAGCATACCTTACCAACATACTCGGCCGCTGATGTGGCAATTGTCCCATGGCTTTCCTATGCAGCCTCGATGCAAGCAATCTACCGGAATGGTTGCCCAACTTGCCCCGTCACTTGAAATTATGTCTTCTTACTACGTACGTAGGTATCTAGGTGGGCATGCTGGGTACCCCCATACCGCTCCCTACGAAACCTGGCAAAAAGCCTCGCCTGGTTTGGAAGGGATAGGAAATAGGCCCCCACGGAAATGAGTACTGTGTATATCGTATGCGCCGACTAGTCATACATCTATCTCTCAACCAAAGGCCACTTTTATCAGAGTAAAAGAGATTGAAACGCTGACTTTACTGAACGTACTCTTGCAACAAGACACAATTTGAAATAGGCAGGTTACATACAACTATGTAGGAGCTTTGATCTCGTTTCTCCAGGTTTTCTCAAACTGACTACCCCAGCGACGATCACCCCTCACTAATATGCTTAATTCACCCAACCTTGGGAGTTCCCTCGCTTCCCGAGTGGCAGATGGAGGGGAAAAGGAAACATTCGTGCAATGGCTTTCGTGCGATTCCAAATGTCAGTGTCGACACGCCTCCAAGTCCACAGACCTTCCAGAAGGCGTCCACGCGAAACGCATGCAATTTCAAGACAGCAGTCCAAACACTTCTCATCTCCAGTCTAACACAAACATGGAATCTTTCTTTGGGAAGAAGCGAACTGTCCCAACCTAAGTCATAGACTGGCTGACCTTGTTCTGTGCTCTTGTCGCTGCACGGCACTCGGCTACGTGATTAGAAGTTTCGTATTCCATCTGAAATGGGCAAACACCTCGTTAATATGCAGGAACCATTGATTGGTGATTAGACGAGGCACCCAAAGTCACGTTGCGGCATTTGGCGGCAACATTTCTTCATCCTCGAGCCGTGGGAGACGGGAATCAGCCTCTCTCTCTCTCTGGGTCGGACCTCTGTCACCTGCCCTGCCCAGGGTATCACAAACAGACGCGAAGGGGGGGGAGTGTGTACCTCCGATTACCGTCGCTCGCTTCCTGCTGTGCCAAGATCCAGTATCAAGGTGGAAGGCTATCAAGGCTACGTGCAAGTAATCTATATTGACATTGCCATAACGGAATGACCATGGCACTTATTTATCCAATCCCACGGCAAGTGCCGAGTTTTCTTGTGCTACACTGCCCGCAAATCTTCAACATGGCGTCTAGCGAAGTTCGGTCTGGGCAGCCGATATCGATACGGACCATACCAGGTGGTCGAAAACAAGGGTCCTCTCCGTCGAGCCGTGTAAGAAATATATTGAGAATGTCACCTCAAGCCGTTCAACTAATATAGCTTACCATCATATTAGTTCCCACTGAGACAGTTCGCGGCCTCGTCGCGTCGCCAAGGTCAAAGGCGCAGATCCGCATCTCGCATCCTGTTCATACATTAATGCTACGTGACGATATCAAAGTACTGTTGTCTACCCATCCAGCTGGAGCAAGTTTCGGTAGTCTAAATGTCCCGGCCTCCATTCCTCGAGGTCCGAGAAGGATCTGATTTTTGCAATATACGATACACGCTCCATCAAAACGGTACTCGCAAATGAGTATCATTTGGAAAAGTCCACGACATCCAGCAATTTATCCGGAACGGCTTGCGACAGCTCGCTTGCGCCGCAGGTCAGCAGCACGTTTGGTTACATGTCAAAGGCGCCCTTTTTGCGAGGGACAAAAAAGGGGAGGGAGGGGGCAAAGAAAACAGAAACCCCGCCCGCATTTTGTTCGTCTGAAAAGAAGGAAAGAAAAAAATTGTGAAGCAAACAAGGATAGAACAGCTCGCGTGCCCTTTATGATCAGCTTCTTCATCTGATGTCTTTCTCAAAAATAGACCTGGGCGGGTTTCGGGTACGTTTCATGCTTGACCGTATGCCACATATGGTCTGTGCTTACAACCATATGGGTCGAGGGCATGTGTGTCTATCCCCTATGTGCATACATTGAAATGGCAAAGAATTCGAGAACGATGCGACGCTGCAGGAAAAGAGGCGCATACAATCCGAATACGTCGTACATGGGCTGGTGCACCCTTTGCAAGTTGTTTCCACAAGCAAGTGCACGTCGTAGGCACTTGGCAGTTTGTATAATTGGAAAACTAGGTATACCAAGACGCCACCAACCAATAAGATTCTACCATCAAAGTCGCTTGCCTTCAAGGCCAGTAGAATGATTCACTACATAAGCACTAAATACTTACTGACATTATATGATCTGTCTAAAAGGTCGATGTCAGGTTTCTTGTTATCTGATTGTAGACAGCCTTGCCCGATGGAGCAGCCTATATTTGTTTTATAGCTATTTGTGAAAAAATGATCAATCTCATGTAACTCAAGTAACGTCTCTGCAACACGGTATTCCTATGCTCGTAATGGACCAGATAGAAGTCCGGTAATCATGTCCCTTTGCCTTTGTGGCTTGGACGCTTGTCGGCACGTCAGTAGCAATCCGGGTTTCAAGTGAATTCATCAATAAGAACGCATGCGTTGTGCGATTTCTTGATAATTGGGGGTTCGAGAAACGATTGACTCACTATCCTCGCAGGATAGACTGTTTTATATTGGGGAAAAGAGCCGCAACCAAAATTAACCCCCCGACGTAGATCCTCACAGAGCTGTCTCCTGACGACAAGCCATCCAACACTGAATCGGCTTAACCAGACATCGGATAATCACAGGTTGTTCATGTGGAACATAATCAAATATTAGAGGTTTTCATAATCTCAAAGATTGCTGCAACGGGTAGATGGCGCATCTAGACCTCATCAGGTATCCAGTATTAAGCTTTCAGGTATCTACAAATTTTACGGACGTCTTTGTCCAAGTCTCGCAGATTGTCAGGGCAACCACCTATAGTTTCGTAGTTGGGTTTATTCTCTTCCACAAAAATTTTCACCATAAGCTCATACCATCATTATTTGTGTAGTAAATAGTCCCTCATTTTAATTGAACTTGAACTTTGTGTGTTCTCTTACCGATGGATACTGTGTTCAATGCTCTCAGGCGTCCAGCCAGCTCTAATGAGAAATTTGAATATATCTCTCGCTATTATTGATTGAAAATAGCGTGCCATGAAAGGAGAACCCATTCTAGGTATTAGTCAATTGATATCGTCGATAACAGAGGAACCAATATTCGACTCATGATGGCACAGCGTTCATTTCAGTCTAGAGACTTCTTGGCTCTGGACTTGTAGCCTTGCCCGTCGTGGCATGGGCGTGTACTTTTCTCTATCGTGGTGAACTCTACACGATGCCGTACTCGGCCAAAATACTCGGGCCATAAGTCTCATAAAGTTTGAACAGGAGTACATCTCGGCAATGTATACATGCAATATTACCTACCTGGAGGGAATGTAAACAAACACCTGGGAGTATCGATCAATATTCATCATCGTGGGCCATTGTTTCTGCCAGAGAACTTCTTCATCGTCCTTCATTCACCTTTCAAATCATATATGCCGACGAGATATTCGAATATTGCCCATCCTCTTGGATACATTCGACATTCAGATACTCTTTTCAACAAGCATCGGGATCCATCAAAATGACCGAACCGATCGCTATTCCGGCCAAACGCCGAGACTCACAACACCACGAGTCCCTGCATTCACCCCATACACAGGAAATTAACGCCATCAAAGACCACGTCGATCTCTACGGCTGGTCTTCAGCCGCAAAGAAGCTGTATGGTCACCACGCAGAACTTCAAGCATACGAGAAACGGGTGAGTGCTGTTAACCGTGCCTTTCTAAGCTCCTTTTCTTCGGTCCTGTATTCTCCCTTCGTCAATAGCTTTCGTATTAATTCTTTCAATACGTGTGGCTACAACTGTCCACTATATTCTTGATGCCTTGGTAAGGACTCTCTACTAATTTGATCTCCGTAAAAGGAACTTGCGGAGGTCAGCCATGGGAAGACGGCTGGTGTGCAGCTCGCCGATGCCTGGGCTGCTTACCCTGACAATGGCTGGCGCCCGCCAATGTTCCAGCGACCTCGCCAGCCTGAAGTCCCACTGCGCGGGTGCCTCAAGGTCAAGAAGGAAGGGGAGGCTAAAGAGGCTGTCGACGAGAAGGAACCATTAGAACACGAGAAGAATGGACAGATCGTCCATAGGAAGGTGCGAACCGACGCTCCTGGACATGATGCAACACCCGGTACCACAAAGGCAAAAGCTCCGAAACTAAAGAACCAGAAGGCTGCCACTGAGCAAACTCCTGAGAAGTCGGTGACAAAGGCTGAGCTTGAGGCCGATGAGTGTGCAATCGCCTCGGATTCGGAGGACAATATCGAACCGCCGCCGCCGCCACGACGGGCCAGAGGGGCAGCCCCTACAGCTCAGACAAGTACGCGACAGCAGACCGGCCAACACCGAGCCCCAGCGCCGCCTCGGCAGGCTCCTCCGCAGGCCAACCAACTTGCTGCTGCTGCACCCCAGCTCCCACCAGGGTTCAACGAAGCCGTGCTCCTGCGGCGCCAGGAAGCAGCCGCGAGGAGATCGAGGAAGGAATTGGAGGATATGACTGCCTACGCCCGCAGGGTCACACGAATCCCAGTGTACCTGTCGCCACGTCACGACGATCTCAGCAACTAAGATCCCGTCTCGACATCGGAACACAACTGGCACGGAAAAGGACAAGGAAATGAGACTCGAAAAGAGTCAAGGAAAGAATTTCTTGGAAGGAACCTGAAGGGAAAGAACTTTGTTTTCATTATTGTTGCAAATTGGTTTTCTTGGCAAAGTTTGGTCTACGGCGTTGTATACGGAGTTATGGGATGATGACAAAATACCCCATGTGGCAGTATACCCATCACGACAGGATACCATTTGAATATTACCGGCGTTTCCCCCCACTCTCTTGACTCCTCCGAGTCTGTCTATATAACCAATCGTAGATGGGCGAGGAGCCCACGTAGCTCGGCCATTTTTTGCCATCCGTCTCAAGTTTTGAGGTGTCTGTGATCGTAACATAGCTGTTCACCTATACCAGACTGTGCAATGATGCCGAAAACAGTATTTCATCGCCGATATCAAAGCCGTAAATGAGGCGACATATACTCTTTGAACCCCCACAAGTCATCTGGGGCGAGAGTAATGACTTGCTGATGCCGCCGCTCGCTGCGCAGTCAGGCACTCCCAGCTATGCATCGCCAACTTCTTCCCGATTCGTGATTCATGATATGATCCTCTGGTCCGTAGATGCGTCACGATTGCCGTGTATCGACGAGATAGGGCAGGGAGGGAGCGTGGCGCTGTAAATACCTACCCAACGAAGAATGACTGACTCGACGGCTTTATGGACTCTTAGGCGGCATCCGCCGCCGCCTCGACGATGTTACTGTGCAAAGAGCCGCTCCCGCAAACTTGTGCTTTTGCGATCCGCAATCAGGCAGACGAAGTTCTCTATTATGAGGAATGATCTTCCACGGCAAGTAAGACAAAAGTCAAAATTTCGTGCGAACCCACCACAATGAGTTGTAATTGAAACCCAATTGATAGACGATCAACCGAGTGGCGAAACTCTTGCAGTAGTAGCAGCAGCAGCTGTTGTACTTTGAACGAGGCTCAGAAAACCTGATAAAGTTCGGCTATAACCTCCTGCTAATTAGCAGCCCACATCACCCAACGAGAGAAGCATTACCCTGTCGAGAAAAAAAAAAAACCACTCGCATCCAGGGTTCATGGTTCAAGTCAGCCTTGTCCATGGGCCACGCCCTTGGGCTTCAACGATTGGGAAATGAGAGAGCCCCGAAAGGCCCGGGACTATACCAAATTCCCGTCGCTTCGGCCCAGGTGCAGTCGTAAAAGAAATCTAAATCCATCCGAGATCGTGCAAGATCTGCGTAGAAACGAACCGGGAGGGAGTCTGGAAAGTTCTGGGTGTTCACGCTGCTTTGGGTTTTCTTGGGGGGTTTAACTGGGCTGGCGGGGGTCATGCGGCCCGCCGACGAGTCGAATCATCAGCCGACCACTGGAGAGCCCCAAGGGCCCCCCCAAGCCCCCCCAAGCCATGTCTCTCTACCCAATGATCTCGCCGCCCAGCTCACCACCACGCTAGCAGGGTTATGGCCTTTTGGCAATCATCTCGTATACCCTCATGTGAGGACAATGTGTTCTTCTATGTGTCCTTTTTGCCTCCTTTTCTTTCCCGCATCATCCTTGGCTCTGAGACATGCGTGTGTCAAGGGAGATTTGCGCCCAAAGAAGATGAAGTCTGTGGGGGGTTAATCGGGTCGGGGATCGAGTAAGTCAAAGTATGCTGCCGTTGTTGTATATATGTAAGTGGGTATATTTGGATGCCCATGGCCCTGCTGCATTGACCTTTCGTTATATCTTTTGTGCATGTCCCTTTCCTGTCTACAGACAACAACGATCGGCTCGCAAAGAGAGAAGAAAACTTTTCTGTCCTCGACTTCACGACAAACCATCGAAAACAAGCCGACTGGTTTTCAGACCAACACCATTGTCTTTTCCCTGTTTTTCAATCTCGACCCTGGGACCCTGCATCTGAGCCCGGGCCACAGCCGAGAAGCGCAGTGACGTAACTCAGATCTGGTGCATCTTCCCGGATTTGCTTGCGCCGGCCTGCCACTTATACTTTAGCACATGAGCCTTTATCTCGACTGATCCCGCTACCACCCACAAAGTGAGACTGCACTACCGGTGACGGGGGAAAAATGTGGTGCTTTGTGTCAACAGGTTAGACTTTACCATACTCCCTGTCACTGCCATCTTTTCACTCCTACGAGTAACACTTTGCTTTTCTGTCTATCCTGCTTCTACAACATTTCGCCCAAAGTCTCTGCCACTTGTCTCTCTCTCTCTCTATCCTTGATACCCTACGAAACCTCACGGGCAAACTTAAATCTGACATCATGTATTCGGTCGTCGATGAAGCCCCTCGCAGAGAGCGGCATCACAAGTACAAGAAGAGGCTCTACCTCGAGCCGCCTACCAACGGCAGCGTGACGACTCGTACGCGCATCACGACGATCGTTCCGCCCCCAAGACCTCCACCCGTCGTGATCCGCCCAGAACTACCTAGGCCGATCACTCCCCCGCCGGCGGAGCCTCCAGTCATTGTGTGCCCGCCGCCGCCACCGCCTCCTCCGGAACCCATCATTATCGCTCCTCGACCGCTGCCGGAGCCGATCGTGGAGGAGGAGGACACCATCGAGGTTATTGCCGTGGACGTGGATCCTTCGGTCAAGTCCCACAAGAGCCACAAGAGCCACCGCAGCCACAAATCCTCCCGCAGCAGCCGGAGCCGAAGCCACAGCCACAGTCGCGAGCGAGAGCGCGAGGTTTATATTGAGCGCGAGAAGTTGGTGCCCGTCCGCGTGCCCGTGCCCTACCCTGTCCGGGTCGAACCCGACTACGAGACCTTTCGCTATGTCGATGCTCCTCGGCGGTTCGAGCCACGGCCACGCAGCCATGATCGCGAGATCGTCATCGAGGACCGTCACAGGAGACAGTATTTGAGAGACTAAAATGAGTCTAACACGGACCTCTTCGTATCTCCGGCCATCTTATGGAGTCTTGGTCATATCTTGCAGTTGATTATCTCAGCGAGGAGTTTTTTTTATTTTGGGGAATTTCTGAAGGTTCTTGGGTTCTCTATTACTTGGGTTTATCTACATGCACAGCGACGGAATGCCAAAGCAGGTACACGAAATGAATGACGGTTTCGATATATTGGGTCTTTTACTACGGCTACGGTGAAACTCGGAACAGGATTTATTATATTTCAGGTATATATCTACTTTAAATCACATAAAAGAACCACATATACTCGATAATTTCTCGGTTGAGAAGTACTTTTGATGCAGAAGTCACTCTTCTTGAATGTTACACATATTGCTATTGCAATTATTAGACCAGAATATGACTGGCATGGATATTCCGAGGTTTGAACACCAGCCACGCAATCGATTCGTCAGCAGCCCTGAAACAACCAACCTCGTACGAAGCGTCGAAGAGCGAATAGACATCAATTTCAAGTTGACATGAACTAGACAGCAAATATGACTTTTACTACAAGAGGCACGACCCCTAGGACAACGCCAGCCTGGGCAGCCTCTCTCCGGCCACTGATGGCTCCACTGGAAGCTGTAGCCCCTGCAGCGGAAGCACTCGTCGAACTCGCCAGAGCGGCGCTCGAGGCGCTCGCAACCGACGCGCTGTAGCTTGCGTATTGTGCCGGGAAAGCCTCTGACGCGTACACGACGCAGCCATCGGGTACGTACGCATCCAGCTCACGTTGCGAGTCGAACCCCAGATCCTCGGGAACTATATCGAGGGCCTCGCCGCCAACGTCTGTGCAGTAGTTGACCACATCGTCCACGCCCTCGCACTGATTGATGCAGGCCTCGGCCGCGTCGAAGTCTACCGCTGTTCCCGACCACGCGTCGTTGATGCACTTTCGGGCGCACACAAATGACTGGCATGGCACATCGTGAAGGTCCCAGCCTGGCCAGACGTTGGAGTCGGAGACCTCGTAGGGGTAGAAACCGTCCTTGTTGGTGCCTTCTGGGAGCTGCATCCCAGTCATGTTGAAACCCCTCCAGCCATTGTCGTACTGTAGACCAGAAGAGTTGTCCGCATAGTTGATGGTGCGCCAAGAGCTCTTGGTCAAGTCCTTGGAGCCGTCGTGGCGGTCGTACAGCGAGCTGGCGAGGTCATAGTAGGCGCCGTCCGGGCCCGCGCCCCCTGGCACGGTGAGGACGTAGTCGGTGACGATGGTGCGTCCGCCATTGATAGCACGGGATGCGTCCTGGGACAGGGGCATGCAGTCAATCAGCTTGCACACGGGACCGCTGACATTGCAGCCCGTCTCGTCGTCGGGGCACACGCGGTTCGAGACAATAGCCAGCCAGACGGCGACGCTGTTCCACCGCGAGTCCGGATAAGAATACCCGCCGCCCAGATCATCGTAGTACCGGGTATAGTTGATGCCCTTGACGAGAAAGGGCGTGTCGGCCGTGGCGACGCGTGGAGAGCATGTCCGGTACGGCGAGCTAGGATCGTCGAGGGTGTCGGCCGCACTGCGCGATGCCAATGCGCCTAGCAAGGCGATCACCGAGACATGGTACCGCATGAGTTATAATCACCACCGGGTTACAGCAGGTAAATGAGTGACTGAGAAACGAATGACTCGATGATTGAACTATTGTGGAAAGAGAGAAGAATCAATTAGTCATGTCGAATAAGAAAGGGGGGATTCGACAATGGACAAAGGATTACACTATTTTTAGACTTAAATTTAAGCGTGAATGTGCACGGTTGTTGATTGTGTTGACTAAGGTGCTTGGCAACCATTGCGCACATCACTTATCATCAAATATATTTGTAGGTATGCGATCAGCCAGGTATGATTGGTCCAAATTATGATGCTCACCATGTATTTGAGTCCAAGAAACTCTAGTAATGGCATCCTGTCCTCGTTATTTGCGATGAGCGTACCGGATTTCGACTATAGACGCAGTCTCTGTACGAGTTCCTACACAGTTACTTTACTAACACGTCACATTAAGGCAATAAAAGTAGTTCGAACGCTGACCGCTATAAGTCTTAGTAGATACACGTCCACATTGTCATAAGAAGATGGGTAGTTGAGGACGGAAACTCAAATGAGCGCGGTTGCTAGTCTACCAGGCGCTTGGTGATCCCAGAGATACATTGTGTGAATTCATTCTAGCATGCGATCCAGATAGCAGACTATGCGAACTGAAATTAATAGAAATAGAACTCTCAATGAAATTGGAAGGGGAATAATTGAATAACCAAACACATGTGTTGAGCTTATGAGAGGGTATCTCTCGGCTTTTGACAAGCTTTCTGCCCTGCGAAATGAGAGGGCTGTGCAAAACTTTGGCATTAATTACTTGCTGCTTAAATGTCACGACGCTGGCAACTAACGGTAAGGCCAGCTGATCCAAGGATCTTTCGATCCTACCATTTGAACCTTACGAGTAACCTGAATCCCGGGCAGTTGCCAGTCTGGAAATTCTCGAGTTCTTTGCCTGCCGAGAGACAGAGCAACGACTACCTATGCTCGATCCCGAATACTTCCTCACCGAAAGCATCGGGTTACAGAAGTAGGAGCAGATTCTGGATGAGTCAGTCGCTTCTCATCGTGCCAACCCAAGCAGGTACGAGCTGAATTTATTGGGCTCGGTTGTTCATGTGGCTATCCCGACTCGATACGTCAGTATAGAACGATACAGGCGTGGCTGCTATTTGAGTGGATTACTGCAAGAAACGAGATCGTTACGCCTTTAGAAAACCCAATCTATGGTAAGAACTAGGACAAGGCCTGCGTTTCGTACACGGCGCCTACCGACCTCTAGGTCGCAAGGTAAATCGCTTCTGGAGTATTCTTGTACATATCATGCATGTGATGTCTGTCACAGGTACATACCTTGACCATTGTTTACCTTTACGCGAGGGAGGTGCGTATAAGCGTGTGTCTACCTTGTGTAATGATGCTGAACTATTTAAACCTCCCATCCGCCCAGATTTGGTTCTCAAAAGCTTTTCCTTAACATTCCACTTTTCAATCCCAATTCCCAACCAGACGCCACACAACAGCCATGACTTGCACATTATCATACCTCTTATGATATTCATCATCTCATGACGAATTCCCAACATCAACTTCAAGATCCTCCTCTGAACAGACTACACTTTGATGCTCAACATGTAACCGGCCCACCTTGGCATAAACCACGGAATAATGCCGCGTTATAGCAGCCAACAGCTCATTTCTCCCGCTACCTTCACTGAATACTTGGGTTCGCCTTTTGCAGTGTCCGTCTCAACTTAACATCAACAGACACCTTCATGGTAGGAGAAAAACACCTACATGGATTCGCGACAGCGAATTTTATCGCGCTGCATGGATAGACGTTCTTCGGGACGGACACAACCTTAGGGCCCGGCTCCATCACGACCTGGCCGTCTCTCCCGCATCTCGCGGGCTCAAATCAACGCCTTCAAGCGCGTCATCAAGCTGGACTATACGGAAACCAACTAATCTCCATCTTGCTGCTACCGACTTCGGCATATGTTTTTTGATTACTTTTGCGGGCTACAAGTAGACGTACTTCTCCTTCATGCCGAGGCTTCCTATCTTTTCATCGATGCCGGAGAGGTACAAGATCGCCCTTTCAGCGTCGTCCGCAATTTATTCGACACTGGCATGGACTTTGCCTCAATGGCAAAGTGGAACAGACGTTACGTTTGTGACCCCTATCGAGTGGGTGCTAGAAGATATCGAAACCTTTACAGGTCACAAGGCGCACTCGATAGAAGCAGAGTCATAGAGATTCTGAACCACATGCACAAAATGGACAGGTCATTTCTTGACTTACTTTCCAAGCCTCCGATCCTACTGCCTCCATTACTACATTGTGCTGCTGAGCAACTGCTGTTGACGCGCACATTACCAACAATGCACGACCCCAACATGCGACACATGCCCAGCTTCGGGGAGGAGGGAGACTTGGGATCATCCTTATATCATCAGAAAGTGCAGTAGAAACCTGGGATCTTGCTCAACTTGTCTTACAAACTACACTGTCACTGCGAAGAAAAAGTGTGGTATTTTTACAGATATCGGGGGAAAGATGGCGAGAGGCAAAAGAGCTTGGTGATTTATACACAAAAAAAAAGGACTGGAATAAACAGCGAAAATGGACATAAAAAATCTTTTGTATTAGGGGTATGCAAATCTGATTTGAATTAATAAAAAAGAATAATTTTAAATATACGGCTGTGTTTCTTTCCTGATTTTCTTTCTCCCTTTTTTGCTATTATGCCTTTTCTCTCTCTCTTTTTCATCTTCTATTACATCCTTAGGCGGATAGAATAAGTGCTCTATAGCAGAAATATAACACAATTTCAATGGTCGGATACCTTAGTCGCACGGTTTGAGTAAGGAGAAGCCCCTATATATTTCGGTCAGAACTTCAGCAACGGTACGTTTTGGGGAAAAGAAGCTATTGCTTAGGATATAACCGCCACCTCTTTCATAGTGTCAACACGTTTCATGTTGCATTTATGATTAATCACAAATTTCGCTTTTCGGCGACCAAGTCATTTCCGAACAATTGTCTTATGCTTTCCTCTTGAGGTTAGAGAGGAAGAATATATCAGCAAAATTTGTTAAAATAGAACGAAGGATATGAGTGGTGAAGTGATACTCTGTCGGTCTAGTCTTAGATATCAAGGAATGTTGGTATACTAAATAAACGGTGTTCATAGTGGCGTTCATGTATGTAATGTAGCAGGCTGTGCTTCTAGTTCGAACATGATCTTCATCGCCGATTTCGGGCCCAGAAGCGTCCCTAAACTTGATACTATCCTTTGACTCGATTTAATCATCATCAACCGAGTCTTATACTAAGGCATCATTCTGAAATCCTGCGCTTGTGCTGTATGGGATCCGGATTCAACACGCAGCACGGTTATTTTGACTCACCACCTACTCGAGTGTGTGACACAACAGCCGACCCACCATTTTCACCAATGCTCAGGTCTTTGCAGCCCATATTCTTGGAGGTTGCTTGCAATAACAACACACTACCTATCCTTGCTGGACACGGAAAGATGCTTACCAATGTTGACATTGGGGGATGCCCATCGATGAAATGATAAGTGGCCGGCAATCTTTCGCGACGGCCTTTTACCAACCAGCCATGCTCTTTGTGAAAGTAGCGACATGTGTTAGTGAGCTCATATTCTGCCACATCACATACATGCACGGAAATATTACAGCATTTCCCCGTCCGTCATCTCGATTACGGTGTATGAAAACTGTCCAAGGAATCGAGAATTGGCCACGGAAATCAAATTTCACGCCTTCATAGCCAATCACCTGTTTGTGACATGCCTGTATTCCTTCTCTGTCATCTAGTACTGGGTGATTGTTCATTCTTAAATTGCTAAACCCAGGCTACCAGACGAGCAGAAGCTGTTGCCGACATTCCAGGCCACTGGGATTTGGCAGAGCGGGGGCAATATTAGAACTATATCACTCGGGATATAGGGCTGCAAAATTCGTGAACCCAACCAAGACAGAATCTGGACGGATCGTTTCAAAAGAAATTTCCGGCACTTACCACAATATCTCCAGATTCGGTTCCCTCTTCGTCGTTGGAACCCAGGAATACCGAGCATAAATTGCGTTTTTCCAGAACAAGCATCTTGAGTCGCTAGAGAATAAGAGAAGAACGATAAACAAGGTGACTAGGAATCCCCTTCCTCATAGCGTTCAATCTTTCGATCTAGAAATCGCTGCTTGATGCATGAAGATATTTCGTCAACTCGAGGGGATTGTCCCTTTCATAAGATGGTCGGTAAGCGTGTGCGAAGAGCATTCCTAGGTTCGATAAAGGAGATGTATAAGTCAAGGCCTTGGAATAGCTTCGAGGATCCTAGTCTGACGGACCAATCGGTTTTGACATGATTCATTACATCCTGATCGCAGTACCATTTCCGGATAGGTAGCCGTTGCGGGTGCATGCTACGTTGCGAAAAGAATGACAGATGCACGAATCGTGGCCTTGCTGCAACGACGATATTCGAATGGCCATGGGAGAAATAAGGCCAGGGGGACGCTCATATAAGAGATTATCGGAGAAATACCCGAGAAGCTTCAAACGGTAGATTGCATTGGCGACCCGGGTTACATCGTTCCACAGTCCTTTTAAAAAAGCAGGACCTGACGATCACCAAATGTGTGCAAGGGTGCCAAGACAGAATGCAGATTCGCGAACAGAGTCCTCAAATCGTCCGTGTAACGGGTAGGGCATTCTCGAGCAATTGATCTGCGCCTGGCAAGTGGTCGATCATTTTTCGAGCCCGAAGGCCACTTGGGCGGCCCACGTCAAGTTTGTCGCATCCTGATAATTGTTCTCTTTGAAGCCGACTGTGGAGTTTACCTGATTCTTCACACGAATTCTGCCACGAAACCATTGTTTTGAAGGACATAGATTACCCGTGACGATCCAGAGCAAGTCTTGGTTACCTAAAATGGTAAAATCCAGGCACCATGGTATTCGAGGCCATCATCTGACACGCCAAAATCTCATCTCT